ATACTAGTTATTACCGCCTAAAAACTAATTAAAATTAAAGTTTTTAAAATTAATAAAAAACTAGCATAAAAAAAAGATTAAGAATACCAAGGGCTTTTAAAGTTAGTAAAAATATTATATTAAAAGGGTTTTATAACTATACTACAGTAGGAATATAAGGGGCAAAGGTAAAGGTATTTTAAATTACTATAGTTATAGCTAGGCGCTTTTTTTTTACTTATTAAAAAGCTAGGGCAGCGCCTAAAAGGGCTTTTCTTTTAGCTATAATAAAAAAAGGGTAACTTTTTATTTAGTAAAAAGTTTAATAAATTTAGGAATTTATAAAACTATAAATTATGCTATAATTTATACTTTTATACCAGGCATTATTAAAGCGCCGTTTTTCCCCTTTTAGTTATAAATAAATATTATATTTTATTTAAAGCACTATAAATAATAAAAATAAAATATTAAATTTAATGCGTTAAATAACACTTTAATAAAGTTAGGAATAGTAATAATAAAGCTGTATTTAGTATTAATATTAATAATAATAATAGTGTTTTATTATTATTTTTTTTAGTTTAGCAGCGGGTCGCGGATAACCCTTTAATTAAAAAAAAAATTATTAAGGCTAATATTTTTTTATTTAATATTACTAAAGCTAATTTATTATTAATTTAAAATTAGCACCTTAGGTAACCTAAGCTTTGGCCTTAGGCCGCTAAGGCTTAATATATTTTATTATTATATTAGGTTATATAACTTAACTAGGTTATTAGTATTTAAGGTTTTAGCTACTAGTTAAGCAAGGCTAGGGTAGGCCTTAAATATAAGCTAAAGTAAAAACCCGTGCGCAAAGTATTTAAACTTATATTTACTTTTTAGTTAGGAATAGCTTAAGCATAGCTTAAAGGTTTATAAAAGTGGCCTTAAGGCCAGCCTTTGTTAAGATCTTTAAATAACTTTTTTAATATTATTTAATAGGGTTTAAAATACTCCATTCTTATTAGTTAGATTCCTTTGTTAATATCTTCATTATTAGTAAAGATCTTCGAGACTTGTCGGTCTTACAATTTAGCCAAATATATAATAAATAATAGGCCTTAAGAGTTTTAAAACATAGTAAATATTAGGTTTAAAAAGGACTCTAGCCAGGTCTAGTATAATTAAAAAATAGCTTAAAAAAAGCTTTTAATCTTATTAATAATTTTATAAAATAGGTATGTATAAAGGTAACAGGGAAAAAATACACTAGGAATAATTATATAAAAAATACCTTAGTAAAATTTACAGCCTATTTTAAGTAAGTTAAAAAAAAAAAAAGCTTAAAGGCAAGCCGCGGTAGTATAATAAGTAAATATTAAATATATAGCTTAATACCGGGAAAACCTAATTAAAAATTAAGTAAAAAAATAGGTTAAAATAGGTTTAAATAAAGCTATATAAGAGTTTTTTAACATGCTAACTAAATTATTAACTAATACTAAAAATATAAAAGATTTAAATCCTAATTTTAAGACCTTAAGCCGCCCTCCCCCTGTTTAAGTAAAGGTTATAAAAAAAATATAATAGGACTATTAAATAACTTTTTTTTAAGTAAATTTTATATAAATTTTTAATTAAATAATCTCGCAGCGTGTTAATAAGAACCCCGCCGGGAAAAATTTTTAAAAACTTAAAATAAAAATAAATTATTTTAATTATTAGTTAAAAAAGCTATAGGAAACTTAGGGTTAAATATTAGGCTTTATAAAGTAATTAAATAGGTGTTTTATAAAGTAATTTACCTAAATATTTTTTTAAATTTATTAGTTATATTTAGTAAAATTATTTTAATATTAGGTTTTTTTTACTACTGCAAAGGCATATTATAATATTAGTTAAAAAAATAGTTATTTAATACTTAGCTATAATAGGAATTATCCTAACATGTTAATATAGCTTAAATAATAGGTATTTTTAATTTCTTATAATTAAACTAAAAGCCTGCTTAATAAAAATTTATAATAATAAAAGCTAAATATTAAATACCTTTTTATTAACTATTAATTTTTTATTTACCTTTTTATATAGTATAATAATATTATATTTACCTTTATAAGTATTATTTTTATATATATAAAAAGGTTCTTGGCCTTTATATATATTTCTTAAGGTTTTTTTTATTTTTAATTTATTTTATATAAAAGTATTATTTACCTTGCCTTTATACAGGCTTTAAAGTAAGAAAATAAGGCTATTAAATATTATAAGGCCTTAAAACTTTATCCCATGTTACTTTTTATACCCTAAATAAAAAAACTTTTAATTTTTAAACAGCTAATATACTAGCCTAAAAGTATTATTTATAAAGGCCTAAATACGCGCCTTGGGGTTATAGGCCATAGCTAACTTATAAGCCTTTATATAAGTTAAAGTATAATATTAATAAAGGGTTTTTTTAAAAAGCTAAGTAATATAAAAAATAATATTAGTATAAATAAATAAAAGCCAAGGCCTACTTTTTTTAAAAAAGGCCTTTATTATTTTTATTTAATATAAAAATATAAGGCAAGCAAGAACTAAATATATTATAATTTTAAAATACAGCGTGTTATAATAATAATATTTAATTTAATTAAGGCAGAAAAGAGGTATAAAAATATAAATTTTTTAAGTATTAAAGCTATATTAATTTATTAAGGGATTTTTATATAATTTTATATACCTTTAACTTATTAAAAATAAAAGAGCTAACACTCCCGCGGTATTTAGTTAAGATTAAATTTAAAGTATTAATAAAGCTCTAGACCTTAGTAAATATAGTTAATATTACTTATTAATTAAGTTTTTTTTATATATACTATTAAGGCGCTTATAAATAGTATTATTTTATTTATTTTTGGTAATAATAAGGTGGTAGTAATATTTATAATAAGCAAATTTATCTTATTTGCGTTTATATATAAATTAGTATAAAGGTTAAAATATTAATATTTTGCACCTAGTTTAAAATTAACGGGGCTTGGTAAATTTTACACGTGATATTAAAGAACGTCCGAAAGCAGTAAATTAGGCAGTATTAATATTAAAAGGAGAACCAAATTTTTGGTGGCAGACGGAATCTACTACCCAATTGTTTGCTTCTAGCCATGCCGGCACCTTTCCTGCATCTCCCCGCGTTTCGCGTGGCTGTCAGCCCCGTGTTTCGGTGTGCTCAAACTCGGTAGGGAATGGCAGTGACAGCATATGTTTGCCTAGAAGGGTTGCCAGCAAGCTACCTGCGGCTTTCTTAGTACGATAAGAAATCGCTCAAACTGCCTTACACACAGGACAGTCAGTGAAAATGCCACCTTATTACTCCATACTCAGGCTATAGTTATAGGATTTGGCGGCCCCTTCCGATGGCTACGGAAGCTTGAACTGCGGAGGCCGATGATATCCTGTTGGTTCAACTCTCCGGACCGGCACGTCCGCCATACTCGGTCTGGTGGCTGCTTATGCTCTATCTGGATCGCGGGGGCCCTGTGCCAGACTCCAGAGACAAAACTAAGCCATTGCAATCGATAGGCTAAACTACGTCGCAAACAGGCTACAAGCCGTCAAGCCCAGCATCTCCAGAACCGCCTCGGAAATGTATCCGCATAAGAACCTTGTGATGTGACAAGAGGGAATGAGACGGACTGGATTGACTTTTCCTCGCCCTCGTCTCGATCTCTCCTGGTATCCATCTGCCCATATCAAAGCTTCAATAAGACCATCCGCTTTACCTCGCCGGCAATTCTATCTCATTATGTGCACGCCACGACCCTGCAAACCCTGCTCTACTGCTCCGACAACGCCCGACGTAGCAAGAGCCTGCAGGCCCATACTCACAGCCTTCGGCATCGACAACCAGCGGACGTGCTCATTCCTTTACGCCATTCGTGGCTTGCAAGGTGGACCGTGCCGTATGCTACCGAGCAGTTTGCTAGTACTGAATATCAAGTTGGGCTGCGAGCATGCACAAGGTAAGCGCACATTGGCACATATACCCTGCGGAGAAGTAGGTTCCTGTCATGTTGGTATCCCCAGCACAGTCAACATCAGAGTATGGAGGCGTCAATTCATTCGTAATTACCTTAGACATGCCCAACATGTTCAAGGCCCAAACCAGACGTCTCCCCTCCCACTGGTAATCTCCACTCTCCAGCATATTTTCGAATGTCTGGTAACTGCAGTTGAATTACTATAAAGCAAATATAGAGCAATACAAACACTGAATCCATCACATACGACCACAGGGTGTGGAGAACAGGGCTTCCCGTCCGCTCAGCCGTACTTAAGCCACACGCCGGCTGGTTAGTAGTATGGTGGGTGACCACATGCGAATCCCAGCTGTTGTATGTTTTTGCTTTTTTTTGTTTCGCACCTACTACCTTCATTTCAAGGGTTGGGGACCATCATAGCCGTACATGACGCTGAGCCGCCGAAACATCTCAGTTATCATTATTATACGCATAGTATTTAGATCGGACATGTGTTTTATTATCAAGCCTGTCGTGGTTGTTGTAACTATGCATACGGTAATCGTGTTTGTGCCTGGCTGCATCTACACTGGAGTATAGCCGTGGCACGGGGTAGGTACATTCTACACAGACTCCCGTAATATACGAAGTCTTTATATTTTCGTACTGAGAAGAGACCTATTATAGGGAAGGACGGGCTCCTAGTTTCGCAAACATAGATCAGGAGAATGCTCAGGTTTCGCAAGTCTGTTTTGTAGGTATACGAGATCGGGGTTTTATCTGGATATAGCCGACTCGAGTGAGGCATATCTGAGTATCTATCCCCCATAAACTCCAACACAACAGTGCGCATATCTTTCTAGTGATTAGGGATAGTATAGTCTTCCACTTTCACTGACATAATAAGCATAAAGGCTCTTAACCTCTTAATAACAGAGCGCCAATCGATTGTGAAGCTGCCGTCATGGGAAAATATACATCAGAAAGAAAGAACAACTCCGTCGCATCATCATTATACAAACCAAAAAGGCACTATTGCTCCTCAACACCCGGCCAAAACCTCTCCTCCAACCAAACAACCTGCCTCCACCACCTCTCACACCGTTCTAACGCATCACCACCTTCACCCCCAAGTTCCCGCTCCGCAACCTCATCCACCACATCCCCAATCTTGCCCACAAACTCCTCAAACTCCTCACTCGCCCAATTAGGAATAAATTTCTCCCTCAGCGCGCCCCCATCCGTATCCTCACCCCCTTTCTCAGCCCTCCTCCCCAAAAATCCTGCAGCATACTTCCAAGCCCTGAGATAGCATATCTCCGTAGCCCAAAGCACAACGAGCCCCTCCAACAAACTATTCCCGGGACTCGACGCAGACATAAACATATCAATGTACCCCTGCGTAATGGGTGCGGGCGCGAACTTCCCTCCCCCTTCCTGGGGCCCTCCCAACTCAGCCAGCGGCGTATTAAGATCAAGCCCGTACTCTCTCGCAACATCCTCGAAGAACGCGAGCTCGCGGTGTATATTATTCAATGCGTCAACCAGAATACCCAGGATCTTCTCCGGTATACTGCGTTGGCCCGGCGCTGAGGGGGTAGGTGGGAGGTGGGTCTTCGAGAGTAACTGGCCGATGAAGCGGACGTAGGTTTGCGCGTAGAGACGGTCTTGCGAGAGCCATGCTGCTAATGTGTGTTTTGGGAGGGTTCCGCTGCCTGCGGCGCGGAGGAAGGGGTGTGTTGTTGCGCGTTCGAGGGCCACGGGCGTTATGGAGGGGAGATGGGTTGTTAGTTTCATTGTGGTTGGTTTGAGGTTGATGCGGCGAGAGCTATGGAACTAGAGACTGAGGACTGGGTAGATTGTCGCATGGGCTTGGAGGAGATAAGTTGAAAAAGTGACGATGGATGTTTGGCGGGGTGTGGGGTAGCTGTGTAGCTGCAAAAGGAAGTATACTCGCCGATGACGGAGATGGAGCTATAGAGACCCTCGATGCTCCAACTTACATGATTACACCCCTCTGATAAATTTAATTTTTCCTTTGATTGATGCTGCTAAGCTAGCCACCTAAACCAAACAAGAAAATCGACACAAACCAAACCAATAGAGATCAAATCATACAAGCAAGCAACTGCGCCGTCGAACCCCCAAACCCCAAACCGAATGCTTCGTCCCGTCATTGCAAGGTGATCGTAGTCAGACATACAGATCGAACAGATCTGAGTGAAGGAAGAACAACAAGACAAACAAAACAAACCGTGCATGCTATCCTATCAGTCATGGATGCACGCAGCTGATAAAGCAAGCTTAAGTAGTTGCCGTACTAGTCCGGGCTGCGGGATTGTTTAGCTGGCGGTGATACGTTCCAATCGGTTGGAACCCCCTGCAAAGACAGTTAGGTATATTGTTGATGAAATAAAAACGAGTGAGCTTACCTTGCCAGATCGAACCCTCCATTATCGTCTTCCTCCCCATCTTCTCCCTCCACACGCGGATGATGCTCGTCTACACCATTCGTGCTTGGCCCGTCTTCCCGCCGGGCTGACAGAGGCCGACCTGAGCCAACCCCATTAGCTGTGCCCGGTTTGCTCGGGCTGACGAGGTTCGGTGGCGGGGGACTGCTACTCGGGATATTGCCCAGCACGTCTCCCGGATCCCCTTTCAACGGACTCATGTCAGCAACCGGGCGCGCAGGCGTGCTCCCGATATCGGCGAATTTCCAGAATTGAGCAGGGGAGCTCATGGGCATGAATTTTGATGGAATCTGAGCCGTGCTCGGGGGTGGGAGACGTGGTTGATGACGTTGCGGTGCAGGTGTAATCATTGAGGACGGGCCATCGTCGTAATAGGAGGAAGACAGCACCGGGGGAGATCGTGTCGCTGCGTCAGATAGTCCGTACGCCCGACTAAGGCCAGTTGCGTGCTTCGTTGCGGACCGGTTGGGCAACGGCGACGGCTCCTCGTAGTCTCGTGGGTTCGGTGGCCGAAGCGAGGGCGGCTCTATTGCACCATTCCGGACACCGCGTGAGCCCCGCTCAGGCGTGTACGCTTCGACTGGCGCAACTGGGAATGAGCTGAAACTGGGCGAAGAGACAGGCGGCGATTTCCTGCCAGCGGCGAAGACCGATTCCATCCCACTGGCAGCGGCGCCCCGCGGCGCGGGATCTTTGGTCGCTGGGGATGACGGCGCTGATGATTGTGTACCACCTTTGCGAAGTTGCTTCTTCCAGTACTCCTCACGATACTCTGGCGCAATCTGCCACTTCATACCCTTGCCCGGCTCGTCCGTCCGACGGGGCACCTTCTGGAACGCCTTGTTCAATGAGAGGTTGTGTCGGATCGAATTCTGCCAGCCACTTTGCGAATGTCGGTAGAACGCATACTTGTCCATTATCCAATTATAAATATTGTTGAGCGTCAACTTCTCCTCCTCACTCGAAAAGATCGCCTGTGCGATGAGAGTCGCATAGCTATACGGCGGTTTCAAGTCCTTGGCGGCATCCTTGCTGTAATCGATTTCCTCGGTGCTCTCCATCATCATACCCCGGTTATACAGCGGCGACTGCTTGGCGGTTCGCGCGCCGACGGTGTCCGGCGATCGTGGCGGTGGTGTGACCTGACGTTTGAGGAACTGCGGAGCGGGTGCGAGTGAAGGAACGCCGGTCGACGGCGGGACAGTCTCTTGGGCCTTGGGAACGGTCGGCGTTTGCTGGGGATGCGCGTGATGAGTGGCGTCCCAGTTGGGATCTTCTTCCCCGTTGGCGATCCGTTGCGCGCGCTCGACGAAGCTGGGATGAATGTTGGCCTTGTCGCCTGGGGTAACGAACATCATCGATGTGTTAGCAATCTCAATGATGTCGCCGCATGAAAGCACGGCATCGGTGCCGCGTTTCAAAATCGCCTGGTTCAAGCGGACGCCGTTGCGGCCGTTGACGCGAATGTGCCACGACGCAGTCTCCTCGCCATCGTAGAAAATCTCCGCGTGCAGGCGCGATACGAACTTGCTCGGACCTAGATCGACGTGGACTTCGGGCAGCGCTCGCGCAGCGATTGTGACGGGACTCGACTGTTCATCTAGCTTCTGTTCGCGGTCAGGCTCACGGCCGATGTTGACGTGAAGCGACTTCACGTAGTACGTCCAGTTCCTGCCGGCGATTTTGGCGTATGCGCGGATGCTCTGCTTGTTCTCGGTTTTCGCGTTGGAATGATCTTTCTGGACGCGAAGCGGCTCACGGGCGACTTGGAGATACGAAATGACGAGATCGACGAGATCCTGGTTTTCGGTCAAGTCACGCTCGGGAGACGATCCATCCGCTTCGTCGGCGGACTCGGCTTTCGCGGGTCGAGGAGGCTGGGGAGAAGTTCGGCTATCGACCTACCGCACGCGTTGGTTAGTTTCAACTGAAGAAGTTTCTTGCAGAAAATTCAAGTCGTTGAGATGACGCAAGATAAGCGTATTTTGTGGTCTCGAGGCGCTATACGTACTTTGCGCTTTTTGTTCGAAGGTCGCGTGGGCGACGAATCCGGCGCCTCTGCATCTGAAGTCTCTTGTAGCTGGATTTCCTTGCGCCGCGCGCGACGGCGATTAGAGAGAGGCATAGCCGAAAACTTCTGATGCTGTCGCTTGTCGCTTGTCGCTGTCGTCTGTCGCTCGTTATCGGTAAACTCGCGCTGTGTCGTGTCGCTCTGCGTTGACGTAGGATAAATTTCGCGAGAGTGCGCGTTTATCCGGATTAGCGTAGCGGTGGGCAGTCAGATTCGAGGACTCGAGGTCAGCTTGAGGAGATGGAAAGCGGACGGCGATTAATGGCGACAACAAATGATGACCTAAAGAGGCCGAGATGGACGAAGAACCAAGGATCAGTAATTCTGAAAGGTTTGCCACCGCGCAAAGGCGAGGCGACGCGCACTGGGGCTTAAGAATGAGAGGCCCAGCCACCGCGGGGAGTTCCGGTTGTAGTGGGGTGGGCTCTCCCAAGGCCTACTCTGCACTCTGGACGGGTGAGTGTAAGAGAGCAAGAGAACAAAGCACGCATGCTAGATCAGATAACAGATATCTGCAAGTAAACTAGAACAGCGATGCAAAAAAAGCGAGCTGCAGCGTCGAAGCAAAGAAACGCCCGACAGAGGCAGTGACGTTGGTCTCGACCGTGACCGCTTCCAGTCCTCGACAGAAAGAAGGTTGAGATGAGGAAGCATTCCATTCCATTGCTTTGTCTGTCTTGTCTTATCGCCGTTATTATAGCCCTAACCAAGTCTAACAGCAAATCCTGCAGGCCTGCGCCCGTTAGACTAGTGGTCCGACAAATGAGAAGGAAACGGTGTGATACCACGCTGCAGCCCGGCTTGATGATGTTTTTCCGGATGCAGTCAGCGACAATACTCCCTGAGAGCACCCGTGGTCTCGACTTCGAGACGCAAGTAAATAAGCGCATCGCTATCCACTGTCTATCCATGGGACTTTGCTGACCTTCTGTTTGCGTCACCCCCTCTCTGCTCTACGCGAGTTTGCAAGGAAGAGCTCTGGAATGCTTCACTTTTGTTTTGTTTTCTCAGCGAAGACACCGTAGCATTGTTGAGGAGTTGCAACAAAATACTTCTCGAAAAACGAACCGAAAAACGAACCAATGCCTTTACAGGAAGCACTGAAAGTCGATGAAAGTTCAAGGACAGCCCTGGTTTCACCTGCAAATGTTGTTGTTGGCCAATCTGACCAACTCGGAACTACAGGGATTAACGGACCCCGCAACCAGACGAAAATGAACGAGCTGGAAATTCATTCCACGCAGGTGGAGAGGATATAATGATAGATACATGATGAACGGAAGATACAAATAGATGGATAAGTACAGCGCAACTCCAGCAGAATCATCAAAGAACCTCGAACGCCAAACCACATATGGGATGAAGAGAGCGAGTACAGAAACAAATTATGGATAATAGTGAACCATTTCAGGCTCAGCTAGGCATTTTAGAGTCTCCATCCTCATCCAACCCCCGCAACGTGGGATACATAACAGTATCCTCAGCAGTCTCATTGTCAGTCTTGATTGGAACCGTGCGCGGTGAGCGAGGAAGAGAGTGGCTCTCGACGCCCTCCATGTCGTCATCCACCTTGGACACTGGCGAGCGTGAAGCATTGTCCTGCTCCATCTCATCATTGAACTCACCCTGCTCCAGGCGGTGGGCGATGTAGTTACGCAGGTACTCGATCAGTCTAACTTTCTCGACCCACTCCGATTGGACATCCGACCGCTCGGCCACCTCAGTTGCAGCCTTGGCAGTCCGGGTTACATCATCCTCATTAGGAGATCCACCGTGCAGAGCCGGGTCGATCAGACTGGCGGAGATCTGCTTAGGAGTTCGCTCTCCAGATTCCTTGTCATCGCTGGAGAGGTCCATCGCCTCTGAGGCAGCGCGGGACACAGGACGCGCTCGCTGCAGTGTTCCTCCAGTGTACCTACGACGCTCATCACTGTCAAAGATGCCGCCGAGGGTGGAAGGCGGGGCAGCACTTGACGCCGCTGGGTAACCAGCAGCCATAGCATCAGTCGCTGAAGGCAGACGAGGGTACATGCTGGGACCGCTTTCATGTGGTGGAGAAACGCGGTGAGCGGACGGCAGTGAAATAGGAGAGCGACCTGAAGTGTATGACTGAGCACTTGAGGGAGGTGTCAATGCAGGAGTGCTGGCCGAAGGGGAGTGTGCGGATGTGTTTGTGAGAATGGGGCCAGCAGTGTGAGCTGTGGCATGGGCGGAGGGAAGTTGTGTCGGGGGCGAGTGAGTAGTGCGGTAGCTCATGCCGTTGTGGATGTAGTGAGCACCAGGCTGGGCGACGCCAGCTGCAGCGACATTGTCGTCGTTCTCGTAAATGGTGTCTTGCATTTGCTGCAGGAACTGATCAATGTTGATCAGATCACTCTTGGTTCGGACGTTGCTCATTGGTGGAAGATGGTATGCCGGTGCAGGATGAGGCCCGCTGGCATAAGGACCACCAGCGACAGCCACAGGAGCGGGCATTGGCTGGTACTCAGCTAGAGGTGCGGCCGTCAAGACAGGCAGAGACAGGTTTTGCAGACTGAGCAGGCGCTGGCCCACAGCAGCGTAGGAGTTGGGGTCAAATTGCCGACGCTTGAGGTCACCAAAGAACTCATTGAGCGCATCATATCCCCGCTTCTTGTTCTCGTACGATGCTTGATGAGGCTCAGGGCCGGTGTTCAAAGCATAGTAGACGTTGCCATAAGAAGCGTTAGATGGCTGAGGAGCGTGGTGAGCCTGGTAATACTGAGGAGGTCCATGAGCGTAGCCCTGGCTGGGAACAGGGTTGAGAGCGGGCTCAAAATAGTGTGCTGCAGCAGCATAACCTGAGATCGTTGTCAGTTCCAACTAGCAATCAGGTACGACAGGAGCAAGCAGACCCTTGGCGCCTCCTCCAAACATCATATCTGGGTTCCGAGAGCCAGGCTCCGGCGACCGTACCAAGACAGAGTCGTCAGCGTGCGTCTTGACATGCTTCTTCAGATCTTGGGGACGCTTGAATGCCTTTCCACAGAAATCACACTTGTGCGGCTTGAGAGGAACGTGGACCCGGATATGGGAAGTGATATGATCGCGTTTCACAGTGGTGGTACGACAGCTGCCCCATTGACAAGTCAAGTTGAGGTTGTTTGTGCTCTTCCGGCCAACGTGACGCTCGCAGACGTGTTCCTATAACACAATAGAGTTAGTCGCGTCCTAAAGACTTTTGATGCGACCGTAGGAATGTTGGCAGTCCCAACTTACGTATAAAGATTCTGGAGTGGGGAGCTTCTCAGAGCAACCTTGCCACATGCAAGTGAGTTCCTCAGATGGACGAGAGGCTGCTGATGAGGTCGCCGCGACAGGAGAGGCAGCATTGCCATTAGCTTGAGGACTGGCGACAGCAGCTGTTGCAGCCGCCGCGGTGGCAGTCACTGAAGGCGACGTGACAGTCGTGACCTGTGCCGGAGCAGGTTGAGGGGTTGGCTGTTCCTGGGTTGTAGGCACAGCTACAGGAGCGACCGCTTCTTCGGCCATGGCGCCAAGAATATGACTTTTCTTGGTGATGAGCGGACGGAATGTTCACTCGAGTCAAAACAGGGAATGTCTGTCAAGACGCAGGACAAAGCTCGCGCAACTTGAACAGGACGGTCGATAAGAAAGTGCCAGGAATTTGAACGTGAAGAGGCACGGTTGGTCAGCAGCAAGTCAATACACCAAAAACACGTGCAAAACAAGGGGACCGGTCAGCAAAAGGCGAGGGAAGGGAAAGAGAAGGGGGCACAGGAGAAGATGGGGGAAGCCAAGGTAAATAAGGAGAGGAGAGTCTTGGGATGGGACGAGAAGGGGGGAAGGCCTTGTGCGGACTCCAGAGTTGATCTTGGCTTGCACAGCCCAGCGGGGGGATCTTGGACTTAAGCCTAGAAATCCGTCTTTGCCTTGGCTTTTCGAGAGTCGACCGGAGCCTGTGCTGTGCTGTGCGCGGGGCTGGTGGCGTGGTAGTGTGGACAAAAGGGCTTAGCGTGGTACGTTGGTACAGGCTTGTAACATTCCTTCGCGCTTCCCGTGGAAGATACTGTACACCTTGCTCCTCATTAGCCAGGTAGATAGTAGAGAGTATTAGAATAAGCTCTTATATCCCATGGTCATGAATAATAGCAGTACAATGAGGCTTAGTATAAGCCCAAGTGGTGACTCTGGTGGGAATATAGCTCACCAGCACGTGATCCTAGTTACAAGGCCGAAGCAACGCCAAGAAAGAAGAACAACTGGCAGCCATATGGTAGCCGAGACTCTCCGTAGCCGCCGATTCTCTCCAACCCCTGCTTACAGACTCAAGGGTACAGTAAGAACTAAGATCACGCCTGACCTATTTAAAGGCTCAGTTTGACGAGTGTGGCGTACTTCGTACTTGTTTACTCTTCCAAGCGTCAGCCTTGAAGAAGTAACTTCAAAGTCTGACCTTAGCGACATGGGGGGTCGGGCCACGTTTGTCCGGATGCCAAAACTTTCCGGCGGTTACCGTAAGAATACCTGAGCTGAAAGAGGTTTGTAATCCGGGCCACCATCCATCGCAGCGATCTGTCTTTCTTTGTTCCTTCAATTTCCGACATGGAGTCTTCAGCAAGCACATATATCGTGCTCTTTTTGTTGGATTATGGATAACAGAGGGTTGCCTCCTTCTCCACAGCAGAGTCTCTACCACACTTCGCTGCTTCACTTGGCAGCCCAGCCCGTCCGCTCTTGGCCCTTGTATGCCCAGAATGCCGACCCTTGACGACCAGACCACCCATCTTAGTCAGACAGCCATCCACCCACCCATGGTCGACGCCCCCCAGCACCCCTTCGCTTAGCCACGTTGTTTGCTGAATCGTGCTGCCTACTCTGTTTCCCAAAAAGGGGGCGCCGTGCGATACTTTATTCGACCAAGCATCAGCCAAGCCACGCGACATGGCTTTTTATGGTCCTCCCTTCGGCCAGCCCACGGTAAACCCCCTGAGGGAAGAAAGGGTGCCAATATTGCGAGATCCGGGACAAAGGAAGAATGTCAAGTGGCGGCCCTATCGAGTTGCACTGCAGCCTCTGGGTATCTCCGTCTCCGTCTTCGTATCTTGATCATATTTGCTCAGGAACCCGGTACGGAGTAGGGTTGGCGGGTATTCTAGGCCACGGCTTGTTGGCCACTTATTATCGCCCAGATATTGGCGAGTAGCCAGTAGCGGGTCGTCCTTGCCCCATCAGACCTGTCTCGGGGTCATCCACCTGCATGAAAACTGAGGTCATGTATTCTGCTGTGCTGCGCGTGCTCGCCCCGAATTCGAGTCATCTCCCAAGGCTTCTAGGCATCCCCCGCTCTTGGATGATCTCAGCTAAGACCTCCTCTCAGCTGGGCAGCGGAGTTATTATTACGTGGTTGTGACGGTCGGGATTGCAACAATGTGTGCTTCTGCCAGGGATCCTGCATGAAGAACGGCAATCATGGCATTACCTCTCAGCTTTATTCCCTGCTCCGAACATCACATTCCGGAGTATCTACTTACGTGGGTACTAAGTTTGAAACAGCGTCCTTACCCTGGCCAACAACATTATAATCAAGGCTTACATGTCTTGTTAGCCACGCCAAGAACCGTGGTCGAACAGAATGGCTGCTAAAAAGGTGAACCTCGAGTACATACAGATCAGGGATGTAGTGAGTAGGCTATATCAGGTATTAAAACCTGAACTGAATTAACTCGAAAAAGAACACTAAAACATCTCGAATAGTTCGTGGGTTTGACCGAAATGCCTTTCGTAATATCACACAACCACAGCACAAAAGACTCGACGTTCTCAGTCGAGTTCGACCCAACCGGTACGGCGAGATGGATAATAGTCACGGCTTCCCAATGCTGAAGGTGTACGGCGTAGCCTTTCCAATGCTCGCCCAAGAAGACAAAACACATTACCAACGAAGAAATCTGCCATTAGCCAAACAAGAAGATTATGCCCTTTTCTAAGGATCCACAGGCCAATGACCGAAGGCAGCGCGTCCAAATAGGCGAAATTCCTTAGCAAAACTACTCGGTACTCCCCAAGCAGATAGGACCTCGTCACCGATATGGTACCCCCAGTTGGGTGCGATATTTAAGCAGCACCTTCCTGACGTTTCATTCCGCCAGAAGTACAAGGCTCCAGGGGCTTCCAGGTCAGGCTCGTCAGTTTCGTCCGGTACGGGCAGTGCGAAATGCATGTATCTCAACTGCGGCATATTCCGTGCAGCTTGTCCCATTGCTTGAAGGATCTTGTCGAATTCGTGGCTTTGCGCTATCTGTCGAGGGGCAAATCCCCGTTCTGCATAATCCCAGAAGCCGATGTCGCTAAGGTCATGCTCCGTGTTTGGAGACTGCGATAGGTCGTTGTCGAGCATCCATTCACCTACTCACGGCTCAGTATTTGGACAGCATGAAATTTCTGAATCACATGTGAAGGAAACATACCATCAGTCTTGAAGGGCGGCATGTTATATACCCTCAGTTCCTCTAGCTTCGGCCAGTACGGCTCAATTGGGTTATTTTCTTCGGGAGATGGCCAGAAGAGTGAGCTGTTAATCCTGACTCCGGAAAGAACAAGGCTGCGGAGGCGCATGCTCAGTCCTCGGAGTGCGATGGAAAAATCGTCTAAACCGGCCGTGGTCGAGTAATCAACCGCATTGATAAATGGATTGTCCGCAAACTCTCGAATAAAAGGGACCTGGTACACGAGTGACTCGACGAACTCTGGAAGCATGGGAAGATATTTAGTGGCACCTAGAGCTGCTATTATTATTTGCAAACGAGCACAGAAGATGGGTGACACTTACCTTGCCGTTGCTCGCGAAGCGCGACCAGAATACCCTGTGGTATGGCCGTACCTTCTCCAAACCGCACCTCTCTAACACGGGGTAAACACTGGCTAAGCATGACGAATGTTTCTGGCCTAACAGTGGATGTGATAAAGTCATGAAGAACCAATGTCGTTACGCATGACGGACGAGGAAAACCGTCAAGAGCATCTTCTGTCAACCTCATCAAGTACGGCATGAGTCTGCCCTCCAGCTTGAAGAACTGATCTATGGTCAAGGTCCTTGGGTCATCCAACAGTTCGTGATAAGGTCCATATCGATAGTACTCCTCGCGACCTGAGGCGATTGAAAGCTGGATACCGGGATGGTTTTCGTCCCACGAACACAGGATCTTGAATAGCTTCTGTAATGGCTCGAGCCATTTTCGCTGGTAGAAAGTGCGCCATTCGTCATGGGTTTTGACCATGCTACGCTCTTCAGCCTCATACTCTCTCCTATGATCCTGAGTCTCGCCCTGGAGAGCAGGGTCCCAGAGGATCTGCCGAATGTATTTCGCCCGGTGACAGGAAGTCTCGTCCGTCATCAAGGCCTCAAAGTCTTTAACGGAATCGCGCCTTCTTAGCACGATCTTTCTCCAGATGTGCCTTTCCACCACTGCCTGCCATTGACGGGAAACGACGCTATATGGTGCAAGCTGTAGGGAGCGCCATTCCTTTGCGAGCTCCCTAGGACCAGAGGGATTATTCGGTACCCCGAGGTAGAAGATAATGTTGTCGAGAATCTCTACTGGGAGAGAGATTGTATTCTCGGCGCCGTTCGAAAACATAGCATGCCCACCGGCCGGAGGCATGTCGTTTTCAGCACTATCCACAGACATTCGAGACATAATGCGACAGAAGCAGCAATCGCAGCACTGGCAGCCAAGACAACAGAATTCCAATTCGAGAACCAGATGTCGAAGTAGACAGGTTGAGAAGGGAATGAGAAGTCAAGAGTACTGCATCGATGGGACGAGGAGTGCAGGGTATTTATATCAGAAAGCCCGAAGAGATGGCGACTTGCGTGGGGAAGCTGTCACTGCCATGGTCACTGGAGAAACGACCAGCGATTCACTTTTGTGGTTCCTGAACTCCATCGACATTCACCAAGCAACTCGGTTGTTAGCCCTGAGCAGTGCCTGTCCCCAGCAGTAAACACATGCAAATCGAGCACTGCATCATAAGTAGAATGCCAAAATTTTCCAACACTATTGTTGCCATACTACTGGATCATTGAACCGGCATTTCGATTCCTACAAACTAGCCACTCATTCTTAGGCTATATGCCGATCGAGGAATCCTGTCCGGTCCAAGATGCCGGGTTCTCTGGCTTCGTACGAATAGCGCCGCCTTGGTCAATCCATGCCCTATGAATGGATAGGCAACCTGATCGGATTATAAGTGCATCAGGCAACAAGTCAGGCTCGTGATTATTGTCAACGGTCCTACATTATACCTACAGTTTCTGAGATCCCCTGTAAATTGAAGGAGTTTTGTTGTATACCTTGATTTGCAATGTGTTCATTCTGCCAGGTAAGCCTCAATTAAAAACAAATCATCACGCAATGAGGAAAGCTGCTCCTATGAAATACATAACAATCGTAGCTGCAGGCATTGAACCATGGACTGAAGCTTAGGTGACTAGGAAAGAATAATCGGTGAAGGTACATTTAATCGCCAAGATCAACACAAACATGAGCGGCTTCTTCAGGCTTCGGTGTGCAGGTCAGTCCTTCAATGCTATGCTTTACCAGCATGGCAACCAAGGCTTGCAGAGTGTAACGTGCATCGTTGCCAGCATTGTGCAAGTTCCAGCCAGTCATACCCAGCTCCCCAATGACTGCCCCAAGTGAGCGTGGCTCGGTCTCCCCGCGAAGCAGCTGGAAGGACGTTGCGGTGTCAATACGGTCCGCAAACTGAGAGGATCCTGACTTCCCCAGGATATGCACATTTGCGAGCTCGAGGAACTGAATATCAGACTCGAGGTTATGTCCCACAAGTACGAGAGGGCGGAGGTTCTTGTCAGGCCCGTCGAAGAAAGAAGGATGCGCGAAACAATCCTGTACTGCTTTCGAGATGTCGACTGATGCAACCCATTCACTGGTCCCGAATTCGAACTTGTCCGGGCAACCGCGGATATACAAGTGGTTCGCGTGGTTGGCGTACTCTTGTACTCGCAGATGGCGAGACTGAATGAGCGACTGCCACTGTTCGCCGTTCAAGCCCGGGGAAACACCAACAAGACTGCGGGTATCAAGAGTTGAGATGCCAATCTCTGTGACCTGTGAGTGGCTGCGTTCGTGCACTTCGACATCGAGGCTGATAAAGACGGGCTCAGTCCAAAACGGGTAGGGTACGGGCTTGTCGAAGGTAGGTTGCGGAGTTTCCACTGGCTGTTTATCCCACTGAATGTCAATAAGATCCAAGTGGTCTGAACGCAAGCCGAGGTAGCACTGTGAGCGCCTGATGGCACCACCAGTGTCCATGTCGCGCTGGACGCGGAGACGCTGCTTTTTGGCTTTAGACTTGGTCTTGGTCTTTGCCGATAAAGCATCTTCCATCATCTTCTCGAACGCCATCATCTCCTCCTTGTTCATATCGCCAGGTGTGATTCTGAGATTGCTTTCAACCGGAATAGTCCCCTCTAGGCGGTCTTTCATGTTTCGGTTGTCCGACTGTCCTAGAAAGGTCGGCTGAGGGAAACCCTCCCGGTTGAAATTGAGAACTAGCCCAGATGGAATGTTTTGGGAGCAGCTAAAACTCCTATTGATTTCACGAAAGAGCTTCCGGGCCTGGCATGTCGGGGCGAGCAGCAGAGGACGGCCGCCCAGACGATGAGGTGCATGAATGTAGTATCTAAGCACGTTGGCACTAGTTAGGTTGAGAGATAAGCAGAACTTACAGGTCCCATTGCCTATCCCAGAACTGACCCCTATCGAAGAACTTGCCTGCCACCTTCTGCATAAGTTCACCACGGATGTGATGGTACGGGAACCTAGACAATGCCACCAAGGGGCAGAAGGTGCCGTCGTGGGGACTGGGAACATCAGAGCCTTGGGCGGCTGTAATGGGCTCTTTTCCATCTGTAGTAGAGATGGTGAGCTTGGCCACTTGGTTGACAGTCTCCTCTAGCAGAGGAGGTGCCTGGTCAACGGCTGGCGGTGCTGCTGGCTTGAGAGAACGGAGACCAGTGTCAATCTGGAGGATAGCATCATCATCTTCGAACAGAAGTTTGAAGCGTTCCGCCGCGCCCATGATGCTGTTAACCGAGAGCTGTTGGCTTGAGATTAATGGATTCGAAGAGCTCGAGAATGAAAGGAGACGAGAGTGATGGGAAGAGAAGTCGAAGAAGCGGGGGACCTTCCTTCATGAAGAGACAAACAGAGAGTCAAGAAGGGAAAGTGACACAGCAAACACCTTGGGCAGCCTCCCTCTCTTCCCAAGCAGTCTACTGGTTTAGCGGGAACCTGAGACATGGTGAATGCTGGCATAACCAGCTGAGTGAGTGAAATTGATAGCAATAGCTGTTTTAGTGGTAAATTTGTCAATACATTTTTTCTGTCTTTATAAGTAAGATTTCACAGTAATCTTCAGTTCTATCAGGTCAGTCCTAAAGGGTGAGGCTTAGCAGCATCATTCCATTGGAGTTGTTCTTGCACAGTGTCCAGAGATGGCCTCGGAAGACTGCACTCACCAAAATGTATACAGAGAATGCGGACCGGAACAACAAAAGTCCGCACCTCCTGCGACAACACCGCGTCTCCTCATGCCCCCCAAGAGCACATCACCACGGTCGCTTTAGCTCCCAACATCCTCCTTCGTCGCTCTTGCTCATTCTGCGGTCGGCTCATGCTCTGATACCGAGACTCTCACCCATATGGCTGCACCGTCTCGCATGGTGCTGCCTACTGAGCCCTGACTACCTCCGCTCCCTTCCACGCTGACTCCCTACATCGACAACCCCCCGACGCCTTCATTTATTTTGTCGCTTTACTTGTCAGCTGGGATGGCGGAATTCAATGAAACGGGAGGCGTGATTCTGGATGGTCCATTTGACCCGGATGCCCAGGCCACAGTGACCGACTTTATCGATTACACCGAATACCTCCCTGCCGATTTGCTCCGATCCCTTACCCTCATTCGCGGCCTAGATAAGCGCTACTTGGACAGCGCGCAGGGTGTCCATGACCTCACCAAGAAGTACGGCCAACTCCCCGACCTCCCTCCCGAAACGCGTCCCGACCCGACTGCTCTGCGCAAAGATATCTCGGCCCAGCTTGACAGCGCTATCAATGCTCGCGAGTCGGCTTACGCCGAAGCCTGTCGTCTATACGATGTCGTCGATCGCCACTTCAACCGACTAGATTCGATCAGACAGAAGCTCGAAGCGCTACCCAAGCCTATCGAGCGCGAACCTACTCCTCCTCCACAGCCTCTTACAAACGCGAAGCGTCCTCGCACAACCAAAAAAGAAGATGCACCGACTACGACGACGCGAATCACACTGCGCTTGGATGGTGCGAGAGGCGACAAGAAGTCAAGGACGCGACGGTCTTTGGTTGCAGCAGATCATCTTGTGGGATTGCACCCCGACTCTCCAATTGCCAGTACCGAACACTCAGACAATGAGGTGGAACTCAAGCCGGCTCCTTTGGTACCTGTGACTCAGACCAAAAAGGAGAAACAAGCCCGACGTCCAAAGCCTTCCGGAGAGGCGACCAGCAGCTCGAGAGCATCTGCAGGCATGTCCACCAGCAGCGCTCTGGCGTTGCTGAAGCCTCCTCCAGAAGACGCGAAACCCGGAAGCGAAGATCTACCGTGGCTGCGTCTCACCGAATGGGAGATGACCAAACTTCGCAAGAAAATGAAGAAAAACGCGGTCTGGCAGCCAAGCGAAGTGATGATTCACCGCGAACTAGCGATTCGTGGCCGCGGATGGGAGGCATATCGGGCAGCCAAGGCGGAGGCCGAAGCCAATGGAACCGAATTTTTGGACTGCGACGACATTATGAACAATCATGTTCCGGGACTCCTGACCAAACCAAGCAATGGAAGCAAAGAGGTTGACGGCATCATGGAAATGAAACTGAGCAATCGAGGCATGAAGTTAAATGAAGCCAAAAAGCTGAAGCGCGAAAACCAGGCGAGGGAACAAGCCGCCTTAGCCGCTGCGGAGGCAGAAGCAGCCAAGAGCCTAGGTCAGCTTGGCTCCACCTCCCAAGGTTTTGTCTCCAACGGTGCTGATCGTCCGCAGGAGTCTTCGGCAGCGGACAAACCAAGCCGATTATTGAAGAAACGGAAAACCGAGACGAGCAGTCCACCAGCCCCGGAACCCGTCGCTCCACCAGAGGACGCTGAAATTGAAAGCCGACCTACGCGTAGTGCAGCAAAACGTCGAAAGACGGACAAAGGATCACCACCGGGCGAAGCTCCAACTCCGAAGGCAACAGAAGATGCGCCTGAAATTTCGCCTGAGATTGCACCTGGGAACGCGGCTGAGAATCCGTCTGAGAGCGCTTCTGACAACGCGTATGACAGAGCACCTGACATCGCGCCCGAGACTGCGGTTGATACTGTGCCTGAGCCCGCACTTGAGCTCGCACCTGAGATCAAGGTCGACTTGCCAACATCACCCAAAGCAGCAGCAGCTGTTCCGCCGCTTGTGACAAGATCCAAAGCAGGGGCCACCTCTACCACTTCAGCGCCATCAGAATCCCGACCCCCCTCGCGTGGAGTCTCCACAGCGACAGCAGAGCCTGTCCTGAATGCGGCAAGGGAACTGCGTCTAAAGAGTGCCACACCTGCAAGAAAAACACCAGTACCGGAAGGGTCTCGCGCACCGAGCGTCAGCGCACCCACTCGCCGCCGCAAGCGGCCCGCTCCGGGCCCAGTCTCAAATGGTCCAGACGGGGGCGCCGCAGTCAGCTATGGACGCCGCAAAGCCAAACCGGGCAAGAAGCGGGTAGGACCACGAGAGCCCGGTCTGAACATGGGACAAGACATCCGCATTGACGAAGATGGAGTGCTTGAAGAAATCGACCCCAATGAGCCGCGGTACTGTTTATGCGGAGACGTTAGCTTCGGCACGATGATCTGCTGTGAGAATCCAGACGTACGTATCTCCCTTTTTGTTTACTTTATCTCACTCTGGATTCTAATTGAAAGTGCCCAGTGTGACCGCGAATGGTTCCATCTCGACTGCGTCGGACTCTCCGAAGTCCCCAGCCGCACAGCGAAATGGTACTGTCCCGACTGCCGCGTCAAGTTTAACAAAGGCGCGCACGGAATCATCAAACCTAGCTCGCTGCGTCGGTGAAACGAGACTAGTAGATACGAGGCTACGAAGAATGCTGTTATTTCCTTTTTTTTCTTGCGCAAATTGATACATCATTTGGCGGCTTCTGGCGACTTCTGGGTTCTTGATCGCGCGGCATGGCATACATAGCATGGCATGGCGGGGCGGGGCGCGGTAAACATGGCTGGCTGGCGCTCGGAGTTGTTGTCTGTCTACGATCCTACATTGCATATCTTTCGGCTTTAACATCATACAGACCTTGTCCAAGGCCACGGAAAGGCGGTATTTAGGTACTGGAATTACACTCATCATTTACTCTCATATATTTTCCAAAATCCTTAGATGCCTACAAGTATATACAAGTCTCAAGCCCTTGTGCACTAGGGTGCTCGTTCACTTGAGCACCCACTTTCCGCCCTCCTCACTAATCTCAACAGCCCTCTTCTCATCCAAACTCAGGCGTCCCGCATGCAGAATCGCCGTCGTAGCAATGGTGTTCTTGAGGGTTGGCAGCGGCCTCTTGTCCAGGTCATCCAGGGTTACTTTGCCCTCGTTCAGCGCTGTGATCGCATCAATGAACTTCTCGAAACTGATGTAGCCGTAGCCGGTCTGCCCGCCAAAGTTGCCTTCTTCGTCGGGGGCGTAGCGCATGTAGAATCTGGTTGGAAGTGACGTTAGAATGGTGTTATGGAAAGGGAAGGGAATGAGAGGAAAGGACGTACGGGTTGATCCAGGCTAGGCCGGAGTCGTCGCCTGTTACGTCGTAGCCGCGTTTGGCTTGGTTGATGCGGACTTCGCCATTGGCGCCCATGTCTGTTTATGCTGTTAGTAACTCGCCTGGAAATAGGAAGGTTGGTGCGTGATGCGAGAACGTACAGTGGAAGTACTGGTTCGAATGAACGCCCGCCTTCTGCGGCGCGGTCCAAGAAGCCGTGTACACACCCGTTGCGACCTTCCCAGGCTGCGTCTTATGCTTCCAATCCACCAGCAGAGTAATCGTGTCCTCTGTCTCAGGTACACAGCCCAACTCAACCGCCGTCCCCGTCGACGCACTCGCATTCACCCGGACAGGCGTGTACTCATCGCTGACCATCGAGTCACAGATATCAACGTGGTGGCTGTTCAGGTAGTACGAGATATCACTCTCCTTGCCGGCCCAGGCCTTGAACGTCTCCAGCTGGAACTTCGGCTGGCTCATGTACGAGTAGAAGTAGTTGAAGTCGCCGAGGGTCTTTGCCTTGGCGCGGGCATCCGAGTAAGCGGGGTCGAAGCGCTTGTGGTGCTCGACGAAGACGAAGACGTTGTGTTTGCGGGCGGCCTCGAGGAGCTCGATGTGTTCGGGAAGAGTCTTGACGGCGGGTTTGGTCACGAGGACGTGGATCCCGCGCTCGATGGCGTAGAGCGCGATGGGGAAGTGTGTTGGGTCGGGGGTGAAGATTGTGATTGCGGAGCCCTTGGGGAGGGCGTCGATGGCGGGCTTGTAGGCGTCTGGGTCGGTGGTGTCGTCGGAGGGGTAGGAGGTGAAGGCTGTGTCGAGGTTGTTGTAGACTTGGGTGATGTTTTTGTGGAGGTGCTCGCCTGTTGCGATTGTTAGTCAAGTCGCCTACTTTGAAGAAAGAGAATGGGCCGTACGGATGCCAGGGAACTTGCGCCCTGAGACGCCGACCATGCTGAGATCGCCTACTTTGCCCCGACGGCGGAGATCAAACAGACTCAAACCAACGACGCCAACTTTCTTGTCTGAGCCTGAGGCGGCACCGCCGACGTAGCCGGTGGTGTACTCGCCGGTGCCGACCATCAACACGCTAGGAGGGGCCATTTTGAAGCTTTGCAGTCGAATTGGGAGAGCTGGATAGGTAGGGTTGAGGGGAGGAGGGGTGAGGGGAAGCAGGGAACGGCGACAGAAGAGGGGCGGGCAACGCGCAAATATACTCCGGCGAGCGCGACAACCTTGTGGATTATAATGGATTGTAATACAAATACTGAGCCGGAAGAATCAGTCCAGGCCGCAAGTCTGCCTTGAATTGCCGGGAATCACAGCGATGGCCTCCATTTCAATGACGAACGTTGATAGAGTCGGCATTTGATGGCCCGAGCGCAAAGGGGAAAGTCCGTTGCCGATTGGTGGAAATTCCGCGTCCGGCGCCTTCTCCGGGTGAAAGGTGGAGACTCGTGGGATGAATTGCCCGCTAGGCCGGATCTGGTGCAGGGCGTGGGGTGGGCCGTTACTATACAGTCCAGGTGTATGCCCCTCTTCTGCTTTATATAGCGGCCCTCACGCCATTGCGCTCTTGCTCCATCCTCTGTATAATCTTCTCTGCACGCCTGTACAGTCAAAAGCTCAGTCAAAATGGCACCCACTCCTCTCCGCCCCGGAGTCTACGCTCCAACAATGACGTTCTTCGACCCCTCCACTGAAGACCTCGACGTGCCCACAATTCGCAAGCACGCCGTGCGCCTCGCAAAGGCCGGCCTCGTCGGCCTCGTCGCCATGGGCTCCAACGGAGAAGCCGTGCATCTGACTCTCGAAGAGAAGCAGACCGTCATCCGCGAGACCCGGTCCGCTCTCGACGAGGCCAACTTCAAGGACGTCCCCGTTATCGCCGGTGCCTCTGAGAATAGCATCCGAGGCACTATCCAATTAACGAAAGACCTTGCTGCCGCGGGCGCAGAGTACGCGCTTATCGTCCCACCTAGCTACTACCGCTATGCGACGGGGAATGACGAGACACTGTACGAGTACTTTACAGCTGTCGCGGATGAGTCGCCCCTCCCTCTGATCCTCTACAACTACCCCGGAGCCGTCGCGGGTATTGACATGGACTCGGACCTCATCATTCGCATCTCGCAGCACCCGAACGTTGTGGGAACCAAGTTTACCTGTGCGAACACGGGCAAGTTGACCCGTGTCGCGCGCGCTTTGCACGCAATCAAACCAGAGTCGCCGCTTGCGCCAGCCAAATCCTCTGTGCCTGTTACCAAGACGACTGCCAACCACCCGTATGTCGCCTTCGGCGGTATTGCGGACTTCACGCTGCAGACCTTGGTGTCTGGTGGATCTGCCATCCTGGCAGGTGGTGCCAATGTTATTCCCAAGTTATGTGTGAAGGTGTTTACCTTGTGGAGCGAGGGAAAGATCACCGAGGCGATAGAGGCGCAGAGCTTGCTTAGCCAGGCCGACTGGGTGTTGACCAAGGCTGCCATCCCCGGGACAAAGAGTGCCATCCAATCCTACTACGGATATGGCGGGTATCCTCGCCGGCCATTGGGGCGGCTTAGTGATGCGCAGGTCAAGGCTGTTGCAGATGGGATCAAAGAAGCTTTGGAGGTCGAGCTTTCCTTGCCTGACGTTGCTTAGACAATAATACATTTCTCATTCCGTTCAAGACTCTCTTCCTAATTCAAATGTAGTAAATAAGCTGTACTCCGTAGGCTGTTGGGGTAAGTTTGTGCAACTGTCTCACATCGGCGTCAACTCCGAGGATTGCCCCAGACTGCCTCCACCCCGCACTGTCATCTGCGCAGTGGGTACCACCAGATGCTTGATGATAGGTGGATAAATTATTCCGCAGCACAGGTATGATTAATCCGCGAATCACTGAAGTGCAACATTCCCAGTATAGGTAAAGAGGGGTATATCGACAACAGTGTATTCCGTAGAGCACCATGGGTATGATATGAATAGCAATTGTTGTGTATAGAAAGTCGCCTCTTGTCAGTAAGTTCAAAGCGCGAAGCCTGGTAATGCGTGTAGGGTGTCAAGTTCATTTTGGGTTAACTTATCAGTTGACTCAGTTTTAACAGATTGAGCAGCTTGAAGGACACGAGAAATGTCGGCGGAGTCAGATCGAGGCCCGGATACAGTCACGAGAAGATCGAGGTGCCATTGGAAGCACCCCCACTCCCAAAGGCTGAAAGTGTATTTTATCTTCCGTTGAGGTTGGGGACTGGAGGCAGGTGATAAATATCCGTTGGTGCCCGAGGAGGATCGTCTGTCATCCGGTTCGACCACAATTTTCTGCCCAGTCCTGATACCAATCAGAAGCAACATGCCGTACCCCGAGGAAGCTGAAGGATTCCAGGTCGACAGCCCGGATACTTATACCGACTTCAAAAAGCGCTTTGTAAGTCTTCGGAGCACCGTCCGCTGGAGGGAAAATTGATTAACGGGTTGTGTAGTTCAAGTTGAAACCGTTCGGCGACTATGGTAAGCGGATTCAGGAATCGTATTTGACTAAACTGACGAAATAGATGTCGATGTCAAGATAGAAGCGTGCGGTGTGTGTGGTAGCGATGTACACACCATAAGCGGTATGTAGACTGAGCTTCCTTCCACGGCAACCTAATGACAGTCATAGGTGGCTGGGGATCCCAGAAATTCCCCCTCTGCGTCGGACATGGTACGATTCCCCAGAGTCGAGCAATGGATGAGACTAACAGACCAGAAATCATCGGCCGTGCCGTCCGCGTTGGCCCCAAGGTGACTCTGATCAAAGAAGGCGAGCGTGTCGGCGTTGGCGCCCAATCGTATTCCTGCGGCGAGTGCAAACAGTGTAAGAACGATAACGAGACATACTGTCCAGTGCTCATGATCGACACGTACGGTGCTGAGTGGCCCGACACTGGAATTGTCAGCCAGGGCGGGTACTCGTCGCATGTCCGCACCCACGAGCACTGGGTGTTTCCCATCCCCGACGCCCTGGAATCAAACCTTGTCGCGCCGATGCTGTGCGCCGGACTCACTGCGTACTCACCTCTGGTCCGTAATGGCGCTGGACCCGGCAAGAAGGTCGGTATTGTTGGTCTCGGTGGAATCGGACATTTTGGTATCATGTTCGCCAAAGCCCTGGGCGCGGAGACTTGGGCAATCTCGCGATCGCGGGCCAAGGAAGCAGATGCACGAAAACTGGGAGCCGACGGCTACATTGCTACCGCGGAGGAGGGCTGGGAGAAGCCTCATCTTTGCTCCTTTGACTTGATCATCAATTGTGCAAACTCATCCGAGGGCTTTGACCTGGAAAAGTACCTCTCCATGATGGATGTCCACGGCAGATGGATTAGCGTAGGGCTGCCGGAAGAGGAGGGACAAGTGATCAAAGCGCAGAATCTAATTTCCAATGGTGTGTTGATCGGCGCCAGTCACCTTGGAAGTCGCCGTGAGATGTTGGCGATGCTGCAGCTTGCGGCTGAAAAGGGGCTGAAGGGCTGGGTGGAAGAATTGCAAATCGGCCCCGAAGGGCTGCGAGAAGCAATGGAGCGGATGAAGAAGGGAGACGTGCACTACCGCTTCACAATGACGGGATATGACAAGGTCTTTGCATAGTCGCTCGGAAACCAAGGTACTCGGTCGGGGCTCAGAAGGTCCTCGATAAGAAAAGGCTCGTGCTCCGGCGTCGGAGTTCTACGGAGTAATTTCCAAGTCTGGGGAAGTGGATCGTGATTCGTGATAAGGTGGATGGATCTGCCGGCCGGACCTGCGCCTGGGCTTTTTGGAGATTCAAATTTCAGATCCAGGGACTCGATTTGGGACTGGAAGAATATGCAACAATAGTAACAATGAATGAGCGCTTTCAGCACAGGCACAATCCGTAGATTCACTTTAAGCCTTGGATAAATTTAAGCTCTCAGCTTATTAATAGCATTTCCTGACAAAGACTCTGGTTCTCGTGGCCACATACGAAATCAACGCCTCACCGCCCCGGATTTGCCCCAGTCAGTCAGCAGCACGCCCGATTTTCATCCTCTTCAGGCGTTTGCCCATAACTTTTTTTCTCCTCCCTTATCTATCCACCATCGCCTCTCTCTCTCTTTTGTACATTGCTTACCGTCTCTCCCTTCATATCTTCCCTCGTTGACGCTTCAATTCCTCTTCTATTGTGTTCTTATACATGTTCAATCATCTTATTTACCTTTCCTACTAGTATATACTTCAACCTTCTCCGACGCGTCTTTCATCCAACTTTTCAGCCCCTGGAATTATTATTTTTTCGTTAATTTCTTTTTCATTCTTGATACCCGGGCTATTAGACATACACGCCCCTTGCTTTTCATTTCTTAACCTACGACTACCCCTAGACTCGTGTCTTCCGGAGAAAAGGGGTCTCTTATCAACACTCGCTCCGCAAAAGACCCCAACTTTTCTGCGCCTAAATTATCCTAGCTTTACGTCAATCGGCTGGCATCTCCGCTCACGATGGCTCCACGAGAGAACATTGCCACTTCCTCCCACCGACGACGCCCGTCAGTCCCCTTCAAATCCCGACCGAGGACCGCAACAGTATCGGCCTTACCCACAACTCCAGTTTCCGGGCTAGATCATGATGTCTGGAACGGTTTGCCCCTTGTGGATTCGGGGGACGATATGGAAGGGCCTGTTCTGTATGATGTGAAGCCATTTCCCGAACAGACTGGCAGACGTCGCAGCGCAAAGAGTTTCTCGGGTCTACGTCACTCAGTTGATGGACTACGCGCGCTTGGTCGTCGCTTGTCAGTTACCCTTCGCAACAAATCATCCCGCACTCCCAACCCTCCTTCTCAGAATGAGTCCGAGATTGAGACTCTTAAACTTCGAAATGGCCAGGAATCTGGCTATGATCGCCCCAAGAGTGTTCCTGCTTTCCAGGGCTTCGCTATCCCGCTACCGATTCCTGGAAATGGATCGGAGCCTCCAATTCTGCCAAACCACATGTACTCTGGGGCCGCCGCCCGAGCAGCCGCAGCGGCCCAGAATGAAATGGCACGCAAGGTGGAGCAAATGAAGCTTACTCAGGACTCGGAGAGTGGAATTGGCATCATTCTCCAAGATCGCTTTGACGACTCGGATGCCGAAACTGATTTCGTTCGCGTTGACCCTGCGGTCGCCTTCCCAACAGAGATTATGGCTAACGTTCTCTCGTTCCTCGACCCTGAGTCGTTGATGAACAGTGGGTTGGTTTCACGCGCTTGGAGCGAGCAGGTCTCCTCTCAGCATGTATGGCGCGATGTATTCCGCTCTCACTATGGCGGACGCGGGTACACAGGGACTGGTAAACAGCCTGCTGCTGGGCTGGGCAAGCAATTTTTCCAACAGGATTGGAAGCACCTTTATAAAATCCGCCGTGAATTGGAGAACCGATGGAAGGAGGGCAAAGCAGCAGCAGTCTACCTCCAGGGTCATACAGACAGTGTCTACTGCGTTCAATTTGATGAGTATGTCTTAATTATCTCCCGTCTGCTTTGAAACCGTCACTCATATACATGCAGGGATAAGATCATTACTGGTTCGCGCGATCGAACAATCCGCGTTTGGGACGCTCACTATCCCTGGGCCTGTCGCAAAATCATTGGGCCAGCGCCGGGAGAGATTGTCAACCGCGGCCCGCTCTATGACCCGGAGCAGCAGGCATCGGGGAGTTCGCCGCTTCTTACCATTCGCCCTCCCCCCGCGTGTGCTGCAGAAATAGCGACTATTCATGAGAAACCGTCAGACTACCACGGCGCCTCCATTCTGTGCCTTCAGTTTGACGACGAAATCATGGTTACCGGGTCTTCTGACCATACTTGCATAGTGTGGGATATCAAGAATGACTATAAACCCATTCGTCGTCTAGAGGGTCACACAGCTGGAGTACTGGATGTCTGCTTTGACCATCGTTATATTGTGTCTTGCTCCAAGGACAACTCAATTTGCGTCTGGGATCGATCCTCCGGGCTTTTGGCGAAGAAATTGCTTGGCCATAAGGGCCCGGTCAACGCCGTCCAACTACGTGGTGATCTCATCGTCTCTGCCAGCGGAGACGGCGTCGCAAAGTTGTGGAACGTTACCTCCGGTCTGTGTGTGAAAGAGTTCTCCAGCAAAGACAGAGGCCTTGCGTGTGTCGAATTTAGCGATGATGCGCGGTCGGTTCTCACCGGCGGCAATGACCGAGCGATCTATCAGTTTGACGCGAACACCGGTCAGCTTGTCAAAAAGATCAAGGGACACTCTGGCTTGGTTCGGTCCTTGCATCTCGACAACGTGAATCGGCGGATTGTCAGTGGGAGCTACGACATGAGCGTTAAAATTTTCGACGCCCAGGCCGGGGAGCTCTCTGTGAATCTCCCCGGCTGGACTACCAGTTGGATGTTGAGCGTGAAGTCGGACTATAGACGCATTGTTGCGACTAGTCAAGACTCACGCGCGGTTATAATGGACTTTGGATATGGATTAGATGGCGTTGATTTACTGGAAAGCTAGACAGCATCTATACTAGATCCTTGGCATATTGTGCGGCTCTGAGACAAAGGTCATAGATTCATAGAAGATTTTCTTTGTGTCGGCTTTTTGCTTCTTTTTCAATCATTTCGTTGGTTAGCGATAGATATACTCTTGGCGTTAGAATTTGACATATTATTCTTGTCTTGCTACTGTACCTATTGGCATAAAACCATGGATCCCAGAGGTTTCCGTAGCCCTCAGGGTTTGATTACTATCTCTTTTCAACAACCTCTTAAGTAATCGTACATTATCCCCATCACCATTGTAAAACCGAACAAACCACAACGTATACTTCTGCCCTGGTATCTCCGTCTACATAGCCGCAAAGTCATCGTGCGCACTAACATGATAACATTCCGTCCTGCCGCTCCCAGTCCCAAAAATATATCAAGCCTGTTGTTGCGGTTGAAGTACAGCGTGATTGTCTTGTTGTTATGCTACATGTACAAGCCGCAATCTGAGCATGTTTATATGTGTATCCAACTTCATATGCTCTTTGTAGAGGCTTTGGAGTCCAGATGCACATTATGTAGACACCTAAAGTTCTTTCGACACCTGAAGTTCATCGAGAACAGATCGCTGCCTCATGACTAAGGTGTCTTTTGTCTGAGCGGAACCTGGCGGTGATTGGCCAGGAGACTTAGCGTCAACAAAGACGTTTCGACAGAAGAACGGAGAACAACAACAAATCTCATTTTCTACCTTGCTATCTATTCGTCTTAGACGATATACCAACACACAAAACAGTTAATCCTGGTCGTACCCAGCGACGCTTATATCCGTCAATCTTTTCCTTCCATCCTTACACATCCCCGCCAGGCTCACCTTCCCCCCCAAATCCTACCCCACCATGGGCGAATCCAGGTTCGTCAGATCCCGGCCTCTTTTCGATATACCAGGGTTACCGGACGGATGCTGATGGATTGTCGTCTGGAATATAGACAGGAACTGCTAGCATGGCTCAACAACCTGCTGCAGCTGAACATGACCAAGATCGAACAGTGCGGAACCGGGTACGAGCGAACCCCTTGCCCTGCAACTATCCTTCTCCAATGGTTTTACGCCTCAATGAAGTGATGATCGAATCAGCGGTCAACTTGCTGACAGTCAGGCCTGCAGAGCTGCGCTATGCCAGATTTTCGACTCCATTTTCAGTGAGTGACCCTTTGAGGGAGCGGGCAGGCATTGAGCGGAAACTGACATATTATTGCGTCAACAGTGGACGTCCCTATGTCGCGAGTAAAGTTCAACGTTAACAGCGAATACGCTTATCTCCAAAACTTCAAGGTCCTGCAGAGTACGTTACACATTCGCCGATAATGCAGTCCCGCCGCTAATCCGCTCTTTTTACAGACGTTTTCGCGAAGCACCAAGTCGACAAGCCGATTCCCGTCGAGTCGCTCTCCAAATGCCGAATGCAGGATAACTTGGAGTTCCTCCAGTGGACAAAGAAGTACTGGGATCAACATTACCCGGGCGGAGACTACGATGCGCTCGCCCGCCGAAAGGCCTCCGGCGCACCCTCCGCCTCCGCGGGTGGTTCGCGTGCAGGCGCAAGCTCTGCTAGCAGTGCCCGACGTGGAACCACTCCCACTGTTGGACGCGCACGACCTGCTGCTGGAGGAGCCAGCTCTGCTACTGTCGCTGCGCTGCAGGCGGAGATCAACTCGAACAAGGAGGCGATTAGTGGATTGGAGAAGGAGCGCGACTTTTACTTTGCCAAGCTTCGGGACATCGAGCTGCTGCTCCAGAGTGCGGTTGAGGCGGACCCAGAACTGGAGAAGGATGATGATTCACTAGTGAAGCACATCCAGGGCATTCTTTACTCGACAGAGGTATGATGGCAGAATTAGACTTTGAGATCAGGGCACTGACCACTTTATAGGAAGGATTTGAGATTCCCGAGGGCGAGGCCCCGGGTGATGAGCTGGAGACGTTCTGAGGCAGCTAGCCTATTAATACCCTTCATCTTACAGCGCTGAAATCAAATTACCCTTGCACATTCCTGGCGAGTCTTTTTTAATCTGTCTGTTTGGATCATGGACCGTGGGGTCAGGTCTAGAGGTGCATGGTTAGTAGTCGAGAGACGCGTTGCTGGCTTGTATAATTGGATGAATGAGATTATCCTCGCCCATCTAAGCATGCTCGGATAAGGCTGAACTGAAGCATTCCTATCGCCGAGTCCACGGTACAGTGTCACATTCCTCATCACGGATCTACCCTCTCGATCTAGTCTACGTCTACGACCTCGGGAGCAAGTATACTACCCTGACGTCAGCATCGGAAGAGGTGTCGTAGCACGAAAGATCGAGGCTATATTGTACCTCGATATGATAATAAGCTGATTAATTCGGTACCTTGCATGTTTGTTTACTCGCCCCTTGCAGTCACACAGCGCCTGTGAGGTCTCACCGAAGTGTCTGACGGTGGTGGGGATCCCAATTTTGGTAGTTGCCCAGAACATTCGAGTGCGACGCACCCGTGGAACAGCTGGCCTGTTTCGACTCAGCACACCAGGCCAGGTTCTTCAGGTTAACAGGCAGCTGTGGCATGGTTCGATTCTGCAGCGTCCGTTGAAGAGAACGAGGAAGTGAAACTGCTCTGCGACCCGCTCTCCGCTCTGCGAGCTAAAGTGGTTAGTCTGTCTTAAGTCTGCAAGTCTAAGACCGTCATCTCATTTAATTACGGAGCCAGTCTGAGCGTTCGCCGTTGTTATTCTTAGCCTCCTTTTCCTGTTCCTGAACCGCCCTCGTCTCCTCTTTCCCGTCTTCCCTCTCAACTTTTCCCGTCCTTTTCTTTTCTCCTCCAGCGCTTCTCGTTCTCTTCTCCGGCCCTATTGTTAGTCTACCAGCACAAAGGCATCTCAGTTGTTGGCGGATTGATTCACGCCACACGAGATAGTGACAACTGTTGGGCCAGGACCGGAACCTTGGGTCTGGCGAGTCAACGTGGAGCCTCGCCCACTGACACCTGCGACCTGGAACACTCGGAACGGAATGAAATACCACCCGTTGCCATCTGACGGCGAAGATTCATGATGGCCTAGTCTTGACGACTCTTGATACTTCACTACGATCATTCGACTCTTTGTATGTTTCACCCAGATGGTTCATCCCATGGCTCCTGCTAGGTAGCCGAGACCTCCACTAACTCATGGCATGTTTCTGGTTAGATCGCATGTTGATTCGCTCCCCCAAGCCAAGCTAGTTCTTTGTCGACAGCCACTGTTTGCTGCTCGATGTCCGCTCCTTGACCTACCTCACACCTGCAACTACTCCAAAGTCATTGTTCGCATCGCTCCTTGACCTCTTTCGGTTCGATTTCACTATCTTGCTTTATCGGATACCCAGTTGCTATCATCACATCGCTTCGACTCGACGACGCTCCTTGAAACACTACTATTCGCATCACATCGCAATCATTGGCCTCAACGACGGCCAATACGAGTGTCGGCAGGCAGACATCTCGTTAAATTCTATCACATTCTTTCTCACTGCGCAGCGTCGCCTTCTTGCTCCCACGGCGGCTAGGTGAATAGCCAACATGACCACCCATGGTACCTCTAGACATGGTCGGTACGAACGATTGATACGGAAACACCGGCTAGAAACACAGGAATATGGGCAAGGATCAACGTTGGATCATGCAAAAACCGGTCCCAAGCAGAAATCGCATTCGAAGAATCTACACGAGCGATGGCTGGACCTGCATGGGAAACGACAATACGCGCCCAATTCGTCCACGACTGTAACACAAGCCGATCCGCAAACCACGGCCACCACCGACGCCGAACCAGTTCCAGCTACCACGACGCAAGTTCCTGAAACAACGTCAGCGTCTGAACCCACTGCTGTATCCTCTGATTCGGATCAGCAAACGACACAGCTGCCTGCCACTGGTGCGTCAGATGACGCATCGACTACAGTGACAGCAGTAACTACAATCACCACGATAGTTTCATATTCTCCGGATCCAACGACGGAATCGGGGATTGAACTGACAACCTCAGTAGCAGACCATACTGCGGTAGCAGCCACCGTTGAAAATGCATCGGGAGATCGGTCGACAACAGTGGCCACGGCACCTTCAGAGTCTGCAACTGCTCTCTCCACAGAGTTGGCTTCTGAAGAGGCTGCAGCTAGTATATCATCAGGAGCGGCTGCCGCGGATACGTCCACTGTACCGCTGACCGAACCCACAGAGTCCGTGACTGCTGTGGCATCAATATCAGAAGCGCTGTCATCGGCCGTGACCGAAGTCTCTGGGATAATTGCGTCACTTACCTCTGATATTGAGAGCCTATCCGCACCGACAGTATCTATCTCCGTCCCTACCACGTCTCCGACCACTTCCGCGACTGTCTCTACGTCCGCTGCCATAATCGGCCAGTCGTCCGGTTCTCCAAATGCCACTCCCGTGTTTCAAGGGTCGAGCCTTGATCTTCCCACTGCCGTGGTCTCTACTCAATCACCGGTTGCCACTCAAGATATTATGGGCATTGGATCTGGTGACGGTTCCAACTCTAGCTCCGACATCAACACAAATCCTACAAGTACTTCAATTGCCTCCGATTCTTCTTCCTCAAGTACGACCACCACTTCTCAGTCACATACATCGTATTCCGATTCACCATCCTATTATGGCGGCTACGGTTCTGGCGATGGCAGTACCTCAGAGCCCACAGGGACCACAGACGGCTCAGCTGTTTCACCGGATTCAAACGACACAGGATCTAGCACAATGAGCCCTCAAACCACCGGTAAAATTGTTGGGGGTGTTGTGGGAGGCGTGGCCGGCTTTTCGCTATTGTTCTTGTTGATCTGGTTCCTGCTGCGGCGGCGCAGGAAAACTGGTTTCTTCCTTGGATCACCCGCCAATAGGTCAATAGCAGACGACGGAGGCGTCGACGGCGGTCTTATTGGGGCTGGCGCCACGAGAGAAATGGCTTCGCGTGACTCCAACACGCACTCAATGTTCGGAGCTGCATACTTTGCCCCGGCATTCATGAAACGCTGGCGGCAGTCTCAGATATCCACCGGCGAAGAGAGCTTCGTGAGCACGACTCCTAGTAGCGAGCGTGGGTTTCAGAAGATCGCAGGCCGCAAACTCCCATCCGGTACCCAGCCAGGTTATGATTACGGCAATGGGAGCCTATCGCCGACAGAATCTGAAATCAGTGCTACATTTCCACCAATCATCCCTAGATCAGCATTCTCGCCATCACAACCGCCACCGTCAAATCCGTTCAGCATGCCGCTGGATACGAGTTTCACCCGCGAAGCACCGGAGGAGGGCGTTCCCGTAATGCGACCGTCTCCAGCGCGGATACCAACATCGGGCTCAGCGAATGCGACAACGTGGGCTGAGGCGAGTGCGCGGTCAGTGCCCATGCCTTACACTATGACGCCGTCTGGTCCGATAGCAATACCGAAACGGCCGGATGCGCTAGGACGCAGTCATCCGAGTTTCGATGGGAGTCGCGGGAGTCGCTTTACGGAGAGTTTATGATCTGACCGGGAGTAAATAACTATCATGTAATGTAAATAGTGATACCATGTAGGCATTTAATTGTTGAAGATGCCTTGAGCTGTCAACTGTAGGAGTACGCTGTAGGCCTAGACTTCTCCAGTTGAAGATCGGCATTTATCTCCATCATTATGTAAGGATTCTTGTTCCTATTGATCGATTCAAGATTCTGATAAGCCTTAGCCACTAAGCTAACAGACACGGCATGCCGCCGCCTTGCCGGCGCGCATAAGACAGCAAAGCTTTTCGCTTCAAGTGGGGGTTCAAAGCTTAGCGTCCTGTTCGCGTCTTGTTGTCAGACTCGTCAATGGTCTCTTTATCAAAAAGGCCCTCCGCGGACCGCGGAGATGAGGACCGGAAGCCTAGATTCCAACAACTAAGGCAAAGATCTTTGCTTGCGGACCGCGTCCGAAGACCCTCCACTCCACAGGTGACAGAACACACAAATCAAGATAACCGATTTTATCAATCCCGATTACTTGATTCTGATCAGCAGCAGATAAATACTTGGCCAAGCCCTCAGACCACGATGGGAGTTCAAGCATCAAAAACCTACGGCAATTGCGCTTCGCCATGGCCATCGCAGACAACCCCCCGGACAGCCACACCAAGGCTGAGGAAACGGTCGTCGCAGACCATGAAATCGAACAGCAGAAGCCGTACCGTCCTGCGCGGTGGCAGAGTAACCTGACGATCCTGAGTTGTGTCAGTGCTCCTCACCCACAAAAGCACCGACCCTCGAATAGCCATACTGACAATTGCTTAGTACATCGCGAACTTCAGCGACGGCTTCCAAAACGGCCTCGCGAATCCCACAAATGTCATTTTCAAGCACCTGCTGGGAAGCTCGGGGTACCCGTCTGAGATGCAGACGCGGATCAGTAACTCGTTGATTATTGGCGCAATTCTCGGTGTCGTCGTCCTGGGGTATGTTTCGGACATGGTCTCGCGACGAGCGGGCCTTGTCTTTACGTCGGGACTGGTCACTATTAGCACGTTGATGGCTGCGCTGGCGCTGCAGGTGCACCCTTCGCACAACATGCTGTGGTTCATGGTCATTGTGCGTGGAATCTGTGGATTCGGTGTTGGGGGCGAATATCCGCCCAGTGCGGCGGCTGGGTTGGAAGAGTCGGACGATGTAAGCCCCTTTGGGTCTTCAAAATCATGAAGTATATGCTAATAGGAGCAGTTCAAACGCCGCTACCGCGGCCCTGTCTTCGTCTCGTTCACGACGCTCATGGCAACGCTCGCCTCGCCAATCCTGCAAATCATCTACCTGATCAGCCTGAAAGCAAGCAACAACAACCTGCACATCACATTCCATGCCATCTACTCTATCGCCACGATCCTCCCTTTCACGATCATGCTGCTGCGATTCTTCATGGCCGACTCAACACTCTACCACAACTCCAACTTCAAGAGCAGTCCGCAGAACCGCTCCTGGCGCTTCTACCTCCTGCTCGTCCGCCGCTACTGGCCCCGTCTCCTGACTACGTCCACCGCATTCTTCCTGTACGACTTCATCAACTTTCCCAACAGCATCATGTCCAGTACCATCATCTCGTCTTTGGTCACAGATAGCAACATCCAAACAACCGCCATCTGGCAGGTGATTCTTGCAGTCCTCCCAGTCCCCGGCGTTGTGCTGGGCGCATATCTCACGAACGCTATCGGTCGCCGCAACACCGGTATCGCTGGCTTTGCGGGGTACACGGTAACGGGCTTTATTATCGGCGGATGCTTCCACAAGCTCTCGCAGCACATGGCTGCGTTTGTGGTTCTGTACGGCCTCCTCAATGCGTTTGGGCACATGGGGCCCGGTGCTACCATTGGCTTGATTTCGTCCGAGTCTTTTCCCACAGCAATGCGCGGTATGGGGTATAGTGTTGCGCTTGCTTTTGGACGAACAGGTGCAGCGGTGGGAACGCAGTGCTTTACGCCGTTGAGAGAGCGAGGAGGTGATAGTGCGACGTTTTATCTGGCGGGTGGTGTGGCGGTTTTGGGTATGATTGTATATTGGTTTTTGCCGGAGAGTGGCGAGTTGGATCTTGAGGAGGAAGATAGGAAGCTTGAGGGGTATTTGAGGGAGAATGGGGTTGTTATGGGATGATAAACCGGGTTTGAAAGGGGAAAGACTGGCTTGAGTCTGAATGGGTCTATCATCTTTAACTCAGTCAGTCAATATAACCCTCCAAGCACAATGTATACCTTGTCTGTTTGAGAGAGCCATACGAATGATACTCAACCCCAAGGCGTTGAATTCATGATGCCGTCTGATGTTCTTCTGATTGCTGACGTTCTGGGCAGCTGCAATGGGCTACTTATTCCACGGCTTTAGGCCTGGTTTGAGAAGTCAACGAGATACTAGTTGAACACGGCTGCCTCGGTCATAAGTTTGGTAAGGTTCTCGAGAGAGGGAAGGTTCATCGGTCATACTTCAGTTGCTGCCGCAGAGCACTATAAGAGAAGCGAGCGAGGGAAGCCGCGGGGCCTGGTCTCCCACCCAAGATCTTTTGCTTCTCACTTCCGTCCATCCTTCATCCCTCAACTCTGTCCCCTCCTTCCAACCTCATCATCTCTCCGTTCATCTTCAAGCCATCGAGCTGGTGACATGCATCCCTGTCTCTGGTCACCATGGCTTTTCCTTTTAGGAAGAGAGACATCGAGAAAGCCTTCTTTGGCCTCGACCTCAACGACGACAAGCCCGGGACCAAGTCCAAGTCCTCGTCTGCTTCAACCAACGCCCCGAAACCGAAGCAAGGTCACCGTAACCCTCTTGAGACTATAACCAACCAAGCTTTGAACGACGAGAACAAGCCTAACACATCCATCAATTCCTCATATGCTTCAAAGGGCACTACGAAGCTGAAGACCACCAACAAGGCTCCTTCCAAGGTAAGTACGATAAGCCTCCAGCGGCAAGAACTAGCTTAACAAGAACTTCAAGCCCTCGTCTACCTCGGTCAACTCTATGATGTCCGAGCCGGCCCTTAATACTCCTCCCAATACCAAGCCCGATCAGACTTTCAACTTCCTAGGACTCCCTCTCGAGGTCCGTCGTCGAGTCTACAACTTCCTGCTCTTCAGCCGTCATTCTGCAGCCGACATCCCTAAAGATAGAGCCAGGATCACCAGCGAGAAACTGATTTTTCTGGAACAAAGCCCCCCACAGGATCTGTACCAACCCGGAAAAGTCAAGAGCCTGCACACAGCAATCCTTCGCACCTGCAAACAAATTCACAGTGAAGCAGCCGTCCATCTCTACAGGGACAATAGCTTCATGGTTCCCTCGCCAATCTACATGCTTCGCTTCTTCAAGCAGGTCGGTGCAACTAATACCAAGCACCTCAAGAAGCTGAGTCTCACGATTCAATGGAACGCTGACCGCGAGCTCAAATTCTGGCTGCTGTTCTTAAAGAAGCTGGCCAAGGATGCGTCGGGACTTGAGACTCTTACCGTTGTTTGGATTGCGAACACCTTGAGCTCCGAGCCACTGAGCAGGGGCGCTAGAGGGCGTGGGCTAGGTGACAATGTGACTTTTGTGCGTGCCCTGGCAAGGGTCAAGCAGGTGACACGCCTGAACATCTTCGGATTCTATGCGAAGAATTGGCTGACCTACCTGAAGAGGGAGATGGAGGGCGCTGGCGTGCAGGTTCAAGAAGCTGGTCAGTTTGGCGCAGTCGTTCACTGTGATCTAGTTGAATTGCTTTTCTCGAGGGTCCGAGAATTCCAGGAAGGAACGGAGGATATATGGCCTTAGCCATGCTGTGTTGTTAATCTGGAGCTGCATCTGAGCCACTATGTTGCCCTGCGAAGGATTTGTCCGAGTATGAAGTTTGCATTGATGCTGACAACCCGTTTATAGATGGGCCATGCTATACAGTTGTGGTAATGCTTGGCTGAATCTCCGTCTTGTTCTTCTAAGTTTATGCCGTGAGGGTCATGTCTTTTCTGTGCTTCATTTCTGTCATAAGTTGACTAAAAGTTCATGTCCATTTCCTTTAGCTGTTTAATGATTGTTTCTTTTGTTTCTTTCAACCCCTCAGTCAGTCAACTCAAACACAAGTTCTGAGGTAGCAACAAATAAAGAGCTTCTATTTAGAAAGTGATGCAGGCTTCCAGATTCTCTAGCTTCATGCTCTGAGTGAATCAAGTGAATTTCAGATGCCGGGGCAACACTCACCCTGCATGTTGGCATGCATTTTCTCCCCAATCTTCCCCTCTTAACCTCTTCCTCTTTCAGGGTATTTTCCAGTCCCCCTCACTTCACTCCCTGAGTCATCCCTTGCTGCTGTTATTCTGCGAGCATCTCATCTTGGTCTCTGTTCCCACCCATAACCCCTCTTCAGAACCGACCTTGACCTCCAAACAAACGACACATCTGGCCCACGCAATGGAATTGGCTTTCAGACACAAAGACATTGCGGAAGTCTTCTTTGACCTCGGCCAAGACATCAAGAAGTTAGGCATCAAAGGTACCACAGTCTCCAGCACCGAGATCTCGACCATCAAACTCTCTCCAAGCAACACAGTCAACACCGAGACCGAGTCAACTCATAACAGCGGTCCTAGCACCCTCGCAGCAACCGTTCCTCTTTTTTCTTCTCGTGCTTGTGGAGACACGTCTCAGAAGCCCAGCTTTCTCACCATTCCACCCGAACTCCGTCTCCCGATCTACGAGCTCCTCCTCGTCAGCCGCGATGACAACGGAGACATCTCGCCCGTGAACCTGGACGTCGGCGTGCAGATACTTGCAAATAGGTATATCCAAGCAGCCATCGTGCGAACCTGCAAGCAGGTCTACTGCGAGGCAGTCCCAATCCTGTATGGCGCAAATGCCTTCAGCACCATGACCGTGACCCCCATCACCCGCATCGGCGCCGCAAACTTCGAAATGATCCGCGACCTAGACATCTCGATTGAAAGCGGCTTCAGCCTTGATTTCTTGATGCAGCTTCTTAGTACCTTGTCCACCGACGCAAAGGCTCTCAGGAAGTTCTCCATCACATGGGAAGCCCGGGAGTTTTGCGCAGGCAGTGCTTCTAGGGGTCTAGGCGATAATCTGGAAGTCGTGCGTGCGCTGGCTAAGATCAAGCAGCTGGACAAGCTGCTCATCTCTGGATACTACGCGAAACCTTGGCTGGCGTACCTGCGTCGGGAGATGGGGCCGGCTGGGGTTGAGGTCTTTGAGGAGCCTGGTGATCTTCCGCCTGTTTTCATCATTGAGATGATCATGAAGGAGTTCGGCCGCGAAGAGGGGAAGTACAAGCTGGAGGAGTTCCAGAAGTGTGAATTGCACAATTTCAGGGAGTGGCAGAAGGGCACTGAGGACTTGTTGCCCTGAGTTGATTGAGGTGGGTTTGCACTGGGTTTGTCTCCTCATCCAGAAGTGATCTCATGGACTGTGTTGTTGTCATTAAAGGTGTCATGTTTCAGTTTCTGTCCGGGTTGGCTTCCACGTCTGCTTTTGCTTTTGCTTGTTTCTGCTTTTGCTTGTTTCTGCTTTTTCTTGTTTCTACTTTTGCTTGTTTCTACTTTTGCTTGTTTCTACTTTTGCTTGTTTCTACTTTTGCTTGTTTCTACTTTTGCTTGTTCTCCTTGCACGTGCTTATTCATGGTCTGAAGCCGTTGGTAATTGGTGTTTGCCCATCCATGGTCTTTGGTCCCGGTTCTGGCATAGCAATAGGTATCCTTTGGCGAAGACTAATGTTTGAACTGTATTCATGTTTAGGCGTAGTGCTCTTGATATAGCCAGGGTACATTAGAATACTACGTTCTCTCCAGATTATACCGTGGGTTCTTCTGCTGATTTGGTGCAGCAACTGTACCTGTTTTTCTCTGTGGTTAAGTTCAAAGTACAGTACATCTGAACCATGGACGCAAAACTAAAAAAGACTAAGTATCGATATAGACTGACTGTGAACTATAAAACCGTTATCGTACCCCATCTACGATCCAGTTTCTATTTATATACCAACCCCAGTGCTGCGCTGGCCCCAATCCCCGTCCTCGTCCAATCAGCAATCCTGCAATGTAACCGTGTCACTACTATAGCCCAACCCCTCCCATCGTTCCCCTCCCTCACTCATCTATCAAAACTCTTACACAAAGAGATCCTGAGACTAGAATATAAGAACGAAGAATGAAACAACTAACCTTCCTCATAATCGGGGCTGGGTCACGCGGGTCCGCCTACGCCCGCGCAATAACAACCTCCACCCCCGCACGCATAGGTGCAGTCGCAGAGCCAGACCCGTTTAAGCGGCGCGTTCTCGGCGAGAGATATATCTGGGGTGAGAGCTCGCCAGAATCATCACAAGAGTTCGATGGGTGGGAGAGCTGGATTAGCTATGAGACTGAGCGGCGACGGCGAAAGCAAGCGGGGGAAGAGGTAGAGGGAGGGGTTGACGGTGTGCTTATCTGCAGCCTCGACGAAACACACATTGCTGTCTTGAAGGCGATCGCGAAAGCAGACCTGTTGGACTTGCATGTCCTCTGCGAGAAACCGCTGGCGTTATCGCTGGATGACTGTCTGAGTGTGTACGCTGCCTACACTCACACCAACTCGGAAGGAGCTTCGAAAGGCAGGGGGAAACCGAGGAGCATCTTCTCGATTGGCCATGTCCTCCGCTACAGCCCGCATAACACCTTTCTACGACGGCTAGTGCGTGAAGAAAAAGTCATTGGGGACATCGTCTCCGTCGAACACACCGAGCCCGTCGGACACTGGCACTTTGCACACAGCTACGTGCGCGGGAACTGGCGCCGGGAAACGGAAAACGGAGATGGAAGTCTCCTGACGAAGAGTTGTCACGATGTTGACTTTCTGATGTGGCTTGTTGAAGGGGCGCTTACATCCCCCACCTCAGACGGTGACGAGGAGAAGAAGTTGAGGCTCCGAACTGTCTCGTCAACAGGCTACCTCACGCAGTTCACGCCCTCCCAGAAACCACCCGCCGCGGGCTCCGCGACAAACTGCGCATCCTGCCCTATGGAGCGGGACTGCACGTACTCCGCCATCCGGATCTACCGCGATAACCAGCTCCGAAAGGGCGAGACAAGGTGGCCCGTTAACATTGTCTGCGCTGATATAGAAGATTACCTGCCGCCGGGATACGGGAAGTACAACGCCGACGGCACGCACAAGGAAACGAGCGGGGAAGGGGACATATCAGCCGCGGAGTCGCATCTCCTTTCAACGCTAAAGCAAGACTATGATGAGAATACACCCGACGAAGTCATCAAGAAGAGGCCATGGTACGGCCGCTGTGTCTGGGAATCGGATAACGATGTCATGGATGACCAGTTCGTCACGCTTGCTTGGGATGTCCTCCCCCCAGCACCACCATCCCAATCTAAACCTAAGAAGAACGCAAGAGGGCCCGGCATAACAGCAACCCTGCACATGATCGCCCCAACGCAAGCGCAATGTATTCGACGAGGCCGGATCTACGGCACAGCGGGTGAAATCACGTACACCTCGTCGACTATAACGATATATACGTTTGCCGACAATCAGACCCGGGTTATTGAGATCCCCAAGCAGCCGCCCGAGGAGGAAGAGGCGCATGGGGGTGGGGACTATGGACTTGCCAGGGGCTTCGTGGGTGCTGTTGAGAAGGTTGTGAATGAGGGGTGGGATGTTGGGAGGGCGCAGAGGGCGTTTGTGGGGTGTACGCTCGAGGATGTGATCAAGAGTCATGGGGTTGTTTTCGCGGCAGAGGAGAGTCGACGGGAGGAAGGGGTTGTTAGGTGGGGAGAGTGGTGGGAGGGGAAGTTGGCGGGAGTTGGATTGTAGATGGAGAGACCGAAAGTGCGACGAGAAGGCTATATATTAACTAATCACTAATGCTCATCAATGCTCAAAGACAAGAAGAGATCACACAGTACGGTAGGTAAACCCGACCTAACCCAACCCAACCTAAGTCTTAACATCAGGCTCCTCACGACCAACAAACTCCTTGAACTTCAGCAACTCCAGGGCCAGCCCGACGTTATCCTTCAGGTACTCCTGCGTCTCCATCTGGTACTTGCTCTTGTCGCCCTCGTACTTCTCAACGTACAACCGGATGGTAGCGCCGCTGCTTCCGGTACCGGACAGACGAACAACAAGGCGGCTGCCGTCATCAAACTTGGCGTATAGACCCTGGTTCTTGGCGACGCTGCCGTCGAGGTCAGTGTAGGCGAAGTTGCCGGAGTCCACGACCTTGCGGCCGGAGACGGTGCTGCCGACGAAAGAGTCCTTGTTGTCGACGGCCTTCTCGCTCAGGGCGGCGATGAGCTTGTTCGCGCCCTCGGAATCGACGTTCTCGTAGTCATAGCGGGTGAAGAAGGTGCGACCGTAGGTCTCCCAGAACTCGGCCTGGATGGAGGCGATGGAAGGAGTCTCGTTGGGCTTCTGCTCGGCGACGCCGGCAATGATGTTCAGCCAGGCGACGATGGCCCAGACGCCGTCCTTCTCACGGATGTGGTTGGAGCCAGTACCGAAGGACTCCTCACCGCAGATGGACATCTTCTTGTTGTCGAACAGGTTGCAGAAGAACTTCCAGCCTGTGGGGACCTCGTAGCTCTGCAGGCCCTGGGCCTTGGCGACGAGGTCGACGGCGCCGGAGGTGGGCATGGAGCGGGCGAGGCCGTCGACGCCGTGCTTCTGGAACCAAGGGATGAGCTTGGCGTGGTGGGCGATGATGGCGAGAGAGTCGCCGGGGGAGACGAAGGTGTTGGCACCGTAGATCATGTTGCGGTCTCCGTCGCCGTCGGAGGCGGCGCCAAAGTGGATGCCGTTCTTGTCGACGGCCTCGACAAGCTCGTGCGCGTACACGAGGTTAGGGTCGGGGTGGCCGCCGCCGAAGTCGGGCTTGGGGATGCAGTTCATTGTGCTGTCGGAGGGGAGGCCGAGCTCGTTGACGAAGATGTCAACGCCGTAGGGGCCGGTGACACCGTGCATACCGTCGAAGAGGACCTTGAAGTCGGGGTGCTTCTTGAGGAAGCTGCGGATCAGGTCGAAGTCGAAGATCTCCTTCATCATGGCGACGTAGTCCTCGGTGGAGTGGACGACCTCGACCTCGAGGGGGCCATAGCTGCGGGTGCCGATTGTGGTGGTGTCGACCTCGGGGAGGTCAATGTAGTTGTAGGAGGTGAGGGACTTGGAGACCTCGTAGATCTTGTTGGTGACTTGCTCGGGGGCGGGCGCGCCGTTGGTGAGGTTGTACTTGATACCGAAGTCGTTGTCGGGACCTATCCTTGCAAATTAGCTCGCCGCTCATAATTCTTGAACTAGGTGTGAACGTACCACCAGGGTTGTGGCTAGCAGTCAAGAGAATACCACCGGTGGCCTTCCTCTTGCGAATGAGGTTGCTGGCAGCAGGGGTACTGAGGATGCCGTTCTGGCCGACAATGAGCTTCTTCACGCCATAGGCGGCACCGATCTTGGCGATTTTCTGGATGACGTCGGAGTTGTAGTAGCGGCCATCGCCACCGATGACGAGGAAAGCGTCCTGAGCGCCCTCAGGGATGGAGAGGATGATGCTGGTGACGAAGGACTCGGTGTAGTTCTCTTGCTGGAAGATCTTGACCTTTTTTCGCAGGCCGGAGCTGGACAATTGTCAGTTTTTCGCAGACGGACAGAGACTGAAGGCATTGACGTACGTTCCGGGCTTCTGGTCGCCGAAGGGCTGGATGGAAACGGTCTGGACCGACATGGCGGGGTAGCTGTGATGAGTTGGTTTGGATGGGAGAACAGAAAGAGAGGAGAAAGCAACGGAGGGAGAGGGCAATTATAAGTAGGTCTAGTAGGTCAAACAGGGTCTGGAATGTTCACCGACAATTGGCTCGATGCGCAGGATTAAAATAGTTGAAGCTTGCTTGCTTCTCCTGGTCTGGTGGGGGGAGGAGAAACACAACAAATACCTGGCCTGAGGGGTAACTTGGTAGAGTAATGTAATCATAGCATCACTCCCCACCAGTCTCCTGGACGGCCAATGCACCCTGACTATTATTTACTTGCTACTGCCAAACAGCTGCTCCCTGTAGAATTTCATCTCCTCGATGCTCTCCAGAATGTCCTCCCGGGCCTCATGCACCTCCTTCTTGGGCGGCACCGCGCCCAGCAGCCCCTCGCCTCCCCACCGCCTAACAACCTCCTTAATCGTACTGACATCCACAATTCGATAGTGCAGCCACTCCAACACCGCCGCATACGGTCCACACGCCAGGAACGCCTTATCCGCGTGAACGCTGTTCCCCGCCAGCAGCGCCGTTCGGGGCGTCGCTATGTACCGCTTGATGTACGCGAGCAGGTTGGCCGCCGCGGCCTCGGGCGTCACGGTCGAGGTCTGGACGCGCTGCGTTAGTCCCGTGCGGCCGTGGGTGTCGATGCACCACTGCGACATGGCGTCTAGCGCGCTCTGGGGCACGTGGACCACCGTTTCGAAGCCCGTTGTGTCGAGGAGGTTGAGGTTGGCGTCGGTGATGAAGCAGCAGATTTGCAGGATTTGGTCGGTATTCGGGTCGAGACCCGTCATCTTTGTCAACAGTGAGAATGGGCTGTCAGGAGTTGGGCGGCGGCCGAACCTCGCAGTCGATCCAGACTAGGGGATCGGTGGAGCGTGTAAGAGGCATCGTAGGTATGTGTAGTCTAGGTAGTTGTAGATCAGACGTAGAGAGTTGAAGTTTGCAGAAAGTTTCCGTCTGCGGAAGTCATTTGAGCTCCGAACAATACGTAATAGGCCATACAGTGCTATCCACTCTATCCTCTGATAGTAGACCTCTCTAGCAAATGCCAATTCCGCCTCCTAGTTTGTCATTCCACATCATGTACGTCCACAAAAGAAATATAATAGAGAAAATAAAGATTCCAATATGGGCTAAATGTTATGCCCCTTGCGCCAATCCGTCACGTCGTGAAGAGTTGATATGTCAGAAATAAGATGATATGCTTTGTTGTATGTTGATAAATTCGCCGCCTTCAGTCTACAGCTCCTCGTCCACATTGTCAGGTGGAGTCACCGTCTTAGGAGACTGCAGGGCTTCATCGTGGCCAGGACCAAGGGGGGGCTTAGAGTCGCTTGCGACACCCCCGTTCTGATCATTACTGCCTAGCACTTCGCTTATCTGTTGCGATAGACCTGATCCCATCCGTTGTCGGAGTGAAGACTCGTCTGCTTGTGAGACACTAGGACGCTGCTTCTTGAGTGGACTGCCGATGTACTCTCCATTCAATGCGCTCATCGGCTGTGTTTCCGACGGCCCGGCGGTTATGGGTGCTGATACTGCCGGCGCTGCGGGCGGAGTTGTGGAGATTTTCAATGATGACGGGGTGTCTGCGGCTGTATTGGGGCTTGCTGTGTCCTGTCGAGAGCTGCCGGCAAGCGACGCGGCCGAGTGTTGGCGTTTAAGCTAATATTGCGTTAGTTACGAAGCGCTGAAGCGGGAGCGAGCATACCTTAATCTGGCGCAAGCCCTCTGCCAGCTCGCCCTGTCGCCTAATGTCATCCGGGGAGAGGTTCTGATCTTCTTCCTTGTCTTCCTCCTCGTCCGCCTGGTTGAGTATCCGGTCATCATCGTCGTCATCACTGTCCATATCATCGTCGTCCGCCATCACTTTGTCTTTCTTGCCCTTCTTCCGTCCTTCTGTGTGCTCCCGGAAGTTCAAGAAACCAACGCCTCCTCCAGGCTTTATCGGGCCGAGATTTGCAAAGTCGAGCTGCTGCGACCGGCGTTTCACCGAGCCGGGAGTCTCTTGCAACTTCGGATCTTTCAGGATACCCATTTTCTGTAGTTGTCCTACGCAGAGTTAGCAACGATTAGTCATGGGCCGGTTCGTACTTACGCTCTCCCCGGTACATAAAGGTGAAGATCGCATACGGCTTGTCCGACGGATCAATCCCAGTGACCGTTTGTGTGCTGATAGACTTCGGATCGAGGGACTTGGGCTTCGCGAAGCTGGTAGTGTGATCAATATCTTCGTCAGCGGCTTGCCCGCCCTGATTTTCTTCATCATCATCATGAGCATCAAATTGCGGCGAGTATTCTCCTCGCTTGATCTCGCCAGACGCTAGGACGCGGAAAAGCGCAACCTTGATTTGACCAGTAGATTCCGGAATTGGGTCGTCGTCGGAACTTGCGAGCGAGACGTCGTCGTCGGAAACATCCTCCAAGGGCGACTTGTTATCGTTGCCATAACGCATGACGCCCCTGTCGGGCTTGCTCTTACCACCCATATCCAGATCGTCGATATCGTCAGATTCGCGTTTGGCCCGGCGTTTCTCCATCTTCTGCCGCCTCCGTTCGATCTTCGCAGCTGCGTCTTTCTTGCCCACCAAGTCCAGCCCATCGAGCCACCTCTCCAATGGAACCTCGCGGAAGAGGAACTCTCGTTCTGCAAGTCCACCACCTTCCGACTCGGGAATGCTGACCCATCGGGAGTTCACCCAGGTCTCCTCCCCGCGCCGAAGCAGTGTAGCGACCTCCTCCTTTTGCCGGCCATCAAAGTAGATGTAAGCAGCAACGGTCTCGTTCGGGGAGTTGGTTAGCGCTTGATACGGCGCGACCGTGCTGGTGTATAGTCCACGATGCTCTGTCTGTCCAGGAAGGCCTCCGACGACCTTGGGCTTGGGGTGGGGGTTGTCAGCCGTCGGTTTCCCCGCGGAATAAGGCACATCTTGTCCGGGGTTCAACAAGGTAATGGAAATTGCGAACGTAGACTGCTCCGGTTTCCCACCAGCTGTATCGGGAATTTTGGGCGGCGGGACAGGGATATAGGAGGTAATGCGCGAGACTCGGGACTGGCGCTGGATCGAGTGCTCGGGTAGCGGTCCGCCTGGAGTATGTATACTAACGGCGAGGCCTTTGAAGCATGGCATGACGAGATGGGCGAAGAAAGCCTAACGAGTAGAGTCGCTCCGTAATATACTTCAAGCCGATGTCCAACAGGTCTGGCGATGAGGTGAAGAGGCTAAAAAAAGGGCTATCGAACAGCCAAGGGAGGAGAAGTGGTGGCTGGTGGAGGCGGTCAGGATACCCTTCACTTTCTCGAGGTGTTAAACAAATCGCAAAAGGTGTGTTGAAAGTAAGTCGAGCTGAAAGTTTCTTTGCTCTGCTGCAGTAGTTTGTCAACGATGTCTTGAGGTCGCAGGAAAACCCGAGTAAACCAGGCGACTCTGTGTTGTGCGTGCGGAGGAGGGCAGCTAAGGAGGGGCGACGAGCAATCAGGAAAGTCGTCAACAATGATGCAAATGAGCTTCAGCTAAGTACACGAATGAATGATGAAAGTCTCAGCTTTGAGGGAAGCACGATGGCATGTTGCTGGAAAATTAATTGAGGGTTAAGGAGGTATGAAAGGGTAGAGTGAGAACGAAAGTCCCGGTGGTTTGGGTGGGAGCAAGTCACTTGTCAGGTGAGGTGAGGATCGACGCCGCCCTAGCTCACGCCGATGTATACCGTGACTATACAGCTCTACATTTGGACATGGCGGTCAATCATGCGGTACATCTAGCTGGATTATATTTACGTGGCAGAAATCGTTATATCAAGAAAGAAAGACAAGGCCTCTCTAGAGACCCCGACGTCGCGCCTCTTCCCTCGCGATAGCCGCAAGATCAGGAAAATCCCGGTTTAGCCTACTCAAAAGCAACTCGGTTTTCCGTCGCTTCCGTTGTTCAAGCTCAGCCTCGAACTGAGAGATGCGATCTAGGATCCTTGCATGAGACTCCATCAAGGAGAGCTCAAGAAAGTCATCCGCATATCCCCGGAGAGCTTTTATCTTGTTCTCTAGCTCCTGGATGCTTTCTTCGTCTGAGGTATCACCTTGAGTGCAGTCTCGATCAGGATGAGCTCTTGGTACATGCTCATCTGGTGTCGCAGCAAAGGGCGTTGGCGGAGGAAGATAGAAACAGTGTACAGGTCGACCGTCGGATGCTGGCTCCCCTTGATTCTCACGGCGAAATGGGGCTAGGGGATCGAATGCTCGAGTGGAGCTATGGCTTAAGTTGTTGCCGCTGAGCGTAGCCATATTTGTCGAGTGAGCTTCCGATATATCTAACGCGGCCGCTTGGCTTAGCTCTGCCCTTGTGATTGAATTAGATCTCGCATTCTGCCGTTGCTGCCCCGTGTCCTCTTCTGTATGCAGTCGAGAACGTTTCACCCCGCGCGGAGAGTGATGCGGTTGCGACGGGATGCTTGAAGCGACCAGGCTAGCTCGTTTCCCTCGTTTCTGGTCGAACACGTTATCGACAAATCCAAGTAGGCGACCTCGAGTATCGATCGATTTAACCCGCGCTCGCACCGGTTTTTCTTTGCTCTGGTATGGTTGATGGAAGTGGCAGCAACGGCAGTTGCAAATCTGTTCGCATTTCGGGCAGGTCCAATACTCAGCATCCTTTAACAGAGGAATCAACTCAACGTCAAAATGTCGATAGAGGCCCCGGAAGCAAAAGAATGCCGAGCACTGATTGCATCTGATGCCTTTCCACGAGGGATGGCTATCTCGACATAGGTGACAAAGCCGCTCCTACATAAACATAAAGGTAAGCATTCACTCTAAACAGAAAGTTCGATGGATACATACTGCCGATTGTTGTCGCGCACCCATTGCAGCCGCTGCAGCAGCACCAAGTGATGTTTGCCTGAGAGTCATGTTAGTAGCTCGCCTAAGCCGATGTAGTAACTTAGGCTTATATCTAGGCTTAGGCCTGGATGCGTACCTTGATAGCCGCGGTGTTCGAGTAGCTCCAACACCCAATCTGTTTCTCGCTGCCTTGATGATGTCTTGACATCGTTCCAACGGCAGAATTTCTGCCCAGGTGTAGTCGTCAACATGCTTGCAGCTTCTACCCGAAACGAAGCAGGTCAAGCACAAGTCGAAATCCCCGCACTGTTCGCAGTGTAGATGACGATTCCATACTGTAAGTCCGCAGAAATTGCACTCGACTACGGCACCCTGAATATCCACAGTCTTGATGATGGGTAAAGGTCTCTTCGCTGAGTGATCAACGTTGGCCGGGCTGTCTGGGACGCCACTGGGATGGCTGAAAGCTTCTCCCCCGGTGGTTTCATCATGGACTTGTTGGTGGAAAACATCTAGAAGAAGGAGTTCAACTTCTCTCTCGCATATACCACTTTGCAACGCATACATTGGAATCAAAGGAACGCGTCCGGTGTCTGCATGGCAGTCTTTATGATATGCAGGTTGCACGTAGTCAAAGAAAGACGTTACCGAAGTAGAATGCATGATATTCCAGACCACTTTGGTAACCATAGGGCTGATGTTCCAAACTTGATGAGCAGTGGCAGTGGGGAAGACCACGAGGTCACCAGGGCCTTGGTCTGTGACATATATCGGAAAGTCGGCTGATCTTAGCTTGCTGCTAGACACGTTGGCCCAATCGGTGTGGGCAGACTTGCCCAATCCATCCATGAACGCGTCGTACTTTTCTTGCGAGTTTCTGTCTGTTCCAAAACAAATTGATCCGGGGCCAATTCCTAGCTAGTTGTATCAGTTCCCGGGTCTGTACTCATCTAAACAATGGAGAGTAGTGCCCACCTTCCGATTCAACCAGAAGATTGAGGGCTACGGTGGCGCTGAAGCATCTGTGAAACCCAGAACTGCGGGAGTTCCTCGTTAGTCAACTTCAACTATATGCACTCAGATATATACCTACAAAGACATACGAGTCCCAACATAGGCCATCAGCACTTCTGGAGCGGTCTCCTTTGGCAAGACTCGGAAGAGGTCGAGTGAGCCAAGATGTCTCAAGGACGATGGCAGGATTGTGTCCAGAGACTTGACCCACTCCTTTGGGCAAGGAAGATCCTTCGCATAGAGGCTCCAAGGTAAGCTGTTAGATGGGCTTAATATTTTCAACGCCAACGAGTGACCTACGATTCCCGAGTGTCGCCTGCACTTGCTTGGTCTGAATGGAAAAGCAGGTCCCGTAGTCGAACTTTGACATCTCTTCCGGTCTGACAGTTTCTTACTGAGATAGCTGAGTAAAGAGAGCGCCGTCAGCATGAGCGAATTCTGCACGGGTAAGTATAAGCAAATAAGCAAAGGAAGCAAAGTGCACATACCTCCCGAGGCAGACAGATTGACTAGGCTTTCATTGCTCAAGCTTGCTGTCCGCCATGCGTCTGTTTGAGAGAAGCCTCGTATGACAAATGGCCTGCCATCATGAAGTTTGTTCTCAATCCACCGAGAAACATCGTCATTCGATTTCGCATGAAGGGCTTGGACCGAGAACTCGGAAAACGGGACAAAGGGGGGGCCGCAGTGCAGCAGGTCTTGCACGGAAGGAGGGTCTGTTTGCAGAGAATCCATATTGAGGCGGACTTCTAGTTAGCATGATGGCAGGATCTGACTTGTTCCTGTGGCATTTCCACAACATATGTTATTGGCCACTATAGAGAGCCATTTGGGTCCTTTCCGAGATGTTGAAGACTGACGCTACCATGTGTCATTCACGTGACACCGCTAACGTGTGCCTGCATTTAACCTCCCTATTTGATCGTCAAGTTTACGGAAGATGACATCGATGAATGTGACATTCAGTGTATATGAGTTACATATAAGTGACCGGTGGCTAGGGTGATGTGATAGTTAACGCGGTTACTATTTGACTCCATCTCGGAGGCATTCCAAGAGATATATATTTTGGACAGGTCCAATTGAGCCCCATTGACATATCTCCAACGGCGGAAAATAACCCAGCGATTAGATTCCGATGAGCTAAGAAACGATCCTTAGGAGCGTGCAATAAAGACATAACTGAAGATAATGCTGAAGTGTCAGGCGCTGGAATGTTTTAAGGTGCCAGCGCCATAGGAGAGACGCGATACAAGCGAGTGAGAAAATCGTCTTGGAGCTTCAATTCCGAACTCTCAAGCCGTTCAATTTCAGATATATATGTTCAACATTACGCGGTCTTAGCTACATGGATTTTCGGCAGATACTGGGGAGCCGACACAGTTTGCTCGCAGGTGCACAAGTGCCAGGGCTTGGGAGGATCATCAAGCTTTGTGACCCCTGTCGAGCACCTACGGTAAAGTCCGAGGAAACTGAACCCGATAGCCTCATCAAACCTCAGCAAGCTGGCCTCGCGCTCAAAGCCCAGCTTCGAGGATAGCCTCTTCAACCCTTAGATTTAACACTGCTCAGCGTTCTGCAAACCACTCAATCCGCCCAAGTAGTTCGTATTATGGCAAAGGTAAAAAGAGAATCTGCTGGAGACCGGAACCATCCACTGTTTTCAGTTCGAGTTACTCCGGGCAGTTACACTCAAAGGAGCAGGTGGTTTGCTGTCGATTGTCAAGTGGCGTGCTCCAGGCTCCCAGACTTCCATCCAGTCGCCCGGTGATAGATAACTCCAAATCTTCAGATCCAGAACCAGCTCTAGATCCAGATGGCCACGTGAGTCGAGGAATGTTGCGGGGAAAGATCCCGACGGTTGCATCTCGAGAGTCGACATCCTTTGCGACTTCATCTGTTGCACTACGCAATTGTCCAACCTTAGGCACGAGACCACACACCTCCGTCGACGGACAGCCACCATTTGTCCGGAAATCTCTGGCCCTTTGGAGATGAGGAAAATCAAAAAGCGGCTGGAATCTGGAGTCCGGGGCAAGCTAAGAGTCATTGGCTGGAGAGCTTTCCCAGCCCCATCTGGAGACGAAACCCTTCTCAGCGTGCTAATCCGTTTTGGGAATAGCTCGTCGATTCTAGCACAGTCGGACTCAACACCACAAATAATCGACTCCCCAAGCTTCGCCTTAGCCAAAAGCCAAGGCGACAAGCTCCACACTTCGGTGAGACAGAGGAAACGCATGGCACACAAGCAAGAAGCAAATCGAGTACTGTCGAGTCCTGAATCACTTCCCTCAAGCCTCGAGGATTGGAGTCCAGCCTTCGAACCTCTTCTGTACCGGAGATTAGAGCCTCCCGGGCACACCGGAGAATGGCCCTCAACCAAATTATTCTCAACTCATTGCTTCGGTACTGTGGCTTATGGCGCTGCTACGGAGTACGTTCTGAGACTGTTGTAACCTCATCATATCTGTTTTTACTGGCTCAAACCACGCGTGATCAGGAGACACCAGGGTATCCACAGCAGTCCTCTCCAGTTCTGTCTCCCTAGTCGCAAACAAACGGCTGACGCCAACGTCCAGATTTCCCTCTGGGAAGATGCAGTCTATTGCTTGCCTCTATGCAAAGGAAGCAGGAGCCTTGCTGCATCTCTTCCAATAATGCAACCTGCTTGAGAATTGTGAATGTGGCCACTCTCGGCATATGTGAATAGCTTCATAGTTGCCAATTTAATCACTAACTGCACAATAATGAAATTAACCTCATACCCAGAGCCAAAATGAACGCTGTTCACCTGATTACCAGCCCCACAGTTGATTCCTGGAAGCATGATGCTGGCTGTGAATGACTCCTTGAGGTGAATAACACAACTGTCTGATTGGATCTGGTGAAATTTCTTCTCCTTTCTATTCACGACCACACAGATTGCCTTCCGCTTCTCCGCCTTTCTTGATTTATCTACCCCCGGCTTCCCTTGCCTTTGGTTTTATTTCCCCCAATCCTCCTCACCCCACGCAACCTCATCTCCTGCATCCTGCACCCTCCTGCGCGCCAAGTGTTTGATATCGTACATCACTTCTTATTATTGTCTCTTTGCTTTTTCTCCTACCCTTGCATCTCAAGTCTTTTAAGCAGTGTCACAGTTGCCTCCTGACCGCGGTTCTGTCTCTGACTACGGTTGGACAATGGCGGACCAGGTGGTCGAGGAGTACCCGACTGGTGTGCCCCTCAAGCTTGCCGGAGAAACTTTCAGGGCCATCAACAAGCTGTATGTTCTGCTTTCTGATGCATCTGTTGTACCATATCTTGCTGACAGTCTGTAGGAGCAGCGAGAATGAAGACATCGCCGAGAAGGGTGTTCTCGAACACGTTGATCTGAACTACAACACCTCAGCGAAGTAGGTAACACTTCCTTTTAGTTTGAAGCCGTTGCTAACTCTACTCAGGATCAAAAATCCTCTTTCTCATCTTACTGAGGCCCAGGTGCTGCGTGATGTTGAACAGTTTGCACGGGATAATGAATTGACCGATCTGCTGCCCGACCTTCGCAAAGGCTCGCTCATTGCTCGTGACCCCGAGAACTTCAGAGCCATCCCTGGAGTTGGCGCGGAGGACATTCGCATCATTGAGCATGAGACCAAACACAAGTGGCGTCAGCCTCGTGCGCTCTACTTTTCGATCATCCTCTGCTCCATTGGTGCTGCTGTTCAGTAAGTCTCCACCCTCTTCAGATGTTTGGGCAAGACTAATCCTTCAACAGAGGCTGGGACCAGACTGGTAGTAACGGTAAGCTTCATGAAATTGTTGCGCCACATCTCCTCTGACCGTGTCTCTAGGTGCCAACCTTAGCATGCCTGCCGCTCTGGGAATTCCCACGGCGGATGACCCTAACGCTGAATACAATCAGTGGCTTGTCGGTATCATCAATGCGTAAGTCTTCTTTGGTACGATATACGACAAAATAAGCTAACAGTTTGCAGTGGCCCTTACATCGGCAGCTCTCTCCTGGGCTGCTGGCTGTCTGACCCTGCGAATTACTACCTCGGCCGCCGTGGCGCGATTTTCATCTCCGCTATCTTCTGTTTGATCACTCCGTTCGGTCAGGCCCTCAGCCAGACCTGGCCCCAGCTACTTATCACCCGTGTTCTCCTTGGCTTTGGAATGGGTCTGAAGGCTTCGACTATCCCCATCTTCTGCGCTGAAAACACTCCCGCATCTATCCGTGGCGGCTTGGTCATGTGCTGGCAGCTGTGGACTGCATTTGGCATTTTTCTGGGAACAACCGCGAACTTGATCGTCAAGAATATGGGTGACTTGGCCTGGCGTTTGCAAATGGGCTCTGCGTTTATCCCGGCAGTTCCTCTTCTTCTGGGTGTTTATCTCTGCCCGGAGTCTCCACGATGGTACATCAAGAAAGGTAAACTCCGCCCCGCGTACGACTCCCTGCGACGTCTTCGAAACACCCCCCTTCAGGCCGCTCGTGATCTTTACTACATTCACGCTCAGGTCAAGCTTGAGCAAGAGATCTCTGGCGAAGGATCCTACTTGACTCGCTTTGTTGAGCTGTTTACAATCCCTCGTGTCCGCCGCGCTACTCTTGCGTCGTTTACCGTCATGATCGCCCAACAGATGTGCGGCATTAACATCGTGGCATTCTATTCATCTACAATCTTTGCTGACGCAGGCGCCGGCTACAATGGGGCTCTCTGGGCCTCTTGGGGCTTTGGACTGGTGAACTTTCTGTTTGCCTTCCCCGCGGTCTGGACCATCGACACATTCGGGCGTCGCAGCTTACTCCTCTTCACCTTTCCGCAGATGGCGTGGACTTTACTCGCAGCTGGATTCTCGTTCTACATTCCGGAGGATTCAAAGGCTCATCTTGCACTTATTGCTCTCTTCGTCTTTTTGTTTGCCGCGTTCTACTCGCCCGGTGAGGGACCAGTTCCCTTCACCTACTCGGCGGAGATCTTCCCTCTCTCACATCGCGGTATGTTTCACTCCTTCCATGCATTATGAAGAGTACTTCTAATTCAGTCTAGAGGTTGGAATGTCCTGGGCTGTCGCAACTTGTCTTTTCTGGGCAGCCGTTCTGAGCATCACCTTCCCTCGAATGCTTGTTGCCCTTAGCCCTCAGGGTGCTTTCGGCTTCTACGCGTAAGTCCACCGCATGTATACCATATTCTGGCCAATGACTAACGTACCTCGTCATTAGTGGCCTCAATATCATCGCACTCTTCATGATTTTTATCTGGGTTCCCGAGACGAAGCAGCGCACGCTCGAAGAGCTCGACTACATCTTCGCCGTCCCCACCCGCACTCACATGCGCTACCAGCTGTTCCAGGTTCTACCCTGGTGGATCAAGCGCTACATTTTTCTTCGCAAGGACGCCCATCTCGAGCCTCTCTACCAGTTCGATCATGTCGCGGAGACTAAATAAGTGTTTGGTTTCCATCTAACATTTGCGCGTGAGCGTCATTTCTGAACGAGTCATGATTAAACGTCTTGAAGACATTCGAACGAACCGAAGCGATTAAAACGAAAAAAATTGAACACCGACAAAACTCGCAAACAAAATTTCCAAACCCCACCGATGGGATGAACGAGTGAGACCTTTTCTTCTCTTCTCTTCTTCTTCCTGTCCCGGATCGGAAGAAGCTGAAGTTGGTCTCTCCATACTCGTTCGTCCCACTTCACTTGTTTTTATTATTTCCTTTGTCTTTCTCACTTTGTTTACTTACATCTGCGGATCTCATCGTCTTGTTGAACCTCGTTCTACGTTCTATCCTTGCTTTGGATTAGAATAGAAGTCGGCTACGGCCACGGTCAACACTAGATAGATAGATGCCTAGACATCTATCATCGCATCATGTACTATCAGATCTTTGTCTCTTGTTTATGCCTGCTCCCCATGTTTTTTAGAACAGGATTTGGCTGCGGTGGATACTGGATGTCTGCCCTTACTTGGCTTAGAGTCTAGATAGAACTTGAATGTACTGGACTCAGATGTCTATTGAACTCAAATTGCGTCGGCTCACTTAGCTCGCACTTTATTCTCATGTCGAACTATTTGCCGGTAGTAAAATTCGGCTGCTGGATTTGAGTAACATCTCACTCATACTTACAAAAAAGCTCATTCCCATGCCTCGAACAAGACGCCATTACGTATCCCAACGCTCAACTGTAGTTACCGTCATGCTCGATATTTGGAATGATAATGTTTTCCAGCGTAGGAGTACTTAGAGTGGTAGTACGACTAGGGCTCGAACAGTGGAGATTCGAAACCATGAATGCGGGGACGAGCTCTCCGTATCTAGCTACTGTGGAGAGAGGGAATCGAGATCGAGATCGTACTGCGAAAACTCGCTAGACCTTTCGAAGGGGCGCAGTGAACGATACATCCGAGTCTGAGCGGCCTTACCGGACACTGAATTTGAAGCAGACATTGATCACATAACCCTAAACCCAATTCCCCTAATCTTCATCTCGGAACAAACCCCCAGATTTACGAGAGCTTTCCCCAAGCGAATCCGGCCCCACCCGAGCCCACGCCAGGCCGATCCATGGATCTCGGAAACCATCCCGATCTATACCTACCCAAGCCGGGATGGTGTAAGTGGAAACATACCTCTGGGATACAAGGCCCCAGAGGAGATTTAGGTTTGAATCCTAATCCGGCGTACATGTTTATTTGCTTTTATATTTTCGAGGAGATTGATTGGCACTTGCTGCCGCTTCCAAAACTTTGACTTGATTTCCCTTTACACGTGGAGTTGGCACTTGCTGCCTTTTCCACTGATCATTCTCTCACCCGGTGTGGTGTAATGGGCTAACATACCTCTGACCATGTGTCGTCTTGACAGAGAAGATGCAGGTTAGAATCCTGCGCCGGCGCTACGAGTAGAATATCCTTTCTACTAGGATACCATCATACATAACATATGGTATGCAAGGTTTATGGAGTGCTGCTATACTATGCAGCGTAAGCCGGGATCCTAATCACAGCGCACACATCGATACGATGGTCTAGACGTACCACATCACTAAGCAGTCTCTGCGCTTGTCTTTAAACGGATTCTGGTCGAGGCTTCTTATTCCAATGTTCGATGTATTTACCCTTCCGCAAGTGAAGTTCGGCCTAGCGTATGGGTAAGTCATTTTTGGCAGAGAAATTGTAGGCCCGGCGCGGATCCTGCACAGCCTACTTTACTCTACCAGAGCTTTTTGCTTAATGTGGAGCGAGTATCTCCCCCGTGCGGTACCTCGCCCAAACCTCAAAACCGACTCTTTCGTAGAACCCTTCCAGAGCAACCCAATCCACAAAGACCCCCTCAACACCTCGATCCTTCATGTCATTCAACGCATGAGCTACAAGCGCAATCCCCACGCCTGACTTGCGGTGCTCTTCGTCGATACCAACGCAGCCTATCAGACCCGTATTTGGGCCGCAGATGGACGGCATAGCCCAGTTGGACTGCAGCACAGTCGAAGAGGGACCGAGCATGAGCGTCCACCCGACTTGTTTGCCGTGGGGATCAAACGCCGTCATTATGGAAGATGGATGCGATGACGGGTCCAGCTGGGCGTACATGTCGACCCAGTCCTAGCATCATCAGCAAGCAGCTTCTAAGAAAGGTAGAAAGGGAACACAAACAGGGTTATCTGCAAAGCTCCTCCTCTGACCAGCTAGACACTCTTCATACCCATCCGGACCTAACGGGGAGAACGTATACCCTGCCTCATGAGCCCGCGCCGCATAATCGGTATCGCTCCCCTTCCCGCGAAGACTGAACGACCGGATGTTTCGATATAGATCCACGGACCGCGGCGGGTCAGGACTCATCCGGAAGCCGCGATTAGCGAAGAAGTCCAGCGCTGAGTGTGACCTATCCTTTTGCCCGTCTCCATTTGCACTCTGATCCCCAGCTGAGCTTGAAGAGGCCACCGAGGGTCCCTCAACGGGGACACCAGGCCAGAACCGCGGAAACGAGCTCCCGATCTCAACTCTACCTGGTTCAGCTTGCATCTTGGTCGAAGCGGCTCTTAGCAGCGCCGTCCCGATTCCCCTGGCCTGATACGCCGGGAGCACAGCAAGCACGGCAATGTAGGCTTTCGTTGCATCGGCTGGTTTCTTATCTAGATGCTTTGCTGTATAGGAGAGGCAGAATCCGACGGGCTTGTCTTCGCCTCCATCTTGATCTTTGACCTTGGCGATCCAGTGGTGGCCGTTTCCCTGCGGGAGCAGGATGGCGAGGGTCTCTTGCGTGATGGGGTAATTTGGGAGGGCAGCGGACCAGATCTCATAAGTTGAGGGAAGGTCTTGAGTGGTGGAGGGAGTTATGCTAATATTTGTTTGGGTTGGGGATTGCCAGAGTGAGGGGTCGAGCTGGGACATGGTGAGTGTTGGCGTTTCTGATATCTCCAGTTCTGTGGTAATCGTGGCTTGTGAGTGCGATAGCTCATCAAGTGGTAATCAAAGTTTGATATTCGTAGATTTCCTTGGATGCGTCGAGGCTGGGCCACAATAGGAGAATCTGGTGAGTAGTTGACACTCCGTAAGTTGGGTGAGATACGAGATGTCCCGCATTGTAGACTTAAAGACTCAAGGCCGCGAAATCAGCTGATTTGAGCACCGTAAATAGAGGTCAGAGAGTATGGAGGCGCATCAAGACAATAAGTAGTAACTATACACTGTCAAGATACTGTGACATGGAAGAGCCCAGACACTGGCTTGTGGACAACTACAGCTTCATACACGCAACAACTCTACAGCGTACAGAACTCAATGCAACGCCACCAAATCAATTGATTCGTGCAAATTTTCCCATCCTCCGTCCCAACCCAGTTGTTTGCATGGATGTAGTCCCCAACTGTCCCAAATATGTAGTACAGGAAACGCGGAATATGCAACGCAGCCCGACAGAACGAAGACGAACGAAAACCCATTTTTTTGTTCGAAGTGGAAGAGGAGAGGAGAAAAGGAAAAAAGCCGTCGCAAAAAAAAACAACAACACAGAGAACACAAGTATCGGATAGGAATATTGCCCAAATGTTACGAACAAGATGATAAGAAGCAGCGTTTTCCCCATTCAGTACATCGTAACCACAGCCCGGCGTGAGACATTGCGAAAAGCGATCAAGTCCAAACGAGTTAAAACGTAACAGCATAATAAAAGGGATCCAGCCAAGCTCCCGGGGAGAGTAGAGATTACACATTGGAGAGTGACGAAAAGTGTAAAAAGGCACACCCAAATGAACTATAAGATTTTAAGAGTCCAGGGATCGTCCGTCCCTAACAGAGTATGAAAAAGGAGAAGATTTCATCCTGGAAACATTCAACGCCAGAATCTTCTAGTGACCGTAGTTACCACCCCAGCCTCCTCGCCCGGTGTTCCCGCCGTAGTAGTTACCGAAGCTGGCACCACCATAGTTACCGTAGCCGGTAGCCTGGTGGTGGGTCTGGTTGGCAGCTGTCTGGTGCCCGCCGAGGCCGCCGAGGCCGCTGTACTGAGGGTTCAGGTGAGGGTAACCGCCGAAGCCCTGCTGGGCTTGTTGACCCTGCAGCGGGGGAAGACCGGTCTGGCTCTGAGATTGACCAGGGGTGTTGGTCGCGGAGCCAGGGCGGTTAGCCTGGGACAGCGAAGGACTGGGTCCACCAGTCTTGGAAGTGTCAAAGGCCTTTGGTTCTTCCGTCGACACCGGGGTCTGCTGGGTAATAGGCTGCGTCTGTCCGAAGCTACCCTGGCTGCGGCCAAAGACATCCGTCATGCCTGCTCCAAACGCACTGGTGCCTGCAGCGGACTGTTGGCTCTCAGAAGGCTGGGCCGATCCAGTACGGCCATAGACCGAGTCACGACCAGGAATGCCTTGGTTGAAGCTACCAGCAGTCGCCGGGGATGCGGTGTGGTCGTACGAGAAACCGTGGGGGTGACCGTACATGCCACCCTTGCCGCCATAAGGACCGTACTGGCTGCCATAGCCATACTGAGAGCTGTGAGGCATGTATTGATCTTCGTACCGGCGAGCGTCATCGTACATTGGGCGACTGCGTCCGTACTGCTGCTGGCTCATGTAAGAAGCATAGTGAGGGTTCGAGTAGTATGGGTAACCATAACCGTAAGCCTGAGCAGCCTGGCCGGGCATGTGGTGTGCGGCGGGGGTTTGAGTAACTCCAGGAAGAGTTGGGTTGGGGGTCGTGTGGCCGCTGTTCGGGGCTTCAACATGACCATAGCGGCTGGGGGGTTGAGTGGTGGGAATTTGAGGCTGGGCCTCGGCGCCAGAGACACCAAAACCAGCAGCGCGCTGAGCGAGCGACGCATCCTGGGACTGGCCGTAGGCATTGTAGTAGTTGTAAGGAAGACGCTGGTCACCAGCGTAGAATGGCGAATATTCGCTGCCGGTGGTGACGGCGGGCTGAACAGGGGCCTGGTTGGCGAATGGCTCCTGGACCTGAGGCTGTGGCTGAGTGACCTGTTGAGTGAACGGGTCGTAGGGCTTTTGAGAGTCGTAGCGAGCAAAGTCAGAGAACGTGTTTTCGGCCGCAGCGGCCTGAGGAACAGGGGGCAAGCCAGGAGCAGGGCGGGAAACGGCAGCCACCTCCTGAGGAGCTTGAGCTTGAGTAGAGGGAGGCAATGAAGCGCGAGGAGCAACGGGGGAGTGCTGAGGAGGCTGAGCACGGGTTTCGGCGTCTTCTCTGTTCTCATCGATGTCAATGTCAGCAGCATCGCCATTCAAGCCCATACTGCCAAACTGCACGGCAGCACGATCAACGGCATGGTTTCCAGGCATGACAACAGCCTCCTGCTGTTCCATGACACGGCGCTGTGTTCCAGGTGTGCGGATAGTCTGCTTGAATGCGCTCGTGGGCAATGCACTAGCGGTGGGGCGGGCGGGAGTGGACGCGGCGGCGACGCTGGGATCAACGGTGCTGCCAACAGTGCTAGCAGCGGTGGCGGACGGGACAGGGGGCGAGACATCGGGGATTTGCGCAAGGTTGTTCTTGGTCAAGTCATCCTTGGCTGGCGAGACGTCGGCTGATGTGGGTGTTGCGATCTGCGCCTCCTCGGCGGGTTGAGGGACTGCTGGCTGGGGAGCCTTCTCGGCGGGAAGAGGGACAGCAACGGGGACGGGCGCAGGAGCGGGGACAGCTTCAGGTTCGACAGGCTTCTCTTCTTCAGGTTCGGGCACAGGAGCGGGTTGTTCAGTGATAGGAGCAGGAGCGGGAGCAGGGGCAGGAGCGACTGGTTTCTTCTGAGGAGACACTGCCGGTTTCGCGAACAACGACGCCCAGTTCTTGGTGCCTTCAGGCACGGCAGAGGTATCCTTCGTGGTAGAGTCTGTTTCCGGAGCAGCCGCATCGACAGACGGAGCATCGACTGTAGTTATCACTGAATCGGCAATAGGAGTAACTTCGGCCGGGAGGGATGGCTTCTCTGTGCGTGTTCCGTTGGCATGAGCGCCAGCCCGACCGCCGCGACCGCCACGGCCACGATCTCCACGAGCGCGACCACGGCCTTCAAACCCGCCGCGTCCACGTCCTCCTCGGACGGCAGTTGTAGCGGGCTCGGTTGGGGTGGTCTGTACATCCTTGGGCTTGGGGCGGCTCCGGTCGGTAGTCTTCTTCTCTACTTTTCCCCACTGGGAGACGTTGCCTATTGTGAGACCGAGTTAGAAGGAGAACACGCTGACAGACCATCCAATTGAATGAGACACAAGATTGACGAACCTTCACTAATGCGATCAATTGCCTGCTCAAGGTCACCACCGGCATCCTCCAAGGCGAAGACCAAGTCCTCGTCCGTCCAGTCAGAGAACAGCTCCTTCAGCATAGGCAGAGTATCCGAGTATTTCTTCTTCATCTGGCCGAGCTCTCCTTCATCTTCGTATGTAGGCTCTGAAACGTCGGGCTTTGTGGATCTGCTGCCACCTCGACCACCTCTGGAGCTGTAACCGCCACGGCCACCACGGGCGGATACCCTGCCACGAGAGGCAGAAGACCTCGATTGAACTTCAGACATGTTGCTGCACAATCTCTGATTCTCCGGGGAGAAATGTGATGGAGCTCGAAGGAATCTAAGGAAGACGAAAGGTAGAAAATAAGATGCGGCGAGTGGGAGGAAAAAAGCGGGTAAAAAGAGGTTCGTTTAGTGTTGTCGTCCTCCGTAACGATCACAGATGCAGCCTCTCGCGTGAGGCAGCACCAAGGCACGGGAGAAGAGCCGCGAGGGACCGAAATCGAGCAAGAAAAGGAATTGAAGATGCGGAAAGAAGCTGCTGGGACGAAATGGGCGACAAGAATGAACGGGGAGGGTTGAGTATTAGAGTGGAAGGGAGGAGTAGGAGGGAAGTTGAGGGAGAAGAAATGAGGTTTTCAGTGGAGAGCGACCAGCGACCGGGCGATGAAAGACCACAGCTTGGGTCCTGCTGCTCCCTGGCCCGATCAATCGAAACAAAGCCGCTGCGTGCTTGTCCTACAACTCTATATATACAACAGGGGCTGCGACCAATATAGTTTCTTTTATTGTTCTCTCTTTCACGGCATGTACATAGATCGACCAGCAGTCCCATCGTTGTGGGATTTCGTCATCTTTTTGGCTTCGATCTATCCATGGATTCTGTGCCACTACGGAGTACCTAGGTAACTAGTACACCTCACGAATCATGACGGAGAGACAATGGATCAATGACCCTGTAGCTGTTCCTTGCTCAACAACTTATAGAGCATCTGTAGCAAAGTTTGTTATCGATAATAAGGCGATAATTGTCTTTCAAGGGGCTCAGCTGAGTCCGTTCTTGACTGGACCTGTATTCGTGGCGGTTGCTGGCAGGCCGGCAGCCCTTTCTCACCGCCCGCCTTCCGTTCTCGAGACTTGCCATGGCCCAACTTGTGACGAGGAATCATCATCATACGATCAGGGTCTCGAGTGAAAGACTCATGTCAACCACCGACACTTTGCACTGTTAGGAGGCATAATTATCGCACCATGAAGGTTTCCAATGTTTTCGGTTCAAATCCCTGGTCGAGAATCCATTTCCCATTGCCGCAGACTCCTCGCCAGTCTCAACAGCTTTTGAATGCCCTTACGTCCTCTTTCCGTCGCGAACTTGATCGTGAACATCCTCCCACCGCATCCTCTCCAGACGAGGTCTCCGGTGTCAATAATGCCTCTAATGGGCATCGTCTGAACGAGGTTCATCCTCAATCCTCCGTTCATGCTACCGAACAACATCTCCGCACACTTCTCGATAATCCCCTCTTCCGCGTATCGCTCTCCACACATGGCGTCCGGTCCCAACCACAGTTAGATGCGGACGGATTAAGGCCTCGGAAAGAACCTATGGTCATTTTCGACGAACTTGTAGCCTCCGGGTCTGCTACTGTGGCGTCCGTCTCAGATTGTCTCAATTGGCAGCTGTTAATAGCCAGCCGTCACAGCGGCGAAGAGTTTGTCAAGGCACTCAGGGACTCTCAGGCAGGCTCCAGGGTCTTTTCCTGGTGGTCTTCTTCAGATTCGATGACGAAACGCGACTTTATCACAAACGTAAGAGCGGTGCGCAGCACATGCAAGGCTATGGCTGCGGAGGGGCTACAAAGCTCGGTACTGGCTTGGCTGAAAATGTTAGGCGACTGCAATGTTGGTGGCTATCCAACATCCACACGCTTCGCGGAAACAAATTTCAAGTATCTTTTGGGGAATTTCCTCAAGGCGGAAGTCGAATGCGGCGGCGGAATAGGTTCTTCTCTACGTTTTTATCTCGACGCATGCAGGGTACTCGTGCCAATGAGTGATGGGAGACCGAGACTGTCCCTGAAAATAGCTCTTGGTGCACCAGCGGCCTATCTCATCGACAACATCGACAGATTTTTTCTGCACCAGAATACCGAACTTCCTATCCCAGTCGACCTATACGATGAATACGCACAGATGGTATCTATGCTGGAGCTCGGTAAGCTTCAAAGCGCCATTATAGCCATCCACCACCCAACGCGTCCAGATGCACAGCCGTTCGTTCAATTTCTGCACGGTATACGGCCAGCAGATTTCGAATTGTGGCCTCAAGCTCGGCGTACCAAAATTGTGCGAAAAGCTTTTGATGCACTGCGTGTTTTAACTGAGGCTGGGAAGCCAAAAGACGTCTTATATGTGACAAAGTTCCTGGCACAGCATACGCAGCCAATCCACACAGCGCAAGGGCCCAATTCACCGCCCGTGGAGGAAGAGCCGCTACGCGCCCTTCTAGACCCGAAATTGGCCCTTTGAGCGTAGTTTGACCGCTCCCGTACGGTCACGATGGATGATTTCTCGAGGACAGCCTGGCTCTGTTGCTCTCGCTGACCCTTATCCTGGATCTTCAAATTTGTAGCTCCTGAACCTCTATAAGTACGGAGCCATGAAGACGAACCAAAAGACTTGCAATGCTATTTAACTCGGCTTCTGGGCGAATGCATTGCTGAGGGATGGTTCTCCGCATCCTGCTCCACAAGCAGCCGCGCCAAATGCCATGGGGTCTCGTTCTTGGCATGCTGCCCGAGTTGGACCGTGGGTCTAGATTGGAGAGTAACTATGCTTACACGGAGTTGCGTTTCGGGTCTTTTAGCGTGAATTGCTTACTTTGTTTGCGGGCGTGATCTCTGAGAGGTCTAGAGTCAAGAGAGGACAGCCGAAATTACTATTTCTCCGCAGATGCTCTTAGTAAACGTCACCACGCAACCACCTCTTGATCACCTCAATTCCACTCACTTCGCACCTCAGATTGATCAACATCTCACGAGCTTGCGGATTCCCAAATTGCTTTCTAATCCAAGAACAGTTGGCTTCCAGATTAAACTAGCAAAATTTTGATAACCGCATCTGTCATTTCTACTTTTACCCCATTCAACATATCATGGCCTCTGCACCTTCAATCACCGCTCTTGTGTCAGGTACGTACACTGTTCTTGATGACGACAATACAAGTGCTCAAATTTTTTGGGATGGATGATACTAAATTTGTTCTAGACCCTGTAAACAAGCAGTCGTTCAATGATGCTCCGCACCAGAACGGCGATATCCATCCTTCTAAGCCAGCGGAGGATTCTACTTTGATCAAGTCAACCGACGCGAACTCATCAGAGACCCGCGCTACAGCCAATGGGAACCTCAATGAAATCCTATCAGGACATAAAGCAGATGAACCCAATGTTGGCGAGAAGCGAGAGCTTGAAAAGCTCACCACCACGAAACCCGGCGTTGAGGGAGTGCCAGAGCGCGACTCTAAAAAACAGAAAATAAACGAGGATGCATTCGCCGCTAATGCTGCATCTGCCCCTGCACAGCCAGAGAAAGTTGAGCCTAGCCAGACTGCACCGCAGAAGAAAAAAGGTGGACGACCCAGGAAGACCAAGGATACGGTCAAGAAAGACATCCCTACAGATGGCATCGGAAGTCGTACCCGCAGCCGCACCAAGATCATTGTTTGATATTTCTCTATCATCTTGTTCTCATTGTATGTAAGACAGAGTGGAGTGGTGACGTCGCTCGGAAGGTCGTGCCTTTATGCTTGTGAGCAGAGTGCCTCTATCGAGTCCTCTCATTTACGATGTTTGCTAAAAAAATGGCCATTGGCCTCAACAATTTACGTATGGTCTATGAGCATCTTTCTCGGTCCTCGAACACCGCAGTCGTTCTCCGTAATACTATTTGATGGATTCATAGGATCATAGTATGATTGTAACACGAGTTGCCGACATCGGCAAGTAGCTACGGAGTATGTGGACAGGAAGCTGACTCACGCAGTTTCGGAACGGAAGAACCATGCTCATCGATAATTTCCCCCACTATCACAGGAGGGGAAAGTCGGTGTCATAGATTGAAGAGTCATACAAGGCCTTTTTGACTGTTATTCCATCTTTCTTGGACACAATTCAGCGGCTATTTTGAATTTGTACCGCAATTGATTTCCAGACACAATGGGTTCCAACAAGATCTGGCTGCGCGCTGAGACCAAGCCCGCCGAAGCGCGGTCTGCTTGTATGTGAATTTCCCATACATTGAAGTACCGTTTGCTGAATTGATGGACAGTGACTCCCACCACCTGCAAGGCTCTCATTGATGCTGGCTATGAGGTGACAGTCGAGCGATCTACTCAGCGTATTTTCGACGGTAAGCCTCGTCCCATGGATGCCAATCGCATGCTCAAAGCAATTGTCGGCATTGACTCACCACTGGCTCATGATATTTTGCGCTGGACCTTGCTGACTTTGGTCTTTGGTAGATGAGGAATTCGCCAAGGTTCGAGTGCTCGAAAACCAATTGCGACGAACTCCGATTCTGACTACACATGGTACAGGTTGGCGCTCCTCTTGTCGAGGAAGGTTCCTGGGTCAAGGATGCGCCCAAGGACGCATACATTTTGGGTCTCAAGGAGCTTCCTGAGGATGACTTTCCTCTCGAGCACGTTCACATCTCATTTGCGCACTGCTACAAGGAGCAGGGCGGCTGGGAGAAGGTCCTGAGCCGGTGGCCTCGTGGTGGCGGTGTCCTCCTCGACCTGGAGTTCCTCACCGATGATGTCGGTCGCCGTGTTGCTGGTAAGGAGCTGAATTGGGTAGAATTTCGGGGATAGAACTGATGAGACTTTGCGCAGCCTTCGGTTTCTCCGCCGGATATGCTGGTTAGTTCACCGTTTCGTACATGCTGGAACATGACTGGAAGCATGCTTACACTTATTTCAGGTGCCGCTCTGGCCGTCAAGAACTGGGCCTGGCAGTTGACGCATCCCGAGGGCGAGCCTCTTGCTGGCGAAAAGCCTTACGCTAACCAAGATCTTCTGATTGAGTCCGTCAAGGCCTCACTCCAGGCGGGCCAGAAGCAGTCTGGAAAGTCCCCGAAAGTCCTGGTTATTGGTGCTGTGAGTACCCCATCGGCGCTCCCGGGGCATTTCTGACCTTATGTCTTGTAGCTTGGACGCTGCGGTAAGGGTGCTGTGCAACTGGCCAAGGATGTGGGCATTCCCGAGTCCGACATTATTGAATGGGATATGGAGGAGACCAAGAAGGGTTTGTGCTTTTGACCTTTTTGATGCTCCAAACGCTAATGGTGACTAGGTGGTCCCTTCAAGGAGATTGTCGAGGACGCCGATATCTTCGTCAACTGCATTTACCTATCTGCTAAAATTCCTCATTGTAAGTCATCTCCATGATCATATCGAGAACGTGCAATGTCTAATACCTGCTCCTCAGTCGTCAACGTTGAGAGCCTCTCAACGCCCAACCGTCGCTTGTCCGTCATCTGCGATGTGAGCGCTGACACGTATGGCCGTTTCCCTCGAAGCATTGTATGCCTGTTACTAATGGTACCCTTAGCACCAACCCCAACAACCCTATCCCTGTCTACAACATCACCACCACTTTCGACAAGCCCACAGTCCCTGTCACTCTGCCCTCCGGCACCCAGGGCACACCTCTCAGCGTGATCAGCATCGATCACCTCCCATCGCTTCTTCCACGTGAGAGCTCCGAGATGTTCAGTGAAGCGCTGATGCCCAGCTTGCTTCAGCTGAAGGACCGTGAGAATGCTCGCGTATGGAAGCAGGCCGAGGACCTCTTCAACGAGAAGGTTGCCACTCTGCCCAAGACGGCGTAGATCTGAAACGCAATGCATGCCAAATATCCCGAGGTAGCCTTGCATGAACTTTGTATGGATTAGGGTTATGATAGATTCGGAAGCAAAAGCTTTAGATAATGAACATATTCGGGCAATACTTTGATGTATCTTTCCATCTGATCCAGGATCTGCTAAATGTTCTGCCGGACATTATACGCGTCTCACCGATGCCTCGGTGCAGCGAACTCAATTGATCATCGCTCCAAGTTCGGTCTCCAACGTTTCATCTCCATTATTATCCATCCCACGCCGAGCTCTTAACAACCCCACTCGCATCATTTCCCCAACTTACGGATGCCCTCTTGAAGCAGACATCGCAGGCACTAGAAGTCACAGCCTAGTCACAACTCACCGTGGCGTCACTGACCGTCCAGCAAAGGATCTGCAGGTCTATCGACCGCAAATCCCCTCTGGCGCCCACTTCGTCGTCAATCGTGACGGAAATCCGACCGCAATTATTGGCTCTGCTGACGTCCGCTGAGGCGTGAGAATGGAGTCCTGAGGCAATTTAGCCTTACTAGCCGTCCAGCCTGAATCTGGATTATTTTGTTCAGTCTGTGAAGCTGCCCTGGAGAAGAAGGATGTGGGGACGCCGACGGAGCTTCGGGCACTACCTACAGCGACTGCGGTCGGCGCTGAAGAACATCTGAACATCTGCGCTCAGTCTGCAGCCTTGCTTCCATTTGCTTTTCTTTCCCCCACTGATTGCGAGGGATCTTACTGCTGACGGATAAATCCTCGAGCCGCAGCCTTTCGCTGGTTATTGTGCTGCCTACGTATTTCTCTGAACGACCCCTCCGGACGCAGTCGGAAGCTGGCATCCTTCATCAGCACTACTACCTACGGTACCCCAGTCTCTTTTCTCTCCGCAGCCCGCACGGCGCACAGCCTTCCCCGAAACTTGGTTGGGGTCTTTGATGGCAAATTTATTCTTCCACGGCTGACATCCGCCCCGCTTTCTGGCTCACATATTCTGGAGAACGACATCTTGGAAAGAGTGCTGGTTCCAAGCTGGGGCTCCAGATACATCACGAGCGACAGTCATTGCTTTTTCGCAGCCCAGAGACAACGCCTGTGCGCAGGTTTCACTTGCAGGCTTTGTTATAGGCGGCCCATGGAAGACCAATAAAATAGCAGCCGAACAGCCCTCGTACGAGAAATCCGCGGGTTGATGCAGGAAAAACCAACCACTGTTGCCGCTTATGCGGCGGGAGCGTCTCTGGCGGCTGTTGCTTTGTTCTACGTCTTTGGGCCAAATTATACCATTGATGGAGATGATGTAGGGGGGAACCGCAAGAAGAGCATCGTTGGCCTTTCCAACCCCGCCAATGACTGCTTCATCAACTCCGTGCTCCAGGCGCTTGCCGGCCTAGGAGATCTGCGCTTGTATTTGATTCGAGAGCTCCATCGGCGTGAATTGGATGGCCCTGAAATCTATAACCAGTTGCCCGAGTCGGATGAGCAGTTGCGCGAGAAGAGACCGGATCGTGTCCGGGAGCTGCAGCAGGGTACGATCACCAGGGCGCTGAAGGAGATGCTGGATCGGTTGAATGAGCGGCCGATCTACAAGAAGACGATCTCGGCACGCGGCTTTATCCAGGCCTTGGAGTTTGCGTACCGCACGCGAATCAGTCGCAACCAGCAGGACGCGCAGGAGTTCCTGCAAATTGTGGCTGAAAGGCTGTCTGACGAGTACCATGCCGGTGTCAAGGCACGCCAGCGGGCGGAAAAGTCGATCGAAGACAGTCCCGATCAAGGCAGTGAGGAGGCTCCATCTGAGATTGAAGTGCGAGTAGATGATGGCTCAGAAAACGGCCTCCCCGCCATCATAGACACCAAGCTCAAAGAGATTGACAACGAGTACGGCTTTCCTTTTGAAGGTAAGATGGAGTCCCAGATTGAATGCCAGTTCTGCCACTACAAATACAAGCCCAACCAAACGACATTTGTCAACTTGACTCTACAAGTCCCGCAGAAGAGCTCTACCACGCTCAATGCATGCTTCGACGGCCTTCTCAAGACTGAATACATTGACGACTTCAAATGTGATAAATGCCGGCTGCTACACGCAATTGAAGTGAAATCAAACGGGCTTATCAAAGCTCGTTCAGCAATGGACAGGCAGTCCTTAGAAGCTGAAATAGAGAAGATCCAGATCGCTCTTACCAGTGATCCGGAGTGCGCTCTGGACGGAGTGACGCTACCACCGTCAGAGCTTGCCCCGAAGCGCAAAATTGCGAGGCATATGCGGATTACGGTCTTCCCGAAAATCATCGCCATCCATCTCTCACGATCGATGTTTGACCGAAGCGGTTCCACGAAAAATGCCGCGAAGGTCTCTTTTCCTGAACGACTTCCGCTTGGAGGCATTCTCGACCAAAAGTGGTTCAAATTGCTAGCCATCGTCTGCCACAAAGGCAGCCATAATAGTGGACATTACGAATCATTCCGGCGAAACCATCTCTACCCTCCATATTCGACACCCAGCGTCTTCAGCTCCTATGCACAAAGTCGCGCAGCCAGCGAGAATCCCTCACGTGTGGCAAGCCCGCGTCTTCCTGCCAGTAGCAGCAGCACAGAACCCCCAGTTCTCAACATATCGACTCCAGTCTCACCATCTTCATCTCTCTCTCCGGACTCGCCACCCAGACCCTCCTCAACAACTGACCTCAAGAATACTCGCCCGGCCACATCCAGCTCCCGCGTCTCTTTCCAGAGTACACGCTCGTCCTCTAAACAGAACCTCTCACCTACATCTGCGCAACGTGGCTCGTCATCTCTCGATACGGCTCGCCTTAGCAGCCCTGCTTCGCGATCATCCCTTGCTGAGCGAAACGCCTCAGCAACAGACACGGAGGCTAGTGCAAGCGCAACAGTTGCATCACGGCTGCGGCGTCGCCGCAAACCGGCTGATCGGTGGTGGCGGATCTCGGATGAGAAGATCAAGGAATGCAAGACCTCTGACGTGCTGGGCATGCAGAAGGAAGTGTATCTCTTGTTCTACGAGATGGAGAAGACGGCCGCTTGAGGCCTTGGTTGTTCGTCTACACTTGCTCGCATTTTTGGGAGAGTGGTTGGATCTCTACCTTACGGTTCATTAGTACATACGTTTGTGGAGACTTGATTGTCTAAGAATTTCATAGAGTACATTCGCATAACTGGACATGGACGTCTATCGTTTCTGTTCTGCTTTGGCTAAATATAGAGGGTGCTGTGTCGGTTGTGTTTCTTCTCTTTTCCTTATCCATTCACGGTATGGATATACCGACTGTCCGAGCTCTTTATGCATCAAACAATTGTAGAAATCCAAGTTTCAAACCCTATGTCAGAGTTGACACGACAATTAGACGTAACAGACCCAGGAAGAAGTCAGCAGGATATCTAAGATCTTACGAATCGCAGAATGTCCAAGAGCCTACCTAGGAAAGGCCAGACTATATTCGTCCCATACAAAAGTCAACGTTGGAAACTTAGGTGACACTCTCACACATGCTGGAATACGTTATGGAGAATCTCATTTCTCTAGGAAATGTCTCAAGAATCCCAGCTTGAGCGTTAGGAGTTGAAACAGGAGCACGACTCACTATACATACCTACAATGGCACCTAAAAATAATCCCTACACTTAGACATCAATCAATTGTCTTTCCTCAGTTTCTTTGTTAAGCCTAATACTTGTCTCATAATGGCTACCTTCTTTGACATTGAAACGTGGTGAAGACACTGCCAACCCTACGGTAAAGGGTGTATACAAAGAGCTCATACCTAGGGGTTTGTCTAAACAAAGAGTTCAGTATATACTCTCTACACAGCGCACGAATATAGATGTATGATCGAGACAGTAAAGCGATATGGAACAGTTTGGAGCCAGACTTGGATCTGTAGTGATTAAGGATAGTTAAATAATCCTTCCTGTCTCCTGATGGAGGATTTTAGCATGCATACTGAAGTTTTGAATTCATGAAATACGATCTACACTTTGATAGTGTCTATACATCCATACATTCTATAGTATAATACAGCACAGATACGTCTTCATGGCTATACCTTACATTATAGTCCCACCTAGACCAGAGGGGTACTACGAGCCCTATCTCAAGTCCATGATGGCCGACGATGACGACGACGACTACAACTACAACTACAACCACCGCGGGAAACGGCCAAAAGACGACAACAAACAGGACGGCCTCATCGACGCCGAGCCAGTTCGGCCATGGTATGCGAGAGATTTTCCCGTCGAATACCCTCTACCACGACACTCACCACCACCGGTACTCCCCCCACTGCCACGGCGTTTCTCCTGGTCGTCCGATGATGATCTCCCTCCGCCTCCGAAGGTGGTGATCCGAGCCCTGCCACCGGCTCCAATGATGCCGGTTCCCCCCAAGAAGCGGCTTGAGGGGGTCCGGCAGGTGCTGGGTAGTGCGCTTAATGTTTTGGCGGGCGCGCTGCAGTTCAGAGGAGGAGGCAATGTGAATGCAGTTGAAGGTAATGATGCTCAAGCAGGAGATGGGGCTAGTACCCATGGTGAGCCTGAGCCTCAGCCTGAACCTGAGCGTGCTCCTGCCTCCCCTCCTGTTTCTCCACGGATCCTCGAATATGTCGAGTATCATGGAGACGACTCCGTGGATGCCCCAGGAGAGCAGAGCGAGGCGGAGAGCAGCAGTAATGAGAGAAGAGACCCCTGGAATTTCATGGCACCAGGGTCAGGATATTATTCGAACAGCAACGGGTCGAGTGTAGATGGCGAAGCCGATGCCGAGGAAGTGCAAGAAGAGGAAGCCAGCGGGAGGACGGCGGAGCCTCTTATCTCCGACCCCAGCTCCGGCTCCGACGATCAGCTGCCGGCCAACGACTCCCTCCCCCCTTCCCACTTCTACAGCCCAGACGTTCCACGCCCGTCCGTCGAGGACGACAACGGCGAGGCGCTTGCTGCCAGCCCCGCGGCAAGCCCGATCCGCTTGTTCTCCGACGATGTTCCTGCTCGCAGGCCTTCACCAAACCTCGTCCTATCTCCGACTCGACCAGAGGAGCCAGAGAAGGACGAGGGCCAGAGTCCCCCTAAAGACGAAGCTGCCGCCCTTGGTGGCGATGGCTCAACTGGTTTGGCACCAGCTTCGTCAGAGTGCCCTGCAGAACCCGTACCTGCAGCTGATGAAGAGAATGTGCCAGCTACCGACGCTGCTCCGGAGGAGCCTGGTGATCGTTCGCCTGTTCAGGAACAAACGTCGCTAGGCCCGTCTCCTGATTCATTCGTGCAATCGGTGGAAGACAATTGTCAAGACTCTGCAGAAGCCGGAGGCGCTGCTGCGCAGCCTGGTAATGGCTCATCTGCTTTCGCACAAACGTTGCGAGAGCTGTCGCCTGACATGATAGCGCAGCTGGAAGAAAATGAGGCACAAATTTCCGGTAATGACGCTACTTCTGTGCGGATCAGCGATGGTCTCTCTGGCCAGGCTCTAACAGCACCAGACTCTCCTCCTGGTCCACGACCGCAGCCAGAGCGGGATGAAAGCCGAGCCACAGCAGACGCTGCTTCTACTCAGGCCGGAGATGACTTGCCTGCTTTTGGGCGAACATCATCGGACTCTTCTCCTGATCGAGTAGTAGAGCTGAATCAGGATGAGGATCAAGCTTCCGCAGACGCTGCTTTTATTACAGGCAATGACTCGCCCGCTCCTGTACCAACGTCGCCAGATTACATGGCAGGCCCTCTAAATGCACCTGCAACACTAACAGGTGACGGAGGGCTTTTGTTTTGGGCCAGCACAGCTTCTTCTCCTCCAAAATTAGGTGCTGCTTCTCTCGACCCTCCATCACCACGGCCACGGCGCTTCACAGACCCTAACCCTATACAGCCATCAGATGATGAATGGGAAGTATCGCCTATAGATGTTGCTTCGGGCCAGGGCGATAATGGTTCTGATTATGGCTCCGGCTATGGTAATACGCCACGCTCACAGGGATCAAAACTGAATACGCCGGATCAGGTGGTTGAAAATGAGCGGAGAGAGGAGAATGAAAGTGAAGAAGACCAGCAGGGTGACCAAGATGACCAGCGGGACGACCAGGATGACCAGCGGGATGAGCAGGAGGATGAGCAACAGGATGAGCAGCAGGATGAGCGGCAGGATGAGCAACAGGATGAGCTACAGGATGAGCAGGAAAATGAGCGAGAGGATGAGCAGGAGGATGAGCAACAACACGATCCTGATGCACCAATTCAGTCAATTGAGGATGATTCCCCCCTCAACAGCCAAGATAATTCCCGCGCCAACAGCCAGAACAGTTCCCGCTCAAACAGCCAGAAGAATTCCCGCTCAAACTCGGACAACTCCCTCTTCACTGAAAAAAGCAGCAATGCTAGCAACAACAAGAAGGGGAGCCAAGATAATTCCCGCWCCAACAGCCAGAACAGTTCCCGCTCAAACAGCCAAAAGAGTTCCCGCTCAAACTCGGACAACTCCCTCTTCACTGAAAAAAGCAGCAATGCTRGCARCAACAAGAAGGGGAGCCAAGATAATTCCCGCRCCAACAGCCAGAACAGTTCCCGCTCAAACAGCCAAAAGAGTTCCCGCTCAAACTCGGACAACTCCCTCTTCACTGAAAAAAGCAGCAATGCTGGCAACAACAAGAAGGGGTTGCGGCAGGGGCCATCATTTTCTAACCCCCAGCTCAATATGGATCTTCCGGGGGGATACAACCCTGGGCCCTCATCACCGAGGAGGGAGGTTCCTAACCCCCAGCTCAATATGTATCTTCCGAGGAAGTATGGACCTGGGGGATCACCTACAGATGTAGACACCGAGAAAGATAGCCAGGAAGAACCATGGCTCATGAACCCTGAATTGGAAAAAGAGATCGACGAGTTGAACCTCGTTAGTCTATCCCCCTCAAACAGGTAAGCAAGGCTTATGCCGACTTCTCTTCATTTATACTAATCAACTATAGGTCTCCGTCGATGTCCCCTGAGCCTCCAACTCCAAGGGAGTCTGATTTTCTGTCCCCTGAGCCTCCTACCCCAAGAGAACCTCCGCGATGTACCCCTCAAACTTCAGGGTCAACTTCACCTGAGCCACCCACTCCAAGAGAGTCCGATTTCCCTGGCTTTTCTGGTGTGTCGATGTCTCCTGAGCCTCCAACCCCAAGAGAACCTCCTCAGAATAATCCTTTTGAAAATGGTCCTCCTAGGAGTGGTCTTTTTGGCGATAGTTCTTCTGATGGTGGTTCTTCTAATGGTAGTTCTTCTGGGGATAGTTCCCCAACAGCTTCTGCATCACGTCCATTATTGCGTACTGTAGCTGGGAGAGCAAACGTGCCTAATTCACCTCCTAGTTGGGACGGAGACTCTCAATCTGGACGTCGAAGAGTGCGCAACAGGACCAGAGACGCGACTACGCCTCCTGCACCTAATTCCAGGGAAGGGAACGGTCCATCTCAAGGCCAGGAAGGTAGAAGGCGGGTGGAGTTGGACGAGGCCTATGTGGATAATGGAGGGGGAGATGATATTGAGGAGGAGGCGGAAGTTAATAACAATAATGAGGGCGATGAACTCGCAAGCACCGCAAGGGCCCCGAGAGGTAGGAAACGCACCTCGCCCTCTGGCCCTGGCCCTCGCGCAAAAAGAGTAAACTTGGGGGGCAGTGGTCAAGCTCTAGGAAGTATAGGAATAGGCGGCCTTAGACGAAGCGCAAGAACTCGAAATAATGGCAACGGAACGACGACAACGGCCACCGGGGCCACCGGGGCTATCGGGGCCACCAACGGCGCTGGAGGCGCTAGAGGCACACGAGGCGCAGATACTTTGTCTGGTGGCCAGGCGGGTGCAAATAAAAGAAAGAGAGGAGCAGGCACGACAGCCTCAGCTGGCTCAGACGCAGATGCAGGTGCAGGCAAGACCTGGGGTACGTATCCCATTCCCTTCCACTCATGTTCATATTCTGCATTACAATATCAGAAACTAACTGCAAATTTCCTCGCAGAACCATCTTTGGTAATGAATAGCGTCCCCACAAAAGCCTGTTCTATTTATGTCCTTGGGATTAACAGGCTCGGCCAGCTTGGTATGAGTGATCATGATATGTACATGAAGCCCACCAAAAACAAGAAGCTAGAAAAGGTGATACAGGTAGCGGCTGGCCGTTATCACTGCATTGCCATCACTGCCGACAACAAGATTTGGACTTGGGGTGACAATTCATATGGGCAGCTGGGAAGGGACTCACCAGGTTTCGAGGGCTTCGACACAACGCCCCCGTATAACGGTAACACGCGCAAGGGCAAAAGTCAAGAGAAGGGCCCGGAATCCGGCAAAGATCCGCAGCCGGGACGCCAAGTTGAATGGGAACCCAAAGAAGTTTCCTTCGACGAATTCGATTTTCACCCTGACACGAGATTCGTGCAGGTCGTAGCAACGGATATGGCGTGTCTCGTTCTGACGAACTTTGGTGATGTGTTTGGCTGGGGAACCTTCAGAGTACGTTTCCCGCATCGATTTGACTTGGAACATAATGCTGACCAAATGTGTTGTATAGGAGGGAGACGCAGTAGACATGAATGTTGAATCAAGAGTGATCGGCTTCCGCCGTGACAAGAAATACCAAACCACCCCATATCTTATGAAAGAAGTCAGAAACGTCAGGCGGCTCGCCGCCGGCGCCGAGCACGTCCTCGCCCAGGTCGCCGTGACAATCGAGCAACCTAAGGAAAAGGTGAAGAGGAAGGATAACCAGGATAACCAGAGGAACCAGGAGAACCAGAGGAACCAGGAGAACCAGGAGAACCAGAGGAACCAGAGGAACAGGAAAGAGTATAAGGCACAGAAGAAGGACCTAGCCGGTCCCCCAGTTGACGGATCCGTGATCACTAGAGACATAGTCAAGTCCTGGGGCGGCCACAGACACGGTCAGCTCGGCCGTTGTAAGCCTCTACCTACTGACGTCACCTGCGTTAACCCAAACAATTGTTACTTCGGCGATAATAACCATGCACGTTGGAAAGTGGATGATAACGACATAGACACCATTGGCGCAGGCAAATATCAGAGTTTTGTTATCATGAAGGGAGGCCGTGATGTATTTTCCTGGGGATATAACTATTGTTATCAGACGGGTCATAGACATGGACACAACGCGGCTACCTTCATTTATGGACCTGACAATAACACAAAAACGCCTGACAAAACCACCGTTTACTGGGGCGAACCCCGTGTTGTTACATCCGTGGGCGGGGGCTTCTGGCATGGCGTTGCAATAGGAGATGACACCCTGGGCAGACAAGGAAAAGACAGACAGTGTTGGACTTGGGGCCTTGAACTTAACTCGAACGGTTTGTTGGGAGTCCCCACTGCCTACATTTCCCCAACTGATAGCAACGGAGTTACCGTGCAAAGACCCATTCGCGTTCAAGACACTTCAGGAGCTAGACTGGGCAATGTCGAGGAGGTGTTTCCCGGGTATCTACATACGGTTGCGGTCTTGAGGGACGGGAGAGCGATGGGTTGGGGAGCTAATTGGGCGGGCGAACTTGGAGAGGCTGGAAACCATTGGACCAGGTACAGAAGCCTCAATGGGAATTATTGTGACGCGGCGACACAGATCCAGGTGCCGGGGGATGTTGTTTCGGCTGCTGTGGGTCTCATGTTTACCATCTTGCTTGTGGAGAATGAGGAAGATGAGGAGGATGAGGAGGATGAGGAGGATGAGGAGGATGAGGAGGATGAGGAGGATGAGGAGGATGAGGAGAATGAGGAGAATGAGGAGAATGAGGAGGATGAGGAGGATGAGGAGCGTCAGAGGTATAAGAAGCGTCAGAGGTATGAGGGATATTATGCGGCCGGGGATGGGGAGCATGGGGAGCATCCGGGGTATGACGAGGTTGAGACGAACGTCTTAATGTTAAGGGACTGAAATTAGTTGAGGTTTGGACTTGGGACTTGGGACTGGGGATGGGGATGCTGTGGTTGTTTCTTGTATATAATCTGCTTTTGCTTTTTGACCTGGCTATCTATTACTTTAGCCTAGATTCTGTCTTCTTTACTTGGATATACATGTATATAGTACTAGTGCTATTCCCTCGACTAGATGTTCTTCTATATAGAACTATATATAATGCTCACACTTTATACCAGCATCCCCTATAAAGAGACACTCAATATCCATGGTACCTGTCTTGTGATTAGGCTAGCCCAACTGAACGGACGCAACTTCCTATCAAGGGCCAAAGTCAAAGTTGGCTAAGTTAGGGTCCGCTCCCGCCGCGCCGGAGTATTAAGGTTATTGCCCTTCGATACAATACTGGCGCGAGATGAGATAAGCGCTCTAACTCCGGTGGCGAGCTGAGTTTTTAGGTATGGCATCGTACGGTACGTGCTCGGAGCTTCTCGCCGAACTCTACTTGTACCGGTCAGGTACATGTCCTTGTGCTTGTGCCTGTGCTTGCGGTATACGTGGAGGTCCTACTTACATTATACGTTTTAGTTTTACAGGCTACGGGTGGAAGGGGAAATGTAGGAAAGGACCTAGTGTCCTCTATTCTAATCACATTCTCTATCTTGAGCTTGGTAGCCAAAAGCGACAATGCAGGGTATCGCAGCATAGTCCAAGCTTGGTATCTGGAACGCCGAAAATAAAAAAAGTAGAGAAAGCTAAAGCAGAAGCGATGTGGGCATCGCACAGTCTGATAGCGCGAGTTGAAAGACATAACTTTTGAGGTAATAGAAGTGGCCAAAAGCAAGGATGAGGGCAAGAGCGAGGGCTAGGTAGCTATCACTGCCATTTTCGCCCCGTCAGCACTGAAGTGTCTTTGATACGCGTTGAGGATGTTGTTGAATACATACCCCGAACACATACCAAAAGAGTCTGGGGCATCTCCAGACCTGCTTCAGGCCGCAGCTGATATCGGACGGGGAGGCTTGTCAGGCAAGAAGCGGTGGAAGTCCCCAACCTTCTCGAGCGAGCTCTTCACCTTCTCGATTTGCTCTTGGATCCGCTTGAGCCGCCCCCATTCTTCGTTTATGGCCGCATCCAACTTAGCATAGCCCACGTCGTTGTAGTCGTCTCCATTCTCTGCCTTGTCGACTTGGTCGTTTGGGAGAGCTAGATCGGGTACGACATCGTCATCCGTAGGCGCATCATAGCGATTATCCATCTCGTCGTCAGTAGGCTTGGCGATGCTGTCCTGACCGTAGTGGACCCTGTCATGATCAAGGCCCCAGTCCACCCTATGATCAGTGGCAAAAGCAAAATGTTCTGTAACATATTTCTCTGGCTCAAACACCGGACGTTCTTCCGCGTTGAGGCCATCATCTAGACCAGAGTTCCGGATTGCAGTATCAGAAAAAGGGTGCACCTCAGGGGTGTCTCCAGTGAAAAACTTCCGGGATCTGACGGACTCTTGTATGTCATCTAGCTCCCAAATCCAATCGTCCATTTGCACGACGAGATCACTGTAAACATGATGGACAAAATCATCTGGATCGGTGAAACGAGTTGAGCGCGGGACACGCTTAGGAAGTTCAACTCCTCTGGACGGATATCCGCTGATCGAACAGAGGTAGGGGCTGTGGAGAGTTGGATAGTACTGGCCATCCACGGTATCGGAGTCGCTGTCCATTGGGGTTGGTTTCTGCTGGTTCGGGCAGCAGGCAGGTAGTAATCTGGGGGTCTGGTGATGGTTCGGACCTGAGGAGGCTTTGATTTTGGAGAAGCAGACGAAGTGAAGCAAATAATATACAGATGTTACAAAGAAGAGAATATCAAGAAGATCAAGTGAACAGTCAACTGCTGGCCACCCCAAGGGGTTTATATAGTACGTTGAAACCTTATTGATGCCGCCATTCCATGACACATTTCCATCCCAGTGAGTATGCACTGAGAGCCATGGCGGAATACCAGCCCTAGTTTGTAGTGGCACCGAGGTGCTCCGCGAGGAGCTCCCAGTTCGGATGAGTCATGACAAGAAAAGTCTGAGTCTCACATCAGTATCAAATCTGTAAATCTGTGAGGTCAGCATCATTCCAAGCCAACATACAGCCATCGCATGATGAGGCGAAGGCAGTGACGTGTAGAACTATAAAGAGGAGACAGATTTCCCGTTGGTTGGGAGCTGCCTCTTTGAAACTTAGTATAGGGGGATAGTCCCGGGTCCTAAGAATCTCCAAAGGCAACTCCGTAAGACCGCTGTGAATAGCCTCAGGCTTCTGAGCCTGCAGCACGTTCTGACCGCTGTGCTCCGAAGCGCAAAGACTGGCGGGAAGTTAACGGAGGAACCCCGCTATTTTTCCGAAGCTGAGATGAAGGCACGAAAGAAAAACGGAGATGGGTTAATTCTTTAGAGCTCAGCCGAGCTTGTTTCGTTTCTTGCCTTCCGTTGACTCGACATGATATCGAATCCTCGACTGCATATGGGACCATGAGTAATCTGATGCACTTCTTTGGATGAGGTCGAGGCCATCAGCCCTGTACGGAGGAGCAGAGCAGCGATGGTCGAGTCGTGGTTGACTCGGCGACGGGATGCATGATGTCATGTGATGCGATAGCTAGCGGGGAGTTTCGGAGCTCTGGCCTAAGGCACGAGCAAGCGTCATAATCCCTCAGCCAACCCCACCAGAGCAACAGCTGTACCGGCCAGCAACTTGGAAGAATCAAGACCGAGAACCGTCGAGAACGGGACTGCAGAGACGGAAATAGGAGACAGCCGGGCCAATTGGCCATATTAATAAGATCTTCATCCCCTCTGGACGCTGCTTCTGTGCCTTTCTCTGCGTACCAGTCGTAACATCACTCATACATCACTTACATCACTTCCCCACTACCCGGTGAGTTCTTTGCCCCTCATTCCTTACTTAACCGCCGTATTCGTCGTTTCGGTAAAGGCCTCGAGCTCTTATTTCTAACTTCTTCCAGCCTCCTTTCTTCTTCCCCTCTTCCATCTTCCACAACTCAATCCAAAACTCTACCTTATCACTTCATCTATCTACAACAAATCACAATGGGTGTCCTCGAGAAGCTCTCCCGCAAGTCCGGTGTCATCGTCGGTGACGACGTCCTCCGTCTCTTCGAGTACGCTCAGGAGAACAACTTTGCTATCCCCGCTATTGTACGTCCTTTGTCCCTCACGCAATAACTTGAGTTACACTGACACACCGCAGAACGTCACCTCCTCTTCCGTTGTTGTTTCCTGCCTTGAGGCTGCTCGCGACCAGAACTGCCCCATCATCCTCCAGATCTCTCAGGGTGGTGCTGCTTTCTTCGCTGGCAAGGTGCGTGCAAAAAAAACACAATTGTGATTGAAACCAAACTAATCCACGCAGGGTGTCAGCAACGACGGCCAGGCCGCTTCCATCGCCGGTGGTATCGCCGCTGCTCACTACATCCGCAGCATTGCCCCCGCCTACGGTATCCCCGTTGTCCTTCACACCGACCACTGCGCCAAGAAGCTCCTCCCTTGGCTCGATGGTCTTCTCGACGCCGATGAGGCCTACTTCAAGCAGCACGGCGAGCCTCTGTACTCTTCTCACATGATTGATCTGTCTGAGGAGCCCGTCGACTACAACATCGACACCACCGCCAAGTACCTCAAGCGTGCTGCTCCCATGAAGCAGTGGCTCGAGATGGTAAGTTCCTCAGCTACATCTTCAAGGGTCATGATCTGACTGTCACAGGAAATTGGTATCACCGGTGGTGAGGAGGACGGTGTCAACAACGAGGACGTTGACAACAACTCCCTCTACACCCAGCCCGAGGATATCCTCGCCATCCACAATGCTCTCGCCAAGATCTCCCCCTACTTCTCCATTGCCGCTGGTTTCGGCAATGTCCACGGTGTCTACAAGCCCGGCAACGTCCGTCTCCACCCCGAACTCCTCAGCAAGCACCAGGCCTACGTTAAGGAGCAGACCGGCTCCAAGAAGGACAAGCCCGTCTTCTTCGTCTTCCACGGTGGTTCCGGTTCCTCCAAGGCTGAGTACAAGGAGGCCATCAGCTACGGTGTCGTCAAGGTCAACCTCGACACCGACATGCAGTACGCCTACCTCACCGGTGTCCGTGACTTCATCCTCGGCAAGAAGGACTACCTTATGTCGACTGTTGGCAACCCCGAGGGTGAGGACAAGCCCAACAAGAAGTACTTCGACCCCCGCGTGTGGGTTCGCGAGGGTGAGAAGACCATGAGCAAGCGTGTCCAGGTCGCTCTCGAGGACTTCAACACCGCTGGCAAGCTGTAAAGAGGTTATGACTTTGCAAATTATTTTGGACATTCATGATTATACAGATATGAGGCGACGAGATACCAATGAAAGAATGTGTACAGCCTAAAAAAGCTTGAGTTTGGCAGTAGATGGGGATGGCGTTAGCGTGGTGTTGACGATGTATCTTATGATATCAATCTATCAGTGAAACATGTAGTATACAACTTGTGCTGGTAAAATCGATCAAAGTATGGTAGCTGGCCTGACCCATTGTATCCACATGTGCTCGGGCTATGCCGTAGAGGGCGTGAGATCTATAGGTCTTCCCCTATGCCCTACTACAAGAGCAGAAGTGTTCGTGGTCTGTCTGTGTGCTAAATACAGATTGGCTTTTATAGCCTGTGGTTGTACAAAATGCTATCTGGTTTCACTAGATTGTACACTAGTCAGGAAATGCTGCTAAGTATACCAGATCACTTAACATTATTGAATTGTTCCTGAAACGAAGTATAGTGCATTTATCCTACAATAATTCTCTCCAGTACGCTTCTACTGTCGATCAGAGATAAGAGTCGACTCATGACCATCCCTGTCTAGGTTTCCTTGAGCGGGGTTGCAGGAATGCCATCGTTCTTTCATCAACCCATCGCGATTTATTATTTGATCACCATCATAACCTCTAGCATCTCCATGAAGATTCCGCATTATAGAACAACATAGACCTAAAATACAGCGAGATGACCTCCCAAGTGGGCGGGGATCCTCCAACCCTGGAGCAAACCGAACCAGACAGGAATGAGTACGATCGCCTGTTTGCAGCAGAAGAGGACTCGATTGATGCCCCAACAACAACACGGAGGGAACTGTGGTCTTACTACCTTTACTACAACGGTATATCTGGGTGACATGTTATCTAATAGTGCCTCGACTAATCTGGTCTCTTCGGCATGCAGGTGACAACGGCGTGGGTCCTCTTTCATACACCCAGGCACTGTAAGCTCCACCCAACTCTTACACTCTATACGATCTCTAACAATTACAGATTCCAATGGTCCCTCAACGGCGCCGGCTGGCAACCAGGCACCAACCCCCGCCAGCCCTGCACCGACTCATCCCCCTGCGTAGTCCCCTGGGCCGGGGGAACACGAAGCGTCTCCTCCGTCGTCCTGATCGCTAACGGCCTCAGCTTCACCTTCATGACAATCATGTTCGTCTGGCTGGGCAGTGCTGCAGACTACGGCTCCTTCGGGCGGTGGCTGCTTCTTGGTCTTACGGTCGTATGCTGGGCTTTGCAGTATGGTACCCTGGCCATCAGGGAACCGAGCCAGTGGCCTAGTGCTATGGGGTTGTATATCGTGACGTTTGTTGCCTATGGTGCTACGCTAGTGTTTTATGCGGCCGTGTTTCCGAAACTTGCGCGGTATATGCCCCATGTTAGGAAGGCGCGAGAGGAGGATTTGAGGGAGGGGAGGATCGATCAGAGGGGGTATGATGCTGTTGAGTCGTTGGAGAGAAATCATATTTCGTGAGTGGACTTTCTTTGTCTTGATGCAGGTTTGCTGATGAGAGCTTGCAGGAATATATCCACGGCACATAGTAACATCGGTTATTTGGCTGTGTTGCTTCTCAACTTGAGCGTGTTGCTGCCGATGGAGGGTAATAATTATGCGAATAACCTGGCTATCTGCCTGACGAACTCATGTGCGTGATTTTCTCTAAGAAGATGCTTAACTAGCCACTCATATGGCTCCAGATTGGGTCGTCCTAGGTGTGTGGTGGTTCATTTTCCAGCAAAAGCGACCAGGACCCAGAGTCCCAGAAGGCTCGAACTATGCGACCATAGGGTTCAAGCAGATATGGCTGGCAATGAGGAAGATCCGGTCTCTACCACAGACGTTTCTGTACTATATCGCCTACTTCCTCCTCGCTGACGGGCTAAATACGACAGGTACACGTCTCCTTTAATGTCCAAGCATTGATATAGGTGTACTAAGGATCTTATAGGGACGCTGGTGTCCATCATCCAGAACGACTTCATCGATTTCTCCTTCCTGCAACTGACCTACCTGGGCATCTCTCAAGCCGTATGCTCCATCGCCTCTACCTTCGGTTTCTGGTACATCCAGCAGCACTTCAAAGTTCCCACAAAGCGCATGTTCCTGTTCACCAACTTCTTTACCGTACTCATACCCTTCTGGGGGATGTTGGGGCTTTGGACGCATCGCATTGGGTACCACAACCGGGTAAGCTGATTTCCGTCCTGACGGTGCTAGCACTGACGCAGACAGTGGGAGTTTTACTTCTACAACATCATATTTGGGCTCTTTCAGGCTCCGTACTACGCCGTATATCTTACCATTGTCCCTGTAACTGAGCTTAGACTAACGTTCTCACGCAGTACGCCCAAACAATGATTAGCGAGCTCATGCCGCCGGGATACGACAATATGTTCTTTGCTCTCTTCGGAATCACGAACCGTGCTGTTAGTGCCCAGAAGCCACCTGGGTAGCTTGAGGTAATACTAAACTGAAGCAGTCATCGATAATCGGCCCGAATGTCATCCAAGCAATCATCAACGACACCCAGAACAATTGGATGGGATTCCCGTTTCTTTTCGCTATTTGTGTTGCTGCGATGATAGCTATTGCCTTTATTGATGTTGAGAAAGGCCGTGAGGATGGAAGGAAGTTCGTCGAGGCTCATAGGCGCAAAAGGACTACCGGACAAGTCGCGCCTGAGGCACCAGAGTCTAGGGCTCCAGGAAAGGGAACTTCTGTTGAGGCTTCTGAGAGAGTTGACTCAAACGACAATTCTTCCGAGGATGCGTGATGCAATGGCTGCATGGATTTGGACGTATCTACTCCTTATGCTCGAGAAGCTCGCCAAGGCATCAGATAAGATCGCAGTCCACAATTCCTGTCCACAGCGATCTCGATGATCGTGTTAAGGCTAGAGTAGTACTCCAGTAGCAGAGTTCGTTGGCTGCTTGAGATTGATGGTGAAGTTCTTGCGCCAGGGTCTTGCGATTTGCATGGCCTCCTTCCGTATCATGGTTCCCTCTACACCCGGATATATTTCCACCACTCAGACAACTCCGGAGGAAATTTGGCGTTCGAACCAGCTGACTAGGCGCCACGACCCTGCCTGTCATTATCGTCAGGCACCCTGTTTCAAAATAACAATAAAGGATAAGATTGACCTTCTGGCAACAGTGGTTGTCGTCGACCGTTGAGCCGTCTTCGTCATAATTGGGCTGTGCAGCGAAAGCGAGGTGGGGAGGAGTGGAGGATGACGTCGAGGTCGGAGCCTCCTTCGACCCGGTTGGGATTCTCAAATTTCCCCAGAACACCTCCCCTCCCTAGTTCCTTGCTCCATCTTTAATAAATCTGTTGTTGCGAGATCCTCTCGTCTCAATTCTTTAATTTATCCACCGCCCGCCTTTCAGGCCTCTATTTATCCTTTCATTTCCTCCGGGCGTCCTGGCTACCCGCCCCTTTGCTGCCTGGTGACACACGAGTTTAGAGCTCAACGGAGTACCTCGATCATCGATCAACACCTACCTACCTATCTACCTAGCAACCACCGGCCAACGAACCGTAAGCATGTCTTCCAAGGACTCTGCCTCCAGCCTACCGGCCCAGAACAAATCCACGTGGTCGAGTTTCCTCAAGGTACGCTGCTATGTTACTCCATTCATCCCTGCAAGCCGAGCAGACAGCTGACTTCAACCCGCTTGGCACCAGTCAATCGCCTCGTTCAACGGCGACCTCTCCTCCCTGACCGCACCTCCTTTCATCCTCTCCGGCACCTCTCTCACCGAGTACTCTGCCTACTGGGCGGAACACCCCGCCCTGTTCGTCGCCCCGGCACAAGAATCCGACCCGGAGAAGCGAGCTCTCGCCGTCCTGAAGTGGTTCCTTAGCACCCTCCGCCAGCAGTACTGCAGCCGCAGCGAGAAACTGGGCAGCGAGAAGAAGCCCCTGAATCCGTTCCTCGGAGAGCTGTTTCTTGGCAAGTGGGATAGCGATGCGAATGTGGGTGAGACTAGCTTGATTAGCGAGCAAGTTAGGTGGGTATTCTTTTCAGGTAGTGAGGAATACCTAGCTGATTGAGTAGCCACCACCCCCCGGCCACTGCTTATGCGATCCGGAACGAGAAACATGGTGTTCAGGTTTGTCGCTCTGTCCACGTGTCCATCTTTATGTATTAAGGGGGGAACTAAATTATTCGCAGCTGCAAGGATACAACGCACAGAAAGCTTCGTTCTCCAGCACTATCTACATCAAACAGATCGGCCATGCCTTGTACACTCTTACACCCCCCGGCGCGGACAGGAACGACCCAGCCCAGCAGGAGAAATATGTCATCACCCTTCCCGCCCTCCACGTGGAATCGCTAATTTACGGAAACCCTTTTATGGAACTAGAAAAATCGACCTACATCGTCAGCAGTACCGGCTACATCTCGAAGATCAGCTACTCCGGAAAGGGTTGGGTGAGCGGCAAGAAGAACACCTTCACAGCCAGCCTGTACAAGGAAAGCGATGGCGAGAAGAAGCCCTTATACACAATCGATGGCCAGTGGTCCAAGGAATTCACCATCAAGGACGCCAAGGCCAAGAAGGATGTCGAGACCGTGACGGTTACGGATCTACAAACCACCCCCCTCACACTTGCGCCCATCGAGCAACAGGACCTCTTCGAAAGTCGCCGCGCTTGGAGGGACGTCTCAGCGAACATCGAAACAGGCAACATGGACGCCGTCTCCACAGCCAAGGGCAAGATCGAGAATGCGCAGCGCGAACTCCGCAAGGTCGAGAAGGCCGAGGGCCGCGAATGGGAGCGCCGCTTCTTCGACCGCGTCGACGAGAACTCGGACCCGCAGTTCCTGGAGCTCGCGCGGAAGGCAGGGCTGACTACTCTGGAGAGCGACAAGACCGGCGGCGTGTGGCGATTCAGCCCAGAGAAGGCTGTCGGTGCGAAGCCTCCGTATCACAAGACCGGTGGCGAGGGTCTAGGAGTCTCAAACTAAATGCGAGACTGGGGTCCGGTTATATACGGTTGTTTATATTCGATTGGATGTCTGGTTACGACGGCAAGATTGGGGATAGGCAAACTTTAATAGATTCGCTTGGTTATGTTCTGGCTACGGATGCTTCCTTCCTGTACATAGTAGAAAAGATAATGCTATATTGGTTCAATGCAGCTCGTAAATGATGACTCTCTGAGTAGCCAAGGAAAAGAATGGATGACACCCGCCTATCGATTAACAGTGGAATGGGGAGCGCGCCTTGGGTCAACATAAGACAGAGCATGCATGGTTCGGCCTATAAAGTAGACTTTACCTCGTATGAATCCAGTAGAGCTGGGTCCGCAGTCTTCAGCTCGAAGACTGCGGCTGACACCCCGCACTAAACCAGACAACTCGGCTGCAACTATAAATACGCCGTGTACAACCCCTCCCTCCATCCTGCATAACAGACAATCCCCCCAACACCAACATGGCCATAAACCCCATCTCAAAAAGACTAGACTACCCCTTCGACCTCGGCACCTTCGGCCGCCCCATCACCACCACAGACGCCCAAGCCCAAACCTGGTTCAACCGCGGCCTGACATGGGTCTACACCTTCAACCACAAAGAAGCAGCCACCTGCTTCGAGCAGGCCATCGCGCACGACGACGCCTGCGCAATCGCATACTGGGGTCTTGCATACGCCCTCGGTCCAAACTACAACTACACGTGGGAATTCTTCGGCGAGAACCTGCCTGAGATTGTGCAACGGACGTATCAGGCGTCCCAGAAAGCGCGGGACCTCGCAGGCTCCGCGACGCCGATCGAGCAGGCGCTTATTACAGCTATCCAGGCGCGGTTCACGAGCGACAAGCCCGCGGAGAACTTCGAGCAGTATGCGGCGCAGAACCGGGCGTACGCTGACGCGATGGAGAAGGTGTATCACGCCTTTGGAGACGATCTGGATGTTGCGGCGTTATACGCGGACTCGCTAATGAGTCTGACGCCGTGGAAGCTCTGGGATTTGAAGACGGGGCGCCCGAATCCTGGGACCAGGACGCTCGATGCGAAGAATGTGCTTGAGAAGGCGCTGCGTGATGCGAACTCGTCGAAACACCCGGGTCTCCTGCACTTCTATATCCACTTGATTGAGATGTCTCCAACCCCGGAACTGGGACTTATCGCCGCCGACCATCTGCGCGAGTTAGTCCCTGACTCGGGGCATGTGAATCATATGCCCTCGCATCTGGATGTATTGGTGGGTGACTACCGCGCCGCGATACGAGCGAACCAGCGCGCGACCATCGCGGACGAGAAATATCTTGCCCATGAAGGCGCCATGAACTTTTACTCCAACTACCGCATGCACAACTACCATACTCTGATCTACGCGGCCATGTTCGCGGGCCAGAAAGCCGTTGCGCTGGATGCAGTTGATCGCATGGAGAAGACGCTGCCGGACGAACTCCTGACCAGCCTGGCTGACTTTGTGGAGGTGTACATGTCCGTCCGGCCGCATGTTATGGTGCGCTTTGGACTGTGGGATGAGATCATCAATGACCTACCTGTTCCGACGGATAAAGAGCTATACTGCGTCACGACGGCAATGACTTACTACGCCAAGGGCGTCGCATACGCAGCGACAGGCAACGTCGCCGAGGCAAAGAAATTCCGGACTCTCTACGCTGCTGCCGCAAAAGCAGTCCCAGACACCCGCCTCGATTTCCCAAACAAATGCACCGATATCCTAGCCATCGCGTCTGCAATGCTGGATGGAGAAATTGAGTATCGGCTGGCCAACTATGATGCCGCATTTGAGCACCTCGCGCGCGCCGTGGAACTTGATGACGGCCTCGGCTACAGCGAGCCCTGGTCCTGGATGCAACCCGCTCGTCATGCGTATGCCGCTTTACTCCTGGAGCAAGACCATGTCGAAAAAGCAATGGCAGTGTACAAGACGGACTTGGGACTCGATAACTCTGCAATCCGGGCGAGGAGACACGCCAATAACGTTTGGGCGCTCAGGGGCTACCACGAATGTCTTTTGCGGCTGGGCAGGGACAACGAGGCCCGTGTTATTGAGCCGCAGTTGACGCTCGCCCTTGCAGTTGCCGATGTGAGCGTTGAGAAGAGTTGTTTTTGTGCGAGGGAGAGGGGCGCGGAGCACGGAGTGCCTAAGCTTGGGCTTGGGGCAAAGATTGAAGACGGAGCTTGTTGTCGATGATTCAATAGGTTGAGTATCAGCTACTCGCGTTTTGGTAGTTGGTAGTATCAATCAAGATGGAATGTCTACTTACCTACACCTGGCAACCTCTGGGGCGAGCGTCATCTGATTGGCGTCGAAGAAGTTATCTCGAGCAGGCACCGACCGCCATTATCGGTAAATACATAGGCTCTCTTGAGCTGAATACAGTACCTTAGGTAGCTACTGCAACAAACAAAAGATCAACGCAAGACGCAGACGGCAGAACCAATGAACGATACAAAATGACGGGGCATGATCTGAAGCCCCGCGCAGGCCTGATTGGGGCCGTGGGCCTTAGAGTTGGAGATCTCCAACGTCGGCCCAGTCACGAAAGAGAATGCGCCGGCGGGTTGACCGGCGTATAGGTATTCCCCGCCCTATTTAGCGCTTATAAGTGCCATATCGGACCCGGCTAGCTTCAGCTAGAGTGACCATCGCTGACAATATACCTGCTCTGCAATTAATCAGGATTGACAAGAGCTTAATAATTGGGGAGCGCAGGTACTATTATAAAGCCTGCATTGCCGCCGGAACCTTGGACAGCCGCAATCCTTACCTATCGAGCGAGTCTTATCTACTACTTTTGACGTACCTTCAATATGGCGGGAGAAACCTGGCAAGCAGTTGTAGCCGAGCGACGAAGAGAGTTGGATGCACTGATCCCGGCAGAATGGAAACTGAGCGAAGAATTCATGGCCTCGCTTCCGGCAGATGGCCGACTATTAGGGGCGGAGCCTGTGCGAAAGAGTGGAATCCTTTCTGAAACTGAGCTGGATATCACGGAGAATTATACAGCAGGACAGCTTCTCCAGCGGTTGGCTTGGGGGGATGTCAGCTCTTTGGCTGTGACGACGGCATTCAGCAAGAGAGCGGCGATTGCGCAGCAGCTGGTAAGATGTCCTGGTTTGAGAGGTTATGCATGTCTGACGCGGTATAGACGTCGTGCTTGACAGAGCACTTCTTCGCTCAAGCCCTCGAGCGAGCACGATACCTTGATGAGTACCTTCAGCGTGAAGGGAAAGTCGTTGGCCCGCTACATGGCCTGCCGATCAGTATCAAAGATAGCTTTCAAGTTGAAGGCATGCATACAACCGTGGGATATGTCTCTTTCCTAAAGAATGGAGTGGCAACGGAGAACTCGGCGCTGGTGAACCTGCTGCTTGACCTCGGAGCGGTTCTCTATGTGAAGACGAATATTCCGCAAACAATGATGGTTAGTCTTCTGTCTCAAAGTTGGCGAGGTGTGCTAATGTAGACAGACCGGTGACTCAGAGAACAACATCTACGGCCGGACTTTGAACCCTCATAACACTAACCTCACTGCAGGAGGATCAAGTGGTGGCGAAGGGGCTCTCGTCGCTTTTCGAGGCTCTATCCTCGGCGTGGGAACTGATGTCGCCGGATCGATCCGGATCCCCTCTCTCTGCTGTGGTACGTACGGCTTCAAGCCGACAACGGACCGAGTGCCTTTTGGCGGACAGGTCTCCGGTGTGGCAGAGGAGACACCTATGATTTCGCCATCGGCGGGACCGTTAGCCCAGTCTCTCGATGACCTTGAGCTCTTCATGTCCCGCATCTTAAGCGCTGAACCTTGGAGATACGACGTCAATGCTGTTGCAGTGCCGTGGAGTAAACATGTTGAGTCTAAATCCCTTCTTACGATTGGGGTCCCACCAGAGGATAAACACTTCCCTCTTCACCCGCCTGTCAAGCGGGCCCTGGAATCTGCCATTGAAGCCCTCAAGAAAAAGGGCCATCGCATAATCCGGCTACCGATTGATCCATCTCGAGACGTTGCGGACGCCAATCGTTTGGCATTCGAGTACTTCACCTACGGACCACGCCTCGACCATATTACACCCAGCGGAGAACCAGTCATAAAGTCCGTGGCTACGCTTGCCTCACCTATGTTTTCAGGGCCACCCTATCTCAACCAGGACCTGGGAGTCTTCGAGAAAATCAGTACACTGCAGATCGCACGAAAGAAGTACGGCGATGCCTGGCGCAAGGCAATCGTAGAGAATGGTCTCGACGTGCTTCTCGCCCCGGGTGCGCAGAATACAGCCATGCCGCACGATACGTACGGGTGGCCGCCATATACGTCTATATGGAACTTGCTTGACGTACGAATACTCCATCGACGTCCGGTTGATAATTACTGACCTGCAATAGTACCCGGCATGTATTATTCCGTATGGGAAAGCGAGCAAAGAACTCGACCCAGAGCCAATGCAAGTGGGTGGCGGTCAGCCAAGTTGTACGTGAACCTGAGCCCTATTTCTTAGGGTCGGTAAGGAAGCTGACAGTAGCAGATGATCCCGAAGCTGTTGATGGAGCCCCTTGTGCTCTTCAGATTATAACGCCGCGATTTCAGGACGAGAAGTGTCTTGCTGCGGCGAGGATTATTGATCGTGACATTCGCACTTGACCAGTAATCCAGGAAAATATTGATTCCGTCTTCTGGGTCCGATATTAGATCGAGCTCCCTCGATCTGAAGGTAGGGGTTGTTGATCCACCCGATCCGCAAGGGTTATGTGTTGGATTTTGAACTCAACTCATACATAGAGCAGCCACTCCACTCATATGTACAAAATTTTCAGCTGGTGTAACAGCGGCCTGAATGTCTTTTCTGGACTATTGTAAGCATACCTAGCAGGAGGTAATCACTGATGGACTAGTCCATGATCACAAATATTTTTTATACGTACTAGCTTGGGGCCCCGCAGTAAAGTGACCTGGCTCCGTATGTTCCTGAATCATGCTGACCTGGACCCTGGTGTCGTGTGACGTCGACAACTGACGACTACAGAAGAGGCATCACTTGAGAATTCGAGGCATCGAAGCTGGAAAACCCTTTCAGTGACATTGTATTCTCAACTTTCAACCACCTCAGCGCGGGACGGTAGTCAACAATTTGCCACGCTGGGACACCCTGGTCCGTGGCTCGGAGGCTGCCTCGTGGACCTTGCACGTTGGTGAGGCGTTCGAAGCCGCCGGTTCTCCGGGCAGGTGAGACAACAGCGGCAGAATGGCCCAATCAGGCAGGCGGCGGATGGCAAAAGTAAGACATCTTGTCGGTCCCTCCAGGATCTTTACCCAGAGAAGATTAGCAGGCCAAAAATAGCATCTCCACACTGTTGATTCTTTTTCTGCTGCGACTATGACCTGCTATTTATCTTCATCTCCGGCAAAGGGTCCAGGGCCGAACATCCTCTCTTTCTCCAGCTTCTTTGCAGCCATCTTTCGACCCCATCTGGGCACTCTGGGCAGGTCATTTGCAGCGCAGACCCGTAATCTGGGCTGAGAGGTTCTAGAACGCCTCCGTTGGAGATCTGCTTTCTTGCTGTGACGACGCCCGCGATCCAGTCCGTCCCATCGCCATTGATCGTCCTTGGCTATCTCTCGTTCTTTGATTCTAGGCTTGTCGCTCGCTTGTCGCTCGCTTGTCTCGCTTGCTCCCATTTCAGGTCTCTTTGCCATCCATTTTCCTGGCTATCCATCCATGCTGTCTTCTCTTTCGCTATACCATGAATTCTAGAGCTCTTTGGCGGCGTGACAGCGCCGAGGAGTTCCTCCAGCTTATACAAGACCCATTCAAATCGGCAGTATGTTCCCTGGTGTCATCTCTAACTTCTCAGGACAGTCTACTGACTCCTCAGTTCCAAACCAACGCCGTCTGGTCTGCGTTAGCTACCTCCGCTTCTGTCGCCATCCTCCTCGCCCTTGTCTTCTCCCTCTTTCGACCTCGCCATACCCTCGTCTATGCCCCCAAAGTCAAACATGCCGACCGCAAACACACTCCGCCGCCGGTTGGGAGAGGCTTCTTCGCCTGGATCAAGCCTGTCATTCGTACAAAAGAGGCTCAGCTGGTGGATTGTGTCGGTCTCGATGCTACGATCTTTATTCGCTTCACCAAAATGTGCCGCAACATTTTCATCCTACTCAGTATCATTGGATGTGGAGTTATGATTCCGGTCAACCTTACTCAAAGTAAAAATACGGACGGCGCTACCGCATTTGCGATTATGACCCCGCTCTATGTTAACGTGAATGCGATTTGGAGTCAGGTCGTCTGTGCTTGGGCTTTTGACATCATCATTGCTTATTTCCTGTGGAGGAATTACAAAGCGGTTCTGGCACTGCGGAGACGGTACTTTGAGAGCTCCGACTACCAGCGAAGTTTACACGCGCGAACTTTAATGGTGCGTTGCTTTCCCGCAGTGATCAGTTAGACGTACCTAACCGGCCCATAGATCACCGATATCCCCCCAGATGTACGCACCGACGAAGGCTTCCTACGTCTAACAGACGAGTTGAACCCCACCGCAGCAATTCCTCGGTCTTCTGTCGGACGTAACGTGAAGGGACTTCCGAAATTGATCAAAGAACATGAGGAATTCGTGCGCAAGCTCGAGTCTGTTTTAGCCAAATATCTCAAGAATCCCGATCGACTACCGCCATGCCGCCCGACTATGCGTCCGCCCCGTCAATATCGGGCCGAGAACGGGAGTGGCAAGGTTGACGCTATTGACTTTCTCACCGACCGCATTTCAAGGCTCGAGGAGGAGATTCGTCATGTTCGGGCCTCTATCGATAAACGAAATGCGATGCCCTACGGTTTCGTCAGCTGGGACAAGATTGAGCACGCCCATGCGGTAGCCTACGTGGCTCGCAACAAGCACCCTCGAGGTACAACTATCCGCCTCGCGACGCGACCGCACGATCTTATTTGGGAGAACCTGACGCTGTCAAAATCGGCTCGGAAATGGAAGGCTTTTGTCATGTTTCTGTGGGTAAGCGCTTTGACGATTGTCTGGATTGCACCCAACGCATTGATTGCCGTTTTCCTTTCCAACTTGTCAAATCTGGGTTCCGTTTGGCCAGCTTTTCAAACGGAACTTGACCGCAATCGCAAAGTCTGGGCTGCTGTCCAAGGTATTCTGTCGCCTGCCGTGACGTCTCTGTTCTATCTGATCCTGCCCATCATCTTCCGTCGCTTGTCCACTCGAACCGGTGACGTGACCAAGACTCTCAGAGAGCAACACGTCCTAAGGCATCTTTACTCTTTCTTCGTCTTCAACAACCTGATCGTGTTCTCTCTCTTCTCTGCGGTGTGGACTTTTATAGCGGCAGTCATCGACTTGAAAAATAAGAATGAGGACCCCTGGCAAGCTGTTCAGGATGGAGCATTCTACACTAAGGCCGTCAGTGCCCTGTGTGGCGTCTCTCCCTTTTGGGTGACCTATCTGTTGCAGCGGAGTATGGGTGCTGCCATCGACTTGGTACAGTTTGTTCATCTCATTTGGGTCTGGTTTGCCAAAACCTTCCTCGCCCCGACGCCCCGGCAGACAATCGAATGGACAGCACCGCCGGCGTTTGATTACGCTAGCTACTACAACTATTTCCTTTACTACTCAACAATTGCCATCTGCTTCGCGACCCTGCAGCCTATTGTCCTGCCGGTTACTGCTCTGTATTTCGGCGTGGATGCGATGATGAAGAAGTACATGCTGATGTACATCTTTATCACCAAGAACGAATCCGGTGGCCAGTTTTGGCGCGTGCTTTTCAACCGGTTGGTGTTTGCGGCTATCTTGTCCAACGTGATCATTGGCCTTGTGGCAAAGGCACGAGGAACCTGGAACATGGTGTATAGTGTCATACCGCTTCCATTCCTGATGCTACTTTTCAAGTGGTACTGCATGAGGACCTTCGATGACGGCATCACTTATTACAACAAGTCGAATCTCAACGATGCCGAGGCGCTCGCTGTCGGCAAGTCTAGCAAATCCGCTGGAGACCGACTCAGTTCCAAGTTCGGCCACCCGGCCCTGTTCAAGCCGCTGATCACGCCTATGGTGCACGCCAAGGCAGCAGACGCGCTCAAGCAGATCTACCACGGGCGGTTGGGAGGCAACGAAGCAGAAGGAGAGTATTCAGACATCGTGATGGACCCGATGATGAAATCTCAACCAGGCAAGACCATGCCGGACTCGTCGGCCCCGTTCGAGGTTGTTCCAGAAAATCACCTCGACTTCTCATACTACAAGGACCGTGCGGACTTCCAGGAGGAGTTTGGCGGAGGTATATACGGCCGGCCAGAGGATCTCATGACCGAGCGCTCGCATACACCACGAAGTGGATTAGGCGAGTGGTCTCCCACCTCTTCCAGGGCGTCTTCTCCCGCACCTTCTGTCCCAAGCTTGCCAATACTACAACCCGAACCATACGATCCGCGCCTGAATCAGGGGATGCACCCTGCCTTCCGCCCTCCACCGCTCAGGACGGATAGCGGGATGAGCAGGGGGCTTTACCAGCACCAGAACGAGAGTGAATCAGAGCTCCTGGGACAGCCGCAGCAGCCAGCGGGGCCCCTGCAGCCGTGGCGGCCAGGAGGGGGTTACGGACCTGTTGACCAGGACGACCCTGTTTTTACCTCGTATGAACATTATCGGACGGCGAGGTGATTTTTTATTTGAGCGTTGATAGACTATTTCATTTTGCATTTGCATATACCCTCAGCCGTGTATAGCGGAGAGGCTCGGATATAGGTGGTTTTATGTTTGGACATACCGGGATACCCCTGTATATGAATATCAATTATAATAAGCATGGTATTAACCTTCTTCGAAGAATTATACTCCAAACTCCGTGAGACGTACCTGGATAATACTCCGTAGGCTGTGTGACCTGATCTCAGCCTCAGGCAGCAGACATGCTTACCAAAAAGTTATTAAATTGGGCCGATCGCTCCTTCCCGACCAAGTCGGTGCCACGGATAGTCTGGAGTCTCACGGTTGCTGGCAGCCCTGTCATCCACGTTGCACGCCCTGAACCGAGTACGATGCGGCTGCCAGTTCGAACCTCACCGACAGCTTATGAAAGCCAACCCCCTGCAAGCTGAATCCCCGCCCTATTCGTCGCTGCCTGGCGCGACACCTCAACCGATCGAGCCGCTGGTTCCTAGTCTCCGAGACATCCGCGATTCTGCGTCGTCGACCGATGGTTCTTGATTCCACACATACCGGTTTCGTGACGCAACCTTGATAACCGCGCTCGCTATTGACGGCACTCGAGTGAGCACACTGGCCCGCTACCTATATACTCGAACCGTACAGTCGGCTACGGATATACCTATATTAGGCCCAATGGCGTGGTACTCCATCCTCCCCGCGGAGCTCATATACCTCGAGAGCTGGGTAGTCCGGTGCTTTGTATGTCGCCTACAACCTACCTATTTATCTGAACGTGTCGCTGTGAACCTACGCTAACGTCTTCATGACTAGTTATTCCTCGGCATCATGACGATCCTCCCGTGGGTGACGCTCCTCATCTTAGATATGGCGCTATACGCATGGCGTCTAGTGACGTATTATACTCCCGCTGTCGGTGGTCGGGCGAGGGGGATGCAGCGCCCAAGAGCGCCGAGCCTGAATGAGCTTCCCGATCGGTTCGGCCTGAGTGCTACGGCAGAGATGGATGAGAAGGAGAATGTTTCGACTAGCTCGGATCCGGATGCAGGTGGGGGATTGAAAAGGAGAGGCGGGCAGTCTGAGATATATTGAATGGTGACTGATGGAAGCATGGCTTATATCTATCTACCTCCTGGTGAGGTGGCGTTCTATGCCATGGTATGACTGTCCTCCTGCGGGGCTGTTCGGCGCTCGCGGTCCTTCTTGTTCTTCATTGATACCCTTTGTACATCATACTACTGTCCATATCAATACTAATATGTGTTTTGCCGTTCAATGTCGGTGTTTGGATCAATCAGCGTTAAGACGGCGATGACGGCCAATCGGAGGCCTCGCGATATCGATGTCACCTGCGGTATACCAGCTTCTCCAACCGATAACCAAGTATATATCAGATCTCTCTGGACCTCTCACGGAACAGAAAGCATCTCAATTCATTTTAGACATAATGCCGACCCTAGACACAATTATCGCGAGAACCCCGCTCGCCATCTTCCTCTCAGTTTTTATCTGCTTCTTTGTTATCTACATCCGAGTACGAGCATTTCCTCCCAACTTATCAACTTTCAACTAACCGCCCATGCATAGTCCAAACCAAACACCAGCCGTAGACATGGCGTCGAATCTCCAAGCCCACCGCCAGAAAAGAACACAGAACAAACACCTTCTGGCTATCCCCTACTCGCCCCTGTGCCCAACTTCAACTGGGAGACAACCGAACCGCTCGTCTTCAGACCATTCAAGCCGAAGTTTCATCTGACGATGGGTGGGATCTCTCCTCTAGCTCTCAATGAACCCTTGACCATAATATGGTGACTAACTAGACAGCAGCAATAACCAACCTCAACCTCTCAGACCTAATTCCCATGGACAAGACATATCTATCCCGCCTGTCTCTGCGGAAGGATCTTCTGGCGCAGCATGCCGATGTCGTCCGCGGCGTGAACATCCAAGCGCACAATCCAGCGAAGAACGAGGAGATTAGAGAAGCACTCTGCGAGTGGTACGAGTACGCCATGGGCACATATCTACCGGAGAGATACCCAAGCATGTTCCGAATTGTCTCCGGCGATACCGAGAAACGAGGAACGATGCTCGAGTCCCTCGTCACAGGATTAAGGGTCCCCATTGACCCAGAGGAACTGATGCACACTGTCTCGACAAGCAGCACAGACGAAGTCGCCCAAGAGAAGGTAAAGCTCCTCCACCTCCTCGATACCCTCGGCACCTGGATCGACGAGGACTTCCTCATCCTGGTCCCCTCGCCCGTCTCTCCAACTCCCGACGATCCCACCCCAGACCCAAGCACACAGTACCACCTGGAAGCCTACACAACCTACTACCCAGCCGGCTTTGACACGCGCAAGAAGCTCGGGCGAACACTACAGCAAATCCACGTCCCGCTCCCGCGGTACAAGCAGAAGCTCTCCATGAGCATGGACCGGTTCTTTGAGCGGCTTGAGGTGGGCAAGGCCGTTATGCGCGTGAACTGGAGCATTATGCCGAAGGGGACGGGGCTGTTCGCTGCGTTTGGAGGGCTGCATGATCATTCTCCCGACGAGGCGCCCAGGGAGGAGAGGATTGAGCCGGAGGGATTTGATGGAGAGGAGACGTTTCTGCGGTGCGAGAGGCAGACGCTGCATCGGCTACCGAAGAGTAAGGCGGTTTTGTTTGCGTTTCATACGTATACGTATCCGATTAGGGATATTAGGGAGGAGGGACTTGGGGAGGAGTTGGCTACTGCGATTGAGGGGTTGGAGGGGGGTAGTGTGCCGGAGATTTACCCGTACAAGAACGGGCCGTATTGGGGGACGGCTGTGAAGGCTTTCTTGAGGTCATGAGTTGGATCTATGTTGAGTGGCTGCTATTGCTTTTGATTCTATCTCATATATGGTGTTAAAGGAGGTTATTGGTGGGTGCTGTTTATAGACGCTCAATGACCTTCAGCAGATCAGCCGTGACACCCATAGCAGTAACATCACCTCCGGCACCAGCACCCTGGACAATCAACGGGTTGTTGCCGTACCGGCGGGTGTAGAAGGAGATGATGTTATCGCTGCCCTTGAGCCCGGCAATGGCGCTGTCCTTGTCGAACTGCTGGAGTCCAACGCGGACCTCCTTCTTAGCAACGTCGATGCTGCCGACATACCGCACAACCTTGCCGGCCTTCTCAGCACCCTCCTTGATAGAAGCCATCTGGCCGTCGAACTCGGGAAGACGGGTCATGAATTGCGTGATTCCGTCCGCGGAAGAAGGCAAGCTCGCCAGCTCAGCGGGGATCAAGCTCTCAATGGGAAATGAGTCGGGGGACTGAACATCCAGCCCGGCAAGGCGCGCAAGGATGGTCAGCTTACGGGCAACGTCCATGCCGTTCAGGTCATCACGGGGGTCGGGCTCAGTGTAGCCCAGCTCCTTGGCTTGGCTGACAACCTCGCTCCAGTTTGCGCTCGAGGACCCAGAAGCCGGCGCGAATGTGTTGAACAGGAAGGAGAGAGTTCCGGAGAAAACACCCTCAATACGGGTAACCTCGTCACCGGTCTTAACCAGATCCTTCAGCGTCGAGATGACCGGCAGACCGGCACCGACTGTGCTCTCGTGGTAAACAAGGGCCTTGCCCTCAGCAGCGGAAGCAAAGATCTCCTTCCACAGGCTCAGGTCTGACGAGAAACCCTTCTTGTTCGGTGTAACGACGCTGATGCCCTTGCGCAGGAAGACAGGGTAGTTGGAAGCCAGGGCGGGATCGCTGGTGTTGTCGACAAGAATGGAGCGGCCAGGAGCAGAGGCAAGGTATGCGGCGATCTCGTCGGGTGTTAATGCGCCCGACTTGGTGAGCGAAGGGGTCTCAACGGCGGTCTTCCATTCTGCGGCGGGGATGGCGGGGGTGTAAGAGGGCGTGGGCGAGAGGAGAGTCTGGCTGGAGCGGGCGAGGAGGATGAGTTGAGGAGCATTGGGAAGGCGGGCGAGTTGGTTCAGGAAGGCGGTTCCAACGCCGCCGACACCTGTAGATCGTTAGTTGTAAGTCCGATATCACGGAGTGCAATTTGGTTGTGCCATGGCGGGGTAGTTAGAGGGAGAATATGCAGTAGCTTACCAATGACACCGAGATAAATGGGGGCAGACATGCTGAGGATGCTCAATTGGATGTTCTGAACTGTTAGATCAAGAAGGAAGCCAAACGAAGATGAAATAGGAGAGTGAGAGAGGCAGAGAGAACTGTACAAATTCATGACTCCGACCATCGGATCCGCTCGATCGTGGGGTAGAAGCTTAGTCATCGCTCTTCGGAGACAGCATCCCAGTCCGCGGCCTCTAATGATCCATAAACCTTGAATGAACCTACAATAACCCTACCTCCAGTGTTGAAATCTGGACAACATCCAATCAGTCATGTCAAAACCCTCTCTCTACGGCCAAAAACCTTCAAAACAGCAAGCCAAATCAACTCCGTCCTCCTCAACCCTCGCCTTCACAACAACGCTCTCGTCCCTAATCGCCTCGGGCACCTCCAGCGACCGCAGCCAAGGCCGCCCACGACCCTCTAAAGCCCCGAAATCAGACCTCTTCTCACGGCCCAACAAAGGCGCTCAGAAGCGCGCAGCCGCTGATCTCCGCGATGACGACACAACCGTCCGGCAAGTCCACCAGTCCTCGAAGGATATCGGCTCTGTAGATGAAGCGACGCTGCACCGCTCGAAGAGGCGCATGGAAGAGAAGGCGAAGCAGTATGAGGACTTGAAAAAGGGACTATACCTTGCAGGGGGGAGCGACAGTGAAGACGAAGGGCAACAAGGCGGAGATGCGTATCTTTCACGATTACGCAGGAAGGAGAGGGAGGGCTTGGTTGATTTTGACAAGAAGTGGGCCGATGAGCGGGAGAAGCATTCGGGCTCGGACTCGGACTCCGAGCAAGAAGACAACGACAACGCTTCAATAGTCTCCTACGAAGACGAACTCGGACGTACGCGCCGCGGAACAAGGAAGGAAGCTGCGCGGGCGGCGAAAGAGAAAGCTGCTGCCGAGGGAGATGCGCAGGATGCCGAGCGCTGGCGACCATCTCGACCGGAGAACCTCATCTACGGCGTCACAGTGCAGAGTGAGGCATTCCGGCCCACGGATATAGCAGCCGAGCAGATGGCGTACCTTGCGAAACGGCGTGATCGCTCGCCGACGCCGGACGAAGTACACTACGATGCGGATGCGGAAGTTCGGAATCGGGGAACGGGGTTCTATGCATTTTCAAAGGATGAGGAGGTGCGCAAAAAGCAGATGGAGGAGTTATTGAATGCGAGAGTTGAGACGGAGAAGGAGAGGGATGCCAGGAGGGAAAGGCGCGTTGAGAGGGAGAGGGTCAAGGACGAGAGGCGCAAGGAAATCGAGAAGCTGAGGGCGAAGAGACGCGCGGAGATGTTTTTGTCTGGGTTGGGAGATATTGATATTGGAGTTTCAGGATAAGTTCGTGCATCTTGATCAAGGTTATCGGAGTTTGGGAGATTAATTTGAGATACCCATTCAGTTTTGCTGGCAAGTCACTTTTATTCTACTCTAATCAACCACATAAGGTACCATTAAATATCAAACAGTAAGACTGAACAATCCAGCCGCTCATGCTCGCTCGGTAAATGTAGCTCAATGCGCCATACTAGGCCGTGGCCTATAATTTAGATTCAAAGGAGATTTGCGAGGGCTCGCTCAAGCTCAATAGACCGTATCAGTCGTCAAGCGTAAATCATAAGTCATGTTCCTGCAGGGCGTATCCAGGCCCTGATTATAGTATTCTGTCGTTATGTAACCATTGTGGCCAAAGGGTTGAAACAATAAATCGCTAATATTAACGAAGATCTTCCCAATGGGTAGACTGTAGGAGATAGATTAGGTTGCCTAGTTGGCGAGCTCCGCCATGACGTTTAAGAAGCCTTCAGCGTCTGTAATCATGTTAGTACAAATGGCATAACCTAGGAGACATGTGTTGCTGACCTTCACGATGCTGAAATTTCAGCAAGTGCCCTCCCTTCTGTGTCTTTGGAGGGTTATAATCCGAGAATGTAAAGATGTTCAGAGGGAGTTCCCTGAGTACGATGAGTTTTGGCTCGCGATCGACTATGCGGAGCCATCGAGGGGTGCGAACAAGATCTGTAATGAACGCTGTCCATACAGGGGACCTGCAATAGTTTAGAATCTGTATTCTCCATTTGAGGCTCCAGATGCAAGCTTAGCATACCTCTTCATTTCGCCTTTGTGGACTGAGGCTTGAAGCCTGACTGCGCCGGTGACTTTATCCCGATACACGCGCAAGGCATGTTCGAAGTCATCGTCATAAATTGGTCTGCCAGATCAGCACTGGAACCCGAAAAGTTTGCGGACTGGCTTACGACGCAAAAAGCTCCTCTTCCTGGATGAGCTCGTAATCACGGATCTTCGACACAGGTCGGCCGCCGTCTTGAGAACGGAGCGCTAGAAACGTGCAAAAGAAGAGCACCATAACTGCGTATGTCAGCAACGTCTTCGGGTTTATGGTGACTATTGCGTACTTTCGATTGTGCTGAATTTGAGATTCGCCCAAACTACCAGCTCAGACCCGCCTTTACGGCGTCGACATAAGTTCAGGCACGATGTACCGTAACGGTTAATTTCCAGTAGGTTCAACGGAAGGCAGTAATATTCCCCAGACGAGCCGAGCACGATGCGAGCGCGGTGATCATCTTCTCGAACGAAAAAAAGCACGCGGAAGGTGCCGAAAGCCCTACATCTGTCAGCTGAGGTACTAAATCATCAAATGCTAAGCACTACTCTTACAGTTCTAGAGTCTTCCCAAAACTTTCAGTCTCGAGCCATTCAAACAACTCCGGCTGCGGGTTCCCGTAGCACATGCACCTGTCAAATCCATTAGCATGGCCCAAGCATTAGGCTCTTGAATACGCACTTATCACCCTTGCTCGGAAGCCGCGTCTCCGAACGGGGTTGGAAGAATACCTGTGACGCCCAGTGCTCGCTCATTACACCAGACCCCAATGAATGGCTGGCCGCTGAGCTAGTCACAGGTGACCCGGGAACGGCTGGAACTCGTGGAGGCCTTATATCAAAAGACCCAAAAGAGGGTGAAGCAGGCATAGGCGTCGGGGATAGATGCGCTGGCCGAGCTCGCTCGTAGGACCTGCGGGTACGAGGCTTGCGATCACCCATTGGACTGTTGGGCGTGGTGCCATTGCTACTCGAGGATGAAGAGCTCACGGACATTGCGCCTATACGTCTCGTAAGACGGCCATCCTGCTTTACCAATAATTCTTGGAATTCTTCGCGGAGCCGAGACATGAACAAGTAGTCAGGGCCAGCTCTACTCGGACACATCATTGGTTAGCACCAGAACCAATTGAGGGTTATCACCACTCACTCAGAGATCAAGTCCTCCAATTCTTTCAAGAACGATTTGTAATTAGCCAACCGGCGAGGTAAACTATAACCCGACTCTTCCTGGAAGAACCTGGACATGGCGACCCAAGTCCGCTTATATGCATTGCGATTGGTCGAGCCTCGTCGGCTGTCAATGTCGCCAAAGAAATCGACTATATCATCCAATGTATACTGCAAACTTGCACTGACGAGGTCCACATCTGAGCGCGCGACGTTGAAGATGGCTCCGTAATGGTGGTGTAGTGACAGGTCCTCTAGCGTCTTGAGAGATGTACTGATCGTGAAGAGGTCGGCGATCAGACCGGTGATCTCGGTACTATGTTCTGGGAGCGGGTCGCGAAAGCGACGGAGACCAGCGGCGACTTCTTCTGCGACACCGGCAGGAACGCTCAGCGCCATTGTGAGGTCACATATGACAGGCCATGCAAGGCCGGAATGGTGTCGGCTCGGTATATATAGGTTTTAGTGGATATGCGGTATAGTCGAGGGCGGGAGAGTAAACAAAGTCAAGCAACAAAGTCAAGCAAACAGTCGCAGAAGCACAAAGCCAAGGTGAAAAAGAAATGCTATATCCGCCTAGTTGTTATATAGGATGAAAGACGGAAGAGGATGGAAGCGAGAAAGAGTCACTGTACGATGAGGGGCACCTCAGGGACAACGCAGAAGCCCACCACAGCACAGTCGGAGAAGGAAGAGGACGCAGAATATTCTTGCAGGATTCAAAAAGTGCGGTAGTATCGGAATCGCCGCCCATCTGCATGTTGAAACAATCGAGGATTCTCCGGGAAGAGGATCGCTCAGTGGATGACTGGCGAAAGGAGGGAACTCCACCAGCATCGTTCTGACTTCTGAGATCAAAGAGACAAGGGCCCGTCCGTTCAACTCACCCACCCGCCCCTCCGGTGCAGAACAAGAAGACCAGAACGCTCAGGTGGGGTCAGGACTGACAAGAACGGGCCCAGGGATGCGGCTCTCCAGACGAATTCAAGTACGGAGAAAGCCAGGCCATGATGCAGAAGAACAAGAGTTGACGTGGTCGCGTCTAATTAGCCTCGGGCTCTTGAAGGTGCAACCCCGCTGCATGTATAGCGCGGCGCCATCACCTGATGATGCGGTTATGGCGAGTCTGACGCCGAAGCATGAGTTCTACTGCCCTTAACCTTATCAATATTGCTTGACTCTGCCCAGCTGCTGACGATATCAAGCCGGGCCGATGTTGCACGAATACGATCTGGCATCAGCCGAAGCTCGCTAGCATATCAACCATCTGGTCGATGACGTCCCACTGGGCCTCTTGGTAATCCAATCCAGAGTTTGATTCAATTCGAAAACGGCCAAGATGCCTTTTGAGAAGTGACCCGGCGGCGTTCAAATTCATCATTCAAGTATTCCGCCGTGCGGCTTCTTGACGCATCTTAGCAGGACGAGTCCCGACTCCCAAGTGGCAGACGGAGCTTGACGGTATTACTCCGGAGTATGGTTGCTAATAGGACCAGCCTTCATCGCTTGCGGCTTTCCTATGACTCTCATCATCAATGATGCCAGCCCCGGAGCACTGCTCTCTCACTCATTCCGGCAGCCCGAGATTCGGCAAGAACCACATGGTGACTCCCATGTCCTCCTCAAAACAATCTGATATCCAACTTGAAGGTAACGAGCTCATATAGCCAGACCCCAAAGTTATCCAGAGTAGTGTCCTCAATTGGAATTCTGGCGGGTCCAATGTGCATAGGTTATAAACCACTAAAGCCGATGGTGCAGGCATTGACGCCGTCGACCACTCGTATACTCATACATAGAGCCGAATCGATGGGAAAAACAGGAAGAGCCTCAATGCAGTCAATCGGAGCATCGGATATTTTCTGTACACTGCTCAACACGACATGTCAGATTTATGCAGGCGCAAATCGTACATTCTGATAGAGCTTCTAGAAGCCTTAGGCCGAGTCAGGCATCTACGGAGTTAACGGAGCTTGACGCGTCTCCCGTAAACAATGACGTTTGCGCGTCAGGAGCTCGGGCCAAGTTGTCGAGTCTCTAACAAACCAACCTTTGACGCCGGCGATGTTGAACTACAACTGAAGATAGGGACACAGTTCAGCTTCACTAAATGGTATTTCATTGCTCGAAATAAGGCTTCCGACGACCGGGTATCAGCGCCGAGCACCTCATTCAAACAAACCCAGTCCGTACACTAACATCCCATTGAAGATCCTTCGTGAACAGAAAAGCAAGGACAACCCACCATCATCCCATCCCAGAAGCCGTTGATAGAGAACAAACAAATGATAGAGAGGCAACAAAGTTTAGAGAATTATCAGTGATTAAGAGATCAGAACACACAACGCCAGAGGTCAAGCGACTCGACACCTAAAGGTGCTTAGGATGACTCCTCATCCTCTTCGGCGCCACCGGCCTACAGTTTAATGCGATCAGTACTATGCTCTTCACAGATGAAATAAGTGGTACGCATACCTGGTAGGCGGCCTTCTCATCCTCGTACCGCTTCTTGTCAGCAGCGGCCTTGTCCTCGTAGGGCTTGCGATCCTTGTCGCTGAGAGCCTTCCACTTCTCACCGAGCATCTTTCCGACCTGGCCTGCACGAGGTTAGACATCAAGGGCTTCCGTCGTGTATTACACAGGTAGTCTTACCGAAGGTGATACCAGGGTTGTCATCGCGAACCTTCTCGCGGTTGTCGTTGGCGAAAAACATGTAGGCGGAAAGACCACGCTTGGGGGCGTTGGGGTCTTGAGGGCCAAGTTAGCAGAGACCAGAGGTAGCAGACGACATAACTCACCCTTCTTCTTGCGACCACCAGTCTCACGGGTGGCGGTCTTGGTCTTGCGGGTGGGCTGGGCCTTAGGCATTATGAAGGTCTGAGACTGTGGGCGAGGCGTTATTAGCGAAACAGGAGTCGAGTCGTGTTGGCGATAATGACCAAGGCACGAGAAATTGAGCAAGCTTCCGAAATTGAATACTCGGGCGACGAGAAAAAAGCACAGAAAAGAGAAAAAAGGGACGCGGTGACGATGCGCGCAGAGACTTAAGTGTAGTGGGCGGGTTGGCAGTGCAGCGCGCACCCAAACAGGCGCGGTCGCAAGTCGGGTGATGACACGAAAATAAAACGCGCAAAAGATCAACTTACGTGACAATGAGGTCGAGAAGGATGTCAGATTATTTGTTGAGTTTTGCGTTTGCAGACTGCGATTGTTAGCCCGCTGCTTGTTCACGAACTATACAATCGCTGTCGCAAATGCGACAACGAAGACGGCGCAAGGATAAAGGAAAAATCGAGGAACACGATGATTGCAGAAGGTGAATAAGAAGGAAACAAGCTGTTGGAGGAGAGGAGAAGATGGTTGTGTTGTTGGTGTAGAGCGAATGCTTGAGAAATAAAGTGTTTATTGAGTATACTCACCTATGCGGGTGTACTTTTTGTATGGGAGAGGAAAATGTATGGGAGAGCTGTAGTGAGGGAAAGCAGAGTGAGAGAGAGAGAGGGAGAGGGGGAGAGCCGTAGTAGTAGGAGAGAGAGAGGGCGACCGACCGACAGCCACGGGAAAGCGGGCCATCGATTCTTACCAGACCAACGCTTGTCGAAGGGGGGCACAGCAAGGGAATTGGAAGGAAAGCACGAAGCTGCGACTGGCTCCCTCTGCTGGAATGACCGTAATTTACCAGACGCCCTCTAATGCCCCTGCAACTCATTCTGCCTCTCTCTGCTGCTCTCTGCGTCAAAGTTGGCCGAATAAAAGCGAGATTTTCTCTCCAAGATGTTGTCCATCTAACTCTTTGAAAATTACTCTCCAAGTTTGATTTCCTACCTGCATTTTTGAAAGAGTTGCCCGCGAAGCGTCTGCTCTCAGACGGTCGGGGCTGCTGCTCGTTTGAAATGGTATGGTACGGCCGCGATACGCCACTGCCTCGATTATGTGGATTAAGTCGTCCTGGTAAAATATCAGATCACACCGAGCATGACTGATAGGCTGTAGGTGAAGTGGTACCATAGATACCGCGGTCACAGCACTCTAACAAGCAATCAAGTTGCAGACTTGCAGTCTACTCCGTATGGTAGGAGGAGTCACAGGCCAGCCATCCATACACTTTCACATCATACCAAGTCCGTACAACATCCATTCGTACAGCAGACGACGCTTGTCTGTCCTTCTGCGCAAGATGGGCTACTCCGTATGGGTGCGAGTGTGCAGCTCAGCTGGTCACGGATAGAAGGAAGAGGTATGAGAGTGACTCGTAATAATACCAGTCTATGATGTTGATGTTCCATACAATTAATGAGGGGATTTCTTAGTGCAGTCCTTCAGCTCTCCTCTCCTCAGCAGTCGCAGTCGACCTCGGCGCACCCTCGTCGAAAGAAGGGCAAAATGATGACAGCGCCCGCTTTGTCAAGACTCTAGAAGAGCGCCGTTGATTGGACTTGAAGTAATCTTGAACCCTTCCAGATGCTCTGTCCGACTGTCGCGGTTCCAAAGCTCCAAACCTTGCAAGACGCTTCTCCACACGAGCTCTGGAAATTCGTCAGCGGCCAAACTCCCTCTCCGGCTTGCTCCCCAAGCCGCGTTCAGGGCTCTCTGAAACTCTGCCACTCCAAGTTTGCATGTGTAAAGGACCCCTGCTGCCATACGCCCGCAACCAAAGTACCTATGATTCTTACAGTCCGTACGGAGTACTAGTGGCCTTGGACCTCCTTGCTCAATTAAGTTCTGTCTATCCATAGGAGAGCAGCTGTCCGTCGTACAGCAAACGTCTGCTCCTGGGTCCTGACATAGGCCAGTCGCTCGGTTTGCAAAAGGTAGCGGATCTACCTGTCACATTTTCCAACCAACTGCCTCCAAGGAGTTGGCCATGTAAACGACAGCATTCTCGCCTACTGCTTGGGCCTTGCAGTTTGTTTTCCGCTGGTAGGAACATCCGCACTCTCAGCACCGCGCGCCTGTCAAATGATTATCCAGCGGCTGGACCTGAGTTGTCTGGTCAGGCAGTTTGAAAGCCGAAATAAACTTTTCCATTATCGAGATAGTGCATTATTTCAGAGCAAGGGCGAGGATTCATCGAGAATTCGAGATCGAGATCGGGCAGACGAGACCACAGCCAGCGCAGCGCGCAAATGCCACTGCATTCCAGCACAAACAACACCGCCGCGGCAATCCAGTAAGTTTGCCGTAGTAGTGGTATTGTAAACCCCTGGTTCACGACTAATTAATGTGATATGTGATTAATAAATAGCAATATTCCCCTGCACATGGTGGGTAGCTGTCGGACTCGGAGTTTGTTCGCTGGTCTCCTGTCTTTGAGGTCTTGCTCGGATTGCTTACTCCGCAGTGCCACCCTCATGCTCTCAAGCCAGCAATACATGAGATTCTAGCCGAGTTCCTGCAGGATTCTATTTCTTACCACATTTTGGAACTGTCCTCCACCTTAATCGTGACGAATCCAGCTCCATCCTGTTCCTATGCCATGATGTCACGTGGGTCTATAGACTTAGGATCACCACATGGATGGGCACTCTTCGAATGTTAAAGAAGGTCATGAATCTTTGGCAAAGCCAGCGATTGGACTAACTCAAGGCAAAAATACAAACAGCCATGCCACTTAATCAAGGGTATCGTATCCCGTAAGCCAACGCCTGTCTATCCGTAAACACCACAGCGATCTTGACAGAAGACAGTAATGTCAAGATGTACCAATAACCAGCTCATTACTCATTTGACTCGTCGAGCACAAGAGCCGTGAGATCCTCGTCGTCCACCCAATTCACTCCGCTGCCGACAACAATCGCACTTGCGACGCTCTTGATGACTTCCCATCGAGATTTACTTTTCTTCTGCTCTTCCTCGAGTTGCGCAAGCTGCTGCTTGAGCTCAGCGTCATCAAGCTGCTCCCTCCAGGAGTCGTCGTCTTCCGTAAGTTCAAGTAGCTCCCGGGCCAACTTTTGGTTCTCTTGATGGAGCTGCAAGTTCTCTACCTCGAGGTTTGAGAGCTTTTTCATTGTCGAAGTATGCGCCTCGGTCAGGTTCTCTTGCACCAGAGATAATGCATCGCGCCGGTTGATCAGACGGAAAAGAGCTCTGTAATTGCTTAGTACTGACACGCGTCAAAAGTGTAGGCCGGACTTAAGGCGCAGGCACCGGCGCAAGGTTTACATACCGCTCAGCAGGGGATGTCCCTTTCAGATGAATAGCCTTGAGGATAGGGTCTGTTATGAGGACGGTGCTGACCACTTTCTTCCTGACGGTGTAGGTTGCTCTCGCGTCGAGTAGCTCGCGTTCTGCAGCCGCGAGCTCCTCGGCATTGCTTATGGACACTGGCTCCAGATCTGGTATTGTTAGTACAGCAAATAGCAGAAAGGTAGAAGCGGCGCACCTTGTTCTAGAAGCGCTTTTTCCAACTCCTGCTCCTGGATCTGATGATATAGTTGGATGATCGAAGCTTCTTTGTCTGAAAAAGATACAGTGTCTCGCGGGTCGTCAGCTGCCAGGTCCAGCAGTGTGACCTCGCCCGCGCCCAGTTGAGGGAGGCTCCGGGGCTTGGACAATGACATAGAGCAAGTCCTCGTGGCAGATCAGAGGCCCAGTAAAACCATCGCGTGATTCCAGGCTTTATTTAGGTATAAGGACCCTAGGGACTTGTAGGCTGGGCGGTGGGGATCCCGGCGTGTGCCACCGGGCCCGCGTCATCCAAATCCAGCCTAGACCGGGGAAGCTCTCAGGCATCTGGAAGCCTTAACTGACACTCTCTTATCATTCCAACTTCACCATCCCGCATTCCTCATAGACGGGACGGACGACTTCTGAGCTGCGTTGCTCAGCTGGCGAGGCGGATGTCTCTGCACATCTACATCGCTCACACCGGTGAGCATTTACTGGCCGACTCAGTGTCGTTCTCTACGTATGTTCCGTTCTCCGCCAGGCGCATGCTGGTACCCCGGCGTCTGTTCGCTGCCTATGCTAATCAACGCCGGTGTTTTAGAACGGACACACTTCGGTCATGGGTCACACAAAACACATCTATCCCACCTCAACGGCAGATTCTGATGACGGCTCGTGGAAAGAACGTCAAGATCCAAACGCTTGCCACAGAAGTATGCCCGACCGTTCCGGATTGTCTCTATGAGGCTCGCAAGCTGATACCTATCCTTCCATGCAGAGAGAGGTATTCGTCTATGACAGACGATATGTTAGCGAACAAGATAACGCCGAACTGCCCAAGCTCCCTTCGCCGCAACCTCTCGTACTCGATAACCCACCGGATACGCTTTCCGACCAGAATGACCTACAAGCATGGAGGAATTTATACTCCGCTAGGAAGTCTTGGGCCTCCAAGCTGACGGCGAGATGTGAAGTGGCCTACAAAACCATCCGGGAGCTGAATGAGCGCACCGAGATCGTCAACCGAGCTGCAGGCGTTGCTCTCGAGAATCTCAAGACACACGTGGCTACCCTGGAGAACCGATTCCAGGAAGCGCAGGTGTGGGCGAACGATCTTTCAAAGGAGCAGCAATCGGCACTTGGAGAATGGAAGCGTGCCCTGAGTAACCTGGAGAACATTCCGGCGCGAAAGGAGTTTCCTTTTCTAGGCCGGCCGTCGACACCCAAAAGGGATTCCGATAGAACGGGGACATTGCTCGACTATGTCGATGCAGTGGAAGTACACAAGGCTGGACCGGAAGCTTCTGCGGCATCTTCAAGATTCAATCGGCAGTTTCAGGACATTGAACAAGCGGTCGGGGAGATTACTGCGGACACACAACAGTTGCTTGATGAGGTACCATCTTCGAGCTCTGACAGCGTTGACGGCCTACTACAAGAGATGGAAACCTTGTCCAGGAAAATCCAATCTGATTACGAGCATGTTCTTGCGTTGCCCAACAACCAAAAGACACTGGCAAATATATCTAGGCTTGCCTTCAACCACACTCAAGACTTTCTGCCGTCAATGTTGGAAATCGGAACGGAGATCCGAGAAGGACTTGGGGGCGCCGCCAGGCTTTATGACGCTGCAGCAAAGGCCGCGCTAGGCCGCACGAAGCTTATTTCCTCTACACAATCGCGCCTAGCTGATGTACAAGCGCACATTGCCAACCTTACCTTTCAAAGCGACGCTTTCGATCTGCTTTACTCCGTTTTTCATATGCCTCTGGTGTATGGATCTGTCCTGGTCGAGTCCGTAAGGCGACGCGAGTTCAACGAGAAGATGAAGAGCGACTCATTGACCCTAGCGGAAGAACTGTCGGTCTTCCAGGATGAAGAACAGCGTCGACGAAAGAAGTGGGTGAAGAATATGGAAGATTTTCTTTCCGTTACTGATACCACCACACCGGGGATTGAGGTCAATTTGCGAGGCCATGAATTCGATTGGCCCACCGTTACGAGGAAAGATGTCGAGACATACATTGAGGACCTGAAGTCGAAACCTGGTACGGCCAACGCTGCGCAAGAACTAGCCCAAGCTTTCAAAGAGCTCGATGCTCCCACACGTGTGCAAAGACGCAGAGCAAAAGCGTTCAAGCAGGGCAGCATCTTCGACCTAAGCCGCAGCTCCCTCTTGCTTCACAGCGACGAGATGGTAAGAAGCTTGAAGGACGAGAAACTCAAGCTGGAAGAGAAACTACGAGGGTCCGAGAGTAGGATCCGCAAACTGGAAGACCTTCTACATCGACATAGCCAGCTTGGCCGACCTTCAAGTGGGAACTTCTCCGTCGATTTTCCTACCTCCCCAGCATCTCCACACCCTGATGCTATGTCGAGGAGATCTTCGGTCTCGTCGCGGCGGATGTCTTCGAATCAGACATCGGAGGAGAAGAATCTCGTGAACCGGATCGTCCACCTCGAAGCTGATCTCGCTACTGAACGAGAGACTGTGCAACGACTGCAACGAGAAGCACATGCGGAGCGACAAACCAATACCGATAAAATGCAAGAGGCGCAGTCCACCAAGAACGATCTCATTGGCAACCTCGAAGCCCGACAGCGTGAGTTTGGCGACGAGCGGCGATATCTGGAAGGCGAGGTAAAACGGTTCAAGATACGCGTTGAAGAGCTCGAAGAAGAGTTGGATAGGGTCATCGACAGTCGCGATCACGAGAAGCAAGATGCCGACGAGCGCATGCATCAGCTAGAGCTGGAACTGCAAGACGCGCATGTCCGTGCGGATGAAGAAATGCGGAAGGCGAACAGCCTCCTCGAGCAAATGCAGTCTCACAAAATTGCAGCAGATCGCTTCCGGACACGAGCAGACGAACTTGAGAAGCGAGAAGTGGAACAAAACCGGAAAGATCAGGAAATGTACCATGCCCTGCAGGCTGCTCTTATGAATCTCTCGCCCGGAGGGTCCATACCCGATGAGGTTGCGGACATCATCAAAGCGATCGACGTGCTTTCTGAAGGTCTGGCAATACACGCTAAAACCGCCGAGGACAACGCCACGAAAGCCGCTGCAGCGAACAAGACTCTAACGGAGGAATTGGAGAGGATGAAATCGGATTATGAGAACACAAAGAATATTTTAGAGCAACGTAAGTCTCAACTAACTCAAGCTCGTGGAGAACTCGAACAAGAACAATCGAAGCGCAAGTCTACGGAATCCGAATTGAATGATGAACGGGCAAGACTTCTTGAGCTGGAGTCTAAACTCGCTGCGGGCGAAACGGGCGCAGGCGCCCTACGTGAACACGTTGCAGAGGAAGAGCAGAAATTAACTGACATAAACAACCAACTCGTCGAAGTCGAAGCTCGGGCTCGCCGATCAGAGGAGGAGGCCTTGCAGTGGAAAAAACGGGCTGAGGCTTTGTCGGATTCGGACAAGCTGGTTACAGCCAAGGTTGACGTCCACAGGTCAAGGCTCGAGGAACTTTCGAGACAGCTGTTTGCGCAGGTGGAAAAGCTGGAGCGTATGCTGGAGCAGTTGGGTTTTACTGTTATCCGGCAAGATGGGGAGATAGTTGTTCAGCGATCATCCAAAGTCAATGCGCTCTCTGCTACTGCAGACACATTGAGCCAATCTGGAGTAGTGTCTGTCAAGCCAGATGTCAGCCTTTTGACCTGGATGAAGGCCGAAACCCCTGAGCAAGAGACAAACAGGTTCAAGGCCTTTTTGGAGTCACTCCATCAGTTCAGTGTGGACATCTTTGGGGATGCGGTAGTGAAACGCGTGAAAGACATCGAGGTGCTTGCTCGGAAATGGCAGAAAGAAGCCCGTGGCTATCGAGACAAATATCACCGCATGCAAAGCGAGGCACACGACAAGATCGCCTATCGATCCTTCAAAGAAGGCGATCTCGCTCTCTTCCTGCCAACCCGGAATCAAGCCATCCGCTCGTGGGCTGCGTTCAACGTGGGCGCACCCCACTATTTCCTCCGCGAACAGGACGTCCATAAACTTCAATCCAGAGACTGGCTGCTGGCACGGATCACTAAGATTGAAGAGCGAGTCGTAGACCTGTCTAAGTCCATGAACGGCGGCAACCCGGACCGTCGCTCAATTGGCGAAACAAGCGACGGTGCTTCGATCGACGATGAGAACCCCTTTGAACTATCTGATGGTCTCCGCTGGTATCTCCTTGACGCAACAGAGGAAAAGCCCGGTGCGCCAACAACCCCAGGTCTTGGGAAGAGCACCGTTGCCCCCGCGCATGTCGACGCTCGAGGTAGCATCCGTCTCAAACGCACACCTGCCGGAGCCAACGTCACAAAGACGCTCACGAAGAGCCTCGACAGCCGCCGGAACAGCTCCACCTCCAACAAACGTGGACCAACGCTATCCTCACGCGCAAACGACTCCACAGCAGATCTCGTCCGCGCAGGTCAAGCCGAGGGCGAAAACAGCGCTGCTGCCATCGACTCCAAATCCGTGTCCCAGTCGCGAGAGCGAGGACAAGAGCCAGGGTCAATCGCCATTTCCGACGAGGTTCGCCGCGACCAACTCCAGGGCCCGTGAACATACCCGCGCGGCCCTGGAGCCATCCATCCCATCCCATGTTCCCAGAACAGGGCTGACGAGAGCTGTCGTTCATAGGTCTTGGACCGCCACCGATCGCAAACACTTGAGCACAGTGGCATGTTAAACGGCTACGCGCGCCACCTGCATCTAGATCGTGAGCGCGATGCCAGTGCTAAATCTCTCTCCTTATCTGCGAATGGCGCTGAAATGGCGTCGTCTATGGCGTCAACTCAAGCTTCGACTTCGACTTCGGTCTCGGGTCCAAGTCATCGTCAGTTGACCCGCTACCGGCCCTGGGAGAAGCTGTGGTCTGTGGATCTGAATTATCGGTTGGAGGGTGGGGATTCATAATCTGGCTTTCTTGTCGCCTGCTGACTTCGATTGGTGGATGGCTTCGTCCTCATTCTATCCCGGTTGTAAGGCAACAGTTTCTGCCTCCTTTTTACTTCGTACATGGAGTTTTGGCTCTTGATATACCAGGGATATTTGGATTAGAGTTCTGGTCCTGGTGACTGTGGGCGCTAGTGTGTATCAGGCGCTTATTCCTGACCTATCTTGGTTCTTACATCTCTATATGATACCCTTTTACTCAATTCCAGGTCATCAACTATTGCTTTATGTTCTGCTCAATAAGTCATGTTACCTAGATCGGATGTTATAGTGTATGTTTAGCGTATTTGCCACGAGTTCAGATTGAGAATAAGCAACTATTGCTAGCAAACCTCTATATAGCCTATGTATTCTTCCAACGCCTGTCCATGGAACACCATAAAGGATCTGCCCCCATCCAGAAAAACAAAGGTGAAATAAAAGGACGGATTATACAAGAAAGGGACAAACATATCAGTCCAACTGATCCGCATACTTATCCACATCCACGATCTCCCCATCCGCATCCCCAAAGCCCTCCATCCCGCCGACTTCCTGCCAGAACCGCGTAAAGTCTACCCCGGCATCCTCGAACAACTGCTTCGCCTGCACCATCGCGCTGGCCTGTCTTTCCGGAGTGAACCCGCCAGGCTGCGTACTCTCAAACTGAATAAGCTCAACCCACCGGAAGAAGAGCTCCTCATGACCCATGTCACTGAGTTTGTCCTTAAAGGCGAGGATCTGATCGCGCTGCTTAGAGCGGGTGCGTCCCTCCTCGGTATCTTCGTCGCCGACATGCCAGATGATCCACCCATCAGTGTCTGTGTTAACAAGAACAGCGGTGCGGAACTCGTCGAGGGGTAGTGAGTTAGGGTTCTTGGTGTCGGCGAGCTCGTGAGCCTTGATCATGGCGTCGTAGTCTAGGTCCCAGTCTGCGTCGACTAGAAGGTAGCCTGTCTTAGCAAGGCGGTCGGGTGTCACTGCTGCGACGATCTTATCGCGCATTTCTTCGTCTTCGCGGATCCAGCGGTTGCGCTCGAGGGTCTCGCTTAGCGCGGACTGGCTGCGGCGGACGATGATTTCTGCGTTGCAGAAGCCGACGCGGCGCCGCCATTGGAGGGGGCCATTGAAGAAATGGAGCGGCCAGGGGAGGAAGGTGACCACCAAGAAGTAGTCGAATAGGACTGGGAGGGCGCGGCGGAGGATGAGGGTGGCCAGCTCGGCAAAGGAGAAGGACGAGGTGTCGAGGTTCGTGGAGCTTGTGAGGCCGAGGACGGTGGCCAGGAGCTCGGGGTACATTGTCCGACCTACGTAGACGCGGTAGGCGATGAGGGCGATAATGAGGGCGTTAGTTACGGCGGGGATGATGAAGGTTTGTGTCTTGAGGTCGAGCGCGGAGGAGTCGATGTGCACGAGATATACCTCCTTCGGGGAGAGGAGCTTGAGGAATGGCGTCAAGCGTTCTGGCGCCAGCGTAAATGGCGGGAGCGGTCCGGATTGGGAGCTGGGGGTTGAACTCCCGGAGGATTGTATAGAGGTAGCCGGGGCTTTACCCTTGGCTGATCGTCTTGCGGATTTGGCCATGGTGTGCGGAGAGTAACAGAGCTGGATTCAGACACTGTAGAGACGTGTGATGCGGCGGAGAACGATCAAAGCAGTAGATAACCAGGCACCAGACAGGGGTGCAGCTTTATATCTCCGAGATCAGACGTTGAGGGGAGCCACGAAGCTAGATAAGGCCGATGATCAATACATCTGATGGGGTCACATGCTGGTCAGTTGGCGGACGCTGGGACGGCAGTAATGGGAAGTTCAGACGTACAATCCAGTCAGATCATCTGACGGGTCATATGTCATAGCTGGAGCAAGTGGGAGAAATGTCGAGAAATGTAGAGATCGCAGGGACAGCTAGAGCTGGAGGTCATCGACATCACCGCATTATTTTTGTCTCCGCAGCGCTAACCAGGTTGGGACGGGGATCCCCTCGGCCTGGAACTCGCACTTGTTGTCGCCCAAACTCAGTCCAGGATAGATGCTTTGCATGCTGCCGACAATAAATCCCCCTTATTATTACCGGCGCGTCACGACTTGGCAAATGCGTTAACGCAGACCCTCACCATGCCCACACCCGAACGCCAAACTGGCCAAACAGCATGGGCGCGTCCCCAACAACAGCAACACACATCTCCCTTTCAACGTGCACGGCGTGAGCGTCTTCGCTTCGACACGTCCCATGGTCTCAGTCCTCCCCGCGAATCTCCCGCGCGACGTCAGCGGAACTTCGGCCAAACGGGCACATTAGCCGGGTCCTTCGCGCACGCCATGTCGCGCCTGCCGCTAACGGAGCTAGAAGACGACCTTTTCCTGCCCAACTACGCGCAACGAGGCTCACCCCGCAGACGCCAGAGTACCAGTGCCATGTCAGCACGGTCTAACCCGCCAGAATTGGAGGATGCGTATAGGCAAATCGAGGACGCGATCAGTCTTACCGACATTGACCCGGACGAGGAAAATGTCGTGTACATGGCCAACAAGGAAAAGCTCAACCATCGACTTTCCACCACTCCTCCAAGAAGAGAGCACCGGTTATCTACCGCGTCAGAATCGAGTTTCACGAGCGCGTCCCCCCGTCGACGGTTCAACTACACTGAGGACGAAGAGCGATTGAGGCGGGCTACGACGAGTCATTCGCCGGTGCTGGACAGGACTGCGTTAGGAGGCGGGCCTTCGTCCGAACATTTACGAAGGCGGGACTCGGAAAGCCACAGTACATCGGAGGAAGATTATGGCATTGAGCCGGCAGTGAAGGCACCTTCAACTTGGGGGAGTAGGGCGAAGTCTGGCAATAACTGGATGAAGAGCCTCACTCGAAACCATGAACTCGCGTCGGCTAAGAAGGATCCTCAGGAATCCTCATCTCGGTTATGGGGCGAAATAAGTTCAAAGCGCACTCAACGAGCTGCGGAAAGTCGAGGAATCGTGGAAGACCCAATACGCTCACGTTACAAGCTTCCCCCACCTCCACCAGCACCAACCTCGTCTGAACTAAAGGAGGAAATCTTGACTGGCGGTGAGAAAATTCCAAATACACCCATTGCTGTTTATAAGGAATCCACCTTCACTAAGCGCAGTCCGACAAAACGAGACTCGCATGACCTGATCCGGAAGCTTGCTCGGACTTCCAGTCCGGGCCAAATAACGACAGAAGAAACTCAGACCCCGGAAGCGACAACAACAGGGCGACGCATTTATGATAGGACACCGGCTGCGCCGGGTGCCTGGATTGACACTCCGATGACACAGCGAGCCTCTACATCACAACCCAGGGAGGTCACTGAAGCTCTACGACCGAGACTAGACAACTCATGGGGACTTGAGAAGTTGGTGGAGGAAGCAAGGAATAAGGACAAGAAGGAGGATGCCGAAGGGCTGATACCGAATTTTGAACCGCTCAAAAACATAGAAAAGAAGAAGTCGCCAGCAGAACAGCCGCAAGAACGACCGCAAGAACGGCCGGATGATCAACCAAAGGAAGAACCCGCCAAAGAAACATTTGAGCTGGAGCACATTGAAGAAGAAAAAGAACCGCAGCAGAAAATGGAGTCGACGAGTCAGGCTATCCGCAATTCGCTAGAAATGGAAAGGGACTGGAAGCCGGTAGAACTACCCCTACCTGATCATCCCAAGAGTGCCTTGGAAACTGTGCTGCAGGAGCACAAGAACAACAAGGACGCCCTGGACGTTGGCGATGATACAATCGAGTCCCTTCAAGCTATTGTGGATCAGCAGCCTAGCGAGGATACCGAAACTCAAGCAAAGGACGACGCCGCGTACGAACAGCAGGTTATCGAAGAGCTACAGTCTGCCACGTCTTCCGAGATGAAGGATTTTGAGCGTATTGAGGGGAAACTGCAGTCGCTGTCCGACAACATGTCCCACGTAAAATCTGGACTCGACCAGCTAGAAAACCGAGTATCTAGGGATAACCAGCAGATTATCGCTTCCATCAGCAGGAACCCAGTGGAGACAACTAATGGACCCAGGCAGCCGCAGCAAAACTGTGAGACGTGTAAGAGGCGCGGGAACGGCGAGATCGTGCATTATTGTATTCCCCTTCCACATTTATGGGAACGAGGCCGCTTTTGGTGGTTACCCCGACCAACTCGCTTAGGCTGGTCCATCCTTATCCCGCTCGTTTGGTTTGTGTTGGAGAACATGATGTGCGATGAATATTGTCATCCATTTTTCGCCGAGACCTGCGAGGGATACTGCTTGGAACCAGATGCGCCTCGCTATCCGTTTGTGATCCCGACGATGTTGTGGCGCTGGTTGCATTTATCCGATATTCTTGCCCCAGTCGGCGCGATCCTGATTGCCTTTTCTCGGATTATCTCACAAATGATGGGGCTGTCGGATGGATTTGTGGATGATTTGGAACTTCCGAAAATCAACCTGACCGGCAAAGTCTGGATCAACGGTACTAGGATGGAAGATTTACCCCCTCTTGAAACCTCGATCTCCGAAAGCTTCACTCCTCCAGTTGCGCAATGGGAGACAACGACATATGTTTCAGAGCCGATGCCAGAGATAACTCCCGACCCAAACACTTATAATTGGGACGATATCTCAATGGATGACGATGAGTTTCTCTAGGCGATGTACCCAAGCCTCTCTATTCCTGCATCTGCTCCTGCGCTTTTCAATGTTTCACTGTTCACATTTAGCACATTGGCGTTGACTGATTGGACATGGCCGGCTCGTTGATTACTGGTAAATAGCGGCGGCGTTACTTAGGCGGTACTATATATCATTATTTTTGCTAGCGGCCAGTATCTGAGGTTTTTTGAATAACATGACATTCTTCTACATCATCTTCGGTGCATCTCCCGAAACAGAGTCCGATGAGAGGATATGTTACAACTTTAAGTAAATTTGTATAATATTAGGAGCTCAGGTCAGCATCGGACTGCTCGCCGAGTGAATCTTCGAAATCCGGTTTAAGCTTATTTTTATGCTTTTCTCTAAGCCTTTCACTGTCTCGGAATCTTGCCTCTAGCATTTGGGACGGAACTCGGAAATGGTGTTATATATCATAGCCTATATTCGGAGCTATTAGCTATTGGAAACACTTCTCGTGTAAGCTCTTTTTGTATAACCCGCGAGCGAGCTGAACCGTCGAGAATCGAGATCTGCATTAAGCATAAAAAATAAGCTTCGTATCGGGCGGGAGCTTATCTTGAAGCTTCTATTATTAGCTTTGGAGGGGAGTATAGTGTATACTTCCTGCTTACTCCGGAGCCCGCGCTTTCCATTCTGAATAACAGAGAATTATCAAAGTGATGCTTAGTATGGCAGATTTTGAAACTTGCAAGCATGAGTGTGGGAGTAGGTTGGGGCGAAAGGAGAGATCGCTGTTTGTCAACGATAGCTACACATCTAGAAAGAAACTGGAAATGCAAAGGCACAAATATTATGTTGGAATGATGTATATACAGGATATCTATGTAAAATATAAACAAAGTCTAAGCCAGAATACCTTACAGACCATGGAGTACGGAAATCATCTACAACCGCGCCCGGTTCTCATTCTTAGCACTCCACCCATCCACTAAGACCTTCTCCCCTTTCACACGCCACTCCTTCGAGTCCGCTAACAGCTTATCGACTTCACTATCCGGCAAGTGGCTCGCGACTTCACTAAGCGGGATCTCCTTGTTATTCTCCGGCTTGAAAGCGAAGAACTTTAACTTCCCATCCGCACGATCCTTGACGGTCCCCGCGACAGCGTCGACGCAGAACAAGCCCATGGAGTCGTAGAAGGCTTTGCCGGCGGGATGGCCGGGCATCATCATCCCGAAGCAGTGGGGCATGCCTTCGACTTGTTCCGCGATGACCGGGACGGAAGCGGCGTGCATGCGCCGCGCGACGACGAGACCTTCGTCCGTTAGGCCTTCTTCACCGGTGGAGATGTAGATTGGGGGACTGTTCTTCCAGAGATCCGGAAGAGCTGCGAGGGGCGAGACGAGCGGGTGGAGGATCGCCGAGGCGTTGACAAAGTAGTCGACGCGCGGTGGGTTGGTAGGCCAGATTGCGTCTGCGGGAATTGGAGGTGGACGGAATGGCTCGCCGTTTGCTTCTGAGGATGAGAAGGGGGAGGGTGCTGGGAGGAAGTCGTAGGGCGCGTTTTTGCGGATGGAGGGCATGGACCGGGAGATATCGCACCAAGGGGAAGAGACGGCGACGCCTGCGGGTGGAGTGATGGTAACCGCGATGTTGTGGAAGTTGACGGTCGTGGAGGTGCGGTGCAAAGTGAGTAGGGTCTGAAGGAGGACGAGGCTGAGGTTTCCGCCCGCGGAGTCGCCGGCCAAAATGATCTTGCTGGGGTCGATAGGATTGTGGAGAGAGCCTGGAGGGGGTGCGACGAGGTATAGGTATGCGGTAAGAGCGTCGACAAGGGCGGCGGGGAAGGGGTTCTGAGGGGCGAGACGATAGCGGACGGAAAGGACGGGGGAGTTTGTACGCTTGGAGATTTGTGACACGACCGGCCGGTGGGTGCAGGGGTCCATAAGGCTGTATTCCTTAGCTGCTAGTTGATCAGAGCCTGATTGGTTTGACTCACTAGTATGCGCCGCCATGGAAGTACAGAACAACCATATCGGCATCATTCTCCTTCTTCAACTTGGTATACTTCTGCTCCTCCGACAGCTCCGGTTCAGGCGCATTCTTGCCCACGCCCCTGCGATACCCCGTCCACTCGGCCTCAACCGGTCCAACACCAGGGATATCATATGTTTCGCCGCTCACTTTCAGCTCCTCGATCGCTTTTATGACCGCGTCCTGCACATCCATTTCCGGCTGTGGAATCTTCACTTTTGACACCCACAGCGGACCCTTTATCCCAGGATCGTGCATCGCTCCCTTTTGTTGTTTGCCAACGGGGGTTCGCCGACCCGTGATGAATGACCGGAGGACAGTGACGGTCATTTCGGTGCGCAGGTCCTGCTTGCCTGCGCCTGGCGACTGGCCGATGCCATGGAGAAGGGCCGTTCGCAGGATGAGAGGGATTCTTGGTAGGAGGGCCCAGAGAAGAGCGAGAGGGTTGTTGAGGGCGCTCATGGTGCAGCTGCTGCAAGGGCGCAGAAAGGAGGGAAACTCCAAGCTAAAATAATGACACTCCAGATACAACTAAAGGATAAGAAAAAGAAAAAATAAAGAGGAAAAACAAAGAGGTGGAGGGATTGCAGAGGAAAAGAGACGGGATTGCGGAGAAGATTTGCGAGAGCCGAGGCTGCCCTGAGTGGCGCTGCTTGTGAGAACTTGCCCCTGTCATCCTTGGTTCAGCACTTCTTCATCAGCGAATTACACGTCTCACTGCAGGGACAATGGAAAGAGCCTCATCGACAGCTCGGACCTAAGATGCGGTCAAAGATGATCCCAATCCGGAAGTCTTCGCGAACAGGAGGTACAGAATACAGTACACAACATGACCACCCGAATTTACGACTGACTGACTCAGAGAAGGGCGATCCTGAAAGGGATCTGAGAGCAACCTGACATGTTTTTGCTCTTTTATTGGCCTTGATTAGTCTTGGTCCTCGTTCTGGTGCCGTGAATACGAGGATTAGCCTCTGGGCAGTTGTCGCCGCCTCGAATCTCTCAGCTACGGATACTTGGACGTTAATAAGGGCATGAGAACCCCGACTTTTGAGACGGACTCTTCAGATAAATCCTTCTCTTTCGGAGTTACGGATGCCTCAGGCAGAAATCGGTCATGTGAGATTGGGATGAGAATCGAGGGGTAAACAAAACATGAGATTTCTCTGGATCTAAGATAGATGAGGATGTGAGAGTCTGATGGCTAGATACAGGAGAATCTGAGCTGTATTTATCCCTTTTCTCCTTCGCATTCTATTTCCTAATTAGGCCGTGAGATCCGGCCAAAGTTGGAGGTCGATTCTTTTCCTATCTTCGGAGGTCAGTTGGAGTCATCCGACTGAGTTTGCCGCGGAGATCCAAGGGATCTCCACCTCTCGTCCGACACACCCCCCAGCGCTTGAAGGAACGAAAGCGCTGACGCTAGGCGTCGGGAATAGCTTCAATTTTGACAAGGCCGAGTTGGCGAATGAATGTTTCGTGGCGCGGGCCACTGAGGAGTTTGGTAAGGCCGTCTGCTGGTTGATCTTTTGTCTCTATCCAGTCGACTTTGATCTCTCCGTTCTGACACTTCTCGCGAAGCCAGTGACGGTGAATATCGACGTGTCGAAGTCGTGTAGTGAATGCAGGATCGTCCGAGTTGAGCAATCGTACAGTTTGGGCGTTGTCGCAGAGGAGGCGCAATTCGACCTCCGGATCGAACTTTATGGCGTTGAAGAGTCTTCTCCACCATATGAGGTTTTTCGCTCCTTCGGTGACGGCGAGTAATTCGGCTTCGGTGGTGGAGGTGGTGACTGTTTTCTGTTTGCGAGCGTTCCAGTCGATTGGACCTCCGAATAGCTTCATAAGCCATCCGTCAGAGCTGCGTCGGTTGGGATTATCGCCGAAGGAAGCGTCGGATGCCATGGCAATAATCTCTTTGGTGTTGGCCGAGTATTCGATTCCTAGGTCCTTCGTGGCGATGAGATACTGAATGGCGTACTTGGCCGCCTCGATATGAGTTTTGGTGGGCCGCATCATATGCTGAGCAAGCTCGCTGGCCGCTTTGGAGGCGTCAGGGCGCGTCATCGTGGTGGGATAAAGGAATGAGCCAACAAGTTGTTGGTATAGGAGAATATCTTGCTTTGTAGGCGTATAATCTGGAGGCGCAGGCGTCAGTTTTTCGGTAGGCAAAGGCGTTTTCGGTATTCTGCTYGGTGCCGTGAGGTTGTATTTGGCCTGCAAACTGTCGATATAGGAATCTTGAAGTAACTGGATTCTCCGATTGTGACGATCGCGGATAATTCTGATATTCAGGAACCACTTCGCTTCGCCAAGATTTCGCAATTTGTATGTACGCTCCATATATTCGATGAAGTTGGCGGCCTCCTTCTTGGCTTTGGCTGATCTCTTGCTCATGACGAGTATATCGTCGACGAAGAAAATGACCATGAGATACTTCGTGACAAAGAGGCAAGGCTCTTCCGGCACTGGCTTGAAGCCATATTTAAGAAGCGTTGAAGATATCTCTTTCTGCCAGATGCGCGGCGATCGTCTGAGGCCATATAGGGGTCGATTCAATTTGAATACTCTGCCTTTGACGCGCCAGGGGCCGGGTGGTGTTTCGACATATACTTCTTCGTCCATGAAGCTTTGGATGAAGGCGTTGATAACGTCTAATTGGACGACGTCGAGGTCGAAATAAGCGACGAGCGCCATCATGAGTCGGAATAATCGGGCGGCTAGAGTTGCTGCTGCAGTATCAGCGTAGTTGCTGGGTTGGAGATCTCCTCTAGCGCAGAGGCGCGCTTTGAATTTGTCCAGATAGCCGGCGGCGTCGAATTTGTATTTGAATACCCATGTGAGCGGTATGACGATCTTGCCTTTTGGTGTAGGAACGATTTCAAAGGTGTGGAGTTCTTTAAGAGTACCGAATTCGACTCTGGCGGCCTCTATAAACTGGTTCTTATATGGATGCTTCATGAGTTCTGCCCAGTTTTTCGGTTCTTTTTGGAGCTGATCTCGGTGAATAGCTTCGCCTGGTGCCTCTCGCAATGGTCCGGGAGGCTTGGAGATCGCTGAGTGAAGAGAGATGTAGTATCCGGTGAAGTCTTTTGCCGGCCGGTGAAGGAGTTCGGTATAGAAAACTTTGGGAGGAGGCCTCCGTCTCGGGCGGTCTTCGTCTATAGGATCTTTCGGATCTCGCTTTCGGTGCAGGCGGTCGTATCGGGCCTCTCTGTCCAATTCGACCTGCGTAGTCAGGAGTCTGGGATTGGGATCCCACTCCCCTTCTTCTATGTCGGTTTCGTGCGGTTCTAGGTCGGATTCTTCGGGGGAAAGCGGTGTCGGCGTTTCTTCTCCATCATCGTTTTCGTCTGTCTCGTTTTCTGGTTGTGGGAGCCCTCCAGCGCTGTCGTTTTTGGAGTTGAGGATCTCCTCGTTTTCCTCGCTTTCCACTACCCAGTCGGGTGTCGTTGGGATAGTTTCATAGTCGTTGTGGGTCCAAGAGCTCTGATTGGCTGCAGTGCTTGCCAAGCTCGGGCTAGCGGCGGGAATAAGCGAAATTGCGGGGTTCCCGTCGTCATGTGATATCAAATTGCCAGGTGAGTTGGGAATAGCTTCATTTTGAGCATCGATTTCGGCGTGAGGTCCGTCGTTTTCAACCTCTTCGTTCTCACCCATTTCTATGTCGTTGGGCTCGGGAGTAGGCTCGTTTTCATCGTCGAGTTCGGGAGAATCGTTTTCGAAGCCAATAAGGAACGGTATATCAACCAGTTTCTCTTTTTCTTTTTCGTCGACATGTGCTGGGATAGCGTATCTCAAACCGGCTGTGTGAATTGGATCGTTCTCGTCGTAGGTTCTCGCCTCGTCAAACACCACATCTCTTGCTCGGATGACTGAATATCGTGTGGCTTTGGCGCGAGGGTTCCAGATCCTCCAAATGTTGTGGGCTTCTTCGTATCCGCAGAGATATCCGATGGCCGCTCTTGGCTCCATCTTATGAGAGTCAGGGATCTTTGGCCGCCAGTAGGCGAGCGATCCAAACTTGAAGACGTTGGCTATATTCACTGGGCGAGTATTGCCCGTCAGCGCTCGGAACTTTTGGAGCGGTACAAACCATTTGTTTTTCTCATCTCTTGTAGGCGTGCGATTCAGTATATAAACGGACGCCTTCATGGCTTCGGATACAAGATTTCGGGGCATATTAGCGGCCAATAGGAGCGCTCTGGCTCTCTGCAAAATAATTCCTCCTGATCGCTCGCTTGCGCCGTTTTGTTCAGGCGTATCGGGGACGGTAGTTTCGAAGGCTAAACCCCATTGTTCCTTGACGAATTTGAAGTCGTTTGAGAGCTGCGATGTCTCATTATCCATGTGAAGGAACTGAATATGAAGGCCAAATTGCCTGAAGGCGTAGGCGTCGAGCGATTGGACGGCGCGCTGGCAATCGTTTTTCTCAGCGTGCAGTACTATCCACCTCATCCGGGTGGCGTCATCTAGGAAATGAGAGGCGTATTTCATATTGTTCCAAGATGCTTCAAAAGTGAGGATGTCGAAATAGATCCTCTCAAAGGGTCGGGTTGCTCTGGTCGATTCAACTCGTGATATCTGCTTAGGGAATTGCGAGAGTTTGCATGGCGCGCAGAGCGGTTCTTCTTCTTGCTCTTCACTAGAGAGCTGAGGCGCCGGATCGATCTGTATACCGGTCGCGAATATCGGGAGTTTGGATACTGCGTTGGCGTTGAGGTGGCCCATACGCTCATGCCAAATTTTTGGGCTTCCTGACAGCGTTTTTGGAGTTGCGGAGCGTCGAATTTTCGTCTCCATTGCGGCGTAAGAGGCCTTGATCTCTTCGTCGTCGTCAATATCGAATTTCTCGTAGTAAAGTGTGTATAATCCGTGATGTCGTTCGAGTACGCAAAAGTCCGTTCCTTTCGAGTCTTCAAGAGTCCTCTTACGGCCGCTGAAATATAGATCTGCTGACACGGCTCTATCGAGGGACACGATGGTGGTATGAAAGCCGGGAACGTAGGCGCAATTCTTAAGCTTTAGGAGCCTCTTTGAGCCGTCTGGTCCCTTGCAAGAGACGCGGAGTGTACCGAACTTTTCAATCTTGTTGACTGTATTGCCGACAAGGACAACGTCGTCTTCAGAGGCGTCGCGGATGTCGATCATTTTGGTGAGGTCGTTGGTGACGTGTATAGAGGATCCGGAGTCGGCGATGACGCTTTTATATAGGCCGTATCGTGAGCTGTTGGATAGTGAATAGGCGATCGTCATCATGACTTTCTCCGGGTCTTTGGAGTCGTTCTTTTCGGCCTCGATTTCGAACGTCATGGTGTTGAATCTGGATCTTTTGAAGGCGCTTAGTACTCTCTTCTTGATGGTCGGATCCCGCATATTCTCCTTCACTTTTTGCAAAGTTTCCTCTTGAGGCTCCCAATCTTTTGGAGCTCTTTTGGCGTTGAGATACCAGCAGGAAGTAATGAAATGCGGATGGCCACATGCCGGGCATGTTACCTTCGATTTGTCGTCTTTATCTTTGCCGTTTTTCTTGGATTTCTTGTCGTCTTTGGTGTTCTCATCTTTTTCGTCTGCCGAGTCGTTTTCTCCGAGCGTGGCAAAGGTGCCATCCATTGGCCGTCGTCCAGATTTGCTGTATGCAGTATGGACGGCCCAGAGCGTATGGAATACTCTGAACTCTTCGACGGCGTCGGTGAAGTTCTTTTTCTCTTCGGAGAGAATGGCCATGTGAAGCCTTCGACTGAACTCTTTGTCGACAGTTGTGGTGGCGTATACGAAGTCTTGGAGCGCGTCAGTATCTTGATCGCTGGTGAAGACGTTGAACTTTCTGGCTTCGGTGAATACACCGACCCAGCGGTTGCACCAATTGTCGATCTGCTTTTTGGTGGAGAGGCCTCGGTGAATGGCTGCCTCTCTCCATTTTGCCTTGATCTCCGTTCGGCGGGCGATGTCGGATTGCGTATGGCGCTTCACGAGAAGTTGAAGCATTGCACGCGGATGTTCTTGGCCGTATAGGAGTTGCTGGTGAGAGCTGGATACGGTCGAGGTTATATGAGCCGTCATCGTACCTAGCGGAGCTTCATGTTTCTTCTTCTGGGTGAGATGTTTCTCCATAGCAATGTGAAATCTGCCTTGTTCGTTGGCCGTCAAATGACTTATCTGGAGTTCGCCTTCCTCAGGAATATTGGAGCAGTAATCTCTAAGGATCGGCCTCGGGCCAACAGGAATGGGCGGTAGGTCTTTGTCGTCGACTGCGGGATCAATATAATCCCATATCATGAGGCCTATAGCCATCGATTTGGTGATCTGATACCATGGGCGCCACGTATCGGGGCCGTCTAGGGTGACGGCGTTGAACCGGGCGTTCGCAGGTAGGAATTGGAGGTTCTCCATGGCGTATTATATAGCAAACTAGGAGAACTCTGGGAGTTTGGATTCGGGCAGTGAATAGCTTCAGGGATAACCGTATAGATAATATTCAAAAAGGTGAAGTATAAGCCGGGCTCATAACTTTCGGAGTTACGGATGCCTCAGGCAGAAATCGGTCATGTGAGATTGGGATGAGAATCGAGGGGTAAACAAAACATGAGATTTCTCTGGATCTAAGATAGATGAGGATGTGAGAGTCTGATGGCTAGATACAGGAGAATCTGAGCTGTATTTATCCCTTTTCTCCTTCGCATTCTATTTCCTAATTAGGCCGTGAGATCCGGCCAAAGTTGGAGGTCGATTCTTTTCCTATCTTCGGAGGTCAGTTGGAGTCATCCGACTGAGTTTGCCGCGGAGATCCAAGGGATCTCCACCTCTCGTCCGACATTCTCTCTCCCAGGCATTATTCCTCTTTCCGCTCTGGCGTTAGTAGAGCTTCGGTTTTGGTCAGCGATATTGCATACATATTGTCTTGACAAGCGTCCCAATGCGATCCCAAGTACTGCGTCTAGTTTGCTCCCTCTTAGGGGCGATCCTGATTCCCAGCGCCTTAGCACGAAGAGGCGGCAGCGGAGACTCAGATGGCGATGGCGGCAGCAGCAGTGGCGGCAGCGATAGCACTGGCTCCTCTTCCGATCCCTGCAGCACCCCAGACCATCCCGCCGTCTGGAAATGGGACTTGATCCCGCACAACGCCAACAACCGGACGTCCGGCGGGGTCGAAGGTCGCGACACCAGCTACGACGGGTCGTTCTTTGAGGGCAAAGCCGAGTTGTTCTACAACATCACCGAGGAAGGAGGACTCACCTGCCACATGAGCGCCGAGAATCCGATCAGCTTGCTCGGATACGCCTGGATTGGCCCGCAGGCCCCTTACCCCGTTGGCCCAACAAACCCAATAATCATTGGATTCAAGGCGTGGGAGTCGCGCAAGCCACTTGATGAAATTGAGGACTCGTATGGATACGTCGATTGGGATCCAGGGAATTCTAATGGCTGTCCGGACAGGCCTGACTTGTTTCTTCTTACAACAACGTATTCATGGACGGACTGGCGGAAGTCCGAAGAGTTGCTCAGGGTGGTTGGTTACGCCTTCGATGTGCTTCATCTGGATCTCTCTGCAACTGGGGATTCGGACCTGGGAGAGGTGCAGTTCAGCGGAACAATGGTCAATGCATCAGTGCCTAAGCCCGAATATCGGCATATGACCATCAGAATGCCCGGACGGATCTGTGGAATGCATCGTGTGTTCTCGATGGACGACGAAGACATTGATCGCTTGGGCATAAGCGGCTCTTTTACGAACACGACACTAGACTTGACTCTTTCCGGTAGAGGCACAGCGGTCGCTATCTCTTCTTGGTCCAGGAGCAATATCACTGTCGAGTTCGATCTGAAGTTTTCAGGGAGATTTGACAGTGACAATTCGACTCAAAAGCTCAGCTTGCAGCAGAGGGACCAAGCGTTGGTGGACTGGGTGCCGAATCTTGGAATTCAGATTATCCCCAGGTCACTTGGATGGGTTGGCAGCTTGGTCTGCCTTGGTGCTATCATGCTGGGCCTCTAGATAGAGGACCGCAAGTGGGCTCATATGATCCCTTCGGGCACCGCTGCAGTGAAGTGGTAGTGCGGTTTGATATTTATACCGGTAACGAGCAATTGGTAACCATCAGTATATAGGCCTTTAGGTATCTAAGCACCTATAATCCTGCCATTGAAGAATGGTAATTAGAATAGAAGAGCTTGATCAAAGGCAGCAAAGTAAAGATGGCAAAAGAACCTTCGAGTAGAAACAGGTCAGGTCGAGGTGGCCACAGCTGTGGCTAGTACACACCCTCCGACACCATCATGCATTTCAATCACAATCTGAGCCAGTCCCTCGGTGCACCGAGCAGATTATACAGTGAGTCAGGTGGATACTTACATCGTTGTGGCATTGTCAAGTGGACATAATCTGTCAGTGCTAATTCCAGCAGGGGCTCGAATTAGGGCTTCAAGAACAGTGTGAGAGACCAGTATTGTCCGTCAGTGCTACGCCTAATTAAGCTTTGTCCTGATCCTGTCTGTCATTATATACCCACGGTGTCTGGAGCCAATAGAGAGCTTTAGATAACCATACGTATGGGGGGATGCCGCTATTGCTGGCTTTTTGGTCTTTTTGCTGTTTGGGGCGAACTCGGTCAACTTTCGACTATCCATAAACACATTGCAAACAACACAGGATAAATTATTTATATCTTTATACCTCGCCCAAATAGGTTCAAAAACATGAGATCTAAGCAGCCTTCCTCCCAACAACAACCCCAAGCCTTAGTGCCAGAACCCTCCCACCGTCCTCTCCAAAATACTCCCACAAATTCTTAATCTCCTCATTGATATTCCTCTTCACGTCTGCCTCTCCATTCCTACTCACTAGCCTCCTAACGACTGCCTCCAAAGACTGAGCCTGCCACTTCTGCGCGCGGATCTTGAACCGCTCGCCGCGATCATGCTGTGCATACCCGATGTTCCTAACGTCACTCAAACCGACTCGCTTGAACGACTCTGCGAGAGATGCGGGGGCGTCGATGGCTAGACTCTGGGTCTTTAAAAAATCCAGCCACGTGGATACGAAAAATGAGCAGCGCGGATCTGTTAGGTTGTCGTTGGTGGGCGACGAGAGGAAAGCGGAGTTTATATCTGTCCATTGGATGTAGCCGCCGGGCTCTATCAAGGTCCTCTGTTAGTTCTTGGCTCTACCGCATCCAACTCATCCTAAAGAGCGTATATCTTTAAGTACTGGAAATGGAATACGGGAACGTACTCAGAATCTCGACCAAGTTCCTCACGGCAATCTCATACTCGCTTTCCGGAACCGCGGCCACAAGCAGCCTAACATACACGAGGTCATACTTCCCATGATACTCCGGCGGGAAAGGCTTCAAGACATTGTGTAATGAGAAAGATACATTGTCTGGCGTGGACTGCGGAAACTGCTCAGAGGAGATGTCGAAGCCGTGAAAGGTCCTGTTTTCCTCGGTACCGGGGAACTTGGAGTCCAGGAAGTCGCGCGCTTGCAGGAGCCAGATTCTATATACGGTATCAGCAATCTGATATAGCGAAGTATGTAGGGCTTGGATAGCTTACCCAGTCCCCGTTCCAACGTCAGCTACCGCTGAGATATTCTCGAGAGGAAGAGAGGAATCAAATAGGCCGTCGACGGCTTGAACGATGAAGTTATGTTGTTCGTTCAATCTGCTCGCTGTTAGTACTGACGTCTTTGGACCAATGGATCGAGGTTAGGCGTACCGGCTCGACTCTGTGCTGTCCCTGGCAAGGGGATAGATCTCTGAGGCGTCGCCCATGCTGCCGATGATGCTGATGCTCTATTGATATGGAAGAGTGATAATGTAGAACCGGAGCAGAGCAGACTACCAGGGTCGTCACATCTTATATACCCTGCGGAGAAGGACATAATTAGCATGATTGATGAAATGAGGCCAGCCGTGCGGGTCGGGGTCCCAGTCTCGCCCTAAGCAATAGGCTATCGGTGCTGACTGCTGACTTGCGGGTATGACGATGATGGTGATTAGTTATGGAGTCGATTTCCCCCTGCGTGAGCGTATAGACTAGGTACCGAGTAGCGACCACCAGCAAAGACGGGATATCCAACGGTCTGACAGGCGTCCCACCGCGGAGTAGCGCCGCTAGCGGCGAAATGATCATGCTCCTAAGTCCTGAGTCCTCACGCGGCTGGTCAGTGATTAGCCCGGATAGATCGGCCTGCGTCGTGCATTGCCACAATGATTATTCGATCTTTATCGTGGATAAGCTTCGTTATACACGTGCTTTAGCTTAGCCTTGCCATGGCCACGACACCGGACTCCGATGCCGGAAAGCCTACGGTATTGTCGGACGCCCGGAGGGCCGGCGCCCGGGACGCGCCTATCCTGATTAGAACTAGCGCAGCATGTGATGGTTAAGGTTTTCTTATAACTTACCGCTTGCTATATATAAATAATTTAAAGGTTTATTATAAGTAATATTATTAGCTAGTTATTAAGTTATAAGCCCTTAAACTTTTTTAACTACTTTAAAATATTATTTAAAACTTTTTTAAGTATTTTTATAAGCTTTAAAGCTTACAATAAGTATTATTATATACTTTTTTTACCTTTTTAAAGCGCGATTTTTAATACCTATTATTTATAAATTAATAAAACTATAACTTTTTAACTAATTAAAACTTAATATTTAATATAGCTAAACCTTAATAAGTTATTTTTAATATAAAAACCCCTAATCCTATTATAAAAATACCTTAATAAGTAATTTAGTTAATAAATTTCCCTAATTTCTTACTTAAACAGGTATATTATAAGCGCCACCTACTTTTAATAATAATTTTTATTATTATATACCTACTTAGAATTAAGCTTACAAGCTAAATTAATTATAATAAGTAATTTAATTAAGTAAAAAAATATTTACAAGCCCTATATCTTTTTTAATTAGTTAATTTTTTACTTTCCTGGCCTTTTAAAAACAGGCTATACTAAAAATACTAAAAGAATTACTTAATACTTATTACTAATTAGTTTATAGGCTAGATTAGTTATAAGATTTATGCTAAAGTTATTAAATTCCCATGTTTAATAAAGTATATTAATAAAATATTTAATATAATTTACTAAATTATTATTAAATAAGGCATACCCTAAATTACTAAGGTAGTGCTTAGCATTATTAATATATATAAAAATTAGTTTTTTACTATTTTTAAGTTTATTATAATATTTATAACTATGTAAAATACCGCTAAAAACCTATATATTATTATTAAACTTAGTATTATTATGCTATTAGTTTTTTAAGAAATTTATAGTAACCTTAAAACATGATTTATATTTTAATAATTATTTTTAACTAATAAGATTTTAAGTAATTATAGCAAAAATAACTTAAAATAACTATATAAAAATACTATAACTAAAACTAAAATAATTATTTTACTTACTACCGCGGCCCCGCCCTTGGGAAAGTAAAAAAAATAAGTTTATTATAAAAAACCCTATACTAAAGCACTTACTAGCCCTTTAAATAATATAAATAAAAAAAATAAGCTAATTAAATAAAGCAAAAAAATAATAAAGTTTATTTTTATAAATATTATAAATATGGCGGCCATTTTTAAAAAAATTATTATTATTTAAACCCTTAACTCCAACCTAATAACTAAATTAAGCTTTTTAAAATATAGGCGCTATACCTAAATAAAACTAGCATAAAGTTATAAGCTATAGCTTTATATAATAATAATAAATTTAATAATTATAACTTTAAATATAATAAATTAAAGCCTAAGATTAGCCCTAAATTCTTAGTTATACTTACTTTTATTATAATTACTAAACTAATAAAATAGCTTATAAATATAAAATTAGCTAAGTTTATTTTTTTTAAATACTTTAATTTTAAAAATTATATAAAATATAGCCCAAACCACTTAGGATATTTATATAAAATATTTAATAAAGTAATTAAACATGCTAAAGGTTACAGGATATTAATTATTATTATAAAAAATATAAATAATATATATAAAAAAATTAGGGTTTATAAATATCACGCGCCTAAGGCTTTAATTTACTTATTATTTATTAAAAGGCTAAAAAAACACTTAGCATATGGTATTACAAGAAAAATAATATTTTTATTAGCCTAAATAAATTTATTATAAGGCAAGCTTATACATACCATGGTATTTTTTTTTAAAGTTTATATTTAAATAGTATTTTTAATTAATTATAATTAATATAAATTTATTTTATAAGCGCTTTAACCATGCAAGTATTTCTAGACTTTACACCATGGCCTAGGTAAAAGGCCTTAATATAAATATTATTAACTAATTAAACTACTTTACTTACCTTAAGGCTAAATTTTATAAAATATTATTTTAGCCTGTCCCGCAGGAAGTAAATTTAAAAGAATTATAATATATAAATATATAACCTATTTAACTAACTAAAATTAGTGGTTTTAACTACTATTTTATAATTATTAATAATATTACTTAATTAGCCGCGGTATACTGCGTTAAAAAAAAAATATTTTAATAATTAATATTATACTAAAAATACTATAAGTGCCTTATAGGATAATATATTTATATTATTAAAATAAATAGTAATAAAAAATTTCTTAAGTATAAGGCCTAGGTTAAGTTAAAGGGTTTAATATTTTAACCTTTTTTACCAAGAACTTTGGAGTTTAATAAGATTTTAAAATAATATACCTAGTATATTAATATAATAGCCCAAGCTATAAAAATTAATACTAGTTTATTAAAAAAAGTATAGCCTAAAATAATTAAGGCTGCTATTAAAACCTTAAATTAATTATTTATTATTAAAAATTTTTATAATAAGTTACCCCTGCAGCTATGGCGTAAATACTACTAAATTAATAACTTAATACCCTGCCTTAATAACTTCCGCGTTTATAATTATAAATTATATATTTATATATTAATTAAAAATTATAAATAATCTTACAAGCTTATTATAAGAGCTTTAATTAGCTATTTAGTTAAATATAAAAAAGATAATAATAAGATTTTTTAAGTATAGGTTTTAAAAAAGCAGGTTTACCGCTTAAAGCATGTTTTATTTAATAAATTAAAATTTTATAAAAATAATTACTTACTTAGTATTATATTTATAAAAAATACCTTACCTTAACCTAATAAATTAACACCGGGGGCCACCATATATAGTACTAAACTTAATAATATACTTATTTTTAAGCTAATTTTAATAATCCAGGCGCCTAAAATATTAATTACTAGCTAAATTTAAATTATATTTTTAATTTTAAGGTATTAACTAACTTTAGTACCACGTGGTAATATTAAATTAAAGTTATTTATTTTATTAATACTAAAATACTAGGTTAACTTTATTTTAATGCTAACATAATACTTATATACTAAAAATATAAAAATCTTACTAAGGTAGTTAATTAATAATAATAATAATAACACTAGCGTGCCAAGCCTAACCTTATTAAATTATTATAATAACCTTAATCTAGTAACACCACCTTAATTTTTAATAAAAAGTATTAATATTATAATTATACTAGCTTATACACTATTATTAATAAATTTTATTAATTAATTTTAAATATAAATTATATTACTTTTACTAGTAACCCAAGCCCCGCCCGCTCCACGCTTTTAAAAGCTTTAAAATAACCTTAATTTACTAGGATTAGCGCTAAATAATATTTAAAATATATATAAATAAATTTTTAAAATAAACCACTTTAAGCCACGTGTATTTAACGCGGATATTAATATAATACTAAATATATTAATTAATTAAAATTTAGGGACGTTAAACTATAAGATACCAGGCTAATTTCTTAATTAACTAAAAATTTTAATAATAAAGGCCATCCCACATAAGATAAATATAAATATTAATATTTTTAATATAATAGTTATTTTATTAACTAAACACCCTAAACCCTATATTAATTATAACCTATTAACTAAAGTAATTAAGCACGCTAACGCCAGAGTTATTAAAATATTTAAAAAAATAGTTTAGTATTTACTTACTAAAAGGTTTTAAATATTAGCTAAAGCTAAATTACATATTAATAATATTAAAGTACCTAAATCTTATAAAAAAGCGCGGTAATTTAAGTTCTTTAATTAATAAAAAAAAGCTATATTAATTTATATTAATATAGTAGTTGCCATAAACACGTGAAAGCTTGTTAAATAGCTAAAAAAGGCTAAGATTATTTTTAATAAGTAGGTATTTATACTTAAAAGTAATAAAAATAGCTTTATTTTATTATTTAAGGCTTAAATTATTATATATAGTAATTACTAAGTTACTAGATTAAATTATAATAAAAGCTTTTGCCTAGTTATAGCTAATATAGTAATTAAATATATATTAATAACTATAATTATTTAAAGGCTTAGCTAGTGCTAGTTTAATATTATTAACACTTATTTTAATATAAAAATAGCTAATTAAAAGGTTTATATATAATAGTCACGCGGCCATAAGATTAGTAATAACCTTATATATAAGGTATAAAAAGCCTTATTTAGCCTTTATAATTTTATATACTTATAAAACTAGAAATTTAATTAATTATTACGCGCTAAGGGCTTTAAGCTACTTACTAAAAAACCTTATATATATATTTAAAAGTTACCCTACGTGTTAATTATTATTTATATAAATAATAATATTATTATTAATAAAATAAAGGCTAATATAAATACTATTATTAGCCTTTTATAAAAGATTTATAAACTTAAAGTTAGTAATAAGCTAATTAAATTCCTTAAATTAATAATATTTTATAATTATAAAAACAGGATAATCCGCCTTTTTTAAGCCATATATATAAAATAAATAGCTTAATATTTTAGCCTTACTAAGGCTAGGCTAGTAAAAACGCTAATAATAAAGGGGTATATTAAAATTATATAAAAAGTTAATTAATTAAATACTGCAAATCCTAATATACCTTTAATTTTTAATATTTTTAGTACTTATGCTTTTACTTAATTAGTTAAATTTTTTAGCTAGCTTAAAAAAACCCGTGTTAACCTTGTATACCTAATTTAATTTTTATAATATTAATAAAAATTTTTAATTATTAATAATATAGTAGCCGCCAAGCACGTGGTTTATTATATTATAATTAATTAAAGTAATTTAGTACTTGCTAAGACCTATAAAAAAGGGATAATTATTTATTTTAATATATTTTATTAAAATTATTTTAACAAAAAATTTACCAAGGGTTTTATTATATATTTTTATAGGTTTTTTATTGCGTGAAGTTTAAAAAAACAAGTAATTATAATACCTTTATTTATTATAATAAAATTCTTAGTATTTAACAAGGCTATTAAAATAGCTTTATTTATAAAAAAGCTTATTAAGGCGCTTAAAGTATAAAATAGCAAGCTAATTATAATATATTTTAATAATACTAGCGCTATTATTAATATTACTAGTTAAAAAATTTTAGTTACTACACGCTAGTTAATTAATAAATACTTTTTTATATAAAATATTTATAAATAATACTTAGTAAAGTTTTACCACGTGCCGGGAAAGAAAAACCCTGTAAATAAAATAATTAAATTATTAAAAGTAACTAAGTTTACTGCCTTTTAAAATATAACAAGCCTTAAAAAAGCCCTTTAATTAATAAATTAAAAGTATAAAAGTTTTATTATTCTTGTTTTTAGTAATATTTTTTATTTAAAATATATATATAGCTTTATAGTGTGGCCATATATTACTTAATTAAAAGGTGTGTTAAACGCCCGGAGGGCCAGCGCCTAAAACACGCCTATCCTAATTAAAACTAGCGCAGCACGTGATGGTTAAGGTTTTCTTATAACTTGCCGCTTGCTACACATAGACAATCTAGAGGTTTACTATGAGCAACGCTATTGGCTAGTCATTAGGTATTATCCAGCACGGGTAAAGCAAGTCCGAAACCCAAAACCCAAAACGCACGTCTGCACTGGGTTCTTCTTCAAAAGTGGAATTTGGCGATTTGTTGCAATCTAGGACCCTCTCTCGCGTTCTATTGGGCCGGGGTTTAGAGTCTGCGTCTGCCCCGGGACCGTGGATGGTCAAATTTGATGTGGTGTACCTATTCCGAACCACTCATTCTTGACATTACTTAATGAATCCCCTCGGTTGATTTCGGGGCGACTATAGAACTGGAAACAACCACTACTCAACACGCAGCGCATCATGAGTCACAAACGCCTTAAACCTCCTCGGCGCAACCTTATCCTCATACAACCGGTCGATCTCCTCCGTCGACAAGCCTGCCGTATCGGGAACAAGGAAGTAAGCGCCGATGACAAGAATCACCGTGATCCCCGCAAAGGGGAACGCGGTGCGGGCACCAAGATCCCCCGAGTCAACGTTGTACATGTACGGGACTGTAAATGTCGTCACCCATGTCGAGAGGGTCTGCGCAAAGACTCCGATGGAGAGCGATTTGACGCGCAGTCGGTATGAGGAGATTTCGGCGGCGATGGGCCAGCCGACGGCTTGCATCAGACTTGTTTGGATGGAGATTAGGACGTTCCTGTTAATGACATCTTGTTAGTGGCGTGGATGTGGAAGGTGAAATGGTAAAGGGGGGCGTACATGAGAACAGCAACGGCCCAAGATGGACCCATCCCAGAGGCATAGTAGAGACAGCCTATCACGATCAAGAAGGCAAGGTTGATGATACAACCAGCAAGGAGCATCCTTCGCCTGCTGACGAACTTGCCCATGAAGCCTACTGCAAGGATGATGATGATGGCTAGTGCGAAGCCGCCGATAGATATGTCGAAGACGTGCACTGATGGCAGGCCGAGAGTCAGCAGGAAATAGATGGACTGTGACAGGAAGGCAGCACCGCCAAGATTCGCGGTACTGTAGAGAAACATGACCGTAAGAGTTCGCTTGAGATTGTATCCTTTGAAGCAGTCGAGGTACGAGCCAGCGGAGATGCGCTGCTGCTCTTGTTCTTCGGAGATGGTCTTGACGAGGTACGCGAGGCGGTCGTCTATGCTGAACTTCGAACTGTAGAGCTGCCTCATGACTTTCTCTGCCTTGTCAATACGGCCTGAGTTGATCAAATAGACGGGAGACCTATAACAGTGAGCACTGAGGACTTTAAAAGCCAAAGGATTCGTACTCAGGAGCCAAAAAGCATGCAACTGCGAAGATACCCCCAACAGCCCATTGGATAGCGAAAACATTTCGGAAAGCTTGCTCATCCATGTTCGGAACGAAGATTCTCACGATGCCCATCGCAAGACCCTGCATGAAGACAACAAAAACGACCAGGATCGTTTGAATCGGCACGCGGATTTTGAAGGGCGCAACCTGACATTGTTTGAATCAGCTTAGCAGTATATTTCTGGAATAGACACTTACCTCAGAAGCATACGTCGTTCCAATAGCCATTCCTGCCCCAAGTGCCAGCCCGCAGACCATCTTCCCTGCAAGGAGCGCGCCCCTACTCTTCGCGTAATACAGAACGACGGTCCCGACACAAGAGACAATACCCGCAATAACCCCAGGCCACTTTCGGCCGAATCTGTCAGATATCATGCCGACGAAGATGGCTCCAATAGCTTGCAGCAAAGATGTCATCGACGTCCAAAGCGATGTCCAGATAGATGGGAGGTATAGACCTGATTCATTGACATCGCCGAAGTACATCATGAATGCAGGCATCGCAATTGTAGAGCCGTTGCTGATTTGATCGTATCCGAACATCGTGCCTGCAGCAAATGCGACGCTGCCTGGGGTACGTTAATTTCATGCCTGCAGTTCACTTGGGGTGTACTTACAAGCCATCACGGCTCGAGGATGCAACTTCACAGTAGCCCAGAGGCTCAACTGGCGCTCTTCCTCCTGAATGAGACGGCCTCGCTCAGCAGCATCATCGGTGCTGTTGATCGCTTTCTCGATGTGGGCAGCAACAGCCTCAATATCTTTGTCCCCCATAATGCTAAGGTCTGCACTCCGATCTTAAAATGTAGGCAGGGATACAGAATGGTGGAATGTTAGTCGATCAAAAAGGGCTACAGAGTGATGAGCTGGGGATATAAGGGAAAGGATACCCCACGGGGGTATGTGCAGGCCTAACGCTTCGTTTGAGTCTGACCGTTGACCGAGGATGCGCTGTTTGCGCGTATAGTTCGCCTCCAAGGGGAATTCTGGGGTAGTTGTGCATAGATTCGAGGGATATCCGGGGAAGGACTGGGGTCGGATAACCCGCAATTCCTTGCTGATCCAATGGCGATCGACTCAAAATCCGACCAAATCCGTTGGAACAGCGTGAACATGGCGTTTCGAATAAGCCATGACAATGTAGAATCTGATTTGCTGCTCACTCGGGCTGTCTCTCACCGAGCTCCCCAGCCTGATAAGCTGGGTGGTGTACTGACTCGGACAAGCCGACCTTTGCCCAGGAAGGTATACCCGCTGCGGTGAGTCCTGGGAAGTTGAGTTGATATGGACCGTGTGCATATAAGTAGGGAAATTAGTAGATTTAGATTCGTCTTATATAGGGCCCTTATGGTATATATAGAGTCCAGGGGTCAATGCCCGGACATTGGTTGAGACTGAGTGGTGCCATTGCCGGCCCATATCTTTATGGAGCTGAAGCCGCTCCCTGCTCATGCATACGCCCACATGGGCTCGTGCAGGCAGGGAACATCCAAGCCTTGCTAGGTCGGATTGAGACAGAATGCAGGTCTGGCCGTGTGACCACAAATCGAGGACGCCTAAATCTCATGGAGCTGTGCCGCTTTCGCTCTTGCTCGGATGCTCACGTTCGTCTTCATTCAAATGGCGAACATTCTCATCTCCCTTCCCGCTCTCAGTCGGGTTATCCAACGGATTGAGAGCATCGCGATAAACCCCTTTCTCCTCTCCCTTCAAGCCGAACCCGGAAGGATCCCTCCTGATCAAGAAATGCTGAACCTTGGCATCCGACCCTGGCATTTGTTTCACCGTATTTTCTCTTCGCTGATTCAAAAACCTTGTCGAATGCTCGTTCAGTTCCTTTAGGCGATCCTCGTACCCCGTACTAACCGTCGTAATCCACGACGCCTGCACCGCAGCGCCCATGAAGAAGAGTAGCACCACAAACATCACAAAAGTCTTGTGGTCAACCACCGTCTCTTGCTTCGGTTCGTTCCGACTATACCACCGCTCCCAGTCTTCCCAGGTTGCGTTATTGTAAATCGGGTCATTCGGGTTTCTCCGGCGACGCTCGGGGGCCGGGTTAAACGCCCACCCCATTCCAGTTGCATCGTAGGCAGCTCGTCTATTTGAGTCTGAGAGAATCTCATGCGCTGTAACGACGATACGGTAGCGCTGGAGCCGGACTTCGGGCGTGATGTTTCTGCATAGCGGGTGGTCGTTGCAGGGCCGGTCAGGGTGGTATATCTTGACAAGCTCGTAGTAGCGGTGCTTCGGGTACGGGGCGCCGCGGGTATGCCCAATCACATCGTAGGGCGTGAATGAAGGAGTCGACGGCCATGAGAAGTCTTTCTCCGGGCTATCGCCAGAAGCCGTGGCATAGAGTCGGGGACGGGCGGAGGCGTGGCATTGCGGGGCTGGAGATTTGCTTGCCAGCAGCAACCCGCTATAGGATGTTAAGTTGGTCTTCCTGAACATTCCGCATCGTTCCAATGGAGAAGTCAACAAACCTCCCCGGTAGTTTACATAAAGATGAAGGGGAAGCAGACGCCGGTGGTGGGCTGTTCTCGCCGCAGCAGCTCCGAAGACCCGGCCCCCGAACTCGTCACGTGCGGCCCAGCTTCATCTTTTGCCGTCATACCTTTATCATGAACCCAGAACAACGACCTTTTGAACATGCCTCCTTCAGAAGACGACTACTCAGATCGCCGACGCCGACGGGCGTCAGAATCCCGAAGTCCTGACCGCAACCGCGACCATGGTCGCGACAGGCGGCGGCACCGTCACGACGACTACGACAGCAGCTCGCGCAGACACCATCGGAGCTCTCGAAAAGACAGTCCCAAAAGACGCTCATCGCGCAGCCCCTCCTACCGAACAAGCCACAGAAGAGAGTATGAGCGTCATCACCCAGAGCGCTCTGAGCGAGCAGACGCTCTAGACGACGACCGACGGCGCCAGCACCGTTCGCCAGAAGAGCGCACACACCGCAGAGATCATGACCGTGATCGTCACCATCGCCGTGATCGAGACCGCGATCGCGATCGCGAACACAGCCATAGAGACAGACACTCCAGAAAACATCGGACTCGATCTCGATCTCGGTCACCCAAGGGACGACCAGACTCCCCATCTGCTCGCGCACCCGCACGCTCAAAAGCCCCCCTCCCCTCACAACAAGACGCATACAACACCGAAGTCACGGGCGAAGCTCCACCCCCAGATAAAGAAAAGCCCAACTTTGGCAACACCGGCCGTCTGGCCGCCGAATCAAACGCCGTAACCGTTGGCGGCGACACCGTCGTGCTCAAATACCACGAACCCCCCGAAGCGCGCAAGCCACCTGCCAAAGAATCATGGCGTCTCTACGTGTTCAAAGATAGCGACCTACTCGAGATGGTGGAACTCAATGAGCGGAGCTGCTGGCTCATTGGGCGTGAGCGGCTAGTCGTTGACTTCCCGCTCGACCACCCTAGCTGCTCGAAGCAACACGCAGCCATACAGTTTCGATTTGTTGAGAAGCGGAATGAGTTCGGAGATCGGATCGGGAAGGTCAAACCGTATCTCATTGATCTGGAGAGCGCGAACGGCTCGAGTGTTAATGGAGAACCGGCCCCGGCGGGACGGTATATGGAACTACGGGATAAGGATATGCTGAAGTTCGGAAATAGTTCAAGGGAGTACGTTCTCATGCTTGATACTCTCAAGCCTGACACATAGCACATATATCAATATACTACAATTTCCAATACAAAAGACATAAAGGGAGTTCACATCATATCATTATTGTGCCGAGTGACTAGTAATACAAGATAAGCTTCCGCTTTTCACCCCTTCATCATTCATAAGAGAGCCCAATTAGTCCCGGTAGTCTATGAGGACTTGAACTCCCCAGCAACCTCCTTAGCCTTCCCCTTCGCCTCACCAGCAACCTCCTGGCCCTTCCCCTTAGCCTTGCCAGCAAGCTCAGCAGCGTCCCCCTTCAACTCGCCAGCCTTCTCCTTAGCCTCCTTCTGCGCCTGGCCGGAGCCAACGGTCTCCTTGATCTTGCTTGCGGCGGCCTCTGCAAGTCGTTAGCATTCAACTTCATCACATCTTGCCTCCGGTGGTTCCGGTGGTTCCGGGAGGAAGTAGGGTTACGGGTGACGTACCGCCAGTCTCAATTCCCTTCACGGCGGCATCGGAGACCTTGCGGTCGGCCTTCTTGAGCGTGGACTTTGTGGCGTCGATGGGGCCTTGCGAGCGGACGGCCGTTGTGCTCAGTAGGCGGGAGGATGTGAGGGGGAGACGAGCGGGACGAGTGGCGCGGGCGAGGAAAGACATGGTGATGGGTGGTGGTTTAGATGTGTTTGTGGTGGTGGTTGTGGTGGTGAGGTAGAGTAGATGGATGGGCTGTAGTGGTGGCTTGATTTAATCTGTTTGGGATATAGTAGACAAGTAGGAAGGAATCAAGGGTGCGTTTGGCTTCGGTATATATAAGTTGTCGTGGTTGGTTGCGATGCTTGATGTCATCGATACGGCGCTGGTGTCAGTGTGACGTCGGCGACGGACACCACGAACAGGCCACGGAGGATCTACAGCCCTACCTCTTCCGTACCTCACGACATGCTTTGGCGGGGTTCTTGGAGTGGATTCAGATATAAACTTGGAAGGGTGTTCGATTATGTACTTCGTGGGGTATAGATGCGTCTATCATACAAATTATGACATGACCGAAAATGGAACAACCAAGCCCTAATCCGCAAATCCGAAAGCTGACCAGCATCAACAACAACGCCTGACTCTCGATGTGCAACCCTCCATACCATGAACTTTCGTGGAAATATCCATCTTGACATATTCCCATGCTGGTCAAAACAACACAATGCAATGCAACAATATGCCCATGCATGCTTTAAGTATACAGCAAAATATGCATAAACCAACACCGCAATATGCAAGCAGGTCGACAAACCTTCCTAGCCGGACCTATGCTCCATCAATTTATTCTTTTCTTGTTTTGGTTGAGTACCTTTTTAATCGCCCCCGATCACCCGGGAGTCAAAAGTCCAGCCCTAACCCGGGCGGGTATGGATGGGACGGCGTGCTCCCGCTCCTGGCTCTCGCTCTATTCGCACTCCCAATCAGGTACTCCTGTGGATAAGAGCCTGAAGCGGGAGGCTCATGCGTTGGTGGTGGGAAAAGCGGGCCTGAGCGATTTTCGTGGCTATAGACGTGATACTGCGAGTGGGGTTGTGGTTGCGGGTGAATGCTGTACTGATACTGGGGGTTTGCGCGCAGCTGGGCTTGGAGATCGACTCTGTGCGCCCCGAAGTTGAAGGCTGGTGGAGGCGGGGGTGGCATTGTTGCATGAATAGCATTCTCGGGTGTCGGTGCGGGGATGTACTGTCTTTGGGCTACTGCTGCATAGGACTTGTCGGCTGAGAGATTGGAATATGGGCGCTGCGTGACTTGAATAACATGGTCTGAGCCCCAGCTTCCAGGCCCGGACAAAACTTGTGGGTGAGGCGGTGGTGAGATGCGCGACGAGTACCGGCGGCCCCTTGAATCAGTAGACCAAGACTGGTTGGATCTTCCCGAAGGGCCGCGTGACATAAATTCCGACGCTGGGTCAGACGAAGGCGGGGACGCGCCGGGCATTATGGCAGATGGGTGGGATCCGGGGATGGAACTGACGTTTGTCGATGACTTGCTGCTGAAACCCGGGGTAACTGCGTCTTGAAATCGCCAACGGGGGAGTTTGGTCTCGATATTGCTTTTATAGGGTATGCCTAGGGCTGGGGTGCTCAGCGACATATCCGCCGAACCGATTCGTCTTCCCGTGCTAGGATTAGCAGGGTACTGGGAACTGAGATCCTGGGCGCTCAGATGCTGCAAAAGGTGGTGGTCTGGTTCGCTGTAGGTCGAAAAGCTCAGAGGGTCTTGCTTGCAGTCATTCTCGACCGAGTACGCTGATAGTGACTCCCCCGATGCCCGACTCTGTATCAACGAGAATACTGGACGGTGTTTTCCACCTGGGGAGGAGGAAGATCGGTGATTCTTGGATGACGGGATGGGCTCTTTGGCGAGCGCAAGCCTTGACGCAACATAAGCATAGGTAGGGACGTTCTCCTTCGACTGGAGTGGAGAAATACGAGAAGCACCATGCGCACTGGACTGCGTCGGGCTCGCTTTGTTGACAGCCGATAGTGCTTCTGACGCCGTGCGACGAGGAGTCAGATCGCTTAGGGTTCCGCCAGACAAACTCCTCCAGGCCGGCGTCTTCTCGAGGACTGGGGCCGCGGGTTCAGAATTTCCAACTCGGGGAAATCCCGGTCTCCGCTTCGGTTTCTGTCTCTGTTTCTGTCTCGATTTTGATGACGGCCTAGTCCTTGAAAGATTTCCAACCACATGCCACCCTTCGTCGTCAGTCTGTTGGTGCGGACTAGATGGTGATGGCTTTGGGCGCTCGGTTGACTGGCTAACCTGTGATCTCGCTGGAGATCTGGCCCGAGCAGATTCATCATCCGTCAAGTACCCATCTTTCAGATGCCCTTCATCGTTCAACTTGTCCGTTTCGCGACTAGTGGAGTTCCGGAAAATATGAGGAATGATAGGGCCCAGATTGACTTGCTTCGGTTGTATCATCCGAGCCTCCTGAGGCGACTCTGAGCGCAAAGGTACGATATCGCTGAAATCGAGAGTCAGCTGGCGAGATGGCCCGTCAGAAGCTGTCGAGTCCGGGAAAGACGAGGAGCTACTCGACCGATCAAAGACCGACCGATGTTTGCGGATTGATTCCTGCGAAGAACTCGGTGATATCCGAACAATCTCGCTTCGGATTGTCTTCATGGCGTCCTTCAGTTGTTTCAGGGTCTCGCTGACTATGCCATGCGAGGTCTTCTTAGGGAAGTTCTTCATCAGCTGCGAGGCATGAGTCTCGTACTCGCGATAGTCTTTGACCGACCCGCAGTCATCGACGCGATCCATACGACACTTTGCGTTCTCAAACGAGGTGCAGAAGACATGAGTAGCTACAACAAGCCAGGAATCATAATACCCGGTGTTTTGCCCGGGGCGCGAGCCATTAGCCCTGTTCTCCTTATCCATGATTTTGAGCTCGTCGCGGCAGAAGCCTTGAACGACGCTGTGGATTTTGACGATATCGGAGACACCAGAGTGGGCGTACTGGGTGAAAAAGCCCTCTTGGCTGCTTTCTGTCTGGGACTCTGACATTTCCGGAATCACTGATTTGGGGTCTACCAAATACCTTTCAGAGATTGGCGACAAAGGTGTTTGAAGTAACGGATACTTGTCCGAAGTCCTCTCGATAAGACCGTAGCGGATCAGAATCCCAAGTGTGGTGTCAAGATCACCAGGCTCACCGTGCCTGCTGCTGGTAAAGACTCCAATGTTCCAAGCGTGCAGAAACGACTTTCCCAGTGTGATAAGTCCAACTGGGACTTGGTGGCCTAGGAAGGACAGAAGATTGATAAGATTCAAGGCCTGGAAATGTTCTTCCCGGAACAGATCGTGCATAATGCTGAGAAACGGCTCAGCCAGCTTTTCGTCAGTGAAGTGCGAATTGATATGATATTTTTCGATGGGCTTGTCGGTTGCGCTGAGTCGGTGACTGATGGCATGGATGGCCAACGGGAGGCATTCGTAGTGCGTTACCACTTCCGTTGCCTTGCGAACCTGCTCCCTCGTCGGCCTCTTGATTCCAAGATCCTTGAAGAGAAGCTTGCACGCATCCTCAACTTGCAGTGGGGCTACCATCAGGCAATAGGGCTCGTACAGGCGTTGCTTCTTGCGTAGAGTCTTGTCCACCGAGGTATAGATGATGCCGCATCGCTCTTTGAACGGGAGAAACTGCTTGAAGTCATTGATATCATCATCATGAGCAAAGCTCACTCCGTCGAAAACAAGAAGCCATTCCTGTCGTGATTGTAGCCAAAGGCGGACCGCCTCGACATACTTACTTGGTGATTTGGTATCGGGACTTTCAAACTCTTCACCGTCTGTCAAAGTCGCGGCTTGGGCAATGTCCCAGAAACATTTAAATGTCGACTGGCGACTTTTCGCGTCGACCCAAAATATACCACCAGGGTAGTCGCCGCGATGATTCCAGACATATTGGCGTGCAAGGTGCGATTTACCAGATCCCGGGACACCGGAGATAATGACTGCCATCAGATTCTCGGCCCGCTTCTTTGCTTTGAAGAGTCGGGTGTGTAGTATGTCAAGCTCCTTCTGCATGCCGAAGAAAGTCGCATTGCGATGAAACCCAGGAGGCACCACCCAGAGCGGTCCTTTCTGCAAAGAGGAAGACATCGACAAATTCCTACTATTCTCCAACGGTTCAGGGACAGGCGTTTCATCTGTAGATGGCAAGTACAATACAGGAGGATTAACTAAGAGGACAACCGTCAGCATAGAACTGTGTTTGTTAAGTATTGACGTTAGGGTACATGAATGGATTCTGGCCATCAAACAACATATAGGGCTAATAACAGCTTCAAGAGAATCGAGTGCGGCCGTGGTCGAATACGAAGTCAAGGGGCTCCTCAATCTCATGTTGCTTTACAGTAATAGAACGCGCACCGCCTGAGGACTGGGGGGTCGTACCGTCACTAGGCCGTGGCCCAGACCTATCACCCAGGCGATCTGAGGCGCTGCTCGGGGACACTTCTCCAAATATCTCTCTCGCTTTCTGCGTCTTGATGATCATACGGGTTCTTCCCTCCTCATTCCATCGTTCATGGATTGTAGCAGGTGCTTCGCGGGCAAATCGCAAAAGGGCCACTGCAACAGCCTCATAGCCCGGTGCGGTCTCGTCGTCAAACTTGCACATGTGGCTGTGATCAGCCTCGATTCCCATCCTTTCGACACCATCGATCTGAGGCGCTGCGGAGCTCTCATCCACGATCAGTTCGCGCGTTCCTTTGACATCCATCGGCAGTGTTTCATGGAAGAAACATATGTGGAAGCGTGGGACCATGTCCGAAAAGAGACTATTGATGTTTTGCAGCGTCTCGTTGTTAGTTTTGAGAGCCTTGATAAGCTGGGGCGAAGAATCCATGAACTTCTTAGGCAGCACAGCAGAACAGATGTTTTGCAGGAGTGACCCCCATTTCGCCATCTCAGAGCCATTGTGGGGAGTACCGAGGAATAGTATTCCGAAAGTAGAGACGTAGATTGACCGGAGGTGCTCAACCTTTTCGTTTGTAAGGCTGCGGGAGTAAATCAAGGCGCGCTTCACGACTAAACCGCCGAGCGAGTGACAAACGAAGATAATGGGTCTTTCAGGGCAGGTGTTGATCTAAGCAGAAGAAGTGAATCAGTGTAATGCAGAGGAGAGTGAGCTAATTAACTCAGGAATTGAGGCAAAACATACTGTTCGGTTCGCGGCTAAACCCGCCGCCAGTGTTTCAGAGTGATTCAGAATACGATCCTTCGATGCGCCGTCCGTAAACGAGGTGACATTCGCATTATAGCCATAGCTTAAGATGCGCACTCGGCAAGTGCTCAGCACATCGGGAAGCAGATCAACGGGCCAGAAGGTCCCTGTCCTAGAAGAAGTCCAAGTGCGATGCGGATGGCCGTTTAGACCATGGACAAAGACGATATCCACGAGTGCGTCCGGCGCCTCGTGGACGATGCTCAGGCCGTACTGGCGGATTCGGGACGCAATATTCATCGCGATCAGGAGAGGTTAGTCCTTACTCTTAGTCCAAAGAGCAAGAGGCTAAGCGCGGTCTTGGAAAGCGTTCAGGTTCATGAATAACAAATTGGGTTTTGGGACACGGTCGAGGTGTAGGAGGAAAGATGGTGGAGGTAGACTAGGTAGAACCGTAGGTGGAAGGCAGACGGGCCAGGGCCTAGTTATTTATATCGAGGCCGATGCAGGGCAAATGTAGCTCCCGGAGATCGACGAGTAAGGCCGGGCAGTGGCATTTACTATTGTTGAGCGAATTTCTATTGTGCCCCGCGGCTCTTTCTGGAGGGTTTGTTTATTGCCACAGTCATTTTGGTGAAACTGGCTGGGGCGTGTGAAGGGACAGCATGACCTGACTGGTCACTTGCGCAGGCCCTTCCATCTACATCACACTTGTCACTCACAAACCGCAACAAGCTCCTGACTAGACGCGGGAGAGGATTTAGAATTTTAGAGGCAGCACCTGCTCTGCTCGTCGATTTGTTTCTCTTCTTGACGGGGCGCAGGGGCTGTTTAGACCCGTGGGTGATGGGTTTGTCTAAGAGCGGCATGATCATGACTTTACCGTGGGTACGACACTTAGCCTTGTTATTTACCACCCAGTGAAGCATAGTTTGCAAGGCTGACTTGCCCTGAGCTAGAGAGGCGATCTCGGCAGATCTCACCATCCCGTCTGTCCAACGCCCTGCGTATTATTGTGCTATATGGCTCGCAGGCTGACAGAACTCTGGTCTAGGCAAGGGGAAATGCCGTCACTTGTACTACGCGACGTGTTACATACAAGAGTGAGGCTGTCATACGCGAAGTATAGTAGCCTAAACAATCATTTTCACTTTGAGCCATGGTTCAAGTCAGGCATTGTGCCCTGAACCACACGGGCAAAGCAGGCGGGCGGCCTCGAGATTGGATCTGGCCAAGGCTGCAGGCACCAGTCTACTTAGGTCGGTGTAAGCCTTGTTCGGACCTCGATTGAGTTTTCCATTTGGAGCAGGAAGGCACCATCCAGCCTTGGTACCTAATATGACTCAAGGTATCTGGTGGGTTACATCTCTCACAATCGCCGCGTGGTCTGAGTCACTGTGGACAAGATGCTCAAACCTCTTAACTTAGTGCTACCTAGAGAAGCTTATTCAAAGCATCGTATTCTAATGGAGGCTGATGTTGCTGTACGATAAAGATGCTAATGAATGAACTCAACTCGTCAAGAGATTGCCAAACCTGTTGTGAAGGACGAGCTACAGCAGTCAGTAGAAGATAAACAGCGGAATGGGTTTATCGAAGATTGTAGATTGCCGTGTAGGTATGAGAACATTGACAGATGTTGATCCCTTGATTCAATCTCCAGCCCCGGTCAGTAGTTCCGAGGACAAACTTCACCAAGTCATTTACTTCCCAGACTAACACTCTACACACTAGGCGTGCCTAACACTTTGTCTTTCTGCTTTAATCTGTCTACCGGTTCTTCCTACAGCCTTCTAACTTCGATCTCGTTCACCATAGCCCACCAACCATCTACTACCGAAGACGGGATGTCAACGAGATATCAACTGCGCAAGCGCAAGCAGGCCCTTCCTATTGAGGATACGTCCAGAAAGAAGCCAGAAGCCAAAAAAGCGGCCTCCGAACCAGCCTCCCGTGATCCAGTACAACGCTTGAACGAAGATACCCTCAACATGATCTTCGACCTGATACCATCAGAGGACCTGTTCCGCTTGGAGCGAGTTAGCCATCAGTGGCAAGCAGCCATCAAAACCTGGATCGAGACATTCGGCTTCCGCACGCGTTTTCCGCACACCTGGTCGCCAGGCCTGAACCTATCTAGCCAACTTTCCTACGATCACTTCAAGCAACGTGGTACGTAACATCTGGTTTGGTTTCGTTGACCAAGCTCTTGCTGATATGAAAAGCCCGTCGAGCATACCTGATGCAGTGCGGTCGGCCTACCAAGGTGACTGAATTGTGGAACGTCCAGCATTTTGCGTCTTCAGGAGATTACGTTGTATGGTCAACAAAGACCTACAGCGATGTGGGAGGATTCGTCCGTCACAACATTCACTGGCAATGTTTCGCACCAGAAAGACAGGAACTCAGGAATCGACCGCAAGTGATTCCTGCCTCTTATTTCTATTCCACGGCCCGAGTCGATTCCTTGCAAATCAATGAGGATGGCGTGTTTCTTACGCATCTAAACGGACCCTTAGGTTTGAAATGCGTCGTGTACTCCCCGGTTGAAAAAAAGACTCTTTGGAGCGGAAGCGATTTACTATTTCAAATCTACGGCTGTGAAGAACGACAGAGGCTCCCGAGGTTCATCGGAAAGAGCTCAATTTATTCCGTAGCGCGGATCCGAGGAGAGTATACGGTATCTGCCTATGATTTTCGCACAGGCGAACTCCTCTATGAGTCGCCTAATTATGCTACGCAAGAGAGTATGGGGCTCTTTTGCAAGAAAGACGTCGTGGAGAATAGTATCCATATATGTCCAACAAGCGGTGAAACGGAGCTCATCAGCTCAGTCCACTGCAAACCTGACTTGGATGGCGCAGGCAAAAAGACTTGGGTCCTCATCCTCGACGGTAGGACCGGGACACAATTATATTGTGCTGTCTATCATAACCTTAGGTCCTACTCTCTGAGCATTGACGCGGTTTCCAAGAGCATTGTCCTTACCTTGAGATTCAGCCCTAGCCTCCTTCATTATGATGAGTCCAAGTCGGAAAGATTTGCCATCATGCAGAAGTTCTCATATGAGAGTGGCCAGACAACCCCCATCATGCCCCGGTCCGCAGATGTTGTGCTTATGTCGCATGTGAATGGGGATGGCAAACTGGCCCCTACGGAACGCTTGATGTTTGACCCATTCAGCCTGGCTGGGCTCCGTTGGTATGGGACTCGGATGTATCAGACCACTGGTTTCCAGGGCCATGCTATCATCCCAACTACCGAGAGGGATTGCTTGTCTATAGCGGAGAAATTGCTTCAGGAATGCTATAAGAACGAGCCTCCTGTCCTTGGTCAATGTTTTGTACCCACAAAAGGATACTGCGTTACACTTCCCAAGCAACCGGAAATGCGTCGCTATGAACGGACCACGGCTGGGCTGCCTCAACATTATATTTCCGATGAGGACGCCATCACATTGAATACTACGGGCCCTGTGGCTCTGGAGAGCGAGGATCACACGTATGTCTTTGAGTTTTAAAGGTCCTGGAACATACTTGTGCAAGTGGTAGGGCGATGTCTTGAGATCTCGCGGCAGCTTTGGTATTACCGTACTAGGGGTATATGTGCCTTCCTAGGTTAAATCAATGGAGCAATCATTTTGCGCTTCCTTAAGCATGATATACATACAGCTAATGCCAGCCACTATCCCTACTCCGTAGCAAATTATCGCCCCCGAAAAGCAGGCTTCCTCTTCTCCCCGAACGCAATCAGAGCCTCGCGTCTGTCCTCGGTCTCAACAACACCATCATACGCCTCATTCTCCGCCGCCTCACCCTTCTCATACCCATTCACTGCTTTCAACGCCTGCTTAATGGCAATCGGACCCCCGTCACAGATATCCATAGCAAGCTTGATGCTCTCACGGAGTACCTTTTCCCGCGCAGCGCCCTCCTTCTGCTCCTCCTCAGGAAGTATCTCAACCAACCGATCACACAGCCCAATGAAGTAAGCTTCCGGGCCCGTCACCCGGCGCCCAGTGAGAATGAGGTCGCGAGCACGGTTGACGCCAATCAGCGACGGAAGGCGATAAGTTCCGCCAGCGCCGGGGATAATGGCCAGCTTTGTCTCGGGCAGGGCGACGGTGCTGTTGGAGCCGAAGACGCGGAGGTGCGTGCAGAGGGCGAGCTCGAGGCCGCCGCCTAGTGCTATTGACGAGACGGCGGAGATGGTAGGGACTGGGAGGGCTGCAAGGTCGCGGAATGTACCTCGCAGCTTGGCCAGGAATGCGTTTGTCCTATTGCAAAAGAGAGTACGAATTAGCTTTCACGGGCTGTAGGGAGAACGGGTAGAGAGAACGCACTCATCCTTGGTCATGTGCAGGCGCTCCTTCAGGTCGGCGCCCGCGCAAAAGGCGGAATCGGCATTGCTGCCGATGACCAGAGCTCTAGTTGGTCCGTTACCACCCTCGGCGGAGATCGACTGGACATGCTGGGCTAGCGAGGTCAGAAGGGCTTTGGACAGTGCGTTCCGCGCATTCGGTCTGTTCAGAAGGAGGACGCGGATATTTCCTGATCCGGGGGCAGGGACGTATTGGGTCTGTATCACGGCATCTTCGGGAGCGGTGCTGTATCTTGCGACTCTTACGCGGAGTGAGACGGTCGACGGAGCTCGGATTGGAACCGCCAGGCGCGTGAGACGAGGAGGCATGATCAGCGGCAATTGCGGAGCAACTCAAATGACTACAGATCAATAGCTGATAATTGTTCACTCGAGCCTGTTGTTCCGAGAATGCGGATTCTTCTCGGGGTGGATGCAGGAAGAGACCTCTGGAGCTCCCGGGTTCGTGACGTTGGTCGCTGTGGGGAAGCCGAGCTGCGGTGCGGGGAACCTTTTGCTTCTCGATCTCCGACAATAAGCGATGGGCGCTCTGAACACCTTAATGTATAATATGGGTATCATTATTCCTTTTGGTAACCTCTATCTTAATAGTCTATATACAGTGTATCCCGAAGCAAAATATACATGCCGGATCGCTCCAGCCTATTGCTGCCCATGCTCGAAATAGTCCCTAACTTCTTCATCGCTCGGCCAAGGGCCCCAGACCTCTGTTTCCGTGACGATGTCATACGCCTCTTGCAGAGCTGGATCTGAGAATTTCGGCACATCAAAGTCACTGGGTGTAACGTAGTCCGCAGTGTCAGGCTCATAGGCTGCGGGCGCTGGTCTTCTTCCCCAATATCCCTCGAGAAACATGCGGACTGCGACTACGGTGCGTCGCATCAGCAAATCACCGTTCGTATACTCATCCGACGTCTGTTTGAGGGTCATCGCGTGCTTGCTCATCCACCGAAGAAGGTTTAGCAGCCCTTCTGAGTCCTCCGCTAACCCGAGAGACCTGACGAACGCATGAAGAATAGCAGGGGCCGGAACGTGATTCATGGTCGGCACTGCCACCTGCGACCCGGTTTGCTTTTCGAGAGATCCGCTGAGGGTGTCGAACAAGACAAATGTTTTTGGCTCCAAGAGGACAAGCCGGTCAAACTGGCTTTTGAGGGTGGTTAGACCGCGACTAACAAGATCCTCAAAGCTTGGTGGAGCAACGTCTGGCTGATTTTTGCTTCTCTGCGCGGCTCTATGCACTATTTCCAAGCCTTTCTTCGTGGCTTCTTCAGCTATTACCCCAGCGGTCACTGCGGCCGAGAAACTTTGGCAAAGGATCTGAAACCCATCAGGGCCAAGCTCAATGTTGCGCTCATCCAACCACTTGGTGACTTCCAAGATCTCATGCCAAGCAATAATCATTTGAACATGACGACTAAAATCAGATTCACCGACAATGCGTTGTGAGCGAAGACCTGCCAGAAGCTGAATCCACGCTTGAGGCTTCTGGGATTTTCGCTTCCGCAACAACCTTACTGCGTGGGATAAAAGCATTGCGTACAAAGGCTTCGCCACGCCCCATTTCTTAGCAGTGTACAAGAAGAGCGTTGGAGTGCGTGTCTGGGACCTTGACCAGCTGTTCAGCAGGACGCCATCAGATTTTTGCCAGCTATTTGTCAGAATGGGAAAAGCATATGAGGATCTAGGCTCGTCCACCCACCGGGTGGACTTCCTAGTGACGGTAGAAAATTTGCATAGCAAGCGGATAAAGGCCGCAAAGAGATACTCGGGCAATGCATCCAGCACCTCGCTAGACTCCGCATCAGTGTCCGATATTTCTGTATCAAGACTGAACAACACCCTCAACTGTTGGTTCGTCAGATCGCTGACGCTAAGGCAATCCAGGGCCACGGTGATTCTCGGCGCGTGGTGCAAAAGCAAAGCCAAAAACCGACCAGACGGGCGGATTCCTTGGGAAAGCATTCTCCTAAGGAAGACATAGAGTGTAGGCGGTTCCGTGGGGGTATATATCCAGTCACGTGCAGATGCAGGTTCTGGAAAAACCTCCGGACCATCTCCAGGCAAAGCAATTCTGGTTTGAAGAGATCGATTGATCTTGGCCTTTTGCTCGTTTCGTTCCTTCTGCACAAATACGAGCCTTTCGCCCATTGCATGATAAACATCGCGATGAGGCGGAAGTCCTCGGCTTTCATAGGCCATGAAAGCCGCCCATGCCTCCCGCAGAGTTCTCGTGGAGCGAATTCGGGCTTCCCAGATAGCACGATGATTTTCCTGCTTGGGAAGCCCGTAAAGATGTTTCGGTTGGCGCGCCAGCGCCCTTGTTTGTATCATTGGACTATTGTCCGTATCCCACCCTGCCAATATATTTGCGACGTCTTCCCACAGAGAAAATGAATGGCCTGCTTCCCTCATTTGCAAGAGCACACGCGATGCGCGGCTTCTCGTACCTTCCACGCCCTTGTCGGCGTCCATGCCAGACCTTTCCTCCTTCCACGGGGGCCATGAGGGCGTCTTCAATTCTGCAAACTCGCGTTCGGCTGCCGTCTTCCTATGAGCTAGTTGAACTGCAGCTAGACCTTGATAACCTCTCCGTGAGATTGGCGAAGCGGGGTGTATTTCTGCCATAGCTTTCAACAACTCAAATTGTGCTTGTTGCCGTATGGAGGCCGATATAAAGGGGCGCGGTCCAGGAGGTAAAGCAAGAAGCTGGATAAATCTATCTAGCTTCTTGATTAAGAAGCGATTATGCTGAGAATCTTGTGTGCGGAGATAGAATGCGAATGCCTGTGCAATAGGAAGCTGCGCTTCCGGCCACAGTCGTCGAGCATGAGAAAGCAAGCGGACAACGATAGTTGCGCAGGTGCTAGCATCTATTCTAGGCAGATCATTGGCGTGGTGGTCATTAGAATCGTTGTATAGCGAGTTATTCAATGAAAAACGAAGACAGTCGTTGAGCCGAGGTATTGGCCGACCAATGATGAGGTAAAGAGAGTACACCAGCAGTAATCGGAACGTCTTCAAATCAGTCTCCTGTCGCAGGAGCATGAGTGGAATAAAGACGGGAACGTTTCGGTGAGAGATGGGTTTGTCCACCGATCCATATGCCTCCAGGCAGAAAATGCGAAGGATGGCCTCGTACGTAGTAGTACTCATGAGCACCCACGCCCAAGCCATCACATCTGTAATATCATACTGTCGGCTTTCCAAATATTCCATGTATGAACCCCGAACCACGTTTACTAGGGCCTTGTCGAGTTTAAATGCAGAGAGCTCGTGTTCGGGTCTGTAATCGCTGTCTCGTAAGACCGGACCCACGAATTGAATGAAATCCGCAGTAACTTTTTGTAGAGTCCTTTTCTCCGTTTGCTGCGAATGCCTTCGTTGCTTCCATGTCAAAGGGGTGCTGAGAGGTTTGGGAGACTTTTCAGAAATGGCCCAATTCTCTATGCCGTACTTCGAGTCGTTGGGCGTCTTCTTCTGGATAGTGTCTAGCAGGTAATTCGACGGGCTCATATGGGCTGGCGACAACCCCTCTAAAGCCCTCGTTTCAGTGCTGGGAAAGCCATCCCGGCCACTGGCTTGCGCCGACTGCGACGGAGGCGACGAGCTTGGATCCGCATTGGGGTCTCCTTTACCGCGTCCGGCTATGGGAGCCCACGGCTTTGGAACCTTTATCTGAGGGAAGGGTTGTTGGTTCAGGCGAGACTTAAGCCTGGACGAACACCAAAATTCGCAAGAAGAAGGGTCCGCGGAAGCGCCAATCTCGTGTACAAGCTGATTTGAGGGAGGCAGGTCCGAAAAGGCATCGACAGGCGGGTTCAAAGAAGTTGCATATATCGGACGAAAGCAAGTACTATACGAGTATCCCTAGAGAGAAACGCCTGGTTAGACACTGCAGGACTAGAGCTTCAGGTTGAAGCTACCTTTCGGAAGGAACGGCTGCTGGGCTGCGCCGCTCTCAGAGACACGACCATGGAGCGGTTCGGGGCATGATTCAAGGCGGATGACATCCATAAACATAGAATCCGGCATAGATATCATAGGCGACCGACTTCTTGACTTGCGACATTCGTCTGTTGACTTCGTCGGCAAGACCAATGAAAAATCCAGATCACGTGAGTCTGTCTGTCACGTTCCCTAGGCGCTTTTTGGCGCAGTGGAGGTCAACTCTTTGTCTGTGTCCGGGCTCCCCTCAGTACCGCGGTGTTCATACCTTTTTTTCCCTGCGTTGTGCCTGGTTCAATTTCTGGAGAAGCTTGTCTGCTGCGCATAATCTACTCCATTCTATTGTTGTGCTCGCCTACCTCGAGCCCACTTCTCTTTTGGTTGCGCACCAGTTCCCTTTCTTGAGCTACCGTATTGGCGCATCCGCTTCGGAGATCAAGGCACTCGATCGCAATTCTGGCACCAAATCCCTAGATCCATTGATCGTCCTCTCTCATAGTCCACTCTCGCCAAATTGACCATCGTTTTAGGCGCGCGATCGTGACCTATTTTTCTGAAAGCGCTGGCTTAGCCCCTTGAAAGGCGAAAGAGTCCTGATCTTCGCGTTTACGGCAAAACTACACACTCCGGCGCGTCTCCGAGGCAATGAGCGCTGACGAAGGCGGAGGTACATTGATGGCTGCCCCAAACGGCGAGCGTTCTACTGCCACTCCTGATCCGTCCATCTTGGCGACGCCGGGCAAACGAAAGCGTGTTTCAAGCCAGGATGATAAGGCCGCGCACGAGGCGACCGCTACGGCGCTGATGGACGAAAGGGCAAAACTGCAAGAGACGTTGCGTAACTTGGTTGATATCCTTAGCAAGTAAGACGTTCTTCGCTCTTGGCGAGGATTAAGAGGCACGGCTAACAGTGACCAGAAACGACACCGAACTCCAGCTTTTATCCTGTCCTCTACCATCATCGCCAGTGAAACCCCGCTCGAAACGCGCAAGAATTGCCGGAGAGAAGGAGGAAGCCCCCAGCATCCAAGCGCGTGTCGCGTCGGATCGCTACGCCACGCTCTCCGAGTTTCTGAGTGATATCGAAAAGGCATCCGCGGCGGTGATTGAAAGGAACAAGGCTCAGGCTAGCGGTCCGCCAACTGATGGGACACCGGTGACGGAGACCGTCAATCGTATAGCTGCCTTCAAAAAACTGCTCAACAGTCTCGTTCGCCAAGCGCATGTTACCCCTGCCAATATCAAGTCGGAAACCCCCGGCAACGAGACAGAATCATCAGAGAAGCCGATCGCGGCAGCAGAAGAAGTCCGGAATGGCGGTTTGGTTTTGACCTTATTTGGCAACCCGGCCAATCCCAAACAACTATATTCGAGTCTACAGAAATCTGTCAAAGTTCCACTGTCTTCGGATGAATCAGAATCAAAGAAGTATGTGGAGGTGCAGACGCCACTACCGGAAGTGGGCCTTCCCAATGGAATTACTACCACAAAGGTTCCTCCTTACGACGACGACAAGAAGCCAAAGGTAGCAAAACGAACATTTGGCGAAGTCTTTGCTCCGAAAGCTACATTGCCTCAGCTGGAGCTGCCGCGGAGAGCTCGGCGTACCTCTCAAATCACTTGGATCGATCCTTTTGACGCCGTCACCAATTATAAAGCCTTTCTTGGAGATCGGAATAACTACGCGTTCGCGCAATTCCCTTCTGGAAACTGGCTCCAATACGGTGGGGTGACTTCTTCGCCTTCCTTTTGGGGCCGCCGTCAGAAACAACAGTCTTCCCAGCAACACAGCGAAGAGAGGTATCACGAGGACCCAATTCTCTGGGCAGATGACGATGCCGCTATACTTCAAGGCGTGTATTCGTCCTTTGTCCCCTCTTTCGACAGCTCCAATGCTGTAGTACAGGCGGACTCAAAGAACTTGGTATGGTGGAACAAGCGAGGAGCAAAGCGTCTGAATGTATTATTATCAATAGCGGACCAAGGAGACGCTCAGGATACAACTGTCCAACCGGGGAGCATCGGCGATCTAGATGAAAGCACACTGGACGAAATGGTCAAATCATGGAATCTCGCCGACTTTGCCGATGCTTCTGTTCCGTCTGATGCAGCAGAGAACGATGAACAAAAAGCAGACAAAACATCTGAGGAGAAGGACACAGAGGACCTGCTAGCTGAAATTTCGGACTTGTTGGAAACGTTGAGTTCTTATCAGAAGATTCGCCATCTGGAGTTCCCAGCTTCCACTCAAGGTTCAGCTCCCAGTCAAAGCGCCGAGGCTAAGGAGACACCGTCTGCTCAAACCGCCCCAGATAAACCATCCGAGGCGGAACAAGAGGTCTATGAAACGTTGAGATCTAGTTTATCCGTCCTCGTCTCGCAACTTCCCCCGTTCGCCGTTGCCAAGCTGAACGGCGATCAACTAGCGGAACTAAACATCAGCCAAAAGATTTTGGTCGAAAGTACGGACTACCCAGGTAATATGGAGAAGGATGAATACACCATCCAACAAGAAAGGGCAGCGGCAGCCGCGACAAATCCAGTCGCAAACAGAACGTCAACGCCCTCGCGTCCCGCTAACTACCAGCAATACAACCAACGAACCTTCAGCGCCAATACTCAAATCCAACCGCAAAGGAACTTCCAGGCTCCCCAGCCTTACTACCCGCAACGACAACCTTCGACACCAGGTGCTTATACACCCGGCAACCCTCAACACTTCCAGGCATCCCGCCCTCCAGCCACGCCTGGTCAGCGGCCAGGGTATTTCCCAGGATACGGCCAGCCTGCGCCGCAGTTCAATCAGGGAAACCCAGTCCCGCAATATCAGCGCCCGGGACAGAACGGATATAATCCGTATTCGCCTCAACCAGGGTCAAACCCCCCTCAAGGTTCACCGCAACACTACACCCCGCGTCCGGGGCAGCCAACGCCGTACAACGCGGCGCCTTATGGACCTGGTCGCAGTGCTTCCCCTCAGAAGCCACCGTCGTATGCAGCTCCACGGGCGCCCTATAATATGCCGCCGGCAGGAACCCCCCAGCAGCGCTTCATGCCACATCCGCAGCCGCAACAACAACCCCCGTCCGGATACGCAAACTACACCCCCAACCAAACTCCAAACACTTACTCCAATTCCGCTGCAGCTGTGACCTACGCCCGCAGTGCCGCCGAGCAGGCCGCCCTGATGGACCGAAATAGGGTACAACTAGCAGCCCAGGGCTCTCCCGCACCTCAACCACAACCTATCCAAGATTACCGCGTTTCGCATGACCGGAGCGTCACCCCGGGTACCAAACAGAGTGCTACACCGGTACCTTCATGAGCTCTTTTTCTCTCTTGAACCACGAGGTCCTAAATCTCATTATTCCTTTCATTCTTCTATCTTCTATCCAATTTTACTACATCTCATGCCTTTGCGCCTTTGCTTTTTTTCTCCAACGCAGATAAAGTGGGAGGGTGTTTGGTAAAGGTTACTTGTTTTACTACCTTGATGCGGGATGCTCTTTGCTTTGAGACTTTTCACTATACCTCGTCTTCCTCCTTTTCAATTGCCCTTCAAGGTATCCTTGTTTTTCAACCGTTTCCCAACCTACCTACCTACCTACTTACTAGGACTCCTGATGGGTATGGGGAAACCGAACAACAAGAGATGGGGGCCACTACCTCAATATCTATCTAGTCTATGCCTTTCACCTGGTTAACGCCGGGTATATCAAGTATTATTAGTATTACTATTATCTAGTCTACTTCTTACATTGACGTCATTACATCTACTCATCTTGGTCATTATCGTGCTCTTGGTAGTCAATGTATGCCCTAGTCTCTTTCCTTCTTTCCCTCAAGGAACTGATGCGACAGCTGATATGCCTCAGCGTAGCAGACACACGTCTAGCGGGACGGTGCAAGGTGTAAATTGCACGCATAGTGGAATCGATATGAATTGGACTCGTAAGCTGAAAGCTAAGTGACTCAATATAGGACATCAATGCCAGACAGCTAGAAACGAACTACTAATGACAGCAGACGAAGACAAGATAACCTAAAAGGCAAAAGGCACATTTGTATACTACACCGAAAAGAAGTTCAGAAGGCAAAAGGCAGGATACGAAGACAAGAGGGACGAAGTGTAGATGAGGAGACGAGAGCAAGCGAGATAGCCAATACAAAGAAAGCGTCGAAGTAAAGAAGAGAAGAAGAAGCGTATCCAATTGTATCCCGAAATCCAATTCCAATCCCGTCGCTAAAGGGCAGATAGTATAATCATAGGAAGGAAGGAAGTATGATAATTCAAACACAAAAGACGTCGTCCTTAACGTCTAGGTTCGTTGCGAGAACTTGGTTCTCTAGAGGGCCATGCGTCGTGGGTTAGCGTATATGAGCGGCCAAAATCAGGTTCGTGGTATCGTGTGAGTCAATTAGTACCGTGGACAGGGTCGCGTAAGGGGTATATGTCGGGTGACGTCGCTAGATCATGGAGAAGCAAGACATAAGTTTGCGTTTGTGATAAGATCAAATAAATAGCGCAGTTACGGCCATGAAGCCGAAGTACCTAGTGGCAGAAATTAGCAAAGTCCTGTGCAGAGAACAATCGGGAACGTACAAGCCAGCAACACGCCACCCGTCCTGAGATTTGACGAGCTGCTCTGTCCCTGTGGAGTTATGGGAGGCAATGGCGGCGGCAGCACCACCAACAACAGCAACGACGAGAATCCGACCGGCGAACTCGGCGATCATGCTGAAGGCTAGCAAGGGAAGGATGATTGCGGCGGAGGCAATGATGATGGCGGAATGAACCGGCGATGTGGGTTTAGTATCAGAAGCTGCTTGGGGTGTAAGGGAGACTAGGTCCTTTGGGTTGTCGAGGAAGCGCATTTCATTGGAAGCGATGGGGTTGTTTCCTTTCATCCATTTCCTGTAGGTCTCTACGTCGGAGCCTGCGGCGCGTGGGAGCGTCTGGAGCACTTTACTATAGGCAGCAAGTGCGTTGTCTGATTGGTCTGGTGTCAGTATGGGCTGCAAGTAGACCATGACGCATGGTGGCTTACTGTATTGCTCTGTCTTCTGGATCAATGCGCCCATGACCTCCTCGCGTCTGCAGTGCAGCGACGAGTAAGCCTGTGCCTGCACGTCCATTCGTCGTGATGCAGGCATCACCTTAGTGCCCTCCTGCTCGGCAATTCCTCGCCGCTGCATGTCTTCATAGTCATCCAGCACGCGCAGCTCTTCCTCCAGCTGAGAAATCTCATCCTGGAGATATAGGAGCACACGATGGTTGACATCTTCGAAGCGACGGTAGAGTGGAGGGAGAGTGTACTCCTTGTTCTCCCCAGAGGCACTCAACCGCCATGCTAGAAGTCCATACCCCGTGGGAGTGCGCGATGATTTTGTATTGCGCCTGACTTTGCGGCTAGGACGGCGCATGTCCTCCTCCGGGCTTCGAGGAGGGGAGGGTGGGAAAGGTGCTCGCTGAAGAGAAGTAGATGGTCTAGGGTAGTAAGCCTCGGGAACCAATTCCAGGTTACGGAGCTCTGGAGGTATTGGTCCATCATAAGAAGTCACAGACCCGACAACGCTGTTTCCTGCATCAGTGGAAGGTCTTCGGTGCTGTCTGGCGAGATGCACTGGCGCTGGGACAGGCGACGGCTCAAACGCGCCGGGTGGCTGCGACTCTCTTGATTTCACGGACGACGTCCGGTTACGGTTCTGTACGGGAATGGCTGTGTTCGGCTGTCGAGTAGCAGGAGCAGGAGCAGGAGCAGGAGCAGCAGGAGGAGCCGGGGGAGCCTTTGGTTTTGTGCTCGGCGGGAACGGCGGTCGAAGATCTTCATCGTCAGACGATGAGATCTCCGAGTCGCTGTTGGAATTGCTATCGGCCTCGAGATACTCGAAGACGTTCAGCGCGTTGCCATCTTTGCCCTTCGCCTCTGTCTGGGGTGCTGGCGCGGGTTCCACTTTTGGTGAATAACCAGAGCCACTAGGGTCCGCGCTTCGAGACGCAACGGGTTGTGCTTTGGGAATCTCTTTCTTAGGCTTCTCAACTGGAGCCTTGGAGCTTTTTGAGCTGGTAGAGATTGTGGAAGCCGCCGAAGACTTGGTTGACTTCCTTGGGCGATTGAAGCCGGAGTAGGTGGGCATTGTGGCAAGGTAAAGTAGGGCTCACGGCTTCACGATAGTGGGTTGGCAGACAGCGGTAGCAACAGAATTAGCGCTCACTCGGCTGATTCAGGCCATGGAACCCAGAGATGCCGAAGGGATGAGGACATGAAGATATAAGAGGGTAAAGGTGGGAGATGGCGAAGGTGGGCGCATATCAAGCAAGCAGGGAGGCCGTGAGGAATTCCAAGCAGATGGCGTTGAAGAATGAAGAATGTGTAGCACAGCGCCTCGAATCCTTTTGTGAATTTTAGCTTTTTTTCTAGATTTCAATAGTTCGGAAGAAAGAGGCGCCAACAGATTCAAGCAGCAAGAGTGGAGAAATGGAGCAGGTCGCCTGAGGGATGGGTATAGAACAGCGGACAAAGAGTAGATACTCCGTATACTGCAGGGAGAGCCGATATAAATAACCACTCAGAATGGCCCCCGGCTGCGATAACTGCGAATTTGATGACAGGAGACGGCCCCAGGCAGGATTCAGATCCAGTCTCGTCGAGTCTCACAGTTTCATGGGGACGAAAAGGGAAAAGGCGAAGATCATGGAGGGGCTCGATTCGCCCACACGCGCCTGACTCTGCGCCAAGTGTTACAGGTCGCGCTGTCCAGGATACAATCCAAAAATCGAAGAAGGGAATAGATAGCGATATAATGACCGGGATTTCTGGAAGAATGGAGATCTTCAACAATATATCAGTTCGCAGCCGACGGAGAGCTGCACAACACCCGGCTGGGTACAGGCGATGCGTTGGCTGCCGCTCACTCGCTGCTGCCAGACGCGCATCCTGGACGCGCAGTCTAGAATCTTTCTCCCTTGCTGCTCTGGCGTTGTTTAGACTGTGTGTATCTATACTTCGATGCTGGGTCTGATGCTCAACCTGCCGCAAGATGCAGCAGATGCTCCGCCCTCCGCAATGCATAGCAGCATAACAGCTCCTCCAGTACCTCCACCAGTTCCTCCCTTACCCAATCTGTATATACTCGGTTACACCACTGCTTCATCCTGGTAGTGGCCACTTTGTGAATGTATTACCATATCTGCCGGGGTCCATCAAGCTATCAGGTACCTGGTACTCCGTAAATGGTGTATATAGTTAAGTGTCGGCCTTAAGGCAGCAACCGCGGTGAGTGTTACCGTACCATACTCCCCGCTTCTCCCCGCTGCATACAATTTAGACTCAGAAGGACCGTTCTCCGGTTTCTTACCATACCGATAGCTGAAGCTGTTATTTTATCTTCAAGCATCCACTGATCAAGTCCAATCGCGACAACTCACCTTCATTGCTTTTTACCTCCTTTTTCTCCTTCACCGTCTCTCTGCCCGAATCGCAATAGTCTCGCCGTCCACATGCTTCGATCATGTCTGCGCCATTGCCCCCGCGCGACCGTCCGCTCTGTATCCTGTCCGCGATGCTTGCACCATGAGCCTCCGCGGATACATCTAGCCCGCCAACAAACCTCACTCTCGCCCTCCTTTCTTCAAATACGCGGTCTTCAAACATCCACTACCGGGCCGGAAGAACATGTACCCCTGCGCAAGCAGCTCAAGCAAGGCGCGAAAGCTCTAAAGGCTCAGAAGCGAGAGCGACGAGAACAGGAAGAGGCCTCCCGGCAGAAATGGGAGTTGACCGTGGGTGTGGAGATTCATGCCCAACTGAATACAGAGACAAAACTATTCTCAAGTACGGTAACCGAGTGAAAGTTCGATAATGCGTTGTCTCTGACCGTTGATAATTAACAGGAGCACCGACCTTACCCTCCGGACTTCCTAACACGAACGTTGCCCTGTTTGATCTCGCCTTCCCAGGCAGTCAACCGGTTAGCTCGCCGATAACTGTGATATCTCTAGTGGGGTGTGCTGATATACGAGAGTAGGAGTTCCAAGCGGCGACCCTCCTCCCTGCCCTTCGTGCTGCCATTGCTTTGAATTGCGACATTCAGCCAGTGAGCCGTTTCGACCGGAAGCACTATTTCTATCATGACCAGCCGGCGGGCTATCAGATAACACAATACTACGGTAGGACGGGTCTTATTGTCTCGCAGGTTGGATATTGACTGGTATAGAACCCTTTGCCAGAAATGGCTACCTCGACCTCTTTACCCACGACGGCATTGCACCGGAAGACGGAGACCGAGTTCGCATCGGCATCAAACAGATCCAACTCGAACAAGACACAGCAAAGTCGCAAGAGTACCCACCATCCACCCAGCTCCTCGATTTCAACCGCGTTTCTCACCCGCTCATCGAGATCATCACAATGCCGCAGATCCACAACCCCGCCACGGCAGCCGCATTTGTGCGCAAGGTCCAGGCGATCCTTCAATCATGCAACGCTGTTACTACGGGAATGGAGGCAGGTGGTCTCCGCGCGGATGTAAACGTCTCGGTTCGGCTACGGGGTGACGGTTCAGGCGCGCACCAATACGGCGGCATTGGCGGCCTCGGTCAGCGCACTGAGATCAAAAACTTGAGCAGTTTCAAAGCGGTGGAGGACGCAATTATTGCAGAGAAGAATAGACAGATTACTGTTCTCGAGAGCGGGGGTGTCATCGAAGGCGAGACACGAGGCTGGACGATTGGAAGCACCGAGACACGAAGGCTTCGAGGAAAGGAGGGCGAAGTTGACTACCGGTATATGCCCGATCCTGATATCCCACCTCTCTTGATCGGCGAGGATCTAGTTTCGGCACTTTCAGACAACCTACCGACGGGGCCGGACGCGCTCATCGACATGCTGGTCGGCCAGTACGGCCTTCCCATAGAGGATGCAAAGCCTCTTATCGAGCTCGACGACGGGGCGCGACTAGAGTACTACCAGGATGTTGTCGATATCCTGCGTGATCTCCAGCAAGACCTCGACGCCGAGGCTCAAACGAGTCTCGGCCGCGTGGCTGGCAACTGGGTTCTTCATGAACTTGGCGGTTTACTCACCAAGGCTGACGTCGCCTGGGATGCGGAAATAGTCACAGCGGAATCCCTTGCGGCGCTCATCGACCAGCTTCAGCGCAAACGCATCACCGGCGCGACGGCCAAAAAGGTGCTTGCCATGTTGTTTGAAGGAGAGCGGCGACCTATCCTTCAACTACTCGAAGAAGAGAATTTGATCCTTCGCCCGCTCTCGCGCGAAGAGTACATTGCCCTCGCTGAAGCAGCGATCGAGCTGAATCCGAAGATGGTCGAGCAAATCCGCAGCAAAAACCAGCTTGGCAAGCTGGGCTGGTTCGTAGGCCAGATGATGCGCATGGGCGAAAAGGGCCGTGTGGAGGCTCAGAAGGCCGATTCAATCCTACGAGAGCTCATACTTGGCTCGTCTCAGTAATATACCTGATCAGTGTACGATAGGGTGGTGTATACAAGCACAAATGTATACTTGTATAGTATAGATATGATGTCATGGCAACATTAGATAATGATACCCAACAATTGCGCACATGAAACACCGCCTATCTTAAGGCGTCCCGGCGATATCTCTCAGCTCTGAATAAGATTGATAATAAAAACCGCAGATACCGCGTGGTGGAGTGGGATGGCAGCCGTCTTTCTCCTCGACCTGTACTTAGGGGAAGGCCGCATTCCCTAAAAGCAGGTCTTAGCGATGCCCCACGGCAGGCCAACACCATAAAGAAAGGTCGATTCGCCCTTGATCAGAGGGGATTCTTTCTTCTTCAGAATAATCTCTACTCTCATTCTCCTTTATCTTCTCAGTTAGATCTCTTGTTTGCAGGTTTTCCGTAGTGCTGTTGACTTGTACCTGTTGAGAACTTGAGGTAGGTGTTCGTCTTCTTTCTTTGGCTCAGCTCCACACTGACAGAAGGAACTATTTTAGTCCTTCTAGAATCTTTTAGCCTGCTTTTTTGCCCATCGCCGGATCTTATCTCGATAATCTCTGTCTCCATCTTGATACCTTTGTGTTAGCAGAGTCAGAGTCAAGATGACTTCGCCCTCTACCATCAAGCAGAGATTCCTCTCGCAGCCAAACGAGCTCGGTGTTGTTGCTGTCGGCTTCAATGGCGGCCAGGTACGGATACCCGCGGCTCTGCTCTGTCGATCTTCTCTGCATATAATTCTACTGCAGCCACTGCATTATGCTCTTCCTGCAGGGGAAGCTTGTAAACTCAGACAAAGGCTGACATGACCGGTCTCGTGATAACAGTGCAAGCTTGGTGTCGAGGCTGCCCCCATGGCGCTCATCGAAGCCGGTCTCCTCAACCAGCTCCGCGAAGATCTCGACTACGAGATTCACTACGATGGCACCGTGCACTACTATGAGGAGCAGATCCCTGCGGAAGACCCGGACCACCGCGGCATGAAGAAGCCGCGTGCGGTCAGTGCTGTCACAGAAACCCTGAGCTCGCAGGTCTATGAGCACTCCAAGGAGGGCAAGTTCACGCTCACCCTGGGCGGAGACCACTCCATTGCGATCGGAAGTATCTCTGGTATCGCGAAGGCGACGCGCGAGAGGCTCGGCCGGGAGATCGGTGTCATTTGGGTCGATGCGCATGCTGATATCAACATTCCTGAGATGAGCCCTAGTGGGAACATCCATGGCATGCCGATGGCGTTCTTGACGAGGTTGGCGACCGAGGAGAAGAAGGATATCTTTGGCTGGTTGCAGGAGGAACACAAGGTTAGCCTCCGCAAGCTGGTGTACATTGGTCTGAGGGATGTGGATCGCGGAGAGAAGAAGCTGCTGCGGGAGCATGGGATCAAGGCGTTTAGCATGCATGACGTTGATCGGTACGACCCCCTTCCTTTCACACCCTGCCCTCGCCCTTGTTTTATCTTCCAGTCATAAGGAAAGCGTCGCTAACGTTGACTACAGCCACGGAATTGGCCGCGTTGTCGAGATGGCTCTCGCTCACATTGGGAACGACACTCCGATCCATCTGTCGTTTGACGTGGATGCGCTCGATCCCCTGTGGGCGCCGAGCACTGGAACCCCGGTGCGAGGAGGATTGACCCTTCGCGAGGGAGACTTCATCTGCGAGTGTGTTCACGAAACAGGCAACCTCATCTCCATGGACCTGGTCGAGGTCAACCCGAGTCTAGAGGCCGTGGGGGCTCACGAAACCATTCGGACCGGATGCTCGTTGGTGCGCAGTGCGCTTGGAGATACCCTGCTTTAAATTGTGTAAAGCACGTCAGTCAGTCAGCGATTCGATAAACAGAGCTAGACAAGAATAATGATTAATGAAGATCGTCGAGTTGTTTAACAATGGAGCTGTGAGAGGTTTCGGAGCGATCTGGAACTGGAACCCTGCCACCGGAATTAATCTGGAGTATAGAAAAAGAAAACAACCCCCGCCTCCCCATTTTCTTCCCTTCACCATCAAATCTCCCTTCAGGCCAAGTCAAATTCAAAGCCAAAATTTATCGAGTCTTTCTTCTCCATATCGTCATTCTAAAACATCTCCAAAGGCCCGAATTCCACCACATTGCAACGCCCAACACCCTGTCACCCAACCCAGGCCCCGCTTATGTAACGTCGATCACCGACTCCCTGCAATACAGCCTCACTCCGGACAGCGCGGATGCGCTGGCCTCGGCCTTGCCCTCTCGCCTTCTAGCTCCTAGGCACACACACACACCGCCCAACCGGCCCTGTGCTGGCGTGACGCGTACTCGATAGGTCTCAAGCTCGAGTCTACCCGATTGCACCTATCTATACGGCGTCCGGGTACTTCTTGCCCTAACCATCAGACCGACGTTTCGGCTTCAGCCCAGCGTCATTGATATGCGACGCAATACCCGCCTGAACCAACGATAACCTTGCCACAAATCACCGCTACCGATATCTACTATAAAGAGAGAAGAGAACGAAACATACAACGATGCCCCGCCGGCACGCCCCCAAACACTACCTCTGGCCCGAAATCCAACTCAACATCTGGATCCTCATCGTCCTTGCAGCGTCCTGCGTATGCCTGGGTATCTTCGCGTGGTTTATCTCCGTCCAGACGGAGCTCGATCTTGGGATACCATGGTACGTTCCACCACACTCCCCACTCACCCTCTGCTATACTAACTATACGACCCCAGGCTCTTCCCCTTCATGCTCACGACCTCCGCGCTGGCCCTCTTCTTCATCATCTTCGTCCTCGTCCTCGCAGCACAGGGGTTCCTGCTCCCGGGGATAATCATCGTCGGCACATTCATCCTCTTCGCATTATGGCTGACGGGCCTCATCGAGACGAGTCTGCAGATGTACGGCGTCGTCGCGGACATCAACCATAACTGCCAGATCTGGGTGTATGATAATCGTGTCGGGGGTGATAATCTGGATACCATGGCTTGGATTGCGCAGAGTAATATCTGTACGTGCCCCTCTACGCTTTCTGCGATGTTGCTGGGGAGGGGAGTGTCTCGAATTGGTGACGGGGCTAACCGTGTTTGACAGGCAACTGCTGGCGAACGGCATTCGCTTTCGAGCTGATCAATACGGTGTTCTTTCTGTGGATGATTATCATGGCTTGGAAGGTGCATCGGGATGTGCATCATCCACGATGATTGATCAAGCTGGTTTGAGCTTGCTTTTCACTTGGCCATAAGTCGAAGCCCAACGCCCTGATTTCATTCCTGCTACCATTGATTGATGGGTTCATGATGCGATGTTATTGATGTGATATATGAGGATATAAGATGCCTTCTGTTCATACTATCCTGCGGTCTGTTGTTTTATTTACCTTCATGTTCGGCGATGCATATATGGCGTACACTACAGCGTTGGTTTCATTTGATCCGAATTCTTAATTTACTAGTCCCGTAATTACTAGAGCAATGTACCGTTTGACACTACGTTACCTAAGGTATATGACTGACTGCGAGAAGAAAGCAGATCCAATTGATACCAATCCCATTCGTATTCCCGGTACTCACTTAGTTAGGTATAAACCCCGACGTCAGTGGTGTAGATAAATAGCCAGGCTCAGTCAGCTATATGTATCACAATTTGTTAAGACATGAGTAATAAGATGTAAAGAAAGTGAAGAACAACCTAAGTCGAAGTTGAAGTCGAAGCCACCCAACCAACGCCTCGCTATGCGATCTCAATCGATCGATCAATGGACGCTGACCACAGCCGTATGTAGACTCGGCTGTATTCGCGACAGAAATGTACAAACAGGCATCAAGACCTATGGACATCCAAGATAAGCTGACGACTAAGCTAGCCGTCGTCCTCAGCAATGGCCTCTTCGGCGTTGGAGTCATACCCGCCTTCCTCGAAAGCGGCAAGCATTTCGCGCTCCAATTCGTCGTCATCCTCGGCGGGGTCTTCAGGGTACGTTGAGTCTGGGTTGCGAGATGCAGCGGCCTCTTCTTCTGTTTCGGGGAATGCCACGTCGGGCATGTCATCGACATCGGCATCGACATCGGCATCGACATCGGCATCGACGGTGTCGGTATCGGTGCTGGTGCTGGCAGTAGCATCAGGATTTGAACCTGGTCCGCTTGTAATCGTGCTAGCGACTTCTTTTAACCCTGTGCTACGCTCATAAGACCGCTTGATGCGCTGCGCAAGACGAGAGCCTGCGACGTCACCGGATTCTTGGGTATCCGAGTTATTTTCTTCTTCGGTGTCGGCTCCGTCGTCGCGCTTGCGTTTCAGTTCTGGGTTAGAGGTAGGAGGGCGTTCATTTTTCTCAATCCAAGACGCCTCGGTGTCGCTTTCGCTTTCGTCGTCACTACCTAGGAACTCCCTGAGTTCGTCGTGAACGGCTGCCTCCTCATCTTGATCGAAACCAAGGTCTGTGATCCCAGCGGACTTGAGGATTTCGTCGTTGAGCTCCGACGCGTCCTCGGTATCTGTGAGATACCCGCCCGTGGCTTCTTCATCGGATGTTGAAATCCAGGAACTCTCGGCCACTTCTTTAGAACTGGCTTGCTCGTCCGGATGGATGGCAACGAGATATGGGCCTTCGTCTAGGCGTTTCCACTGCAGTAAACTGTCTATAAGCCATTGCTTCCAGACGATCTTGATCCTTGGATTCTTGGCTGCTTGTCGGAATTTCTCGGTGCGCTTGCCAGCTGAGAGGAGATGAGTGGTTTTGTGGGTGATTCGGTTCTCGAACACGACACCGAAAGTCCTTGCATGTTGAGCTAACTCGATGTTGGCCATGTCCTCGTTCAATTTCCATAAGCCCGAATGGGCGACGAAAACATCACCAATGACGCGGCGCTTGATCGCCGGTAGGATTTCCTTGACATCAGGGAGTAGCTTTAGGTCTACGTCTTTTTCCTTCGATATAGCCTTTTCGCCACGTAGGGCTGCCACCCGTCCTCCTAAGCCTCGCGCACGTTTCTTATCGTACTCATCATAGAACTTTCGGTGAACCTGCTCAAGTCGATCAGAGAGCTTGATGAGTTCTTGGTCATTGTCAATAAGCAGATGATGCCGTTGCCTATCTGGATCTTGAGACTCGTCCACGCTGGACTCGCTCGAGTCTGCCGAGTCATCCTCGGCATCCAACTCTTTCTGTCTCTGTAAAAGTGGACGGTCCTCGACCTGATGTAATATCGTCTCGTCTTGCGCCTCCGTCTGTTCTTGCAGCAGCCTCGGATTGTCCCCACCGCCCATTGTCACCAGCTGCTCCAATGTTGACATCTCTGTTGCGTCGGATCTTTCGGTCGACCCATTGACGTGTGATTGGATTGGTGGGGTTAAACTCGTTTCCTGATTTTCCCCTGGAGCTTCCAACTCATCCTGCTTTTTGGGTAGAAAGCTTGAGTTGATGTCCCCAATCCCAACGTAGAAGTTGTACGGTATGACCTTGATAAGATTAGGGCTCCACCGCCAAACATCCCCGCGGTCGTCGATGATGACGACCATCTTTGTGTCCACGGGGAAGAGTCTATGCAGGTTCTTGACAGACAAACTTCCACTCTCGTCACGACTGAGGATACGATCACCGAAGAGCTTCCGATCTGGGTCTATGATACCAGCGATAGCTTGGGCATATGATCTAGTTCCCATCGTGTAGATGTGCAGCTCGTACATCTCGGAGACGTTCTCTAAAAATTCTTCCAGCCCTGGACGCAGCTTAATATAGTACCAACAGCCACGCATCCCAGGACCGTCTTCTACCAGCTGAAACGCACGTACATCGCTCAGTGCTGCGTGGTTCGGACTATCCTTGTCCGCCATCCACTCCCCGATGGTAGGATCACATGCCGCGTGAATGATCGTTTGGTCAAGATCCACTACTAGCGAGAGTTTTCGATTTGATAACAGACGCCGTTTCGCATCTTCTTCCACGCGTACGGCTTCGCGTTCGCTTACGGTGAGCGCGGTGTTATCATGCGTCATCTGAATGGGAGCGCGCATAGAATCCGTGATCTCTGTATTATAATTCGCCCTAGACCAGTTAGCGATGTCTAATCAAAATGATTATTCAGATACTTACTCAGTCATGTCCTTCCCACACTCGGCGCAGAGGCCGCCATACTGAACTTCGTGCGCACATGGCTCATCGATCTCGATAACATCAACACTGGCCAAGTCAGCAACCATGCGAAGCTTCTCACGCAAAAGAGAGACAGAAAACAGCTACTCACGGCCCATCGATAACGTCGCCCTTGCTAATCTTCCAGTGCACAATATTCCCATCAACGGTCGACTCGAATCGAGTAGGAAACGTCCGCTTGACGTCGACCTTGTTCCCCCACCCATCTCCCTCCGTCACAGTTGTCTCGTATACATACCAAAACAGCGCCTCGTCCCTCTCCACCTCATCACCCGGCTTCTTCAGCAGCGACGTAACGGTGATGGGGTAGTGGAGACTCGGCGGTAAACGAAGAAGCATGCTCTGTACCGATGTTGTATTCCTCGCGTGTCTTTTCTCGCTTCCTCGTTATTCTCCGCGATCTCAGTAGATACAATTGGTGGATAAGGCCGCGGTGCGGCAGTGATCGCGTTGTAAAAGGCCCTCTCCTACAGCTATGGAGCCATGCCCGTCCACCTCCGTCGCTGAAACACCAAGCCTCCAACACTGGATATGATAAAATGCGTTGAGACAAATGCGCAGGGTGAGGAAAGAATGTTAAGGCTTATTCTTTTTGAGGTCGCACGGAGGAGAAGAGGTACATAAGTGTTGCTACCAGCGCACGCGACGAGGGAATGCAAATGAAAGAAGTTTGAACCCAAAGGAGCGCCAGTCGCATCCCACAGCGACAAGATACTGTAGAAAAGGATATGAAAGGAGTTGCGGTTTAAGACGAGACAGGAAAAGAGGGGTGCGAAGAAAGCAGGTCGCAGAGATGGGGTGATGAAAGAGCGAGTGACCTCAAGGTTCATCAAAGGCTCAAAGAAGGTTGCCAGCTCGGCAAGGCAGCAACCAGGGTTCTGTAGGCGGTGGGAGCTGGCCGTGCGGGGTGGAGCTCCAGACTGACTCGGCCCAGACCCCGTCGGCTGTCCGACTAGCTTGAAGCACGCGCCTCATATTTCGCCTGGACAAAGGTTCCTTTGTGCGGTATTTCCTGCTACATTGCTATGGATTCTGTGATTGAGATGGCCATTTCAGGTCTAAATGCTACTTTGCAGCCACAGGGTGCCACTAGCTCAGGCAAAATTCAATAACGATCCACAACATTATCACAATGAATCGCCGATTAGGGAAACACGTGAACAGCTGCTCCTCAGCCTCAAAATGAAGACATAAAATCATTCGCAATAACAGCTACCGAGGTGTCCGACATAGGCTCCTCACTCAAGCGGAAAACAAGCGGCATATCAAGACGCGGACGATGTAGGGTACATATGAGGCGACTGCCTTACCAGTTACTTGGCCTTGGCGAGACCGACGGCGCTGTTGCCGAGGTCATACACGCTGTACCACTTGCGCAGGAAAGCATCACCGAGAATGGCCAGAGGGCCAACGGGCTCGGGGAAGTCCATACCCATGAAAGCACTGATGCAAGATCCCTGGACTTCGAGGGTGTAGTCGTAGGGACCGATGGTGAAGTTGTGGCCGGTCAGAGTGAATGTGAGGTCGGGGAGAGAGCCGCGCTTGGCACAGTCAATGCTGTACTGGCCAGTGAACCCCTTCTTAGCACCAATCTGGGCGTTGCTTTTCAGATGTCAGTATCTAGTCAGAGAACACAAGCTGGCAGGACTACTTACATCATCTCAGCGAGGTTAGAAGGAAGGGCAATCAGAGAAGTACCGGTGTCAAGGATGACACCAGTGTTGTCGAGCTCGGCAACCTCGTCGCCAAGGGCAACGGCGTCAAGATCAACCTCCCAGTAGGCCTTGCGGCGAAGGGGGATCTTGATCAGCTCGCCCTCGTAGTGGCTCTTGTCAATACCACCGAATGTGGCCACAGAGCTGTCGCCCTCCTTGTTGGCATCTCCAAGGTAGAAGGCAAAGACCGGCTCGTCGAGAAGACCCTGGTGAATCATGTTGTAAAAGGGAGGGACAATCTTGTTGACTGAGATGGTGTCGAATCCAAGACCGAGAATGCCGTCGAAGCGGCCAAAGGCAAACGCCAAACCAGGCTCGTTGGTAGCTTCGGCAAAGTCTTGTCCCGTGACCTTCAAGTCACCGATCTTCAGGTTGTCCTTGGACACGAATCCGCTCAAGCTGCCGGATCCGTATTTGATAGCGAATTCGGTACCATTCTTCTTGTATGTGGAAGAGGAGGAAGAATCGAACTTCTGGTGGAGGTAGCAGGCGATGGAGCCACACTCCGACGACGGAACCCACAGGTTGGAGCTACCAGTATCGAGGACGACCTTAAAAGACTGAGGAGGAGTACCGAGCTCGATCTCGGAGAAGTCTAGCAAGGGTCAGTATCACCAAGCCGCGAAGAGAGCGAGATAACATACATTGGGCGTTCATGAAGTTGTCAACCAAGACATCATGGCTACCCAGGGCGTTGACGGGCTCATCGTCAAGCACCTGCTGCTGGAACTGGCCCATGTACTTCTGGCCCAGAGCGTTTGCATGGTCGGCAATGTTGCGAGTGATCTATTCATGTCCGTCAGTAACAATCACAGCCAAGTTCTATCACCTTCATTAGATGGAACCGTGTCGTAGACTTACAAACTGTTCGGACAGGGGGACCTTGTTGAGCTTGAGCTTGTGAACCTCGGCGGAGGCATAGCCCAGCAGCACGGAAGCTGTGAGCAAGGAGGTCTTCATGATGGGCGAAGACGAGAGCAAAATGAGCGAGGGAACGAAACGAAAGAATGAGCTCTACAAATAGACACCAGGGCGATGATGAAAGGAGCAGCGAGATGATAGGAAGGAGTTGGAGATGGAAGATGAGGTCGAGCAGGAGAGGTGAGATGATGCAGTGTTCAGGCGGCCCGGGGGTGACCTGCTCAGACTGGTTGCGGAGCGACACGGGGGACAGCCAATCACCGCAACCCCAGCTGCGTCATCGGACTCGGCGTTCAGGCAGACGAACTTGAAGGTAACTGCGTTTCTCTCCGTCGTATAACGAAGGATTCCCTTTTACTCGTAGTATACTACCCTACACTTTACTCTCAAAATAATCCGCGAGCTTTAAGATGTTACCGTGCTTTTCCTTGGATTGTTTTGGGGTACCTTTGAGGCTTTATCACGCGCAAGCAAGCTGGAGCTTGATAAGCGCCGACAGATAGATGCTCCTTATCAGCCGACGTCTTAACCTAAGGCATGCAGCGAGATCGTCAGGCACAAATCCTGAGAGGCTGGGATAACCTTGCGAGGTCAATGTTATCGCTGAGTCTAGGCAAGCCTCTTGGAAATCATGGCATGATGTTGTTTATCTTTTTGCTGGATTATGGATTAACTGATATTAGATAGGTCTTGAGGGATCCTTCAGGAACAGGGAAAGCCGAGAGTGATGGGATTTTTGGTGAGGCACGTGTGCGATATGGATGCGGATATATACTTCCGCGCCTCAGCTACGTATTGCTTTTCAACCAGCCATTACTACGTATTATACAAGCGCACACTATCAAGCAGGCGCCATTGCACTACTAGTTCTAACCAAGTATTTTGATAATACAGTTTATTTCTACCTTCTCGCTATGCATAGCCAAGGACACCACCTCACAGGATGAAACAACAAACCATCTACCGGTAGAATTCAAGCCTAGAAAATGATTAGTATGACACCGATGATAAAAACAGCGCTGAAAACATACCTGTCGGCTTCCTGTCCGGTCTTGACTTGAGCAGAGTAGGCATCTTCAAGGTCTGATTGGATGATGTTGTATCGGTTCTTGCGAACGGCGCGAAGACCTGCCTCTTGCATGATCGCTGCAATAACAGCACCAGACAAAGGCTCATTTCGGACAATAAGCGAGTCCAAATCCACCTCAGGAGACAAGGACATCTTAGAAGCGATGGTGGAGAAAATCAGGCGGCGTTCCCTCCTATCCCGGAGAGAAGGAAATTCGATCTTGCGGTCCAGACGACCGGGTCGAAGCAGCGCTGGGTCCAGGGTATCTGCTCGGTTGGTGGCCATGATGACTTTGACGTTGCTTGTTTGCTCGAAACCATCCATCTGGTTCAAAAGTTCCAGCAGAATACGCTGAACTTCGCGGTCAGCACCGGTCTGTGCATCGAAACGCTTTGTAGCAATGGCATCAATTTCATCAATAAAAATGATAGCCGGTGAGTTCTCTCGCGCCATCCGGAAGACATCGCGAACCATACGAGGTCCCTCTCCGAGATACTTCTGCACAAATTCAGAGCCGTTCACTCGAATGAAGCTAGCCGTCGTACTGTTCGCAACGGCCTTGACTAGCATAGTTTTTCCGGTACCGGGAGGGCCGTATAAGAGAACACCGCGGGGAGGATCGATACCTGATGCGAGGCGAGACATCTATTAGAAAAGCCACAAGTGACACAGACGAGAAAGAAGTGGATCCACACCGATTTGCTTGTAAAGGTCGAAGTGCGTCAGAGGAAGCTCGACGGCTTCTCTGATTTCCTGTTTCTGCATATCAAGACCACCAACATCCGCGTATGTGACATCCGGTTTCTCGTTCTCGCCGAGCATGGCAATAGAAGAGTCCGCCTCTGGAGGTAGAATATCAACGAGGGCATTGGAATGGCGATGCAGCGCAACGGAAGACGATGGCTTCAGCTTTTCGCGATCAAGAGTGGAGAGAATGCGGACAACGTAGTTCGACCCGGTCGACGACTGTACAATACCGGTGCTATAGTCGATATTAGTTTCATTTCCCAACTCTCAAATATGCGGACTGCCGTACTTCTGATCGATCGCTTCCATAAACTGGCCTATCACCAAAGGCACGCTCTGTATCCGCTTGATTTCCTCCTGTGCACGAACAAGCTCCCTCTTCAAGCTCCTAAGCAATCGAGGTTAATAAGCAACAGTATGACGGTTCGCGACAGCAAACAAACCTTTGCTCGTCCTTGATGTATTCCTCTTGGAGCTTAATGTACCTGAAGTCCTTCGGTCAGCTCAAGAAGCGGGCTTCGGGTTCTGGTCCGAACATACTCCAGATGCCTTTGCAGTTTCTTCAACGTAGCGTATTCATCGCCGTCATCGGCCCCTGTGCCTTCAAGCGAATCGATGTTCGGGATAGTATCCAAGGGAGCTGCCTTCGTGTAAGACGAGAGGGCGCTCGCCGGGTTCTCCACGGCAACGTCTCCCATTGCGAATGGTCCTTGTTAAGTGTGTAGAGAGAATTAGGGTTACGTAGAGCTTTCGAGAGGATGATAGAGACGAAGTGATGGTTGAAAATGAGGTTTGTAGTTGGGGTGTTTAGAAAGATCTGGAGCTTCGCCTCCGCCCTGCTGGGGGTCCGGGATGGCGTAGCTCACGGCACGTGATCTGAGCCTTGGCGTCCATTATAAGCAGCGCAGGCCAGGCGTCCGTAATAGCTTCAAGGTCCGAGTGAATTACCCTCAATAGTCTACAGAGTAGTAGTAGTACATGGGTGAGATGAAACTAACAGGGGCTTGAAGAATCCTGCATCGTCTATCCCACATAAGACGCCTTGCCAACCACAGGAGCAGGCATTTTTCCCTACAGTACGGAGTAACCTCAAGCAGTTGGTTGCCATTCGGCGAGGCACGTACTATTGGATTTCAGGTCAAGGTGACAGGGCTCTGTCTTCGCCATACGAGTCTCCCTGCGTGTAACCGTAATCTCTTCGGGATCTTACTTGGAACAATTCAACTTCAGCGCCGGTTCGGCAACAACCACTGATTTCAGATGCCTGGCCTTAAATGACGCACTAGACAACGCGGCGACTGGGGCTGAAGCATCTATTTTATTCAGTTTCAGTCGCAGGAGCAATGCTTTTACGTTGAATAGAACACTGTGTTCGCCTCTGCATCCATCTAGAAGGCAACCCATGTCTTCAAAACCAGCCCAATCTCTCATCGTAGTGGAGCATCTATATGGACGTGGCAGGTGGGACAGCAATCCATGGACAAGGCACGGAGCTCTCTTGCAAGCCCGTGATTAAGGGTTCTAGAGTTGGATGCACCCAAGGATTAACATGGGATACAGCGAGGGGGTTGTCAAACAGTCCCAGCACCGTCATTGCTCATCCATACCTTTGACGTACTCAAGATTGGGCGGATCATTTCCATCAGGTGGGCAGCATGAGCCGTTATAAATAATCCTCTCTCCGTGGCCAAACTCTCCAATCCCTTTCTTTCCTCCTCTTTTTCTCGTGTTGATTTCTTCTCTGAAATCTATTTCTGCTGGTTCCTTTCTTTTCGGTCCTGGTCGCTAGACTACACTGGCCTTTTCGGTGCTACTGCTTTGCTCTCACACTAACTGTACCTGCTATCAGCGTGACCTCCAGCCCTCCGCTAAGCAGCGGAGTAATGAACTCCTGGCAGCTTTTCAGATGATATACGGAGTCATCAGGCTATCTGTGCAGATCCTGCGAAATGATGATTATGGGTAGCACTGCTCGCTGCTGATCGAGCCAGTATCGGCACCGGGAGGCTGTGGGCAACAATGCCATAACAGACTGAGCTAATCGAAGCAGATGCTAACCTGCCCAAGCAGCTGGTCTCTGGCTCTGCTCATTTGAGCGACAAAATCGCGCTTGATCCGGACTCGCAGTCTCAACACCCAAGAGATCTGATGGTTTCCCCGCTAAGCACGGCATTCCTCGCTTTGACTATGAGTGGCCGAGCGTGAGGTTTCGGATTCCCATCCGGAGCGGAACAACGTAATGTCCCGCGCCTCTCAAGTGGGAGTTGCAATCGACTGACCCCTTTCCGCCCTGTTAACCGACTGTTGCTTCTCCTGTGTCTCTGCTGCTAAGATTATTACTGCTCAGATCTGGTAAAATAACTTACTGGAAAGTTATACGCCAGTCTCCGTCATACTTTTGATATTCCCAGCCACCCTTTCGATTGAATCCGGGGTTGCCTTCCTCCACGCCCGTCCCCATTCCCGGCATCCCCCATCTCCTTGTGCCTCCACTCGTCGGCCTTTCCACGCGATCGAAAATTCCGTCTTTATTTAGTTTTTCATAAAATACAGGATTCTGGCCCAGTGAATACCGTACTACACTGTATGGTGCACTATCTTAAGGTACGTCTCTGTTTCCATACCATCGTCCCCGCCGCCCATCTTCCTACCATTGGATTTGTGGCACGCACTACTGTCTTGTGGCCACGCACTTTACTGGCCGACATCCGACGGAACCACCGCACTTTATGGCGCTCTCCGGATGGTCGTGATCATTTTATGTATTACTACGCTCTCTTTTTATGCTACTTTGTATACTCCTGTTTTCCTGTTGTGCTGTTAACCCATGTTGCTTCATGAGCGACCCTCCGCCCATATGCTGACTCGCCTGCCATTAGACGCTTTCGCAGGTCCCGTGACCTCCATCCCTCGCAGTCACTCCAGCCAACTGCTCTATTTCGGGACTGGCACCTCTTCCGCTTGCGAGTCGGCATTTTAATAGTCCAGCCTTGTCGGTATGTACATCCTTTTATTATCTTATTCATCTTATTCTGTGGTTGCGTGAGACAATTTGTAATACACTTACCCTGTTTTCCTTTTGTCTTTCCTTGACATCGCTTCGCGTTGCGTTGATCTGTTTCGGGTGTGGCTTCGCCTCGGTCGTGTCGCAGACCAAGGCGCGACCAGCGACTCTCCAAACAGACGCGTCGAGACCTCCAATTATCCATCGCAATTCGCGGCATTAAGCTCGCCGATATTGTGATGTGAAATGCTGGGCTTCTGTTCTTCTCGCTTTCCGCGCCGGTCGCACGTTGAATGATGGAAACGTTGCATTTGTGTCATCTTCTCTGACAGTTCCTTTCGCCTTGCAGATGGGTTGGCAAAACCGCACGACATGAATGCCTGGCCCCTTGACGCCTCGAGCCTCCCAAACCATGAAAATGGCGCTTTTCATCAGACGACCATTGACCCCTCTGCCGCCTTTCTCCACGCATCTCCTACTCCCGATCCGAATCAGTTCCAGCGCATGTTCAATGGTGTACCAAGAAATGCGTCTCCTGGATTCGCCAACCCTAACCAGGTGATCCCATCCAAACGTCCGCGACCAGAAGATGGGATCTCCATGTCGCCCAGGCAAGCTCCTGGGGGACTTTCTTCCCGCTCACAGACACCTCAAGTCCCGTATCCTGGTTTCCAAGGCACTGTCAATGGAGCGCCTCAATTTTCCCATCCGGGACAATTCCAACATCTTCAACAAGGCGCATCTGCAAACGTCTCGCAATCTCCGATTATGCAAGACTTCGACCAACATGGTGCGCAGAGAATGGGAACGGCGTCTCCAAGTCCTTTTTCCCCAGCCGGACCTCATGTCGGAAACCAGATGTCTCCTGCGCAAACCGACCACCCAAGCCGGGTAAACACGCCTCAGAATAATTCATTTATGCCAGCACAGCATTTTCCTCAGGGAATGGGAGCTGGATTTTCGCCTACCCCCGCCATGACATCAGCATCTGTACAGGCGCCGATGCAGGCGCAATTTGGCGGTATGCCGCCAGGATATCAACAGGCGCTTGCCGCCCAACAGCAACAACAGCGATTACATGCCATGCAGATGCAGGGTCAAAACCGCGCAGTGAACCCTGCAATGGCTGGTCGTCCAATGATGGCAGGCATGAACGCTCCAAACCCTCAGCAAATGGCGGCCATTAGGCAGATGCAACAGACAATGGCCAAACCACCTAACCCCGAAAGTTTCATACGATCTTTGTCGAAATTCATGATGTCAAGAAATTTGCCCCTGGACCCTAATCCGATTGTTTCTGGCCGCCCGATCAACCTTGTACAGCTATATGCCGCGGTCATGAAACTTGGGGGCTCAAAGAAGGTCGCCGCTGCAAACATGTGGCCTGTAATAGCTCAACAGCTCCATTTCCCGCCTGTACAGTTTCCCATGGCTGTCCAAGAGATTCGAGATCTCTATCAGCGGACTCTCGCCGCCTACGAACAAGCTTTTCTCAGCACTCAGCCGAAACAGTTTGCGGAACAAGTCCAACAGCCTTCAATACCTCGGCAGCCTAGTGATCCATCTGGCATGCAATTTCAGTCTCCCGCCATAAAGCAGACCTCAGGGTTTGACGGCCCTCAGCAGCTAGGGCATCCCTCTCCTGCTAGCACGTCCACGCCAAACAATGCTCATCATGGGGCTGCCAATGGCTTCGCGACCCCAACGCCAGTCAAGATGCAAAACAAACAACAGGGCCAACATCGTCTTAGCGTCTCACGTCTATCGCAACCGCCTACCACTCCCCATGACCTTAACGGGCAATTATCTACCCAGTCGCCCGCTCCGTCCGAGAAAGGACCGGGATCTGTCGTCGGAAAGCCTACTGAAGAAGTTGACCAATCATACAACCAACCTCTTGGGCAACCAATACAAGACACCTTCAAGCCAATGGTCATCTCGGATTATAAGTTCCATGGACCGATCGCTGTCGGGGAGATGTCCCTGCTTGGAGAAGAGATCGCTAGGCTAAAACCAACTGTACCTTCATTTGCTGAGCTTGGAATAATTGATATCCATGCTTTGACAATGGGTATCAAATCCGGCATTCATGCCGAGATGCGAGTGGCACTGGATGCGCTTGTCTCCCTTTCAGCCGAACCCGCAGTGCAAATATCATTGGATAACTGTGATGATTTAGTTGATAGCTTGATAGAGTGCGCAGAAGACCAAACCGAGCTTCTTGCAGAGCATGCGCCAGAAGTCTCTGATATGATGTTACTGCCATCTTACGAAGAGATCAAGCGCGGATGTCAGTCCGAGTGGACTTCTCTGGCCCCGGTTGCTGAGTTTGGCAGTACGGAATACGAACTCGACAGAGCTGTCGATAGGCTCATCTGTATCACCACCATTTTGCGCAACTTCTCGTTTTTCGATCAGAATTTCGCCATATTATCGACGCCTCCTGTTGTTGAATTCTTTTCAACAATCATCCGTTATCTCGGCACTAGGAATATGCTTCTTCGCACACATCAGAACACGCTGGATTTCATGAAAGATACTCTCATTTACCTGAGTAATGTGGGCGGTGCAATCCATTTACCAAGTAAAGAGGAAGCCCTTTGTCTTTTACATTTCCTTCTGTCCTTCGCTCCCTTCCCGGGACCCGCCACATCACCGGATGGTGTCATGTTCACTGCTTATAACCCGGCCGTGCATAAATATACGCCAGCTGCTGTTGATAGTCTGGCGAAATTGTTGGCGCGAGATGAACCAAATCGGACGTTCTTCCGAACAATATTCACCAGCGACGGAGGTTCTACTGCTCAACAAGAGCTCCTAACCCGCGCATTTGGTCTTGCAATTTGCCCCGTTCCCAACCAGCCTAGGAAGCCTTTCGCAACCGCAGATATTCGCAAAGTATTCCTAATGCAGGGCCTCCTGGCTGCAGATATCCTGGCAGGGTTTGCTGAGGGGACTACCGCCAAATCTTGGCTGGAATCCGTGGATGGTTTCGCCGTACATCTCCTCCGCCTTTCATGTCTCCTAAGCACAGAGCGTGTCCCCCCACCCCTCCACAACGTTCGCCAGACACATGCCGTGAGGGCACAGGCTGAAGAAGCCGAAGTTTACGGGTCAATCATCAACCGAGGCTTGGCGATTCTTCGGCGCTTAGCAGAGAAATCAAAATATGCCGATACAGACTCAACCTTGCGGTTTCCGTCCGGGATCCTTCCAAAGAAGGAAAGCTTACTCGGCGCACTGCTGATGCCGAATGTCGACCCGGGTGTCGTCCGGCAGTTGATAACGTATGCACGGCTCGCCGAATGATGAACCACGTCCTCCCTTTTTTTTGGTCTACTTACTAGCGACGGCATTGACTATTTCTGAAATTCAATAAGTGAAGTTTTCTTCTGGCATGTCTTCTATCTATTACCTTTCAGTAAATTATTTACTTCCAACCGTTCTTACTGATACTGTTGTTTCGCTTCGTCTGGCGCCGGTGGAAAAGGTACTTTCAAGTCAGGCGTGACAATGTGCATTCTTCTGTCTTCATCGCTCTGTACAATGCTCAATACCCTGGGGCAAAATATCTTACGACGTCTATCAGATATATACCCGCCTTCTCCCTTGATGCTCATTCATCCATGGATATCGGGCACCGTTTCCATATTCGTTCATCATGCATAAACACGGTAGGAGTAAGCGTCAATAATCCACTTCAAGGCTATTCGTGCTCTGCTGGCTAATGCGCGTATTGATGTCGTTGTCTTCCAGCTTTCTAGTAGTAAGTACAAGTCTATCCCTGGATAAAGCCATACTCATGGTTTGTATGAAAGGAGCAGTTCCAATGAATAGCCATGAGATCATTGAATATGCACTATTACATACAGAATGCCTAAGCCACGCCAGTAATACAAAGCCAGAGGACAGTAGGGAGAGAGGAAAAAGGAAGAAGACATGAGAAGGGAAAGGAAATAAAACAGAACTCCTGAACAAACAAGGAATAGAAGTGTACATACACATCGATCAATTGAGAGATAACGATGAGAAAGGTAGGTACCGGCAACCCGTACCTATATAGGCTAGACCTAATGTAATAGAGGTGGAAACGTGGAGAAAGCGGCTATTTCAATGGGAAAGAGCTGGTCAAAGCTTCAGCTTCTTGCCCCTTGTCTAGATGCTCGCACTTATGATTTGGACAGCGTCGTCTTTTGAGAACCATGATGGCATTCGCAATGGCATTAACCCGAGTGTTTTGGGTCCATGTTCGTTTTCTGTTCGGATGAAGATGAGATATCAGGCGGGTGAAGAGAGGATGACAGGATGTTGATTAGCGTGGATTAAAGCGCGGTCAAGAGATAGAATATCATGACCAGGATTTAGAAATTACGCTCAAGCATGAACTTTTGGATTTCGGGTTTTCGCCAGCCCTGTTCGGTTCAATGTCAGCTCTAGATTCTAATGGCAATCTAATCCCGATGCACTAGAAAGGACATACCTTGACGATGATGTGCCCGGTTAGTCGGTTGATGGTAATATCGGAGCTCTTTGCAGCATTGCGCTCGGCGGACTCGAGTCCCAGGTACAGGGCAAGGTCGCGTCTGAAAGCGTCCAGATCACCTTCTGTCTTCTGAATCTTGGTCTGCTGCTTGGTCCCGCCGGCCTTGGTGACGAGGTAAATGGGAAGTTGGTTTGACGGTGTCCGGCGAACAAAGTATGGGAGGTTTGTGAGGGACAGGTTGGCGGCTGCTGGGGGAGGGGTGGTGATGCTGGGAGTGCTGTTCACTTTGAGGGTTTGGGATTGACGCTTCAGTTGGGCGAGGAATGTCCGGCGTTGCTGCGTGGAAAAGGATGATTTGGAAGAAGCGCGTTGAGATTGGAAAGCTGTTTCTATGGGAAAGTTAGTATGAAACAGACAATTTCTTCATATCCGCGTTTTAAGCCCGTAGCTATGCTGGAAGGTACGGGCACCGGTGGCTAACGGAATAGCTAAAACGTACGAGAGCTGATCAATCTAGATTGGGAACAGTTGCAAGACACTGAGCTACGTATCGCGAAGGAGGCAACGGGCTGCGCAGCGCGTTGAATATAGCCTGACACGACCGTCGACTGCTTGCGAACGGCGGAGGCTGGGACAGACTGCATGAGAGAAGCCATCTGTGCAAGGAGTCCGTTGGGGAGGTCGAAGGAAATGAATGCCGCGCAGGTTCCGCGCTAAAGTGCCCTCCGAGGAAGAATAGACCACGGGGATAGAGGGCGAGGGGAGATGGACGAGGAGAGGGACTCGATGATGGTCTGATTTGATAGAGACGGACAAAAGCAGGACTTTTTGCGTTCTGAGCGGAGACTAGCCGCTAGTCCCGGAATGGATTAGCGCCCAGACCAACCCTCCGCCCACATTTTCTGAATCTGAAAAGAAGCCGCACACTTTGCTCCTCATCAAAGACGAAGCCTCCGTCCCCTCCCCCTCTTTCGTCACCACCTTTCCGTCTCTGCCTTGTCGCTGTTCATCATGGCAGCCAACGTCCCCCCTTCCGCTGAGACCCTCCTCAGCGGCGCCGCCGCCCACAAAACCGCTGAAGACATCGCCAACCAGTACGACCTTCTGCCCAAGCTGATCCCCTACCTCGACCGTCACCTCGTCTTCCCTCTGCTCGAATTCAGCTCCGGCCAGGATGACGACTCAGAGATTGTCCGCGCGAAGTACGAGCTCTTGAAGCACACGAACATGACCGACTATGTGGCCAACCTGTGGCAGGAAATCAACAACTCCGACACGATCCCCGACGAGTTCGTTAAGAAGAGGGAGGAGGTCCTTGCCAAGCTGCAACACTACCAGGACGAGAGCGAGAAGATCACCGAGCTGCTGCAGGACGAGGCTGTTGTCGGCAACCTGCGAAGCGACAAGGTTGCTAACTTGAGGTTCCTCGAGGAACAGCACGGAGTTACGATTGAGATGGTCAACAGCCTTTACGACTACGGTCGCTTCCAGTACAGCTGCGGCAGCTACGGTAACGCGGCTGAGCTCCTTTACCAGTTCCGTGTCCTTTCCACCGATAACGACAAGGTTGCCTCGGCCACATGGGGTAAGCTGGCTTCAGAGATCCTCACCACCAACTGGGAGGCCGCCATGGAGGAAGTCCAGAAGGCAAAGGACTCCATCGAGACGAGACTCTTCAACAACCCCGTGGGTCAACTTCACAACCGCTCCTGGTTGATCCACTGGTCGCTCTTCCCATTCTTCAACCACGACCCCGCCCGCGATGTCCTGACCGACCTCTTCTTCTCCCCCGCCTACATCAACACCATCCAGACCAGCTGCCCCTGGATTCTCCGATACCTCGCTGCCGCCGTTATCACGAACCGGAATCGCGCCCACAAGAACAGCAGCGCATACCAGAAGCAATTGAAGGACCTGGTTCGCGTCGTTCGCCAGGAGGGCTACGAATACTCAGACCCGATCACCGACTTTGTCAAGGCGCTGTACATTGAATTCGACTTTGAGGAGGCCCAGAAGAAGCTCGGCGAGGCCGAGGAGGTTCTGCGCAGCGACTTCTTCCTCGTTTCCGCTGCCGATGCTTTCGTTGAGGCCGCCCGACACCTCATCTCCGAGAGCTACTGCAAGATCCACCAGCGCATCGATATCAAGTATGTGGCGCGAGTTTTGAGACTCTGCAAACACCAAACAATGCTAACCGCTAATTAGGGATCTCTCTACCCGTCTCGGTCTCAACCAGGATGAGGGTGAGAAGTGGATCGTCAACCTGATCCGCGACACCCGGGTTGACGCCAAGATTGACTACAAGGAGGGCACAGTGATCATGAACCACCCTCCTCAATCCGTATACCAGCAAGTCATCGAGAGGACGAAGGGTGCTTTCTTCCGGACACAAGTTCTGAGGTTTGTCAGCCCGCAATCACCCATATCCAGTTCTCACGAACATAACTGACCGTACCTTCCAGCGCGGCCGTTGCGAAATAGATAAACAACTCCGTCTCATCCGATTCCCAAAAAGAAATCTATGATCTCCCTATTCCCTTGTTGGTTCTGTTCATGTTGGTAGCTTCCCCGCAGTCATGCGCGGGCTTCTTCTCGTCTTGAATGATATGATATGATGGAAACCAGCAGAGTGGCATCAGGCCGGCGTTCAGGTGGTCCCGCTTTTCGACGTTTCAACTTACCCATCTTCCTATTTACCTATCTACCTACCTTGCTTTACCTATTTATCTCTATCCTCTTTCTTCCACCTTCTAGTCGCTGGCTACCGAATCAACAAGATACCAATCCAGTTCAGGGAAATTGAGTGAACCCGGTAGAGGATCGTCTCTTTCCCTCGAGACCACTCGGAAGCATCGAACTATCTTCCTTTACTTGATTTGATCTTTTGACCTGATCGATGTTGTTATGAATGATTTATAGAGATGATGTCAATAAATCGGTACTTGATACTGCGTCCGAAACCCACTGGTTGCGTTGAGTAAATGGCATAGATGGTTGCCGTAGAGTATGTCTAGGGTGCAAGAACGCAGACACCGGCGAGATGCACACTTTATAACTAAGCCTAAGCGTATGAAGTGGATTAGAAGAGATAGATATGTGCGTCAGAGCTCGAATCTTGTTCCTCCCTTGGTGTATACCGAGGTAACCTTGCCCCTGCTCATCCCAGCTCTGCTTGTTCTATATCAGATTACTGATGTAGTAAGATGATCATGAAGTTCAATGAATTAAAAGAGAACTAGGATATCCCTGCTATGTGAATGGCTATTAATACCAAGCAATCAAATGCCCATAGAAACTACTAGCAAAATCGATTCCAAGCCATGGGCGGGGCAGACAAACAGAGGCGCCTTGCACCTCCAGATCTCTGCGAGATCCGACATTTTGCCCGTAAAGTTTGTGTGGACAGCAGTCCGTGCCTGTCCACTAAATGCGCACTTGTAATTATGTAGACAGTTGCCTGCTCAACATCGCTAAGCAGAGCGTTATCCCAGGACCGAAGCTGAATAAACTCGCTTTCTCACTTCTTCCTGTCAAAACCGAGACGAATTACAAGATCAGGTTGCTGTTGTTTGTTGGGGGACGACGAAGAGTGGTAGGTAGATAAAGATGATAGGTAGATCGGTTGTAAGGGAAGAAAAATCTAGAGCAGTGGATATCTCTGGTGCCGAAATGAAACAGGAGACGAGGAAGCCGAGAGAATATGCTTGGACATGCATGAGCAGACGCTGGACAACCTTGTGAACGGAATGTGGGAACATGTCTAGTAAAGAAGTTGGATGGAACCCGAAACACCGAGAAGGAAATGCTGGGACTCAGGGACTCACTTTACTCCCTTTCGCCGTGGGGAGCTGAGTCCTCTAATCCGTATTCCTCGAGCAACGAGGCCAGTTTCTGATGGGGACGGGGTGAGTGGCGTACATGTATGGTGCGAGAAGGAGGTGACCGGGGGAAAGAGGAACTAGGGCAATAACATATGCGTAAACAGAAAGGGGTCCCGGAAAATGCGACGCTGGGAAACAAAGCAACAGTTTATGGAACAGCGCAGGAGTCTATCGTCTTCTGGACTCGTATTCCCCCTGCCGTCGGCGTGGAGGCCCCGATGGCAGCCGAACGGGGATGATCTCGTTGATGTAGGGTTCTGATTGCGGATTGGGGTCGCCGCTCATTCGAAGGGCTTCTTGCCGTTCGTATTCGCGGGACATGATGGCAAGGTCGTTGATTTGTTCCTGAGTAAGCCCTCAGTACTCAATTTCTCTGGTTATTCCTGAAAGAGGAAGAAGAAGCACATACCCTTGTCAGAGGTACACCCACAATCAGGTAACCTTCGCGCCCCTTTGCTCTCGTAAGTAAGTTGTTAGGGCAAGTGTTTCCATCAAGACGGTGGGTAGAAATGGATCCGCGAGGTCAAGTCGGAGGTTTACCTGGTAAGTATATGGCCGGACGGTGGCAGTAGGTCCCAGAAAGTATTGGATCTGGCCTAAGACAATCTGGCGGGAGAGTCCATATCCTGGCAGCCAGTACTGTTGGACCTGAGACATTTTCTGTCCCCTCGTGCCCCGGAACGTTCTTGATGGGGATAGGTGTCTGGCGTATGTATGCGAGTGGCTAAAACAGTCAATCCTCTTGGGAGAAGGTAATTTCAACCGGTAGGACGGCGGTAGTGGTGGTTATGAGGGCCTCGTAAGCAGACACATACAAGCGCCTTTATAGAGGTATATATACTTCGCATGTTCCTTCCATGCAAGGGAACAACAGTATTAGTCAAAGGAATGCGGAATGGAAACGGTCAGCGTTTCTACGTGGGGATAGCCTTTAGAGGTCGGCGCCGGCCCAGGAGAAGGAGTCAGACTGACATGCTGATCAGCAAGGTCTAATAATATAAACTATCAGCAACAGTAAGAAACCGGGGCAACAAGGGGGCTCACTATGGATCCTGTGACAGACAGACGAACAATGGAGCGAGCTGTGAGGGCTGTTGCTGGGTCTGCTGTTCATGTCGGATCCCGGCGAAACCGCCTCACTCTTTCATCCAACCCTTTTGCTCCGGTAAAATCGAAGATAAAAGTGAGGCTTGAACACAATAGGAACTAGGCCCCTTTCAACAAATCGATGCAATTTCTGGTATTTGCCGGTAGTGGTCCTGGTTCTTGGCCGACTCTGCGGTGAACCTACTTCCTGCATCCAGAGTAATCCGCCAGTTTATGTATGATGCCGTGGCTCCATGAACGGGGTATCGAGAGCCCAGTGCGGCGCGCGTAGCTCCTCCTCGGTGCGTCCCGCAATTTTCGTCTGTTCGCCGGAGACTAGGGACAGGTTGCGAATCTCGTTCTTTCAAACTCGCGGAGACCTGAACCTCTCGACCAAAGCAGAGTGACACTTGCATGAAACGGGCTGATGGGATACTCCCTGGAATCATGAGGCGGCGTAGATCTGGAAAAGAACCACGTCGAGTTCAGCCCGCTGTAGCTCCGAGCTCGAACAGAGAGACCAATCACGTTGAGCCCCATTCTCGAAGGATCCCATATTTATTTTTCTAGCGAAGCTCCGCGTCTCTCCGCCCTTCTGGGTCTTGGTGCTCTGCCTCATCGACTCGGGATAGATGTAGTCGGAAAGTTGGATAAGAATCACCCGAACACCAAGTATCGACGTCCTATGCAAGAATCCATTTGCGGAAGGATGCTTGGCTTTTTCCAGCGCAGTGTCATTGACAGGGTCGGAGTAAATAGAAATGCACGAAAGGATACGCTACGGTCGCGATTGGTCCTCCACAAGCAAATGGCATTTATGTTGTCTCGTATTGGATTCCCAGCCCACTTCGCGATATTGTCCAGTACCAGCTTACTCCACAATGGTTAAGCTCCCTGGCAGGGTGGCAATCAGGCCCGTTGATTCCTTGGTGTTTGTTGTTAGTCTCTGCTGCTGCATAGACGCGCAAATAGTCTGTATGCAATAATGACCACACGGCGAACAGGCATAGGTGGCCATGAGTCGCGCTGAAGGAACCCCGCGATGTGAGTGCTGTTTTGTTCGAGTTGGGGTATGAGTATAGTCAATTGACATGGACGAGGCCTTGAACTAACAATCTAGACCATTGATCGGCATTCTCGACCGTCTCGAACCCGTGGCCTAGGCTGAATACTCAAAAGTCGGAACTCGAAAGCTGAACGGATCCATCTGTGGATCGATTACCGGGTGTCATACCGTAAGCTCTGGCCTAGTGAACCAGGCAGTGAGATGACCGTATGTGTTTATGATAAGACCCCAGGCAAAGTGGCTGGTGCAACACACCTAGCTTTCTGACATTATGCCATGATTGGTCCTTGGTGACGCATGTATGTGATATTCCACCAGTCATTCGAGCGTTCTTGAGAAGACAACAGCACATTTCTGGGATGCTCACGCTTCGGACGGGTGACTCGGGGGGCAGCTTTGGCCCCAATAGAGAGTTTGATTGCCGGCATCATACAATGCACCCGGACCACCGAGGACGACTTGGGCCTATCATGGGCTCTCACGGAAAGGAAGTAGGTATGTCGTTTCGAGCCTTACCGGGGCGATAAACCGAGGTCCGCAGAGCAAGGTAACATTGTGATAGACGATAAAAGACAGCAGCCCGATGAAGGCGAGTGAGGCGCTGTGGCGATACCAGGACGGCCAGTAGGGTAGAGGAGAGCCTTGGAAGAAACGAGTGAGCAAGGGGAAGATGAAGGATGGACAGGGAAAGAGCGAGGCTGAAACAAAAGGAAACATAGAAGCATTGACGAGGCGGACCTTCATCCCCTCTTGACTGTACAGTAGACGTAACCGTGTAGCAACGCTTCAAAATGATTGTATATTACTGTCTATCTCGTTCTCGTAACTCATGCCAAACAAAGATACCATCCGCTTACTGAACCCATCATTATGTATGACACTGCTTAGTTGGGGGGCACATAAGGGTTGATAAGCATGTCGCTGAATCTGTTCAAAGCGTTAGCCAAAGCGGAAACAATGACTGCAAACGAGCGACTTACTTTTCGAGCTTCTCCTTCCCTCGGACCTCCTCGACGAGCAACGGCATCCTAACGACATTGAAGTCTTCATAGAGTTCCTCGATCTGCTCCAGGTACTTCTTCTGCATCTTTCTCCGCGCATTGCACTGCTCGCAGTCACTGCCTTGCTTAGGGAAGAGAAGCTGGTTGACCACAATTGCGTGGGTGTCGATTTGGTAGCTTGTCAGCTCCTGGATCATACGCTCGGTCTCGTATAGAGACAAGAATTCCGCAATACAAACGCAGACAAACGTCGTCATGTCAGGGTTCTTGAACTGGTTGTTGACTTCGCCGATGGTTTCCCTCAGTGACTCCATCTTCCGCAGAATCTCATCCAGGTTCTGGCCACCAGGCAATCCACCGCGAGCTCCAAGGATCGAGTTGAGCATGGGCCCAAACTGAGAGGAGAGCTGCGAGAGCTTCGCAAGGGCCTTTTCGAGGACGGTGGGGAACTGGAGGAAGCGGAGGGTGTGGCCGGTGGGGGCAGTGTCGAAAATGATAACCTCATAGGACAGGGACTTGACCTGCTTGAGGACTTCGGCGAATGACATGGCTTCGTCAACACCAGGGATCTAACACCGTTAGCAATCGCCGTAAAGCGCTTGAGCGCAACGTACGCTGAAGGCCAGGTCCTGCATCATGTTCCCAACACCGAGACCAGCCATGGGGTCATCACCCTGTCCGTCGCCGTTCGCGAGAAGGTCCTGAATACTCCCGTTGGGGTCGACTTCCATCGCGCTGAGGTTGGTGTATCCATCAACTAGACGAGCCTCCTTCCCGAACTTCTGGCCAAAGGCATCACTGAGGTTGTGCGCGGGATCGGTGGAGATGAGAAGAACAGACTTGCGGGCTTTGGCAAGCTGAATGGCGAGTGAGCAAGAGGTTGTGGTCTTTCCGACACCTCCTTTGCCTCCGACGAAAATCCATCGCAGTGTTTTCTGGTTGACGATCGACTGGAGGGTGGGCTCCATGAGGTCGTCGTCGTGGACAATCGCGGTCGAGGACATTGTGGCGGACGAATTTCGACGACGATTTCTGGAAAGTTGAGTCTGTACGATAGATATATGGTCAGACGGCAATGGGCAAAGGCTTGAGTGACAGGCGTACCACGTTCTGTAGGCAGTTGTTGACTGTGAGTCTTCCCGGCAACGGTCAAAAGTTACAGGCGAAGCTCCAGGAAGCGGAAAGAAAGACTAGCGCTGTCACCCGGATCGGCGCTACTCTATATACAAACGCAGAGTATTGATTGTGCAGAACAAAGTAGTCCAAGCAGCTGATGTTAGCTTTTGGGTTTCACTGTCGTCAGACCGAAGGCGTCTTGGCCGCTAAATGACACGTGCAAGGCGCTTTCGTCTCAGGCTCTACTCCGTGCGCTGGATGAGCAGATACCCCACCATACAATCCCCGTGCTTCAGGTTCCTGAAAGCTAATCTCGACTACACTGAATGTGAGAAGACATCTTAGATAAGCTAGCAGTGTTCGATTGCTGGCATATTATCTGCGCCGAAGAGCTCGCGAATACCCTGCTGAGGTTCTACTAACTCCGGAGAGCTCCTCGTCGGTGGCCTCCGACAGAGAGCGGAGTTCGAAAGCAGCATAAAGCTGATACTTTCTCCCTCGTCCAACACCTCCCTTTCCCAACCTACAACTTCTTCTCCTACTTAATGGACACTAGTTCCAAAAACCAAGCATCAAGTGACCTGAGCAAAGTCACAGACCGTCTGAGCCTCTATCAGAACCACCTCCTTTCATCCTCACCCTCATATACAGCATCCTCCTCCACGAACTTACCGTCAAAAAACCCAGCGCCAATGTCTCGCGACCCGATTACCTGCCACGTACTCAACACCCTAACCGGCACGCCGGCCGCGCACCTCCCCGTCACCCTCGAGCTCCTCTCCAGCCCCTCCTCCGCAACATCCAGCAATGTCCGCTTCACCGCAACAACAAACGCAGACGGCCGCGTAGCGAGCTGGACACCCGCGACAGCAGACGCATATCGCGTTCCCGAGATCCTCGCCTCCCTCCCCGCGTCCGACAGCAAGACAAACTGGGCTCTGCGATTCGAGGTCGGGCCGTGGTTTGAAGCGCAGGGCGTCGAGAGTTTCTGGCCGGAGGTTGAGGTCAAGTTTACGGTTAAGGGGCGCGGAAAGGAGGGCGAGGAGGGCTGGAGGCATTATCATGTTCCGGTGCTGCTGGGGCCTTGGAATTATTCGACGTATCGGGGGTCGTGATGCGCTATTCGTCGAGGCGCTGAATGGCTTATATAGCAGGTTGTCATATATGGTGCTGGAAGCTAAGAACATATATAGATATCGCGGAGTGTCGGATCTCGCAGAGATCTGGAGGTGCAAGGGGCTCCGTTTGTCTGCCCCGCCATGGCTCAGAATCAACTTTGCTAGTAGTTTCTATGGGCGTTTGATTGCCGGTATTTATAGTCATTCCCTTAGCAGAGATATTCTAGTTCTCTTTCTAATCCATCCAACTTCATGAGTCTACACCTAATCTGACGTGGAGTAGCGGAACTGAATCTGACCTTATCATGTCATTATCGATTGTTTACTCTGTATAGTCAGTGTTAAACGGGATGACGTGAGTGTGGAGTGCGGAGATTATATATCTTTGACCTCGCGGGGAAGAGGGTCCCTGGATGTGCAAAATATGGTATTCTAAGTATCCATCCGTCAAAACAAATTGCGATCCTCTATACAGAGTAAATAATCTCATTTAGAGCTCGAAGACCATCAACCACTGTCTCAACTGCTAACGACGAGTTCATCAATATAGACTTTGGCTATGGGTAGAACGGGCCAGTGCTCAGACCAGGTATGGATACAGCTGTCAAGAGCCGACGGGAACCACATTTGCCGAGACACTCAGGGGCGTTCGAATAGTAATAGAATGCTTAACTTGACCGCTTCTCTACTGAGTACTTTCATCGTTCGATAATTACAGACACTCGCGTGTATTCAGGTAGAAGTACATCGAACGTTGATACAAGTAACCAAGCACTCTGGGGTAGCCTAGGCGTGCTCTACTAGACGGGTGGCTTTCCGTGTCAGAACTAAAAGATAGCGCTTGCGCCTTGCAGCATCAAGGGCCAGGATTCTAGCCGATACGGCTGGCAAGTCGCACTGATCATGAATCCTGCTCGACACGCGTCCATCGCATCAAATGATTTCTTATCAGCGCGGACAATCGCAGAAATTCGCGAGATACTCCGAGGCAAGTCTAGAATTCGAGTGGCAACTAATTACTGGCTGCTGTTGGCTGCTGTCGAGCGACGAGTCCAGTATGATGTGCTCACGTGATAGAAATCCGCAGAATTGTTCTGGTTGCGTCATCGTCTTACGGACCAATCAGGCATTGACCGAGTGGTTTGATTTCCTGGAAAAACTGCGCTAAGGAACGAGAATATACAGCGACACGCCCTAAATGGTCAGTTAGAGTCCACCGCCTAGGACGTTGAATGACTATGATTCGCTTAGATGCAATGCGGCAGGTCAATTTGGACGTGGGCCCTGACAGGACAGATGAGTGGCTAAAGGGCAGTGGGCCAACAGCCTTAGCGAGTTGTCAGTGGCCATCCGCCCGGCTGGACCGAAACCCTCGGGTCCACAGCGTACAGATGAAATTCCTGTCGTCGTCACACTGAAGTCATCCGATGGGATGGCCCCTTCGTGCCATCGCTATCGCGGACAGATCTTGGAAGGCTCAAGGGTACATGCCTATCGCAGTAGCTGAGACCTCTGGATCTGCCTGGTATTTTACCTTCTGTATCCCCTGGGTCCGTCGCATCCTTGATTGTTGTGCGATTAGTTGTGTGCACAAACCCAGTAATCAGTTCTCGAGGTTGCGTCATCCACATTGGTGCAAGAAATTGCCGGAACCCACCCTCAACGAAGACGGCCACCAGTCGAGATTCACTGTCGAGACTCTCGGTTCCGGCCAATCAGACGTGGTATTTTCGTCTTCCATTTCAGTTTTTCGTTTGAGATTTTCCAGGTCTGTGTGTGCGTGGAAGAGAAGAGAGTCGAGTGCAGACAGAGCAGAGTCGGGACCTCGAGTCAGGGCGCCACAGTCTGGATACAACCACAGCACGGCCAGGAGTCTGGCTCTCGAGAAAGTGCAACGCAGCCGGCAGACTGGGGGCTTTTGTACGAATCCAGGGTCGCAGATATCGAGGACCTTCTGCCGCTTACCTCATAGCCGACCGCCTCCCCTCCTCCCCTAAATTGCAAAAACTCCCTGTCCAACCCTCCCAGACTACGTCACAACTTCTTTCCTTCTTCTCTCTCCATCTTCCAATCCATTCATCATACCCAGTGACTTTGGCCTCGCCTCGTCCTGCCTCGCCCTTTCTGGGGTACAACCACACTGCACTACTCATTAATGCATGGACATCTCTGTCTGCTCTTTGAATTGTGTTCTCTGAGCTCACTATACGTCACTTCTTGATCTCTTCTGCCCTTGACGCGCTCCCGTGCGATACTCCCAAGAGGCGTCCACAGATCGCGCCCTCCCTTCGTTTCTCCATACTGTATTGAATCCTTTACTTGCTTCTCCTTTCTTAATCGCCTTTCGCCACTTGGCCCAATCGGTCCTGCTCTTACTTTTTTATACTCTTTTTTCACTTTTTTTTTTTTCTGTTTGGGACCACGGATCCCCTGCAGCCTCCTTATTATTCAGCTAATATATCATCAACCCGATCGCGGAGGGAACTATGTCTGCCGCCGTGGCTTCGGCAGTCTCAACAACTCTCCCTTCTAATGCTGCCATGCATTCCTCCCCAATGGACGCGAAAAGACACAGCGCCAAAATGGACAATGGTGAGTTCTCTCGATGTCTGGTACAAATCGTAGGATCTATGGTTGTGTGGCACTCTTCCCGACTTGGATGTTGTCTCTCCCATCGTGTGTCGGGATGACCTCATACAACCCTTATTGTCTACCCGGATGACGTTGCACAACTACTCCCCCTGCTTCTTTTTACACTGCGCATTGTCGCGACTTTGTCGTCATCCTATACTGACTTTGATGATTCCCAGACGCCTCATCGGATACCAAAGAGTCAAAGACAGATGGCGAAGTCCAGAACCCATTAGCACCTCCTCCACGGCCTAACCCAACGGCCGCCACTGATACACCCGACTACTTCAATTCAGTTCACAACCCCTTCGCTTTGGAGCCGAATCCCTTTGAGCAGTCATTCGGCGGGGGCTCCGGGGAAACCCCAGGGAAGTCAATACTTCCTCCTGTCGCTTCGATAACGTCGCCTGCCCTGCCAGGCACTAGCTCCGCCGGCGGCGCATACAACTGGTCGAACTCCCTGCGCTCGGGCCCTCTGAGTCCGGCCATGCTCGCAGGGCCTGCCGGTGGGAGCGACTACTTCGACAGCATTGGAAGGGGCTTCCCAACGCCGAATGAGTCTTCACTCCGCACCGGTTTGACGCCAGGTGGCGGAGGTTCCATGTTCCCGGCCCCGAGTCCCAACTCTCAAGCTTTGTTAAACCAGCTGCAAAACGGAGGCGCAACTCCCTCTACCATTGAGTTCCACCGCACAGCATTGAATGTAAAGAAGAACGGCATTGCGCCTACATCCAACCCAACCGGCGAAGCCGACCAAGTACCACAGATTGCAACAACCATGGACATAAAAGCAGCACAACCCGCGACGGTCGACTTCGGGCCGCATGATGCAGCCGATGCTGCTAACGGCCTGTTCATGCTGGCCAAGGGCGGACAACCGACGGCGAACCAGTTTGCTGCCGTGCCGAACCAGACGGCCATCCCACCACAGACACTTCAGACTAGCGAAATCTTACACGATCAAAATGCCGCCCGACGCCAATCGGCCAATGTAAATGGTGTAGTTAACGTGAGAGAACCCAGCGGCGACGCCTCAGATATGCAAAGTGAGGCCAAACCTGCCAGAGGCAGGGGCAAGAGAAACGCGTCTACGAAAGCGTCAAGTACAGGAAACAGGCGCAAGACGGACGATTCCACGCAGGGATCGAACAAGAGGACGAAGCTTAACAACGGCTCGGTCAGCACAGAATCTCCGTCGGAGGGGGAATCAGACGACGAAGACCAGCAGCCCGCTTCGAAGAAGAAGGCCGGCGAGACGAAGAAGATGACTGATGAGGAGAAGAGGAAGAACTTTCTTGAGCGGAACAGGTATGTACCTTGCGGTTGGCTCTACAGACTAGGTATTAACGGACTTAGGGTTGCGGCACTCAAATGCCGACAACGGAAGAAGCAGTGGCTTGCCAACCTCCAGGCAAAGGTCGAACTGTTTACGTCAGAGAATGACGCGCTTACGACGACTGTTACTCAACTACGGGAGGAGATTGTCAACCTGAAGACATTGTTACTTGCACACAAAGATTGTCCGGTTTCACAGGCGCAGGGGCTTATCTGGAACCCGAATCCTCCATACACTTGAAGGAATTAATATTATCACTGGCGCAACGGTTTCTGATTTGGCTCGGGTGTACTGTAACAACTAGCAAAAGGTTCAGCGTTCACAGCAAGTAACTGACTGTAAGGAGAAATGACCGTAAGGCTGATCTGCAGACACGTAGCACTTATCGTCTAATCTGACTTCTGACTTCTCACATTGCGCATCTTGATCAATCCACCTGCTGTGATCTGTCAGGTCGCGAGTACAAGATCCTCCTTGATATACTTTCTTCACTTCTTCACCGACTCAACATCATGATCTCCTTCTCCTCGGAAACCTCATACATCCTCAATCCTTCACCAGAAATCTCGGCGCCTGGAGGACGCAAGAATCAAGATAACAGGAATCTCCAACACTCCTGCAGCCCCTGCAGACGCTTCCAATTTCCTTGCTCCTGATGAGTGATGACGGGATCCGATCTTAAGCCGGGCCTGGCCTCGAATGAGGTGGTTGGTGGGCACTGCCGAGGTTCAGGCACATACAGTACATGTAGGCTGAACCTTAAGGTAAGCACTTGTGCACTAGGTACGCTGCGGCGACGATGCAAGTATGGTAGATCGCGCTTGGTAACGGGTGGACCTGCATATGGTGACGGCCAGGGTATGGCTATGGCCATGGTAGGCTGCGGCAACAAAGATAGTGCTGTGCTGTGCCCCTGTTGTCGTTGAGCGGCGAGGTTTTGAGGAAGTGGGAGTGGGAGTGGGAGTGGGAATAAGGTCCGGCAAGGTGCAGGTGCAGGTGCAGGGTGGGTGTGCAGGACCTACCGGTATACCTTATGCAATGCAGCAAGACAACAGGGTAGGTAGATAGATTATTGACGTTCCTATTTTCTTCGAACGAGGACCTGTCTAGGTGTACTGCAGACCATACCTAGGTACCTGCTGCTGCTAGGGTGGTATCATACCGTGCACATCTTAGACCTCGCGCCCAATCGCGGTGCTCTCGATCAGTAGGATGGTCAGTAACAGTGACAGTGACGGTGACTTGAGCCACTGCCGTCTCTCCCTCCCGGCCTCCAGCCTCCAGCTCTACTCCGTTACCTACCTGCACCGACTTTAACCCCCTGGGCTCCTGCAGAACGAAGCGCAGATCCAAGCCCTGCACTGCACTGCAGTGTAGTACGGTAGTATACCTGCATAAAGCCTCAGAAGACAACTGCAGGACCAACGGCGGTCTAGTCTAGTCTAACCTGACCTGACTGCTAACCGGATGCCTGAGTGCGGCGTGCGGGGTCGGTTGATTCACGCGGGAAGGGGAGTACATAGAGCCTGAGGACGGGTTAGGGTAGACATGCAAGCATGCAACTTCAAGCCCTCCCGTCGGGACCAGGAACAGCTGGAACCTGGATATTCGTGAACTATCGATTCGGTGCACCGGCAGCTTCGATTGAGTCGTGGGATTGAGTTGGTGGCAGGGCCTCCGAAGCCCGGGGCGGCGTTCGGCTCAGAGTCCAGACTTGGTAGGTGACGTTGACGTTCACGTTAGAACTTGGCGATCTCCTCTCTACGGAGTAGACGTGAGGTGAATCGCTCCACGGACTGTCTCTTCTCGCTAACCTTTGCGGAGTATGCTTAGGGAGGTATCATATCATATCATATCTGACTTGTCGTGTCTTCAGCCCGCTGATTCAACTTTAAATGTAAATGAGCGGTGAACTATTTCGATTCTTTGAACCTAGTCGAAGGATCGATTGCCATTGTGGTCTACGAGGACTTGTTTGAGGTGCAGGAAAACAGGATCGCGGGGTGGATGTGGATGTGGTCACTGTTGGAGGGTGCTATCCCTTGCTTCTTGTGCGAGAGGAGTCGGGGTCAGGGCCAGGGTCAAATGGCGAGAGGCAGTGAAGTTGGTGTGGGAGATTACGGTAGATCGAGGTGACCCTGCAGTGACCTCAGAGTGAGACAGCTAGTCTACCCAAGGCAGGTTTAGAAGATGTTGTTGGGTAGGTTCTCCCAATAGGTGAACTCCTAACAACTCCTAGACGATGTGGAACTCTGAGCGACATCTACAGACTACTGCAGTCATCCTGCACCTGCAAGTATGCCAAGCTGCGAACGTTTACGGAGCCTTCATTGCTTTTCGCAGTTCGCATACTAACTGTATCCTTGGCCGGAAATATAAACTCCGTAGACGGCGCCGTTGAAGCAGGTCCTGCTTACGTTCCACAAGATTGCCCGGTGCACAGTAGTAATATCACATACGGTACGTGGGACTCCGCGTAACGGCCACGTACAGATCAGATGACCCGGGAATTGGGTAGCAGTGGTCCAAGACATGTACGTCCTAGTCCTACAGGCTTGCAAGTGTCGGTGACAGAGATATGCGATATCAGGCTTGAACGAGTTTCGGGTAGGGTCCCATATCATCCGGTCTCAAGTTAACTGAGACGGCCCTGGCAGCTGGACTGGAGGTCCACGAGACTTGCCAGAAGTGGGACAGCCTCAGTAGGTACCATGTGACAGTGGCACCTTCGGAAACACGCAACGTGGGAAGGATGGAGTTGGGAGAATTGGAAGAAGGACTCTCAGACTGTAGGATGTGCTCCGGACTCCGGAGTGGTAGATTGTGGAATGTATGCGACAGATTATTGTAATTTGTAACAAATGACCAAAACGCCCTGCCCTGCTCCTTGCATGGAACAACCCGATGAACTCCTCGCTAATTAAACGTGTGTGTGAAACGAGCCAGAACGCCAATTGGACATTGGAATAAAACAGGGTAGGAAGTGAGGTGAGTCAGACTGACTGCAGTGGAATGCGGAGATGCAGAGAAAGTGTAATGGGAGATGGTGACATAGGAAAGTATGACCATGCATGTGGTCTGTAGATAGAAAGACAAGACATTATTCGTTGAGCTGCAATGCAAGTATGCAGGAATGCAAGGGGCTCGTAAAGCAAGTAACAAGTAAGCAACGGTAAGCGAAGAAGAGAGACAAGCACGGGGTATAGCAGATGCAAGCGATGAGATGAGAGATTCGTGGTTCGTTGACATTCCGATCAGGCGGGCAATTCACTTGGAACGCCGAGTCTGACGCGCCCTTAGTTCATCGCATTCGCGGCTGAGCAGGCGGCGGATTCCAGAAACAAATCGGGCTTTTGTGGATTCTGTGAACGTTAGCTTAGTTCGTTCGAACAGGTCAGATCCGATCTGACAGGTCCAGCCAGCCCGTTCCATTCCGGTCCAACCGGGCGGATTGGATAGTTCGGGTACGTACCGCTATACCTGCGCAACGAGCGCTTCGAAAGACCGTCCGGGAGTGTGTGTGGTGATGAAGGTGAAGCGGCGACCTCGGCCCAGTATGCGATGTCTTGGTGGTAGCCGGAGTTTTTGGAGGCGTTCTCGTCCTCTTCGATTTGGAGCTGGAGGGCGACGACGTGGGGGTAGAGGTCGCCGAGGGGGTAGAGGAGTGATGAGGAGGAGGAGGGCCGCGAGTAGAGACTCTGGCTTGTCTGGGAAGTGTTAGAACGGTCGGATGGTTTAGAAGGGGAGGACTCACGTAAGGTTCGTAGTTGGATTTGTAGGTCATTGTAGTAGGTTGATTAAGTTGACTGAATAGATTGAGTTGAGTGTGGAAGTAAGGATCGATCGGGACCAAGGTTCTGGGTGTAAGGCACGTTTTGACCTGTCTTGTTGTCTTGATAGTTCCACCACATGTGGGAGAGTCGAGTCTTATATCGTGCTGTCAGAGCTGAGTGGTGATGACGTGGTGGGGAAGACCAAACAGGATGGCTGTCGATTGAGCACATGGCCATGGCCATACATTCCTTCTGTGGAGACTCCTACTCTGACTGACTTCAGCTCAGCTGATTGGGGCCGCAATCTATCTCCCGCCATGATTTGAATTCCTCGCAGATTCAGCACAGCCGGCCAATGGCATGCCGCCAGTGCCTGCGCTAGCCGATTAACCTCTTCCGTCGGAGAGGCTCGGTCGCCTCTCTTGTCTTGATCTGGTGTAGTCTGCTCTGCAGCAGCGTTGCGTCAGGTTACTCTGGGCCTGCTCCACGCTTACATTTTCCACCTCAAACAGGGACAGGGACCCCTGTCAGCCGGGGTGCCCGATGCTGCCATGATGATGCTGGACATTTCCCCCTTGCGTGCGACCACAGGAAGGACTGGCTCGCTTCCACGTTTTTGCACCAGGGTCACTGCATATGCAGAGTGACGACTGATCGATAACCGATAACCAGACAGAGCGACCCCTCATTTACCTCTTCATGATCTTCGCCCAATGCGACCCTCCACTAACTTTCAGTCTGCTAGTCTGGTTGATCGGCGCCCAACACTAACAGACGTGGATCAGGTGGTGGGGAACGTCACTGGGGATCTGTCATGATTTCTGAGGATCATCAGTTTTGAATTGACTTGAAGGCCGTGCTAACTCGGGTGCTGGCAGAGCTATTATAATTGCCTGCACTATTAATTTATTTAGCACGATAACCTAGTAGGTTGGGCGGATTAGACTTGGGCAGGGTGTTTAGTTACCTAGCTATAAAAAAAAAATAATTAGTTTAGTTAAAAATATATTAAAATAGCTAAGTTAAGCACTTAAAAAATAGCTATTAAACCAAGAATATATTAATTAAGTTTTTTAAATTATTAGGATTACACTAGCATTAAATTATATTAAAATAATATAAATACTAAAGTTTTAAAACGCATAAATAGGGACTAAAGTTTTAAACAGGGATTAAAAGCAATAGTTCCTAAACAGGAAAAAAACATGATTAGGGGATTGGACGGGGATGCTCGGGGTGCCTGTGGTTTCATTAGTTTTGAATTAATTTAAAGGCCGTGCTGACTTGGGTGCTGGCAGAGCTATTATAATTACCTGCACTATTAATTTATTTAGCACAATAACCTAGTAGGTTAGGTGGATTAAACTTAAGCAGGGTATTTAGTTACCTAGTTATAAAAAAAAAATAATTAGTTTAGTTAAAAATATATTAAAATAGCTAAGTTAGGTACTTAAAAAATAGCTGTTAAACTAAGAATATATTAATTAAGTTTTTTAAATTACTAAAATTATACCAGCATTAAATTATATTAAAATAATATAAATATTAAAATTTTAGAATATATAAACAGGGACTGGAGTCTTAGACAGGGACTAAAAGTAATAGTTCCTAAATAGGAAAAAAACATGATTAGGGGATTGGACAGGGATGCTCGGGGTGCCTGTGGTTTCAGGCAGGAGTTGCGCACAGCCACCTGCACAATCGCCTACCCCGAGAGATCAATGGTTCAAGCCACAGTGCTCCAGCCACACGGAGAACAAAGCGGCGGTGCGTGGGTCGTGGCGGAGTCGCGGTGGCTTGACACCGTCTCTCAATAGCCTCACGTTTCAGGATTCTCCAGTTCCAGGCCCACTGTCCCCGGCGGGCCCGGCATATAGTAGCTTACATCGGCGGATTCAACACCATTGATCGTCTGCTGCTTTCTTTTTCTTTTCTGGCGGGACGCTCGAGGGCTCGGAATGACCGTGGCCGTTGTTGGCGGAGAGATGGACGGAGGTTGAGTCCGGGTATAAGGAGGCCTCCTCCTCCTCCTCCTGGCAATGTCTCAGTCTCAAGTCAAACCAAATTCAAATCCAATTCAAATCCAAAACAAAGCAATCCGATACTAACCCCTCGCACTTCGGTTCCTGACCCTCTGACTCTTCCTCTTCATGCCCAACGGCAATGACACTGAACGCTCCGGACTCTGGAAAGCAGTCTCCGCGTATGGACTTGCTCGATCCCTCTTTCGTCGCCGCAGTGCCGTCCCAGCCCGCAAGTAAGCTACCATCCCTGCATGTGCCCAATCATCCCTATTCTAAACACCGTCCCCAGAATCGATTGAGGAAGCTGAACACGCTTTCGCCAGACTCGAGCCATTCCACCCATCCTCAATGGATCTCCCTCTAGGAATCCAAAACCACGACTCCAGCCCAGGCGCGCAAATGCCAAACGGGTCCATCCCGCCTGCTCACGCGCCAAACGGATCCCCTCCATCTTCAAGCGCAAATGTCTACCAACCCCCCATCCTGGCCGACTGGTACCCGGCGTACATGGAATGCGTGCGGCACTTCCTCAACCAGGCGCAGCACTCCGCGCCTGTGCAGTCGTTGGCGGCATACATGAACATCCGACTCCCCTACCAACGCGCAAACCCCATCGCGCACTTCGACGCCAATCTCACCGAGAACGGGCAGTCCTGCGCGCAATCCTCTCTGCGCCACTACATCCGGCGGCTCGTCGCAACAGGGAACGACACGCCCGGCATGCTTGAGGCATTCTTCGGCCCGGACTGGGCCCCCGGCGTCGGCGGCATCGCCAAGCAAGAGCGCCTGAATTACCTCTTCACCGCGAAGAGCGCCGGGTACGCGGCTACGAAGGCTGCGTACGATGTCCTGCCTGATGAACAGGCGCCGTTCCTACGGCCTATCCGCGATGCGACGGAGGAGGAGATCGCCATGGCGGAGAAGTGCTGGAGTGAGTGGATGGCGATGGAGGATTGGATGGTGGGGCCGCGTAGTCCGTGGTAGACTAGGAGGTGCGATTGCAATGGTCTGTTTGTTACGAGTGATGATATACGACTTTCCTTGCTTGCTGTCGCTCGTTTGGATTTCCTTTGTCTTTGTCTTTGTCTTGCGTTTTCCTTTCATAGCTCTGTTTGATCGAGTCAATCCAGACCCTGTCTCTACCTAGTTGAGTTGCTTCAGCGAAACAATATACCTGTCTACCTGCCCATCCTACATTCAACCTGCGTATCTCGTTAGATCAGACTTGGCCATACCATAGCGTCGGGCACTGAAGTGCAATGACCCAGTAACCAGACTATCGAATTGTCTAACTAGGTGGGGATAGAATAGATTAACGCTGACAAAAAGAAAATATTGAAATCGTTGTGAACGGAGAATTTGTTGTTTTGGCAGCACAGCCACATCGGTCTCCCCGAGCCCTACCGTACGGGATGCATGGAGCCTGCACTTGCAGCCTGCAGCCTGCAGCCGTCTGCAGCAGAATTCATGCAGATCATCCACTCCAGTGTTATCTCGGCAAAATGTGTAGGTAGGAAATGTCCTCCAACTTTGTTTAGGCGGATTAATCTATTTTTTGTCATGCTTGCAGCTCCAGTCCAGCTTCATGTTCACTTGTTCAGGGACCCATCTACAGCACAGTAGATGTACTAGATAGATACCAAGTAATACAACAGGGGTATCTCCGATGTCAGCCAGCCATGTTTGTTGCTCTGGCAGCGAACTAGATCGTCTGAAATAAGCGAGAGCGGGTTCTTCCCGCCCGAATTTCCAAGCTTTAGCTAGGTATCTCTGCACGCTGCAATTTGACCAGTCAACTCAGATTTACAACAATGATGCAACTGCAACATGAAGCGAGCCGCTCAATTGCCCAGACAGCTTTATCTGAATATTCTTCGCTTCAACTCGTCCAAAGTACAAGGTAGACTACAAACAGGCGCACTGAGTACGGAGTTCGGTCGATCTATTAATATCCTGTCAAGTTTCACCCTCGGCTACCTGCTCCACCTGATCCATCTTGTTACTTGTTCGCCTCACCAGTCGATCTCGGATCTTGTATTCTTGTTGATGAGGATCGACATGACACCCGACTACTGAGTCTGACAAGCGCCATCCATATGGCCGCCATGTGTCCTTAGTCCTTGACTCCTTACGGAGTACCATCGGACCCAATCCAACATCGTCATCAATGCCATTGTGCACCACTGCGCAATGCTCGCTGCTGCCCAACCCACGCCTCCCAAGCATCTCAGTGTTCTAGACTTCGGGTTGCCCCTTTAGGCCATCGCAGGATTCGGTCTGGACTTGGCCAGGAACAGGATTTCCGGTTTCTTGACCCGTCCGCTCCTAGCTCTCACCCCTTTTGGGTATGCAGCTTGAGATCAGGTCCAAGATCGTCTCGAGAGTCGAGCCTCGCTGAGTCCTGAGTCCTGACAGGCGGCCTTGGTGGGGCTGGACCTGAACCAGGAACCGCGTACTTGGGTCGGATGGGATTGACAGATTGACAGATCGACGCGCCTGTTACAGGGTATTCTGTATCTAACACTCCTGGGACGTGCTCAGGGTCAGGATCAGGATTTTCTAGGTAGAAGTTTTTGACTATACTTTCCCTTCGGGTACTTACGCTCTACTGCCATGATCTAGCCCAGTGGAGCTGCTCAGTTCCAGGTCCTCGGGTCGATTGACCTGAGATTGTCAATGTCAGCTGGAGAAGGCGCCCGCTGCCGACTGACGTGCTAGTGCTGCCCCTACCATGCGCTCTGTTCCAATCGCCTGGTAACCCACATGGCCATGACGCCGGCGTGGCAGCCTGCCAGGATGTACCTATTTCAGTCCTTTCTTCACGCGAGTCATGCGTGTTGTCCATCTTGGTATTTCCTTAACTAGGTGCTTACCGAGCAGAAGACTACGAATGCCGAGGTCGCCATGATGGTATGGGGATATACCGTCCAGAAGACAACCCTAGATAATGCTTAGAGTTAGTCCCATTGTGCTATTAGAGTCAAGGCATAGGGAGGAGAAATTGATAACTATCAAGTATATTCTCCAGGTTGGTAATACCTGAATATCAATCAGGATAAACGACCGGTAACACGTTGAATCTCCAGCTTCTCCAGCTGCGTCTTCCCCTTACCACCAAGTAATCCGGCCATAGAGTTATCCGTACCGGTTGCCGACGCTATGAAGCTGGAATGATTTGAGCACAGGTAACCTCGCGATGAAGGGCAGGTAGCGACAACGTATCATCAAGAAAGACAGCCACTCGTCATCTGGTGCTCTGCTCTGCTCTGCTCATGCTCGTGCTCATCCACATCCCACTAATCATCAACATCTCAAAAGTGCCCCAACCTACCGTATCCTCACCTACGAATTCCACTGAAGCATCAACCCCCTCGCAACAACCAGCCTAGCCTACGGTAATCAAGCCGAGACCGCAGTGGAGAGCACCAAAGTCCATCGAGTACTGTCCGGCCCGTCAGCATTTTCGGCACTGGATGGTTAGACCCCAATGGCGTCCAAGCATATCTGCGAGAACTGCAGAGAACATCAGACCTGCCCACCTGCAGCGGCAAGCGGTTCTCTTCCTCATTTCTGCGCCTTCTCTATGGAGCGGATGGGGTTGGTATCGATGCATCAGGGCTGCGTCTGTCTGTCGGAGCTGATTATAACGGGAAAGGAAATCAGATGGAGTCGGGTATTTCGGTGTGTTACCAATGACGGTATGAACACCTAGCAGCGTGAGGCATGTGCGTTGTCTTAGGTAGTGGCCCGCTCGATATTTCGCACGATCGGTTCGTATCATGGAGGGCCACTGCAGTCTTCAACTGTTTGAAGCCTATGTCATTACCAGTCCTACTACCACCTACCTCGCCTTGGATCTAGATTACTATGGATCAATACAAAAGCGTCCAAGATCTACGATTTCCGACGGACGGCACGACTTGATCGGCAATTCCCCAGGACCGAAACAACGCTCCCCGCTCCAACGTCCAAGCCAAGTTGAAGTTGGACAATTCCAAAGCGACCTCACCTCTCGTATTAGACCGTTGCAGAGTCTGCGAAGGTAGGAATGTTGCGCGCCCGCAGAAAACAGGACGATAAGGGCTCCATCCGCGTCCGCGTCCATCCAGCGCTTGGCTTACATCTTTCACGGTCGAGACGTCTTCTGCGGAGTGTATCGCGATGCGCGGCGTATCGCCATCGCTACCGTGGTATCGCCGAAGCCTGGGCGCCCCTTTTGGGGTCCGCCGTGGTAGACCTCGGAGGGTGGAGGGCTGACGGGGACCTCGTCCACGCTCGTTCGCAGAGGTAGGTTTTGGCCTTTGCGCGGAAGCAATGGCTTCACTTTCGGCAAGCGCGGATAAGAGCGGTTCTCTCTTCCTGGGGTGATCGGCCTTCTTGGTAAGATTGGAGATCTGGGTTGCGAGTCGCCCGTAAGGGAGTTGTGGTTCTGGTTCTTTGCGCATCTGGCACCGTGGCCTAGAGGTCTTTGATGGCGAGGATGGCGAGGATGGCGCGAAGGGGAACCTTGGAACAGAAATCGGCTCGAGAGTTATGGTAGAGTAGGCGTCTTTTGTTCTCTGTGGGCTTCAGCCAAGGCCTTGGGCGGTGTTTGCGCGCGGAGGTGGCAGTGATGGAGATCTGTGGGACCGGATGAGGGCGAGACGATTGGGACCTTTTTCGTAGGGGTATGTAAGGGCGGGAAGAATGGATATATAGGAAAGAAGAGCCAGATCAGTGCTGGTAGACACCCAACCCGTTTGACTGTCGGGACTTCAGGGTGCAATTCCACTAGGAGAAAAGATGCCCCTCAGGGAAGTTCGTGATGCTTGCTGGATGCTGACACATCCATTGCAGCCTCAGGCCGTCCACACCTGTCAGACGCAAGCTACACCACGAACTGCACCTCCGAACTGCACGAACTGGTAACACATCACGGCTTTCATCTATCAGTCCACGAGACCCTTGCGTCCCACAATGATGGTCAATCTGGGGAATGGTTCTCTCGTGTAACTGGTCAATGGCAACCACTGGAGACTGATGTCTGGCCCAAGCCAAATTTCGACCCGCCTCCCCTCAAAGAGTCATTGTGCCGGTTCATTGGGCAGTGTTTTTTTGAATTATCCGCGAATAGAAGCGCTCTCGTCTGATCGCGTCTCGAGTCCTGTCGCCGGATTTGGAAGGGAAAGCCGAGCACGAGTCAGGCGCGGCCTACAGAATAGAAACTGCTGGTTCAAGCGGTTCTATCTGGATATGCCTCTCCACCCACACCAGGTTGGTTGGACTTGAATGTGGAAGATGCGCTGCCCCGTAAATAAAGGGGACTCAGCCCCCGCCATTCTAGACGCAATCGAGAACGACTTCCAAGGAGGCGTGGAGACGATATCGTGCGTCTTACTGGACCTTCGCATATAGAACTCTTGGATCTCTGAGATCTGAACCTGGGTAACGCAACACCGTGCTATTATTGACCATGAATAGGACAATCCTAACGGCGTCCAACGGCGTCCAACGGCGTCCTATTGATGGAAATCTCATTGCTGCCGTTGCTCAACCCCGTGTGTTCCAATTGAGGATGCTTCCACTGGTTCTGGCGTCACATGCCTGGGGTTGAGTGTCGAGTCAAAGGTTTGGCCGAAACTCTGATGGGGCCGATTGCGAGGTCGAAGGGTTCAAAAGCGCCGCCGTTCTTCTTCCTGGTCCGGTCGGTATAGACAGAGATCAATCTGTTCCAGCCCAGAGCACAATGTCCAACGAGTGCGCTGGAGCGATCCCTGCTGGTAAAGTTGAACCCTGACTCTCGCAAGAACGGCGCATACTGAACTCTTCAAAAGCATATGCAGCCCAGATCTTTGACGAAGCCAAGGTCCCCTATGTGCTCTGGGGTCATTGGGCCGTTGCTATGTTTGGAAGAAACAAGGCATTTCCGGTACCAGGCTTTCTGCGTCTTCCATATATCAATCAAAATCTAAGCTAACTCTGGATCAAGGACGTTGATTTCATCATCGCTGACGCTGAGGTAAGAAGTGTTTCGGAATCCTCCGGTGTCTCCTTTCCTAAGCATGTGTACAGCCCAATGCCGCCACAAAACCTCTCGATACTGCCATTGCCGCTTTATCCGCCAAAGGCATCCACCGATGCACAGATGCCAGCTGCCAGGAATGGACGTCCGATCGAGCGCCCCCGGTCACTGCCCCTGTTAATGTGAAAGACCCCATCGATTGGGAGGAGGTTGGACAAAACTTGGCAGACAATCGCCTTCACGCCGTCGGCGATGCACACTTCCACCTCGAGTCCACGTACACTTATTTCACCGTTTTGACACTCTACTCCCAGACTAGGATTCTCTGGTGGATGCCCAGACTAAGCTTGCAACCCGTGACTCCCACTGACCCCAACTTCATGCTTACCAACGACGTACGGCTCTTCCCCCCCGGACCACGAGGACCCACCGGCCCTTGGACAGAGCTCTACCCCGTCCGGATCCTGAGAATAAATAAACTAGCCGAGGCCATCATCCTGCTACGCATTCGCGACGGTCACCGGGGCGATGTTAACAGATGTTGGGAAAGGATGTGGCTGAATCTGCTGGGAGATACCCCCGCTGACGGACAACTCACGCCTCAAATGCTGAAATTGAGGGAAGAGATCAACCCGCGGTACAGAATTATCGTGGACCAGTTCTGTGGTCTGCCGACGGGGCGGACGGCCAGAATTGGCTTGATTTGGAAGGAGTTTCGCGACGAAATGCTTGAGACCGGAGAGATGGGGCGGATGCCGTCGCTGCATCCCAAGGATGTTATCCAGCGGATGGGAAAATATCTGCCCTGAAGTGGGATCCGTTCAGCGCTTTTTCCTGTCCACCTGGGTTGTGGGATTATGCTCATCGTCCGGCTTTTGGCCTCTCCCGTGTGTCTCTTTTGTGCTTTTTTGTTGTTTCCGGCGTTGATGTTGACTTTGTATGTCAGAGAGGGGGTGGGGGAAAGAGAGAGCCAGAAAGAGATGGAAAGAAAAAAAGAAAGGATGTCTGAGATTAGTTTCGATGGTCTGAAGCTCAAGTTTACGTGTGTTTTCATGATTTCTTCAAGCTGACGACGAATGTTCACCGTATGCATGCATGGCCGGCAAGGAACATAAACAGCCAGACAGCCAGACAAAGACCATGCAAACAAAGATCTTCAGCTTCTGTAGAGCGCAAAATCTTTTCTCTTTCCTTCCTCCCCCATGTCTCTTCTTCTCCTCTGTCTCTCACCAATTCCCATTTACTCTTTCGCTCCTACTACGAATCCCGTCCTACATCCCGAAAATCACCCGAACACCTACACAACCACCCAACATGAACATCCCTAGTGTCGATGACGTCCAGAGGGCTGCGCATGATGCGATAACGTCTTTAGCCTCTCGGCCAGCATTTCGCAACTACAAGGTCGCTGTAATAGGCGGCTTGGCTCAGGCATATCATATGCCCGACAACGACCGCATCCAGCCAACAGTCTGTCCCTCCTAATGTGTTTTTCTATACACACTGCAACAGGGAAACTGACAATCCTCTTCTTCTGCAGTGCGTTGAGTTATACCTAGACGCCCAAGACAGGTCAAGCACGTCGGCCAGTTTACAACGAGCATTGGCAGCCACCGATCTGTCCCGATACAGTTATACCTTCAACAGATGCCAGACCACCGCACAACCTCGCATCGAAATTAGAGTATTCCCTGCGCATCAGGTAGGTAGACTACCTTTGACTGCTGGTGACAGCGCTGACATTTGCCTCTTCCCATGAAGTTCGATTTTGTGCCCGAGGCCGCGGTGACGGTCCAAGCAGCCAACGGAAACGAATTGCCGTTCGTGACCAAGGAAGACCTGATAGTGCTCATGATGTCGCGAGCGGCAGCCGGTTCCCCGAATCAGCCCCTTCGCCGCTTGCAGGATGACGCTGCGTATCTGACGGATCTTGTTCGCGAGACTTGGAAGCGGCCCGGTCAAGCCCGGCTGCGCTTTAAGCATCTCCCGTTGACGGGAGATCACCTCCGTGTTTTCTCTGATTCGGTGGGGAGCTTTGTGGCCATCTCCGACAGTGAATGGGGGGTCGGGTATTGGTGGTACATCTGCGGTCCGTGCCCTTATTAGGGCTCGAGCTGGCGGTGGCCGTTCATGGACATAATGAGACGGACTGGGGTGAAGGGTCAGTTAACTATGTTCCAAGGTTAAGGGGTCAGCCTATCTAATTAGGGAATCTCTGATGGCTCTGAGTACAGGCCACCTTTTGTATGTACTTAAGGTGTTTGGGTTCAATCTACCACTGTCCTTCCGCAGTTTGACGCTTCCAATTAGTTCATCGGTCGACGGATACAGTGGAGGTTTAGCACGACGTTGCACAAGTATAATCCATCTGGCCGTCGGTCAGAGCCGGCGTTATGGGGGTATTCGAAGGTTTCATGGAAAATCTTACTGTGAGGCTAGTGTAAGAAAGTTCAGGGTTCGTGAATACCTAAATCTAGGGGCCTTGGAAGAAGCGGTCACCCTCTAACCTGCCCACGAACAATTATGCCCCCCTGCCCTGTAAACAACCACGGCCATGCAAAGTGACCTTCTAAACAAACACGCCTTCAACATGCGCAGACCAGGGATATCTCCAACGGCAGGGTTCAAGTATCGATGTACCAAATCTACCATATGAGCGACCTACAGCTGCCAAACTACAACGTGGGGACGCGGTCGTTCATTCAATAATCATACTCATCCACTGAAATCGAAAGAGCTTAGAGTAAGGGGTACGGTGATAGTATGTAGACTGATATTATTACGTCATGGTAACATGTTCACTTTTCTATATGGCTCCAAATCCTTAGCCTTACCACCGCTTACCGTGAGAGAGCGATGTCATCAATTCTCATAATCATCTTCACCGTCTCCGCCGCGAGCTCGATTGCACTGGTGCTGACCAGCAGAGGCTGCAGGATGTTCTCGTCGGTGATGTCGTCTTTCACGCCGCCGCTGCGGATGGACACTCCGGCGTTCTGCTGGCCCTGGGCGTGGCGGTGTCGCAGGTCAGTGACGACCTTGATGGAGTTAAGGCCGGCGTTCTCGGCGAGCGTGGTGGGGATGACCTCCATGGCCTCAGCGAACGCCTTCCAGCAGATGGACTCTGTGCCGGTGAGCTCACGAGCGCGCTTGGCGAGGGTATTGGCGACTTCGATTTCGGGGGCACCGCCACCGGCGATGAGGGCGCGCTTCTTCACCAGGCAGCGGATGACGCACAGGGCATCGTGGAGGGAACGCTCGGCTTCGTCGAGGATGAGGTTGTTGGCGCCGCGGGCGACAATGGAAACGGTCTGGTTGACCGAGGTGGCGGGGGCCTTGATGCCGGTGATCTTGACGTAGCGAGCACCGGATGACTGGACCTCCTCTACGAGGTCGGCGGTACCGAGCTTGTCTTCGGTGAAAGATTCGACGTTGGCGACGGGCTTGCAGCCCAAGCTCTTGCAGAGGAACTCGACCTCGTCGCGTTCAATGTCCTTGATGGCGAGGATCTTGAGTCGGGAAAGGAAGTGGAGAGAAAGGTCGTTGACGGCATCACGGAGGATGGACTTTTGGATCAGAAGAACGTTGCACTTTGTCTTCTGGATCTTCTTGACCATGTTGAGCAGGTATTGGCGCTCTTCCTTCAGGATCTTGTCCATCTGGCGGTAGTCGTTGACGACGATCTGGTTCTCCATCTGCAAACAGTCAGTACCCGTCCTCTACTTTCTAACGTCGATACATACATCAGGCTTGGGCGGGCTGAGCTGGAACTGGATCAGACCTATCCGGGCCTTCTCAATTCTTGTGGGTCCACCGCTGCTCTTGATAACGCCCTGGTTCAGGACGAGGCCGTCAACCATCTCACTGTCCTCAATCGTCCCGCCGACCTTCTTAACGATACGGATATTCCTGAGATCCACGTTCTCCGCCGTCTTGGGGTCGACCACCTTCAACACCGAGTCGACGGCCATCGGTCCGAGGAGGCTGGAGTGCTGTGAGACGATCTTCGAGGAAAGCGAGGTAGACGCGGCTTGCAGGAGGGTGGAGCGGTCCATCAGGTTGATCGGCCGCGACATGTTGTGAAGGATCTCGACAGCGGCGGCGGCGGCTCTCTGGAACGACTCGGATATCACAGTAGGGTGAATACCCTTTCCAAGCAGGCGCTCGGCCGCACCCAGCAAGCTTCCGGCAATGACGACGACTGATGTTGTTCCATCTCCAGCCTCAACATCCTGGGCCGCACTCAGGTCGACGAGCATTCGGGCGGCGGGGTGCATCACGCTCATATCCCTCAACATCGTGTTTCCGTCGTTGGTCTGCGGGGGAGGTTAGCGGTATACTTCGGAGGTTATGCAGGTATTCGTACGATGATGGTGTTTCCCTTGGGTGTTTGGATCTAAAGATACGTTAGCTCTTGACCACCAAAAGGACCAATATGCCTACCATTTTGTCCATTCCCCTGGGACCCAGTGACTGGATAACAAATTAGCCCCTCACCCTGACATTTCCACTGCATGCATACCGTTCGGATTGCATCGGCGACAGCTGTATTCCATTAGCATCACGGTTCACTCGATATCAAAGCGTAACGCACCTCTGGCAGCGAGAATGTTAGACTGCCGCACGGCCATGGGCTTCTCCTTGTCCTGCAAGATATCAGATTCGGCCCACAGTAAATTCCCCTCCGCATCGACGAACCTTGAAGGAGGTGCTGCTGGGAGCAGCAGTAGCAGCAGTAGCCATGATGTATGAAGCTCGATGTAAGCACCGTAACCTATAGAAACAGTAAAAGGAGAAGGGTTGGTCGGGACAGGAGGTCAAGTTTGGTCCAGAGCGGCTCTCGAAATTCTTCCAGGCTGCGGGTTTGCACTTTGGGCGGTGTTGCTCTCTGGGGCTTGGCGGCCACTAGCGTCCAGAGCTCAAGCTGGCCGGCAGTCAGAACAACAGCTCTCGACATCGCCTCTACCCCAACTTTCACCCCATTCATCTCGCTTCTTTCATCTCTCTCCTTACGCACCCTCTACCTACCGATACCTGTATATTCTCTCAGCTCCGATCGTTGATTCCGCCTCACCCGCCTCTCGCCACAACCTTTCACCATGCCTTCCGCCACGGGAGCGAACTGGGAGAAGTACAAGAAGAACTTTGCCGATGACGAAGAACCTGAGAAGAAGATCACTCCTCTTACAGATGAGTATGTCGCTTGATGGCTCCCTATCTTCCGACGCGGTGGTTGCGTGCTTCGATGTCGGTTGCTGACAGGCGCAGGGACATTGCAGTACTCAAGACCTACGGCGCGGCTCCGTACGCAAACGCATTAAAGAAGCTAGAGAAACAGATCAAGGATCGACAAGCGAGCGTGAATGAGAAGATTGGCGTCAAGGTACTTCGGCTTGAGATCGGCTCTCAGGATAGAAGCTGACGTGCTTAGGAATCCGACACCGGTCTCGCACCTCCACATTTATGGGACGTTGCCGCGGATAGGCAACGCATGGCGGAGGAGCAGCCACTGCAGGTGGCTCGTTGCACAAAGATCATTCAGGATGAGAAGGACGCGGACAAGAGCAAATATGTCATCAACGTCAAGCAGATCGCCAAGTTCGTCGTCAACCTGGGGGAGCGAGTGAGTCCTACAGATATCGAAGAGGGCATGAGAGTTGGGTATGTTCGCGCTTTACAAAAAAGCTAGCTCACTACTGACTGGTGTAGTGTCGACCGAAACAAGTATCAGATCATGCTGCCGCTCCCACCCAAGATCGATCCCAGCGTTACGATGATGACGGTCGAAGATAAGCCGGATGTTACATACGGGGATGTTGGAGGCTGCAAGGAGCAGATCGAGAAGCTACGAGAAGTTGTTGAGATGCCACTATTGTCGCCCGAACGTTTCGTCAACCTCGGTATCGACCCGCCCAAGGGAGCTCTGCTCTACGGACCCCCCGGAACCGGAAAGACTCTCTGCGCGCGAGCCGTCGCCAACCGAACCGACGCGACGTTCATCCGTGTCATCGGTAGTGAGCTTGTCCAGAAGTATGTTGGTGAGGGTGCCCGGATGGTCCGCGAGCTGTTCGAGATGGCCCGAACCAAGAAGGCGTGCATCATCTTCTTCGACGAAATTGACGCCGTCGGTGGTGCCCGTTTCGACGACGGAGCAGGCGGTGACAATGAAGTTCAGCGTACTATGCTTGAACTAATCACGCAGCTTGACGGTTTCGATGCCCGAGGAAACATCAAGGTCATGTTCGCTACCAACCGACCGTCAACGCTCGACCCCGCCCTGATGCGTCCCGGACGTATCGACCGTAAGATCGAGTTCTCTCTCCCTGACGTTGAAGGCCGTGCCAACATTCTCCGCATCCACGCCAAGAGCATGTCCGTGGAGCGCGATATCCGATGGGAGCTCATCTCTCGACTTTGCCCCAACGCGACCGGTGCAGAGCTTCGAAGTGTCGCGACAGAGGCCGGCATGTTTGCCATCCGTGCCCGACGGAAGGTTGCCACGGAGAAGGACTTCTTGGCCGCTGTGGACAAGGTGATCAAGGGCAACCTGAAGTTCAACTCGACGGCTACATACATGCAATATAACTAGACATGCTTGCGAGCTTACATTGCATGGTTTGATGTGTATGATCATTAGCTAGGTCGGTCCATAATGATTCAAATTACTTTTGATGGCATGTGCAGATTCGTAGATAGAGGCCTTATAGCCTTCTCGGCTGTCAACTTCCGAAACCATACCACACGACTGCGCGGCTCGTCTCGGCCTGTCAAGACTCAAGACCCTGATACAGCACGCACCATAGTGTAGAGAGCAACTATCCTAAAACCTCACCGAAATAAGCAAATATCAACCCCATAACCCCATACCTAGCCCCGGAATCCCTCCTATAGAACTTACCCGGAAGAGCAGCACAATCCACGTGCCTCCGGTCGCACACCCAATAAAATGCTCCCGGCTGCCCGAGGTGATTACCACTGCACGGGACATGATTGGCCGCTTCGGCCCCGGTCCTCTCCGTCGGCAAGTGAAATGCCTTGATTATGTCAGCCGGGCTGCCGCTCTTCGCGGATCGGTAGTAGCTTTGCAAGTTCCAGTTGCAACTCTAGCAATCAATCCCTCCAGTTGTTGCTGCTGCGCTGCCTGCTTGATACCTCCCCTCCCTCAAGCCAAGCATCTCTTCTTTGTTGTTCATTCTAGGGAAGGTTTCTTTGTGCGCGTCTGTCATCATGAGCTCCCTGGGCTTGCGGAGCTTGGCTCCCGCCTCCAAGGTTGGTGGTCTTGACTTCCACTCAATTTGGGATCCGAGGTTGTGATGGTTGCTAATGGGTTTGTTGTGAATAGATCTCCCGTGCGTTGAGGGATCAGAGACGTCTATTTTCTTCCTCCCGGCCTGCAGGTACGCATTGACAATTGCCGACGTTAGGGAAAGAAGGAAATAATTGCGGTTGCTAACCCGCCTGTCCTGCGCAGCCCGCATCTTCGGCAGCAACCCTCTGCGCGCTAAGGCCGCTGAAGGCTACATCTCAGACAAATACCCGGTCATTGTAAGCAATTGGATTCTTGGAAGGTTATGCTTGGCGGTCAGGCAGTTCTGACAATGGTCGTTAGGACCACGAGTACGATGCCGTCGTTGTCGGTGCCGGTGGTGCTGGTCTCCGTGCTGCGTTCGGTCTCGCGGAAGCTGGATTCAACACTGCCTGTGTTTCGAAGCTGTTCCCTACACGATCTCACACCGTTGCTGCTCAGGGTGGTATCAACGCTGCTCTTGGCAAGTAGGTTTTTCACTCTTGACACGATTTTTATCGCATGCGCTTATACCTTGACAGCATGCACCCCGATGACTGGAGGTGGCACATGTACGATACCGTCAAGGGTTCCGATTGGCTTGGTGACCAGGATGCTATTCACTACATGACGAGAGAGGCCCCCGCCAGTGTCCGTGAGCTCGAGGGCTACGGCTGCCCCTTCTCCCGTACCGAGGACGGTCTTATCTACCAGCGTGCGTTCGGTGGTCAGTCCAAGGAGTTCGGCAAGGGAGGACAGGCCTACCGATGCTGCGCCGTCGCCGATCGTACCGGTCACGCTCTCCTGCACACTCTCTACGGACAGTCTCTGCGCCACAACACGAACTACTTCATTGAGTACTTCGCCATGGACCTGCTGATGGAGAACGGCGAGTGCCGCGGTATCATCGCCTACAACCAGGAGGACGGAACCCTCCACCGTTTCAAGGCCCACCACACCGTTCTGGCTACCGGTGGTTACGGCCGTGCCTACTTCAGTTGTACCTCTGCCCACACCTGTACCGGTGACGGTATGGCCATGGTTGCCCGTGCTGGTCTCCCCAACCAGGATCTGGAGTTCGTCCAGTTCCACCCCACTGGTATCTACGGTGCCGGATGTCTGATCACAGAGGGTGCCCGTGGTGAGGGTGGTTACCTGCTCAACTCCGAGGGTGAGCGTTTCATGGAGCGTTACGCCCCTACCGCCAAGGATCTGGCCTCCCGTGACGTTGTCTCCCGTTCCATGACCATGGAGATCCGCGAGGGCCGCGGTGTCGGTCCCGAGAAGGACCACATCTACCTCCAGCTGAGCCACTTGCCCGCTGAGCTCCTCCACGAGCGTCTCCCCGGTATCTCCGAGACCGCCTCCATCTTCTCCGGTGTCGATGTCACCAAGCAGCCCATCCCCGTCCTGCCCACCGTCCACTACAACATGGGTGGTATCCCCACCAAGTTCTCCGGAGAGGTCCTGACTCAGGACGAGAACGGCAACGACAAGGTCGTCCCCGGTCTGTACGCCTGCGGTGAAGCCGCCTGTGTCTCCGTCCACGGTGCCAACCGTCTCGGAGCCAACTCCCTCCTCGATCTCGTCGTCTTCGGCCGTGCCGTCTCCCACCGCGTCAAGGAGATCGCCTCCCCCGGCAAGCCCCACGCCGAGCTGGCCTCCGACGCCGGTGCCGAGTCCATCAAGGACCTCGACTTCGTCCGCACCGCCGAGGGCCCCAAGTCTACCTTCGACATCCGCAACGCCATGCAGAAGACCATGCAGACGGACGTCTCTGTCTTCCGTACCCAGGAGAGTCTGGACGAGGGTGTTGAGAAGATCACCAAGGTCGACCAGATGTTCGACCAGGTCGGTACCAAGGACCGCAGCATGATCTGGAACTCCGACCTCGTCGAGACCCTTGAGCTCCGTAACCTTCTGACATGCGCGTAAGTATCTTCTTTCAAGGTGAAACAGATGAGAAACTAACGACTATTATAGCTCTCAAACCGCCGTTGCCGCCGCCAACCGCAAGGAGTCCCGTGGCGCCCACGCCCGTGAGGACTACCCCGAGCGTGACGACGAGAACTGGATGAAGCACACCCTTACATGGCAGAAGAACCCCCACGGCAAGGTCGACATCGGATACCGCAGCGTCGTGCACAACACCCTCGACGAGAACGAGTGCAAGCCCGTTCCTCCCTTCAAGCGTGTCTACTAAGCGCGTCTTGCCCATTGTATTTGACTTGTCCGCCAGATCCAGCGCAGCATCAGTGCTTATAGATGGATCCGTCTAGCTGTTTCTTGGAGGCCTACAGTTGGAGAAGCCTTTCGACTCGGTGAGGGAAGAGTCATGAAAATTCGACCATGTTGGTTTCCTTTGTCTTCATATTGTGTATATCCATTGTTATTTCCTTCAAGGCGATGAGTTGGGAGTCACTCACGTTCTATTGTTTTTTTATAGCCATCTGTTAGCTTATACAACCGGAGTTTTTCTTTGCTGAGTTCGTCGACATCGTATATCGATTGGCTCGAGAACATGTTCCAAGATCCGCAAGAACTGCTATCCTATCCTTTTCCAAGCCGAGATCAAAGAATAGAGCGGAGCTCTATTTTGAGCCTCCGGCTGCCGCATGGAATGAAACGTGTGAGCCACGCGGTCCTTTGTCGAGCATCAGACAAAGAAGCCCGGCCACGCCTGCTCGTTTCTGAAGAGAAACAAACCGAGAGCTGGGACAAGCCACTCGAGGTCATGCTAGCATGGCTAAGCTCGGCGCCCGTAAGAGGATAAGGTCGTGACTCTCAGATCCATTCCAGACTTCCGATCGAGTCCTTCGCTGACCACAAAGGCCTCGGCCTCGCTGAGACAGATGGCCCTCGTGCTTAAAATATCCTCAAAGGCTGTCGCCAGAGCTCGTGATTGACTCGTCCACGAGCCACGGCGTCCGGTCTTCCATGGGACACTGGATGAAACAGCTAGGCGTGCTTGGGGGTGGCATACCTGAATCCCATATGTCCCAGCAAGCCCTCTGCCTCTTTTCATAGAGTGGCATAGCTTTCTTGTTTCCTTCTCTTCTGCTTTTTCTTGCATATTCCAATAATATACTCGATATTTGAGCTGGCCTCATGCGTTGAACACTTTCAGTTGACTTGCATTTCTTAGCCTGCTTTGAAGATATCGCATTTGCATGAGATGGACAGTACAAAGTGCTCGAAGGATACGACTTCATGCCCAGATGGTAGTAAGAAGGGGCAGACATCAACGAGGACGATGACTGAAAAAGTTTCGGTCGAAACATCAACGAAGGCGATAACTGAATCAATTTCGACCAAAACGTCAACGAAGGTGATGACTGAATCAGTCTCGACCAAAAGGTCAACGACGACGGCGGTTCCGACGACATCGACGACATCAAGAGCAAAGTCAGCGACGGCCACGAAGACGCCAGAGGCAACAATAACAACAGACGCTGAGGCCGCAATAACGACAGACGCTGCGGCAGCAACGACACACAGTACTACAGCTGCTGCTTCCAGTGCCACCACGAGCATCGCGCCCAGCAAAGTACTGTCCGAAGTCGAGGCGCAACCTACCTCTGCCACCGTCACTTCCTCACACAAAGGTTTGAGCGGCGGAGCAATTGGAGGCATCGTCGGCGGCGTTGTTAGCCTGGTGCTGATCCTCTGCCTCGTCGCCTTCCTGTTGCGCCGCTTGAGGAAGAAACGGGGGAAGAAAGTCAGGAGGTTCACTCTTCTTCGCTGGCGACATCCTACCCTTGACGATGCGCAAAGCGCCGAGGAAGGTACAGCCAGCACGGCGCACCTTCAACCCCAGACCACCGCAGTCAACCCGGCCTTAACAGTTCCCACTATCGTAACCGGTCCCCTGAACACTCAGCCAACGGGCATCACTGGAGAAAAGTCCCCGGCCATCTCGCCTCTCCAACGGCAGCAAGCAGACTCACCACGATCCATCCCATCAGCATCAGCATCAGCCATCATCCCGTCCCCCCTCACGCCATACTCCGCCATAAGCCCCAAGACGACGCGGAACTCCATGCTCAAGCTCAACTTCCGCCCGCCCAGCGGCATCCACCCAGCCCTCCGCCCAGGTGACCCAGAGCACGCCTACAACCCATTATCATACTGGCCCTCGTTCTGCACACCGAATACCAGCAGACGGAACAGCCCGACTACATCCCCGCTCCGCCACTCGCCCGCAACCCACGAGCTCTTCGACACGGGCTTCCGCCTCGGCCGCCTCGAGCTGCCCAGCACCTGCTCCCGCGAGCTCATCAACGTCCCCTTCCGAGACCGGCAACGCCAGCGCCAAAAGAGCCAGCTGCACCGCGGCGCCCCGTTACCCCTCTCCATCACAACGCCTGACGGCGCCGTCCTCTCATCGAACTTCAATGGTCTCGCCGTTGATCCGAACAGCGGCTTGATGGCTTGCGATGAGGAGGCCGAGGTGACTGCAGGCGAGACGGAGATGGCGCCGGTGCCGGTGCCGGAGGCAAGACTCCAGATGAAGCCAGCCTGCAAGAAGCGGAGGCAGAAGAAAAAGCTGCTGCCCTTGTTGCCGCCGCTGCCTTTGCCGCCGTCGCCGTCGCATCCGCCGTTGACGGCGTCGTCGTTGGGGTCGATTCCGGCGTCGCCGACGCCGTCGTATCGGTCTGAGTTTAGGAGGGGGTCTAGGGAGGTGGCGGAGAAGGTGAGGGAGAAGTTTAGGAGGAAGGCGTGAGATTGTCAGATGGTGTTGTGCGCCTTGCCGGGCTGGGTGAGAGTTGATTTGGTTCAATTGGGTGTTGATGAGACGGTTGGTTGAGTAATGTGTCAAGTTGAGGGGAAGAAGATGAAGAAGATGGTCTGGACTGACACTCACTGATGATTCTCACCGCAGGCCGGTGAAGCGAGCATGGAACCCCTCATTAGGTCCTTCGTTTTGGCCATTGATACCTACATTTGCTTTTCTTACGCGTTTGCTCACGCACCTGTTCCTTACATAGAATCATATAGACCCGGGCTGCCAGGCCGGCCTACTGTTACACGTCGTATCTCTCTTGTATTTCGATCAGGATAGTCAAGATGCCAACCCTTCAATGCATTAAAATACGAAATACTCGATGACTAGATAATCTCCATAATCACGCTACTATTTTGTACCCCTAACCCAACCTTGATCCAACAATGCCCGTGATAGAATACAACTCACAGAATACCCTTCAGCACAGCCGTCTGCTCCAGAACAGCCCTCTTAGAGCACCCCCCAATCGCATCCTTCAGCTCAACAGCCCGCTCATAATCCAAACACTCCTGGATATCATCGCCGAACCTGCTATCCACACCCTTCAGCTGCTCAAGCGTCAGCTTGTCCATGGGCACACCGTGCTTCTCAGCGAGCTGCACGACGCGCCCGGAGATGTGGTGGCCCTCGCGGAAAGGCACGCCCTTGCGGACGAGGTAGTCGGCGAACTCGGTGGCCAGCATCTCGGGGGCCAGGGCGGCGACCATCTTCTCGGGGATGGTCGTGAGGGTTGAGAGCACGCCCGTGGCGATCTGGATGCTGTCGCCGACGGTCTTGATGTGGTCGAGCAGCGGCTCGACGCTCTCCTGCAGGTCCTTGTTGTAGGTTGTCGGGAGGCCCTTGATGGTGCACATGAGGCCGGCCATGTGGCCGAAGGCGCGGCCGGCTTTGCCGCGGAGGAGCTCGAGGCTGTCTGTGGGCTGTTTGTTAGAACGTTGCCATTTGGAAAGGTGGGGGGGGGCACGCACCGGCGTTCTTCTTCTGAGGCATCAACGACGACCCGGTCGAGTAGGCGTCGGACAGACGGACGAACCCGAACTCCAGCGAAGAGTAGATGATCAGGTCCTCGGCCCAGCGGGAGATCTTGAGCATGAACGAGCTCCCCCACTGCATCGTCTCCATCGCAAAGTCACGGTCGCCGACGGCGTTCATCGAGTTGTACAGGAGCCCCTCGAAGCCCAGCTCCTTGGCCATGGACTCGCGGTCGATCTGGAAGGGGTTCCCGGCGAGCGCACCGGTGCCGAGCGGGGAGCGGTTCACGCGCTTCGTGACCTCCCGCAGACGCTTCAGCTCGTCGGCGAACGCGGTCGCGTGGGACAGGAGCCAGTGGGCCCAGCGGACGGGCTGGGCCTTCTGCAGGTGTGTGTAGCCGGGCATGAGGTAGTCGATTTCGGACTCGGCGCGGGCGATGGAGACCTTGATGAGGTCGCACAGGAAGGCGTCGAGTTTGCGGAGTTCATCGCGCAGCCAGAGGCGGAGGTCGGTTGCGATCTGCTCGTTGCGGGAGCGGCCCGTGTGCAGCTTGCCGCCGATCTCCTTGCCGATGATCTCGGAGAGGCGGCGCTCGTTCGCGGTGTGGATGTCCTCGTCGTTGGGCTTGACGGCGAAGGAGTTGCTGCTCCATTCCTCGGCGATCTGCTTGAAGCCGCGCTCGATCTCGGAGAACTCGTGGGCGGAGAGGATGCCGGACTTTGTGTTGGCGCGGGCGAAGGCGATCGAGCCGGCGATGTCTTGCTTCCACAGGATGCGGTCGTAGGGGAGGGACTCGTTGTACTGGACCATGAGGGGGTCGAGGCCCTCTGTGGTTGCTTGGTTAGCTTCGGGTCTTGAGCTCGCGGGGGGATCTTGAGGGGTTGTACGCACGGGTGAATCGACCTCCCCACAGCATGTTCTCGGCGACTTTAGGGGCGCTCATTGTGAAGCAATTGAGGAGTGTCCGGGAGGGATTGACACAAAATCAGGGCTCTGGTGGTGCTGCAAGAAGGAGTCGCGATAAATCGAAAATGAATCATTTGGTGCGGTGATGGCGCTAGCCGCTTTGGGATGACTCATACCGTCGATCATTGTCTGGGATAACAGCATGGCATGTATGGATTCTAGCAGACTAAAAGAAGAGACGAGGTCAGTGCTTGAGCTCTCTGATATGGCAGCGTGTATGTCATTTCAGAAAGCACCTGAATGTATAACTTCAAGCTCTTCCGCTTAGCAAGATCATGGCCAAAGTATACCATGTAGACTCCGTTATCGGCCTTCCCTGCCCACAGAGGCAGCTATCACAACATGGCAGCAAAGAAGCTGATTCAACCTTCATGGAGACGATGACTGCCCGACAAAAGTGCTCAGCACCATACGCGGCGGCCCTGAAGCGAGTTCATATCTAATTACTCCCAATCCAAGCTTGAGTAATCTACTAGCAAGCGCAAAGACTTAAATCCGCCCTATGGTAGACCATGATAGATTGTATTGAATAGTCACTGTGGTGTTTATTTTATAAATGCAAAAATCAAGCCTAAATCAATAACCAGCTTCAGTGGTCCAACGGTAGGATCTTCGCCTTCCAAGCGAATGGCCCGGGTTCGACTCCCGGCTGATGCATTTCTTTTTCCATCTTACATTTTTTGTCCAGTTGAACTTTGCTCCTTCATCTTTTTTTTTGTCTTGCGAAGACAACGGTCCTTCTGTAGCCACGCTACAAGGAAGTAAGGGGTCAACACCTTAAGGTTGTCTGTATGGTAACTATGGTTATGGAACTGTTTGCGTGTTGCCATAAGGTTATGCGATTACCATGGTCGTTGATAGGAGACACCCAGTGCACGAGAATCGGCATCAAGCATTCGATTTGCTCGCGTCCGCTTGGTTCAATATGAAAGCATTCCGATCCAGGGGACGGGAGGTTTGGTTCTAGAATCACTGTCGAAGTTTTATAATAACGGAGTTGAATCTATTTAAATGTTCCGAGCAAAGGCCAAGATATATATCGCCATTATCCTGTGTGTATACGAAAACAAGGAACCATACTTTGCGAGGCCTAGGCCAGTCTGCCTTAGCAAACCCTTACGCGAGATTATCAACCCATGAATCAAAATGATAAATTATGTCCGCTGCCCTATCCAGGAATGTGGTGCAGTATGATACAAAAGCAATAACAAATATTTTCGCACGAGAAGATAGCTGGTAAACATTCGCCTGCCATAGAAAGAAAAGTCGTAACACGTTGATCAAGATGGTCCACCGCCGGGGTTTCTGTCCTAACCACTGAATGTGACGAGTTAGAGACCGCCAGGGCCGGACATGGGGTTGAACCCGTAAGTGTGCATGTCGTTGTAGACATCGAGGAGGAAACCGGCCGAGTCATCTTCCGACTGAGGCTGCTGGATTTCGCCGTAGTTCAGAGGTTGTGTTGGTATGGTGAACTCGGGATAGCCAAAGTCGTTGAACATGGTTTGGTTGTTGATGAAATCGGTGTACTCCATGTCTCCGCCAGGGAACAACAAGCCGTCATTGGCCTTCATCTCTGGGAAAATATCCTGAATTGAGAAGGCAGTGTTTTCTTGCGCCAGATCGAACGGTTCAGAAGGCGAGTTTATGGTTCCGGTGGTGGGGGTGACGGCGTCCAAGGTTCCCGACACTGAGCCAGGCATTGTACTCATGGGGTGTTGGAAGGCGTTGAATGAGAACTCAGGAGTCTCTGGAGTGGGAGCAAGTTCCCAGCCAACGGACTCTTGCTTGTACTCAGGCGCTTCAGAAGGAGGGGTCATGCTCCAAACCGAAGGGGCCTGCTTAGGTGGGACAGAGCTGCTGCTGGATGGCGAAGCGCCGTGTTGAGGGGATGGCTGCTTGTTGCCCCGGCCGTTGTTTTTGGATCGCATGTACACCCAGCCGTGGGTCTTCTCCATGTGCTGCTTGCAGTTGCTCTCTCTCTTGGACTTGTAAGAGCAAGACTCGAACTGGCAAGCGTACAGGCGCGGTGCCTCGGAGTGCTTGTCATTGTAGTGACGCTCCGCTTCTTTCTCGGTAGCCCATCCCTTGGTGTGGTACTTGCAGGAACTGACAGGGCACTTGAAGGGGCGGCTGTGAGACTTCTCGTGCTTCGTCAAGTCGCACGGCCGGGCAAAAACCTTGTCACAGTCTTTGCACTTCTTGTTGATGTTCATGGGAGGCGCATTCTTCTTGCGACGGGCCATGGAACGCTGGACGCCTTCGTCGGCAGACGCCGCGCTCAGCGAGCGCTTCATCGAAGGGATAACTTGACCTTCATAGGGCTCTCCGGTCCGCAGAGAGATGGCCTCGCCATCTTGCTCAACGACCATTTCAAGGAGACGCCCGGTCTGGGAGAGTCCACCCTCGAGTCTGAGTTCAGGAGCCCTATGGTGGACGGTTAGCATCCGCTTGAGAACCACGCAATAGGCATTCACATACTTCACTTTGCCATCGGCCTCGTGCCTCCGTTTCCATTCGTCACGAATACGCTTGAATTGCGAAACCTGTTCCAAAAGATCGACGAAATAACCGTTGTTGTACTGCTTATCGGTTGGCAAGCACAAGTCTCGGCCACCAAGGGAGGAGGCCGTCTGGCTGAGGCATAGAATGGTGTACTGGCAAAAACGAACATAGGCAGCATCATGAGTCTTCACATCCGGCGCGAGAGAGAACACGGTCTTCTCGAGGTCACGCAAGCAGGAGATGCGTTCATCTTCAATCTGCTGACGGACGTCTTCAAGAATAGGGTGGAAGGACTTGAGCCTCTCGTCCTCGAGAATGGGGCCGATGATGTGCTTCTCAATCTCTGTGCGGCCTTCAGAGCTGAGTTTGTGCCGCCGAGCGTTTTCAGCTTCCATGGCACTGATTGAGCGGGTGATGGCAGACTGAGAGCGAGATGGTGCGAGGTTGCTTCCTCTAGAGAGCTGGCCTGCTTTCACTGAGAGATTGTTAGCCGCGAAAACAAAGACAGCCGGCCATGACCATATATATACCTTTGTTGGACGAGACTGACTGAGCACTGCTGATAGAGGAGCCGAGTCCACTATCAGAGGCCTGACAATGGGCCCTCTGAGCCTTCCGAGATTGTTCCTTGGGCATCGGGCTGGGTTGACGCGAGCGCGGTTCAACGGGGCCCTCTCTCCGTGCTTGAGATTTGAGGTGAAGCCGGAGTAGACCCTTGGGGACGGGGAGATCGTCGTTGTCATCGGAGGTGGTCGAGTTCAAGTCAAGGCGTTCCAAGATGTCGGTCATACGCCGTTGTCCAGCGGCGATAGCTTCCAGAGCGCCAGGGCATGTGGGAGATCGGCGAGGCAGCGAGGGTACAAGAGGGTCACGGTCGGCTTTGCGAAGGATGGCTGGATTGAAGGTTTCACCTTTGCGAAGGCGGAGTGGAGGCAGTGAGGGTGATTGCTCTTCGGCTGGGAGGAGAGAGGGCCGGACTGCCCTGAAGGGCCGGCGCCTCGGGTGGACTCTTATAGAGCCCTGGTCTTGTGCTGAGCTCATTGTGGATGGTCCTGAGGGCACCGAAAAGGCGTTAGCAAGGGCACGCCCTGCACATGGGTGCACATAAATGACTCACGGACTGTGACCGAATCCAAGGGAAGCTTCTAATTGAACGAGAGTGGTGCAGCCAGTCAACGGAGGGCAGGACTGCCGACTGGACGATAATTAGACTGGGAATGGGAGAGAGGCGGGAATAGATCGATGGTTTTTAGGTGTACGATGTCGAGAAAGTGTTGAGATACATACTGATGTCGAAGTGGCCTAAAGCAGATGACGCCCTGAGCGCTGACGAGAGAACAGGGGAACCACCGGAGGAAAGAGAAAGTGGGGAGGTAAATTCGATATCTATGAATATAAAATGGCTGGAACCTAGAGGGGCCACACAGCACACGAGTCTGGAGAGCTGTGAACGATGGAGACTTTGGGCGACAAGAAGGGATGGGATGGGATGGGATGAGATCAGGGTCGGGGAGTGCTGCCTTCTTGATGATGGATTGAGGCTGAGGCGTCTTGGACGTCTGCCTGATAGACGAGCGGCGCTAGGCCAGAACGGGAATGGCCGCGCGGAAAGGGGCTGTATTGTCCGATACAGCGCTGGACTCCGGGGCTGTGCCTTTACCTCGGATATAAGGTAACTTCTGCTCGATTACCCCGGCCATACACGGATACAGCGTTCCTCCGAGACGGATACGTTTTCCTCGTATTCGGAGCCCCGCAATACTCTCGTCCGGCCAATGACCTGCTTACCTATGAAAACACTTCAAGCGGACCGCGGTAACAAAATCGTCCGAAAATAGCAAACCAGCCCAGTTGACGGCTTTTCTCCGGCTCAGCGATCGCCATCGATCCAACAGCAACTCCACCACCATGGCTGTGTTCGAGACCTCTCCGTCAATAAAAGGACCCCTACTCTGCCGAGTCGTGCAATGGCAGTCACGAATAACCCTTTGCGATAATGGACTGTTGGTTGGATGGCAATGTACTCCGTGCTTAGGTGCATGGGGTGACAACTGACAGTGACGAGATGACGGGCGATTTCGAAGCCGACGTCAGACTACGTAACCGCTTCAGCCCCAACAGTCGATATTGATGGCGCAGTGTTTCTATTGGCCGAGACGGCGCGCCAACACCCTCGAGACCGCATATCGAATGGAATCTCTTTTGATCAGATTCGTGTTGCCTGAACATGCCGCAGAATGATGGCCGCTCCCAAACGTCGCTCAGGCCTCAGCGATTCAGCCGCTATTGTGCCACGACTCCGCTATCTTCATTTGTGAGAATTGAAATGGTTCCCAGTTGCCAAGCTGTCTCACTGCAGGCATTACGGAGCCTCTGAAGATCATCGTCTGCAGCGGTGGCATAGCTAGACCGACCCTAGCGTTCTGGCTCGCCCGTGGCGGCCATGGGGTCGTCAATGTCGAGCGCTTTTCGACTCTTCGAGCCTCCGGGGCGCAGATCGATTTTCGCGGACAGGGATTTGAGGTCGTCACGCGGATGGGGTTCTTGGATACTGTATGGAACACATTCGTTGATGAGGTAGGGATGTCAATTCGTGGACTCTGGCGGCAATGCCATCCGGACTCCACGGCCAACTACACATATACTCCACGATACTCCCCAGGCCGATGTCGAGGATGTCTTTCGCAAACCCGTCGAGAGTTACAAGAATGATGACCGGCAGTTCCCGGACGGTCGTTTGTTACGTTACGATCTCATGGGATCAAATGGAGTCATGGACAGAGCCGGCGCATTCGAAAAGACATTCACCCAGTTGGCTCGGGCCGTTATTGTAACGAGATGCGGTCCTGGCTCACTGGCGAGTCTTGGTTACAGAGGCGGGTATAAGGCTTGGAGGATATTGTTTTGAGCTCGAAAGATCGTGCGGAGACGTCGCAGATCAACAAGAACACATGTCATATCTGTGCTACGCGGCAATGAATTGACACACAAGAAGTATACCCCGAGCTTCACAGAGGTTGGAAACTCTCTGCGGCCCTTTGTTGAGTCAAGCAGAATCCCGATCTAGACTCATCTCTCAGACCCAATTTTGAAATCCTGGAGTGATGATCCAGGCGGCTCGAGCTGTCGGAGAGCTTCTGTAACTGCTTGAATTAACATTGCTACTAGCTCTTTCCATAATAATACCGTTCTAACCGGCCAGAGGTCAAGACACAAAGTGCAAGCCAACGCTAGTCAAGCCATACGAGGATTAGACCGAAAATGTGACCACGACTTCTCTTCGGATTGGCCAGCAAGTGAGCCTCATCCGCGAAGCTCTAAACAGTTAGTCGTAGTCGAGCTCGGACTCGGACAGTTTCCAGATGCCCGAGAGTCCTAGACCGCTCGAAAGCAGCCACTAACCAATGAGGACCCTGGTGGAGGCTCCCCGAGTCGGTGACTTCCTGGACCCTGGTCAAGGTGTGTTGTGACTCGGAACACGCGGCATCATACGACTCCTGGAATTGAGAAGCCTGGGAAATTCAGGCAATCGCAAATCCAGAGCTCTGTATTGCGACTGATAAGCTGCGACGTTCCAGTAGATTTCGGGGAAATCCTGGTACCTGATTCCGCTGGACCCTTCAGCTTACGACACGAGTTGACCGAGTCTCGTGAGATACGACGACTCAGCCACATAAGACAGATTAATATTACTTACTAGATACGGCATTTGGCGGGAATTGCCGCTCACTTGATGCTGTACCATTGTTTCCTGCATATCGCATTGCACTATTGCACAGCGGCCAGCTTATCCCCAAGCCCTGTTCACAGACCCCAGAGTACTCAGTTCTCTTTGGGAGCTGGTTCTTTCCATAGCAACTGGAATTGCTATCCAGTAAATGACCAGGTTGTGGACTCTGGTTTCTCCAAGGCGGCCATAGTCGCAGATGCACCCCTGGGCAGCATCGAGTCTCCGTGGGAAGAATGAGACCGGTCTAGTACTTGAATTCATAAACTTCATGGTACGCGAGGAACTATCTCGCCGGTAGTGAGGCTTCTATCGTAGACGTCAAACTAATATCCTCGTCTCCTTACCGAAGATGCAAGTGTCTGCTGCACCCTTGGAAACAAGACAAGATAAGGCATGACGTTTTCTTCTCGCAACAGATTTATTTCTGGCAGGCTTTAAGAAGACTCTGGCGATCGAAGACCTTTATCCGCTCGATGGCTCTCTCTCGCCAAAGCGCTTCATGAGGACTTTGTTAGAAATGTGGATTATTCGAAGCTCGAGGGTGACCACCCGATCACGGTCTTCTCAAGGTACTCATGCGGACGGGACGCTGAAGATGCCACTCCTTCTCCCTATTGCCCCCCGACTGGCGCCGGTTGGATTCACGTTCTGCCAGCCTCTTTTCATTGCGCTGGAGAGATTATTGAATTACCTCGCCCAGCCGGCGCCCGACGCAAACGGTGGATACGGGCTTATCGGAGCCAGCATACTTACGCCGGGATAGGTGTCTCCTACGCACTGTACTGGTACACCAGGCCTCCCGACTTTATGTGAAGCCTTTACCAATTGTGATAGGTACTTTCACCATCGACTGCGTACCATGGTGCGCTCCATATTAGTTACGGATTCTGATATTTATACGTTGATTGTCAAAGCTTTAGGGTGACGGGTGCAGCAGCTGATGGTTTCAGAGGCTTCAATCAATTGGACAAGAAGCAGCGATGCTTCCAAGGTTGCTTCGTCGCGTATTTGGGCATCTGTTACCCACTGCTAGGAGGGGTGCTATATGCCGTGCTCAAACTCCTTGACCCGATTCCACAAGCATTGAAGACAGGACCAGATTTCAATTGATGGCATGCCTGATTTCGAGAAGAATGGAAAGAAGTTGGTTTGGTGGGCTGGTTAGGGCTGCGGGAGCTGGCCATCTCTTGGGCTGTAGTACCTACCTAGTGCCCTGTAACTTCCTTCCAAAGCCACACTAGACAGTACCTAGGAGTTAAGATACCTCGCTTTCTCTATCTGGCTCAGCTTCGTCTCATCTGCATACTCTGCAGACATATAATTCGCTGTCCCTTCAAGGTACATCCATGGGCCACGTGATCCGCCCAGTGGCGTCCACGGGTTGCTTGCATCCCCCACCATCAGCATTCCCTCAGAGTTAGAGAATCTTGTCTTTCATCACAAGAAACTCCATTCTCTGAAAGTTCTTCTATCAAGATGCAAACTGAATTGATTGCTGCTGTCTAACTAGCACTGACGGCTTTCAAGTTGTCATTGAACGACAAACAGCAACCTGTAAGTGTCTGCGGCTGAGAAGCATCTCGTGTTTGCGCTGGCAACTATACCAATCACAGCCTGTCCGCTGGAATCAAGTGCTGGGCGCGGCCCGACCCCGCTGAAGCGAGACCAAATATACAGAGACATCCTCCAGTCCTCCGTGTTCGAGCAGGGCACGCTTGATGAGGAGAAAGAGATCCTCGCCGGACTGTTCAAACAAATCGTTGGATCCATCATTGTGCTCTTCGAACCATTGCCTGTAAAGGCCTTGAGTGAATCCAGGACGCGGAAGAAACACCGTCCTCGCAGTCCCAAGAGATGAGTGACCAGTATTCTCACATCGACGCAACAGGATGTCATTCCATGTTGCTCCGCGACTGTCTGACTGTTATGGCAACATCGCTGCGGCAAAACATCTGCGGTCTAAGTCTAGGAACACTTGCTGCTGGAGTCGGACCTGCGCAAATCTCAGAGCACATCCCGGCTCATGTCCAGTACGCATGCCGCTATTGGGTCCAGCAGCTCAAGAGTCGTAGTGTCGAACTTCGTGACAATGGGCCTGAACACCAATTCCTCACAGTACATTTTTTGCACTGGCTCGAGGCCATGGCCGTGATGAGGAGTATTCCCGAGGCAGTGCTTGCAATAAACGAGTTGTCGACATACCTTTCCCAGCTGACAGTACGTATTCAAGCAGACATGCTTTATGGGCTGTCCTTCTAATTACATCGCTTAGGCCGGGGAAACGACCAAGTTCTGGAGCTTCGTTGAGGACGCCCGACGGTTTCTGCTCAAGTTTCGAACATCTATAGAGATCGCTCCCTTGCAAGTCTACACTTGCTGCGCCGTATTTTCTCCAACAGCAAGCATTATCCGCACTGTTTTTGCCAACCAAACAGTTGAGCCATTACCTAGGCTGGTGGTCGAAGAGGAAGAATGGAATCCTGTCCTACTGTCAATTCCAGACCTGTCTGATAACTGGGCCTTGTCGCAGAAAGGAACGCTGGCGGCATCGGAAACCGGTCGTATCTGGGATACTGCAACAGGAAACTTGATAGGTAAAATGGAAGAACCAGATGAGGCAAGCGTGAGCACTGCCTTCTCTCCCGACGCAAAAACGTTAATATCGGTAACGGAGGAGGGCACTATCAAATCATGGGATACGGAAACCGGGCGACTTCTTCAACTTCTTCATTGTCACCCGGAGCATTATATTACCAAGGCGATGTTCTCGCAGGACCGCAAGACGCTCGCCCTGGTGTCCCATAGGGTCGGCGTTGTATTTGTCGATCTGGTCAGCGGGCGTATTTTGACTGCGGACAGCCCTGATTATGAGTCAATAAACAGGGCAGACCTCTCACCTGATGGGACGAGACTGGCCACAGTTCATAAGTATAACACCGTTCGCTTGTGGGATACAACGACGGGGGCCCTAATAAAAGACTTTGGGAAACAGCGTAGGGATGACGTCCACGTACGGTTCTCACCTGATAGTAGGGTGTTGGCAACCAATGATGGCCGCTTAGTGTTTCTGTGGGACTCAGCGACAGGTAACTTGATTCGACAGTTCCAAGCCCCTGATGTCCCCGATGATCGAAGATACTGCGATTCTTGCCGGGACATAGCAATCTGTGGAGGTGGACGCCTCTTAGCTACGGCCTACGGGGATTCCGTCAGTCTTTGGAATCTGGCAGACGGAGCATTCCTATGGTGGGGATCCGATCCCATTGAGAAAACGGCCTTCTACGAAGACGCAGCCGTATTCAGCGAGGACGGAAAGCTGGTGGCCTCGATCGGCAGTGACAGGTTCATCCGGATCTGGGACACGGCATCAGGGGCACTGGTGAACCTGATTGAGAACGATGAAGTGGTGAGGAAAGTGCTCTTCTTTTCTGACAAGCGAATCGTAGGTCTAATCGGTAGCGGCTCACTGCGCATCTGGGACCTCACAGTGAAAGCGTCCACTAGATCCCAATATGTCGCGACCAACGGTATGATTGACGCACTATTGCTAGCCCCGGACGGCAGAAGGTGCCTGGTAGCTGCAGACTATGGGTGTTGGCTGTGGGACGTGGAGACCGGCGAGCAGGTCCAGAAGTATACCTCTGCGAGACCGACCGTACTCCTATTCTCTCCTGATGGCGAGTACTTGGTCTTGAGTGGGGAAAAGGAAGAAGACATCGAGCTTCGCGATGGAGTGACATTCGAGCGTCTGGCCGTGCTTACTGGGCATCGGCATGCAATCTGTGCTGCAGCGTTCTCGCCGGATAGCCGGTTGCTTGCGACCATCGCCGAGATCCCACTCTTTGTTCACGACTCAGATGGAGAAGAAAAGGGTACTCAGGAGAACGATTGCTGCAGCGAAGGCGATGGTGAAGGCGAGGACATCAACACCAACGCCGACGATTCTGAGGAGGATGCCATAATTGGACTCTGGGATGTAGCAACGGGGACATTGCTCCATAAGCTCAGGGGCCACACACGCCAGGCTGGTAACCCTCTATTTTCCCCCGACAGCCGCCTCCTGGCATCAACGGCACTTGACAAAACCCTTCGACTCTGGGACGTCTCGACAGGGACAGTCCTGAAGGTCATCAGAGGAGACTTCCTGACTCTAGCCTTTTCTCCAGATGGACAGACCATCGCAACAGCAGACCGCATGTCAGTAGTTCGCTTCTGGGACATCCCAACCGGCCAGCTTATTGAAGAGATCCACTCGTCTAGTAAAATCAAACGACTCGCCTTCTCCCCCCACGGCAAGCTTCTAGCGGGCTATGGGGCCATTCCTCATGAGACCCTACTGGCAATCCACCTCTTTGACCCGGCGGCAGGCCAGCTCCCAGTTAGGGAAAGTAAAATCCCAGCTACGGTTTATTCTTACAGTACCCCTGAGCTCCGCTGGTCTGCTGATGGCCAGGTTCTGCATACTGCTGTCGGCGATGTCAGTCTTGCATACCTTTGTCCTGAGCGCGCTGATTCTGGTATTCCGGCCTGGGGAATCTTTGTCAATGGGGATTGGGTCGTGAGGGGGACGGAAAAGGTTGTTATACTGCCTCTGGAGTATAAGGCGCGTTGTGCTGCTGTACATGAAGGCACTCTGGTTATTGCGACTGAAACCAACCGGGTGGTGGCTCTTCGGTTTGACTAAGTGCGTACTCGATGTACACTGTTCGTCTAACGGTAGGCTACTACGCCCCTTCATCTATCTAGCCGTACTGATTGTGCCTCTCAAAGACTTTGCTTTGATGGTGTTGTAAAGGCTGATAGGAGGCAATCGCTTTGTACAAAGACTAGCATTGTATGGCCCTTCGATCTGATTATGGCACATCGCACGGGCAACATCGCCTGAAATCGTCACGGTCTAGTTATAGAGCCCCCCATTCGCAGACAAGCAAGCCCCCGTCGTCCACCTCGCATCCTCACTACACAGGAACGCCACGAGCGGCGCAATGTCATCCACCTCGCCGACCCTCGGCGCCGCAGGCGTCGACTCAATGAGCGGCTGCATGTCTTTCAAGAACTGCTCATCGCTCTGGAACCACTGGTCTACAACACAAATAAAAGGTTAGTTAATGCGCCTGCGACTCGAGCCAGATCGATCACGTACCCGTTGCCACCGGCCCGGGGTTCACGCAGTTGACGGTGATGCCGTGGGACTGGCCGAGCTCCTTGGCCCAGACGCGGACCAGGGCCTCGTCGGCGGCCTTGGTGGCGGCGTAGACGGTTTGCCCTGCGACGCCGAGGCGTGCCCCGGCGGAGGAGATGAAGACGATGCGGCCGCCCTTGGGGAGATGTGGCTCCACGGCCTTGGTGAGGAAGATGGGCCCGCGCACGTTGCAGTCGAAGTGGGTGGTGTAGAACTCGGGCGTGGTGTCGACGAGGTTTGCTTCGAGGCCTTGGGCGGCGCTGTGGAAACCAAGGTTAGGTATGGTTGATGCTTGACGAGCGGCGTCGACCAGGCGCGGGATCTCGTCGAGGTTGCTGACACTTGCCTAGCATGGGACAGCCTTTGTTCCGATCTTGGTGATCTCGTCGACGACCTTCTGGGCGCGTTCCTTGCTGCCCTCGGACACGTAGTTGACAACGACGTTGGCGCCGCGCTTGGCGAAGAGGATGGCGATGCCGGCGCCGATGCCCCTGTCGACGCAGAGATCAGTGTCCTGGTGAGATGAATGTGATGGGGTGATGCTTTACCTCGAGGCGCCGGTCACGATGGCGGTTTTGCCCTTGAGGGAAAGACCAGAGAAGTCGGACATGGTGCTTGGTGTGGGATTGATTCGGGGTGGATGGAGGATTGGTATTATGCTTGAATCAAGAGCACCTTTAATAATGTTTCCAACTTATCTATATAGCTTGCTTCTGCGGAACCAGCGGGGTGAGGGGTAGGCCTGGCATTACAGCTCGAGCTGGGCAGTTGGAGGCTTCTCAGCTTCCCAGATGGGGATCGGTTGGCCATCCGTGGATTTCCTTATTAGGAAACCGAGTGTTCGTAGGTACCTACATCATACCTACATTCATGTAGGTGCATGTTCAGGTACCCTACATGCTCTCCTAGGCCAGGCATAGCCGTGAAAGGACATTTGGTAGAAGTAACTCGTGCAGTCTACATGACTTGACTTCACTAATGTCAAATCTAGGTACAAGCAACCATTCAAACGGCCACATGTGAAGAAGAATCCCCCCCACGCCTCCAACGAAACGAGCCTCCCCTCGGAATCCGCGGGAGACTCAACCACAGCCCCAGAATCGCCCCCGACAGCGCGAGCACAAACGGCTGAAGCAGGCGGACCCCGTTCGTTTCCGCCACAACCCCAATCAGGAACGGAAGCAGCGTCGAGCCCAAACTGCTGAACCCCGTCGCCACCCAATCGCCGTGACATGCATCTCCTCGGGGAGCAGACGTGCCGTCGCAAGCACAATCGCCGGGAACAGCGGGCCCAGGAAGAAGCCTTGCATTGCGGTGGCGACGGCCGCAACGCGGATGTCGGCGACAAAATGGATGACAAGGCCGAAGACTGCTTCGAGGAGAATGTAGACGGCAACAGCAAGCTTCTCTCCAACAAGGGGCGTCACAAACCCCAATACAATCCGTCCACTTGAAAGCGCAAGCCAGAACCACGCCGCCGCCAGCCCGCTGACCGTCGTGCCGGCGTCCCTGACATCCCCCATGAACGACACAATCCAGCCAGACACCCCGAGCTCAATCCCGACGTACAGAAACAGAAACGCCGAGCCCGTCCAGGCAATCCGTGCAGACGCCCGCTGGAACAGCGTCTCCCTCAGCCCGCTGGGCCTGCTCCCATTCCCATCCCCATTCGTCTTCAACAAAGACTCTGCAAGCGCGTACCGGTACTCACCAGGCGCAGCAGTGGAGTCCCAGAACGCCGCCACAGACGAGACCAACTCCACCGCCGCGCAGGCAATCTGCACCGTCAGTCCAGCTCATATCCAAACAGCCATATACCAAGGCAACTCACCATAACATCATAGAAGTAATACCACGGCATCCCCCTTGCCCCAAACCCCGTGAGCACAAGCGGCGCCACCACGGCCCCCAGCCCAAACGCCGCATGCAGACACCCAAGCACCTGGCTGGCGTGCTCCATGCCGCTGGCCCACGCGTTCCACGCGGAGTCCGCCAGCCCGTTGCCGAGTCCTGCCAGGGCAAGCGTGAGCACGAGGACCGGGTACGGCGGGTGGAAGCTGTTGGCGATGTATGCGAGTAGGTGGCAGGAAGGCGAGATTATGGCGACGCCGCGGCGGCCCAGGGCGAGGTAGATCTTGGTGTCGAGCAGGGAGGCGATGGTGAAGCCGATTAGCGGGGAGAGGAAGATCACGGACACGGCGAGGTAGGAGAGGGTGTAGTGGGATTGCAGCTGAGGAGTTGTTAGGTATGTAAGACTAATATGTAGATAGGGACGGGCTGACGTATGGGACTAACGGCTATTGTCCATGTATAAATCAGCTCAGCTCAAGCAGTCGATACCATATCACCGTACTACCCCGGAAGCCGCGTCGTTTGCGCCCATGACGAAAAAGCTCCAGAATGCCGCCAGCGTCTTCCAGATATTCGACCTGGGATGGTTCCAGTTCGGCACGTCCTTTGCATTCTGATGCGCGCTGGCCAGCCATTGGCCTGGGGAGGCCTCTTGGTACTTCTCCGGTGGATTCGAGTCATCTGCGATTCCTGCTGTCATCCCTGGCTTCCTCTTGCCGACTGGTCGGGGCATCGTCATCTGGTCAGGAAACAACTTGATCGGATACAGAGGTGCCTGGATCTAACTCAGTGACCACGGATCAAACAGAGTATAATTGCCATATTTGGGGAGTGACTACACCCAATATGTACGATGAGAAAAGCGCTACCTAGGACAAACAGAGGCCCACCACCTGAACAGAAGCACTATGAAAGCCCCTAACTCTCCTTAATATGCAAGAGCCTTCCGAGGTCCAGTGGACATGTCCAGCATATTATTGTTGCTCGTCTCGTCTGCCAGAAGAAGCTCGGGGAGGCCTCGAGGTGTGGATCCTGACGATGATTGAGGAATGATTGCCGGCCAGCAATGATGGCTGTGGATCCTATTAGCTATCCAAATCTGAATCGCCTTCTTAGGCAACTGGGACTGAGTCAAGTGGACCTGTGGACAAGGTCGTTGTAGATTATGCTCTCCACAGCCCCAGAGCAACCAACCACCTCGAGGTCTGGACACAATCGTTAGCTCTAGTAGTAGTTACCAGTGACCAGTGGCCACTGCCCTGTAGAGGAAAGTTGCTCACCCTCATATAGCAGAATCTGAGATGCAACGACCCCCCCAATCCCGTTCTCCCTGTCCGCGAACCAGAACAGGTTGGCCACCCCGTCCCACGAAGCCGACCCGGCAGCCCTCCCGGTCGGACTCTGCGCGTGGCTCAAGGCGAAGGAGAGGCCCCGGCCCTCGCTGAGGTCTTCCGGGCCCGGCTGTAGCGGCGTTGCGTTGGCGATCTCCGGCTTCCCGGTCGGCGTGTACTCGTTGCTCTTGATCGGCATGGCCGGGATCTGATCGGTGAACATTGCTGTATGGGTTAGCCTGCTGTTCCTGAAGTATGGAGTGCTTGCTTTACCTTGGACTGTTTCGGGCCTGAGGAGCTTCGCGCCCGTATGAGGGCTGCACCCGTCGTTCAGGATGGCAGCCAGGATTCCTGTCGAGACCGTTAACCCGGTGCCATACCAAGGCTACTATATCATAAAGCAGCAGCTTTGACAAGACATACGGCAGTACTCCAACGGCGTCCCAAAACATCCACAACCCCCCATACAGAACCGATCCTTTTCATGTCCTGCCCCGGCGAGCAGCGGCAACCGGAGGAGATGATCTCTCGTCCTCAGAACCCCGTCCTCCGCGCGCTAATGCATCGTAGCCAGAGACGCCTTCATTTCAGCCGTAGGGAAGAACCGCATGTTCTTGATACCCAGTGGTCCAAGGATAAACGACTGGAAGTACGCCTCGAGCGACATCCCCGTGGCCCGCTCAACAACCACACCCACCCAGTCCATGCCAACCCCGTACTGGAATCTGGTGCCGGGCTGGTTCACCAGCGGCCGATGCAGCACGTCGCTCGCATGGCCCGAGAAGTCGTCCAGCCCGACGGGGAGCGACCAGTCGCGCAGCTTGAAGTCTTCGAATGCGTACCCGAACCCGGCTCCAGTGCGTAAGATCATCAGCAGCTTTTCTTTCTCGACCGGATCTAGGGCAGGTCTCACCTGTATGTGTCAAGAGCATCCGCAGCGTGATGCTTCGCTCTTTCGGCACCAGGCGGAACCCGCCTGCCCCCGGGCCCTCAGTGCGCTCAAGGACCTGGACGTCTCGAAGCTCCGGCGCAAAGGCCTCGAGCTGCTCGCTGTCGTCCAGGGCCAGCGTCCCGCTTTCCACGAGCTGCATGCACGCGATGCTTGTGATGAGCTTCGTGCACGAGGCCATCCAGAACACCGTGTCTAGGGTCATTGGCGCCGTCCCGCCCAGGGCTGTTCTGCCCGAGGCGTGGCTGAATATGGCTTCTCCCTTCTTGTTCACGGCGCAGTAGACGAGGCCGGGGATTCTTGGAGACGCACCGCTTGTTCTTTGGTCTATGGCGGCGCGGGCGGCCGCGGCCGCGGTTGCTGAGAGGTGTTGTGGCATTGTCCAGTGGCTATTACCGACGTGGCCGGAGCTTGTCACGATGCAAAGCAGAGGCTCCTGTGGATGGTCAGGTTATCTAGCATTCCAAGGTTATAGATGCACAGACTAGTGCGGAGAGGCACGAAATATACCTGATTAGGAAGGTGGGCTAGCTTACATACCTATGTACCTACATATCTACGATGCATACATCCATGCAGGCGCTGGGGGGGGTTTGTGATACCGTATCAGCACGCCCACATTTGTATCCGCTGGTGAATACATATCGAAACTTAATATAGTCGAAAAGTCACATTTTATTTAATATATATTATTATTTTTGATTTATATGAAATAATAATGTATATTATTATATAATAATATATATTAGTAAGCCTAATATATATTAGTAAGCCTAATATATATTATAATGTAAAATATATTAAAAAACTTGATATTTTATAAAATTTAAAAATAAAAATAAAATATTTTATAAGTCACGTGACTCCCCTAATATATATTTTATTATTATATTTACT